ACCAACCGACTTACCTACCACCAACCGACTTACCTACCACCAACCGACTTACCTACCACCAACCGACTTACCTACCACCAACCGACTTACCTACCTACCTACCAATGATAGCGACTACAGCTGACAGCTGACATCTGAACGACGCTGACGTTTTTGTTTGTTCTCTAACTTATACACCATCGATGGAATGACGAAGGATGAGATGGGTCGGAGAATGAAATAGATTACGAATTTATATACTATATACTATATACTGTACTCTGTCTACTATTCTAATTAGACACTTGTGTACACACCCATGACCAAAAGATAGACAGTCATCATCATATATCATTCGACCTACCGACAGGTACGGAGTTAGGTAGGTACAGTAGATTATCCACTTGAAACAGTGCCAAACTACATCCGATTTGTTTTTCAACGGTACACTACTAGTTAACACTGCTCACACCGTTACTCACGCCACTCACATCTGGTACCGAGACGTGGAACTAGGTATGGAACTGTGGGCATTGCCGTCACCGTATATGTACTGTATACTGCATACACAGGTACTGTAGTGATAACTACCGACCGAGGCCCGCCCACAAAAACCAAAACCAAACCAAACACGACAAGACAAGAAACGGACCGATCACCCAGGCTTCGAATCGTGCCTTGAGAGGCTAGAAAATCAGGATTCTCAGATTAGGTGCTTCTGTACGGAACAATCAATGCTACTTACTTACTTACTGACTGCTTGCTAGGTAACTTGCCACCTTGTCGCCGAGGGTGGATATATTCTCACACTCGGCACTGGCTGGGCGATGGACTCGATGCTGATTTTCGGCCCAAAGAATCATAGAACAGACTGCAACACGACAAGTCCCTTTCGGACTTCGCTTCAAGCGGCTACCTATGTAGGTACTAAAGTAAAGCAATCAAAATCAAATCCTGTCTTCGATACCGACCAAAGCGGAGACTGTTGACCGATCGACTTGGTAACCCCCATCGCTGCTGTAAAGCTCTTAAAAAGCCTCTAAAGCTCAATCAAACTCTCCTCCACCGCCACCGGTTGAGGCTGGTGTTGTGGTACAGATTGGTGCGGAAAACCAGGCGTATGTTGTGGTACGGAAGGAAATTGATCTTGACTGAAGCTCGACGGATACGCGGGATACGGGGGTTGGCTGGACTGCTGCGGAGGAGGGTAGTGTTGTGGTTGTTGTTGCGGGGGCGCAGGCCGTTTATATGTCTGCGTAGGTGCAGGTAGAGGTTGTGACTGAATCTGAGGTGTCGACGGTGGTGGTTGTTGTTGTGGTTGTGGTGGTTGTTGGTATGCTGGTTGAGCTTGAGCAGCGTACTGCGGTTGAGGAGTAGGAGCCTCCGCCCCCTGGGCATAAGGTGTAGGAGTTTGCTGGGGATCTGGAGGTGGCAGTTGAGGGTACGCAGAAGGGACTTGTGAAGGCTGAGCTGAGTATTGCTGTTGATGGTACATTTGCGGGGATGGTGGTTGATTGTATTGTCCACCATGCGCCTGTTGAGCCTGGTTTGGATACGGATACGACGAGCCCGAAGCATCTTGCTTTTGACTCGAAAATGAATATGAGCGTTGGGGTTCAGGCATCTGCCCATACGTTTCTGCCGACGGCGCATTGCTAAAGTAAAAATTCTCGGCGGCCCCTGGTGCCGTGTTCATGGTCGGCGGTAGACCAGTACCTATTGATGGGTACATTCCAGAATTTTGAGGTAGACCTGGCGAGGCCATGCTGTAACCAGGGTATCCCGGATTCCGCTGATTGTACGTGTTGTTCAGTCGTTCCTCGAGCATTCGATCGTAGTAACGAACAACAGTAGACAACTTGGCGTGAAGATCGAGTAACGCATCGTTTTTGGACATGGTCTCCCCCAGCGTCCTGGCTAGTTTGGGTCGAAGCTTGCCGATACTTTCATATAGCTCTTGAATCTGTGGTTCCCGTAGGATCGTGCCAGGCGGCTGATGTTGTAGACGGTCGACGAGTGTGGAGAAGAGGTTGATATTCTCCGCCTCCATGATCGATAATTCATAGTCGTTCTTCGGCATGACGAATGGTTGTGTAGAGGTTGCACCGTCAGCTGCAGATTGCTTGATCGAGGCCGCATGCTTCTTGGCCTGTTCTTCTGCCTCTTTCAGAGACAAGGCTATCGCAGCCTTCAGATCAGGGTCGTCCTCTTCCTCGGCCGCCGCACCATTTGGCTTTGAAGGTTCCTTCTTGTCCTGTGTTTGTGGGACATAGCCGGAACTTGATATTCCCTTTGCCTCTTCCAAACTCATTTCCAATGCCTTTTTCAGATCCTCGTCAAAGCTGCTCGTCTCCACTCTTGCACTTCGTGGTTGCATGGCGCTAGGTTTGGTTGCGAAAGATACCCGGCGATCGGAGCCACCAGCCTTCTTGGTCAGCTTGTCGTAGCATCCGTCGTCAACGCGCACCGGTTGCATGATGCCCAGGTGTGGTAGAGGAATCGACTTGGAAGAACACTGCTGGTCGAAGACATTGCCACAATTCCTGCAATGGTGCTTGCGATTCGTGAAGGTGAAAGCTGTACGACACCGCATGCAGACATCACTGTCGGCCCATTCTGGAGGGGCACTGCTGTCCACCATAGTGCTTGCAATCTCAACCTTGGGCGGAAATGTGAACCCCTCTTTTTGTAGATTCCTGTAGACTTCGTTGATGTATGAGAGATCGTAGCGCGCTTGTGTGGCAACAGCCCAAGTCTGGATCAGTTCGAGAATCTTGCCTTTGACGTCGTCGTTCACAGCCGCAGGTCCATATGCTTTGAGCAGCGAAACCAGATTGTCCATGAACTCGCGGGATGCGATTTCCGTCAAGAAGTGAGAACCTCCATTCTTTACACAGGTGTCGGTAAGCTTCAAAGCTGAGAGCTGAACATTCGGATTCTTGTTGCCTATCCGCCTCTTCAATGACCGCATGGCATCTTTAGGCTGCACTGTTTTGGATCGAATCAAATCGGAGATTTCGAGACTTGTGGCAATGTCTTCGAGACTACTTGAAGTGGCCTTTTCAATCTGCTCGTCAAGGGCAGAGGTGCCAGAGGAAAACCATCCAGCCATGGTTGTAGACGTGTGGCCGGAGCCTTTGGGAAGGATGGGCAGTACTCGAGGGAGACAGCTGTTGTGAGAGAGTAGCTGGGATGATGAAAAGGCTTGGAGAATCTGCTACGACTCGCTATGATCGTCAAAACTAACGAATGGAGTGCGATGAACTTCCAGGTTCAAACAACGTCGTCTGTAATTGTGAATTGTATGTACTGCCTGGCCACCTGAAGGTCGCCGCGATGACATCTGAAACTCTGAAACTGCGGGTTTGGATCCTCCGCGGGACCCTATTCAGGTTGGCGCCCACTGGCTTCTCAACGCCTGATGTGTTAGACCGGGATGCGCTTACGAGAACCGCCTAAGGCGCCTAGAGCAGCCACGAATTGGGGGTGCTTACCATCGGCTCACTAGGCGGTGATGGGGGCGGCTCCAGTGACAGTCGGTGGCGCCCCGGGTTGCGTTGTCCTGTCGTCGCCACTGCGGCTGTTGTCATACCGCAACTCACGCTCTGGGGTGGCGCATGCCTCACTACAGCTTGATCAGCACATGGAACTTGATCGGCCACCTCTTCATATTCATATTCATACTACCCGCCTTAATATCGCATCTTCTCATTCGTAGCCTGGTTATCCTACTGCTTGTCCCATAAGAGCACGTCCTCGACTGTGCACTTCCCCCTTACGCTTGTTGCGTCCCACCTACGACCGACCGTCATCCTCCTCTTCCTGAACCCGTCGTTCGTCCCCGATTGCCTGCAACAAGAGCACCAGGCGACCTTGTGTTGCAGGGCATTCTTGAACGTCTTGTCGCGCAATGATCTTGCGGTAATAAACTCACACCGTCGCCATGGCGGCGTATGCGTCCTCACCATCATTTGGGAGTCAGACCACTGCGGCCTCCGCCAGCTCAATCCCATCCACGCGGGCGAGTTGGTCCGACACGAGAGACACCACCCCGGGTTCTGCCTCTGAAAGGGTATTCGCACACATCAAAGATATCATTTACGATGCTACGACTTCCATCGAACCAGACGACTCGCTAGGCCATTACCTTACTGAGGTTGAGACCTCTCTTGCAACCGCAAGGAGTTCGGTCGACTTTCGGCGGCCTGACGTAGCGTACAAGAACTACCTTCGCGCATACGAGATCGCGGTTCAGCGCATACCCAGACACAGAGACTATGGCTTCTGGGATAATAACCCCTCTTGGAGCTCGAAATACAAAGCTACCTTACGGAAAATCAACGACCTGTCCGACCAAATGGCACAGGTTAGAGAAGCTATTGAAGACAACAATCGACGGTATGGTACACAGCAAAGGTCGGTCTTGAGGAAGCCAGTCTACTCTACGGACTTTGGAGTGCCTTCGACAATGTCGCCTGGCGCAGGTAGACCTTCTTCTTCTGGCAAGCCAAACGGCCCTGATGCTCGGCAGACAGACTCACCCCGGCCTGCTGAGCTTCCTGATGCGCTGCGCATAGATCGGGCACGGCCATCAAACAAGCCACCGAAACCAGAAAGTCTTCAGGGACGTCCGCTAAGCGAACAATCTAACGACTTGAGCCAGCGTTTTGCTCGTCTGAGAGGGCCCGGAAGCTCTCAAGAAGCTGGGCATATTCTCTCCATGCCGAACCCGAGTGATTTTCAACCGGGAGCTGGCACCGCCCCTCGACCGCAGTCATACTCCCCTTATGCAACCCCCAAAGCCAACGGTGTTTCCAGTCACCGAATCAACGGACCTCGAGACATGCCAGGAATCGGGAGCGTGCCCTCCATTCCACCCAAGGTGCCATTGACCACCAACATGGTCATGCCGAAGCCCCCGAGTCCGACATACAGTCCGATAACGACAACACCTATTGCTCCTCATGTTAACGGCGGCCGTTTACCTACCGAAGGTGGTCGTCCGCCCAACGAAAGGAAACAAACGTACTACAATCAGTCGCAGAACTCATCTACGACTTCCTTGCACATTCAAAGGACTCGCGACGAGATCTTGTCTCCTTATAGGCCGACCACTCCGAATGGAATAAATTCAGCCATTTTCTTGAAGAGCAGTTCAAGCGAGATACCGCACAGACCCTCGATAGATGCACCAACTCTGCTCGAGTATATGAAGAAATATAATGTTCTCCTTGTTGATATCCGAGAAAGGGTGCTTTTCGACGACGGACATATCATGTCGAGCTCGATCATATGCATCGAACCCATCTCGCTCAAGGAAGGAGTTTCTGCAGAAGAACTGGAGGATCGGCTTGTTCTAGCCCCTGATATGGAACAAACCCATTTCTCTAGGAGAAACGAGTTCGATATTGTCGTCTATTATGATCAAGATACCAGCGACATCTCCTATCTGAAAGGGCCGCCGTCTATGACGAGAGCTCCAGCTCTTCGAGCGCTTTACGACACACTTTATGAATTCAACGACACGAAGCCTCTGAAAGATGGACGTCCACCTGCTTTGCTAGCAGGTGGTCTTGATGCATGGATCGACCTCATGGGAGCCCAATCACTAGCACGTTCAAAAACTGCCGCCATGCTGGGCACGATTCAACGACGGCGAGCTGTTGGTCCTGGCCGGCCTATTGCTCGACAGCGCCTGGTTTCGGCAAATTCCCGTTACGAAGTGCGTAATAGGCGTCTTCGTGACCACAAGTTTCTTGATGAGAGCGAGCAAGAAGCGTGGCGACAGCAAGCAATGCAGGAGGAGGTTGCTCCCGCCGAGAAATCCGAGCTCGCAAGCGATGAGGAATATCCCACAGGAGACGAAGAACCACCAGCTGAATCTCCATTTGTGCCTGATTATGAGACGTTCCTCCGTCGCTTCCCGTCCATCAAGCAGCAGGAATCAATGATAATGCCCGCGCGGCGAGCATTGCCGTCTCATCCTACTGCATACCTGCACCAGCCCGTTGCGCCTGTACCTCAAGTTCCAACAAGGCCGCCTCCAGCGATACCACGACCGAGTTACTCAGGACAAGCCGACATCAATGCGCCTCAGCCATCGCTGGCAAGGGTCACTTCGGCAAGCCGACCTCCGTTGTACTCCTCCGCAACCTCGGTGAGAGGTAAGCGTCTCCCGAAGACCGGACTAACCAATTTCGGCGTTACCTGTTATATGAACTCGACACTGCAATGCCTGTCTGCCACTATTCCATTATCGGCCTTTTTCAATGACAGGATGTATGAAGCGTATGTTCAGCGAAATTGGAAGGGCAGCAACGGTATCATGCCCAAACTCTATGCGAATCTGATCCAAGCTGTATGGCAAGGCGACAATGAAGTCATCAAGCCGTCCACATTCAGAAACTTCTGTGGTCGAATGAATCGTGAATGGGTGATCGACCGACAACAAGATGCAAAGGAATTCTTCGACTTCATTGTTGATTGCCTCCACGAGGATCTGAACGTCAATTGGGAACGTACGCCACTCCGTCCACTGACGACAGCTGAAGAGATGCAACGAGAACGTATGGAAATTGCACGAGCCAGCCCAATTGAGTGGAAGCGATATGAGCATCGAGACCACAGTTTTCTGTCGTCACTATTTGCCGGCCAGCACGCCTCACGCCTACGATGCTTGACGTGCAAACGCACTTCCACAACCTACGAGGCATTCTACAGCATCAGTATCGAGATTCCCCGCTCCGGTGCGGGACACATCTACGACTGTCTTAACAGCTACTGTAGAGAAGAGAAGCTGTCCGAGCTATGGCGCTGCCCATATTGCAAAGGTGAACGCGAAGCTACTAAGCAGATCATCCTTACTCGTCTTCCACAATTTCTTGTCATCCACTTCAAGCGATTCGCAGCGAGTAAGCATGAAAAGGCTAAGAAAATCCACACGCCCATCGAGTTTCCTCTCTACGGGCTAAGCATGGACGATTTTGTCATTCCACGGCCGCCGAGTGTCCCGGATGCAGAAGGACAGGTTGACATGGCGACAACGCCACCATATAGTTACGATGCATATGGCGTGCTTCGGCACCTTGGGAATAGTGGCGATGGTGGTCACTATATCAGCATTGTCAAAGATCAAGGACGCGGTTGTTGGCGTAAATTCGACGATGAGCGGCACATTGACCTGGATCCGAACAAGCTATCTCCCCGAGATCGTTTGCAGAATTCGGAAGCTTATATTGTGTTTTATCAGCGGGCACAAGCAAGATAGGATCTCGACGCTGCTACAGATTGGTGTGTTGGTGGACTCTCGACCTGCGACTACGACCATTCCGTGGAGGATGATGATCCGACTCTGTACATTGACGAATGAATGTCTTTAACGTGGTCCTTTCCTATTAAGACTAGGTATGCATTATGTCTTACGATCCGACTAGCATGACTGGAGCGAACAATGGGTTTTGGGTATCTGCACTTTGAGCCTGTGTACCTTTCTCCTAGCGATTGATAGGACGCCGTAATTTTCAAACCTCGTCCAAGCTTCTATTGTGCCTTGCTGACCCGCAAGGAGATAGTATGTCTGGGTATATGAGTGCTCCTTTGTAATGGTTTTGCGTTCGTGGCTCACTCTCAATTGCTTAGGATCTAGCGCGTTGCACGACCTCATTGCGAGCCTGAGGATTTCCATTGGCTGCGCCTACGTCTGTACCATCGACTATTCTATTATACCCTAGACGCCCATGATCGGCAGTAATGGTGCGACATAGAAGCCGTCATTGATCATAAATTCATTCGTACACGACTCTCTCTGATGGTTTGATCGACTTGGAGTTGTTGAAGGGCCCGCGCGTGTTTCTGCGCGGGCTTTCCAGTGTGGCGATGGAAATCTCGCCTTGTAAATGTCAAGTTACTGCCACTGCCGCTGACGTTCAACAGTCATCCATCGATCATCTATCTACATAATCGATCTTCGTTTGCTCCTCGAAAAAGCGAGAGGGTGCGCGGCCAAAGAAAAAAGCCAGTGAATAGTTGTAGTAAGCTAATCTAGGCAGTTAGTTATTCGACCAAGCCTGCAGCCACCGTCTCTCCATTCGACCTGAGGACCACCCTCGACGGAGCTTCCAGTGGCACCGCCTCGTCCAGCTGCACGACCACCCTCACCACGGTGCCGGGCTGGACGATCTTGGGCTTCTTCTTTAGCACGGCGCCGGACGCCTTGTCCAGGGTAGCGACGAGTTGGGATATCCGCCCTGGCACGTGCAATCGTCCTTTGTGGACGTCGATGTTCATGGGCGTGAGATGGTCAAAGGCCAGGATCTTCGCTTTGAATTCTCGGACGTTGCGGATCGGCGCCGTCGCGCTACATAGGGCGTCTCCGGTCTTGATGTGAATGGCATCGATGTCCGTGAGGTTGAGCACGACGTTCTGACCCGCGACCGCCCACTCCTGAGGCTCGTCGTCGACTTCGAGGCTGCGGATCTGGGCCTTTTCGCCGCTGGGCATGATCATGACTTGCTCGCCGATCTGGACCGTGCCGGACTCGAGACGACCCGAAACGGACAGGGGGTTCTGCACTCCGCCTCGGAAGACGTCGTTTATCGTCATCCTTAGGGGCTTGTCCAGCGCGTGCGTGGACGGTTCGGAGAGGTCGAGGTCCTCGACTAGCGTGGCGCCCTTGTACCATGATGATCGGGGGTCGGAGGAGCGGCGGAGTATATTGTCTCCCCCGAGGCCCGAGCAGGGGACGAAAGAGATGTTTTTGGGCTGGAAGCCGGCGCCAGTCAGGAACCCGGACATTTGTTGCCGGATCTCTTCGAACCGTGCATGCGACCATTCTGCGACGTCCATTTTGTTGACGGCCACGATGATGCGCTGCACGCCTATCGATCGGACGAGGAGGGCGTGTTCTTTCGTCTGGCCTCGAAGACCGGATTCGAAGTTTCCTGTCGACGCGTCGATGACAAGCACAGCAAAGTCTGCCTGGCTGGCGCCGGCGATCATGTTGGGTACGAAGTCACGGTGCCCTGGTGCGTCGAGGATGGTGAAGCTAGTTTTGTCCGTCTCAAATTTGTTGGTTGCAATGTCAATGGTGACGCCACGTGCTCGTTCCTCGGTGCCTTGGTCGAGGACCCAGGCGAAAGCAAAAGACCCTTTGCCAATGTTCTCTGCTTCTTTGCGATATTTGTCCATTGTTCGCTGGTCCACGGCTTTCAGGTCGAAGAGTAGTCGGCCCATAAGCGTGCTCTTGCCCGCGTCAACGTGGCCTATATGTTGTTGCGCGTTAGATACCCTTACACTCTAAGACGAGGGGGTGTGACGCGACTCACCGATAACGACAAAGTTGGCAGCATTTTTCCGTTTGATCTTTTTGAACTCGGATATGACATCGATGTTCTTGCTCTTGACCTTGGGTGTTTCCTGTATGGACAGTGATTGGACACCGTTGGCTAGAGATGCTTTCGGTTTTGGCGTTTCTTTGGCTTTCGGTTTTGGTGTTGCTGTTGCTTGATAGACAGCCATGTCAGCTTGTGCACGTTGAGAGATGTCTACATCAACTCCGACCTTTTGCATTTTGAGCCCGTGACACGACATCGTCTGGACTCGGCTCTGCAAAGGCGGCAAACTTAGAAAGATCAAGAGCGGGAAGAAGGAGATTGGGAGAGACTTGTAGATGCCTCTCATCAAAATCGTGGCTGGTCATGATGCTGGCGAATGCGGACGGTGGTGCGCGAATCACCGGTTCTGGCACATTCGGAGTCTCAGATTTCTGCCCATGCTCTGTTGATGAGCCCAGGGTAGAATCATCCTCAGGACGTTGCACCTGTAGATCGTCCGTCATGATGTGATCTTTAGAGGATTCATTTGTGCGAGTAGTGGTGGGCCTTTGTTGAGCCGCCGGGCCATTGATGTGAAGACTCCGGAGGCGTGCCACATAGTCATTGTCCGATTTTGGTGTAGGTATATTGTTGGAAGCAGAGCGCTCGTTCTCCTTTTGTCTGCGTTTCGCGGCCAGAGCAGCTAGCTTAGAAGGTTTCCCGCCTCCAGATGAGCCACCTAAGAGTCCACCACGGGGATACAATGGCTCAATTAGGATCACAGCCTTGCGATGCTCGGGAACACTAAGCCAAGGACAGTCCTTGAAGAATTCTGCGGCAGAGAACGGAGTCGAGCAGACAGTATGGTTTGTAAGCTCTTGTTCCCCATCAGCACCGTACCTGAAGTCCGAGCATTCATGGCCACCACGATCCGATTCAAGTCTCGCAAGCAGCGGGGTTGCATCAACAGAAAAGATAGACTTACTCCTGGTTTCGGCGGGTGTCTTCTTTGATGGGGTGACTGTAGGTTTGTGCTTGCCTGTCGACAGGTCAGCGGAGGTACTTCGTTGAATGCTGGGAGCGCCTATACTCTTAAGATAGGCCACGCATTTGTTGATGTCGTAGTAGTAATGCCAAAGAGCCTCCTGGATCTCGGTGTCGGACAGCTTATAAGCCGATCCAAGATCTTCGCGGACCTTGATGGTGCCCAGCCGCATTTGCTCCTTGTCTTCTGGTGAAAGTTCGTTGTCACCGCCCTCGTCGTAATTTTCGTCATAGTCATCGTAGTCGTCGTAATCGTCATCCTCGAGCGCCAGGCTCTTAACCCGTCGGTTACTCATCGTGAGAGGACTGGACTGTAATAAGGAAGAATTGCAAAAGCATTCGAGTGATGCCGGTATCGTCTTTTCAGGCCCAAATCTGACCGATGGACAGTACAGACATAGATCCCTCCCGTCGATTGGGCCGCAATGATGTGGCGGTGATGAATCGGCTGGTGCAAGGAGAGTGTGTGGGATATCACTGCATGCAGAGTTGCATCAAAGCATGGATTCGTTACAAAAAGGAAGCTCAGAAACTAATGTCATATGAGTCTTGACCTTGGTATCTGTCAGGATTCGCACATCAGTCATGATGGTTACAAGGTCCTCGCTGCAGGTCCTCGAGCTCGGCACAGTTGCCAACCTTCGGGCCACCGAAAGTACATCACGTGATGCAAATTCGAACTACACCTACGATCGACGACGACTCTTGATCCTGACTCGTTATTGAAGTCCAATGGGGCTAGAGAGGAAGATTAGGTATGGGTGAAGCAACACAGTGTACCTTTATATCAGAGTTCATCTATATGCAAGAACAAAATGCGGCATTAATGCTCAGATCGCAGGTTAGTCTGTCAAATTGCATGCGACCCTGGAACGACACCATTGAATCCGTATGATTTGCCTGACTGAGGAAGACAACTCTTCAGCACTGCTTGTATATCGTGCACGGGTAATCTTGCCTGAACTCCTGCCTCGTCACTGCTTAGGAAGGGTAATACAGCCTGCACCAATTCTTCATGACTCTTTTTGATTCAATCCTAAGGTTAAGTACCAAACACAACATGTGTCACTCGAGAAGTACGCTTCACACGAAGGCTTTGCTCATGGAGGCCCAGAAAAGATCTCGGTGGCGTCGCTGATCGATGAGGAACAGCCGCGGCCATCTTCACCCTTCGGCCTGAAGACTCGTCCTGGCGAGATCGTAAGGAAGACCGAAAAGGCCGTAGCGGTAGGTCGAAAGCAGCGGTAAACCTCCTTGATGGGTGCTTCAATCTGCCCCAGGGGTAGCTACGGAGACGTCGGCGAGCAAAATCGTAATACTTGTAAGCGACTGGCACAAGGACACTAGCAGATGGTTAGTCAAAGCGGGCTGAGAAATGAGAATCTTACACCCCGGCCCTCTTCTTCTTCACCTCGTAGAGATCATACTTCACAATGTCAAGGTTGACGGTAGGACATGTCTTGGACCTCAAATCAAGGACGATATATGTGATAGCAGATCGTTTTGGAGTCACCTCACGGGTGTAGAAATCGCCATCAACATCTACATCGAAGTAGGTAAAGTATTTGTTGACAATTTCCACTGGGTCAATCCGAGACTGCATGCGAACTCGGAAGACTGCCCGCCGGGGGGCCAAGGCAAATCGCATCTCTGTAGCCAAATGCTGAAAACCGTTTGAATCTGCAAGTTGGTGGCTGGCGGTTTGCAAGGGATTTGTGCTGTCGTTCACAAAGGATACTTTGATCTATTTCTGCAAGGTCGAGAGGGGTTTCAAGAAGGGCGCAGAAGGCACGTAGGAGCAGCATTTGTACTTGCATGATCGTTGTCAGCCAAAGCGCCTCCTTTATGGTTCGCAACAAGTTCCAAATTTGCAACCACGCGAGGCACGCAGGGTCAATAGAGCTGCAGGGAGGGGCGCATAACCACGTGGGAAATCCATAATAGTGTATAGCAAAGGTATCAAGATAGAGTCGAATACCCTGTGAATTGACGATATGAGGACCTGATACAATTGCACGGGGAAGTGGTGAGATATTCGCGTGCCCAATTGGAATAGCTTCAGATGCGGCGGATACGAGATACGAGATATTGCGCGACCTTCTCGCCGCGGAGAATAACGCCGGCTGCACTCACTAACCGCCGTCCAAGACACGACTACATGTGTAGGTATCAAACAACCTGTATCGGATTCCTCGAGACATCATCCCATCACAGCAATATCTCGGCTCGTCGCACTATGTAATCCCGACCCCAGTAGACCCCTTTGCCGACATGTCTTCCTCCACCCGTTTCTTATCGACTTTGTCCTCCTGAACGCCAGTCATGTCGATGCAGATGTCGACGTCTATCATGCACGCACCCACAGTTGGCCAGCGTGCATCGCCCTCGAACCGGTCGACTCTGACCCAGCAAATTGAGCAGAGTGAGGGAGAAATCACGCCGCGGTCCGCAAGAACCTCCCACAAAGGCTCTCCCAAGCCGCGTTCCATGTCCGACGCTCCCAAACCTTTCCTCTCACCTTCACCTGCTTTCCGGGAGCCACAACGACGAATTTCTAAGGATGACTCGGCCATCGTTTCTGACCCTTACACCCCCTCGAAGAGCTCAATGCATATCCGGGGACTGAGCCTGCACATGCCTGCAAAAGATGGTTTCGATACCAGTTCCGGCGCGAATATTCCTCGAGTACCTCTGTCGCCAAAGCTGGATTCCTCCCAGATATACGGTTCGCCGTCCTCCATGCTTCCAAGGAGATCAAGAGGCTTAGACTACACAAGAGCATGCACAAGTCTGCATCAGACCACCCTGGCCGAATCGTCACCCGATGCTTCTCCGAATGTTGGCCGGGCCATTCAAATTCCCCCCAGAAGAAGTTTGGCAAACAATGTGCTGGATTCACCAAGCAATCAGAATGGGTTATGGTCACTGACACATGAACGTACAAACTTGTCTAGTTCTGTCAGTAGTATCAATATGCTGGGTTCAGATTCAGAGTCAGACAGCGATTCAGACTCTGACGATATGGCCATCGATCGGGATATCGATGATGCCATTCTCAGTACTCCTGCAGCGTCACGATTAAATGCAGGTTCGATGCTAGGAGTCGTGAATAGCCCAGGACTAGAGTGGATGAACAACCCGCCTCCATCGCCGGCACAAGCAAGCTTGATGAGTTTCCAGCCATATTTGATGAGTTTTAGGAGGGCCCGCACCCGAAAGGGTAAAAGTCAACATAGTTCAAGCAGCGTAAGCATGAACAGCTCCAAGCAATCACCAGGACCGCTGTCGCCTAGCGTGTTGAAGAGCGTGGAGAACTCAGGCGGCAGTTACTTTGGAATGGGTCTAACCAAGCAACAAATCCAGTCCCGTCGTGAAAGTCTAAGCTTGGGTACCAACGATCTTCATTTGTCTGACAGTGAAGACAACAACTCCAGCATGCCCAACAAAAACGGCAGTGGTCAGTCGCAAGCAGATATGGACGGACTTGATGGTCCGAGAGGCGTCATCAGGCGCGCTGTTACTCGAAGAAGCAACTTGCTCCCCAAGACTAAAGGATTCGCTCGCATCCGTGCGCAGCTCCTGGAGGAGTCCGAACCGACCAAGACAGAACTCCGGCGCGAGGCGGAAGTCATCCGTCAGGTGCACGAGAATGACCCAACGGTATCGACCGTCACCTCACCGACCATTCCAGCCGGCAATGTGTTCACGGCCGAAGCTGTGCAAGATTCGATCGAAGACATGGCGATGGACCCCACGACATCGCTTGCGCCTGATAGCTTCAGTCGACAAGCAGAGCGAAATTCCGGAGGGGTGCATTTCTGGAACGGGTTTGAAGGTAATGGACGGTTTAGGACACCGCCTCCAGGCTTGATCCCCCGTGAAAGCTCGTCTGCCATCAGCGATGAGGCGATGGAAACTCCAGGCTCCGGCTTTGCAGACAACCCGGCCCTCAAACACTTCAATCGTTCAAGATCTAGATCGATTACCCCGTTAGCGGGCAACCCACCTACCGCTGGTGAAGTAGCACGCCGCGTGAACAATAAACGCCGTCGCGATGAAGACTTCGATCCATCGTACACCAAACGCCGCGCCGTGTCGCCTGGTATGAGTGTTCAAAGCAGTCCCGTTCTCCCTCAGAGCCCGGTGTTCACGAACGACAAGGCATGGTCGAAGCTGCCCTCGAAACCCAATGGACAGGGAGCTGGGGATCGTAGTAACAGCGCCGGAAGCCTTAATGGTGCCAAAAAGGTCGGCCTGCAGGGTATGACCGAGACGAATGAGGGGATGATGAGTATGACCATCGACTAGTCTGCATGACCTGACCAAAGTACGGCTGATGACCGATGAGCTGTAGTTTTTCTTTTTCGGTGTGTAGATAGCGCGGCGTTCCGGCACAATATAAGCGAGGACAACATTTGTGCCCTTGTTCATGGAGCTTATGTATGTATTTTCAGGATGATGATGACTCTTGTCGAGCCTACGATTATGTACCTTTAGGATGTATGTGTTGGCCTCAATTTGATCTTACGATGCTTCTACGTTTATTCCACGCACTATCAAGGCTGGAGATGAATAGCTAAAAGAAGATGCGGATCATAAGAATACCCTTCATCATGCTGTGGGAACTGTCCAACATATCCCGGGGTTGGCGGTTGGTATACACATTAGGATTGCTGGAAGTCCGGTACGAGAGAGCCGCTGGAAGCATCATGTTGACCATCGCGACTCTGGAAATAGTGGTCGTGGTCGTGTGGTCGTAGATAGAGAACACGAGTACGGAGTACCTGAGGTGAGCGAGCAAGCAAAGCACCCCACACCAGGCTGCGGCGTAGAGCGTCCCATCCCGTCCATCTAATAAACAAGTCCCCTCGAACAGCGGACCGCTACAACACCACATCACTCACCCGTTCAACCAGTAGTACTCGACAGAGGTGCCAAAAGCAATGGGATCAACCGTGGATATTGCCTCCTCGTTCATCGAGGGAGCTCCCCCCTCCGAGCTCGCCGACGTTGTCAAGGACATCAAGGCCCTGACATCCGACGATGATCCAGCGCTGGTCGCCAAACTAAAGCCGGCCTTTGAAAAATACAATGAAGAACAACTCGTCGCTGTCAAGTTGCCTGGAGCGAGTGACCATGTACGTGTATCCTCTAGGCGTGCCTGACCTTCTCCTCCTTGTCCGAAGCTGTGCGAGGCCCCTTGGAGTCCTACCCGTTCTATATGCAGCTGACGACGACACCAACTTTACAGGTCCTCGTGTCCGGCTACAACAAGATCTCCTCCAGTCCTCCACGATACTACGACTCTGCTTCCTCCACGTCCTTTGAATTCGACCACACAACCGCCAAAGCCAGCTCTCCTCAATCCTACACCCACGACACCCAGCATTCTACGCTGGTGCAATCCGTCCTCAAATCCCTGTCAGCACACTTCTCCGAACACTACCCACCCACGTCCTCGTCTGCGTACACCGTCTGCGCCACGCCGGACGACAGCCAGATTGCGATTCTGCTCTCCAGCACCAAATCCAGCCCGAAGAACTTCATCAGCGGCCAGTGGCGCAGCTTGTTCCTCTTCGACCCGAAATCGTCTTCGCTGAGCGGCAGCATACGAGTCAACGTGCACTACTATGAGGATGGCAACGTGGCCCTCACGACGAAGAAGGAAGTCGACAGTGTGGACGTCGGTGGGAGCGATGGTGGCAGCATCGTGAGGAAGATTGCGGCGATCGAAAAGCAGTACCAAGAGGAAGTGAACAGGACGATTGTGGGCATGAACGAGAGCAGCTTTAAAAACTTGAGACGGCAGTTACCTGTCACGAGGCAAAAGGTTGAATGGGAGAAGATCCGTGGCTATGGGCTAGGTGGCGATCTGAGAGGGGAGGCGAAGCGGTGAGAGATTCTGCGCAGTACTTGGACATTGTAACCGAGAGCCATGATGTTTGTCCGTCGGACAAGAGTGGAGGTACTGTGTTTCGAGGGCTATGATCGCCCACATACGATGCAGACACGAAGGGCCTACTATCGCGGTTGTGAGACTATATCAGTGTCCTTGCGAAATAAGCTGTCCGCGTGGAAATTCTCCCACGAGGCAGGGCCATCCCGGGACAAAACACTGTCTAGATTCCTTGAGTCATTTCGTAGGAACAAATCTCTGCCTGGCAAAGAGCGCAAATCACAGAGTCACTCACCTAGACGTTTGATATTGCCAACTATAGGCTTACCTGGACTTATAGGCTACGGCAACCTCTTTCCTTCTCTCGTTGCCTTGGCCACTTCACTCTGCGTCGTGTCCTCCGCATATCTTCTGTAGGCATCAATGTACTGTTCCTTATCACTCAAAGTGTCGAGTACGCTTTCTCGTTCCTGTACGGCCTTTGCCCACGCTCTCCACCGTGCCCAGATGGCCTCGTCCTCTCCGCCGTGTCCTTCTTCGGGAATACCAACACCCCCTTTATACACGTCGAACAGGAACAACCGGCACAGCCAGGGCGCGAGCATTATGTCCACCATGCTGAATTGGTCTCCTATGAAAAAGGGCCCGCGGGGGCTGCACTCTTTGACGAAGGTCTTGATCCCGTTCAAGAGTTCCTGCCGCGCTTCGTCGAGCGTGTACGCTTTCTTGTCCGTGTGCTGCATGAACCTGTAAAAGGCCGGGACGATCTTGGAACTGATATGGTCAATCCAGATCCTGCACCGGGCCCGCTCGTATGCGTCCTCGGGGAGCAGCGAAGGCCCATTCTCCTCGGGAGAGTTGTACACCTCGTCCAGGTACTCGCAGATCACTATGCTCTCGTACAGCGGCTTTTGTTGCTCGCCAGTCTTGTCGACGGGTACGGCGAGCGTGGGCACCAGACCGCGCGGGTTCAGAGCGAGGAATTGGGGTTCCTTTTTGTACGGGTTGATTTCAAAGTATTGGTGCGCAATGCGCTTTTCGTGGAGTGTGATCCAGGAGCGCTGGACGAACGGGCAGAACCAGCCGCCGTACAGAATCAGAGGGTGTGGCGAGGAGTGCGCGTCAGCGAATTTGGCCGCGCGCCCAGAGGTGTGAGGGTGGAGGGACGTGTCTATGCTGGCCATCCCGGGAGACGATGTGTGGATCGGGGAGCGTAGGGTGGGAGTATGGGTGGGAGTTGGTTGGTGGATGTGGTTGAAGTGCGGTCCTAGACGATGTAAGAAGGTCCTCGTAGAGGCAGAGGGCGAACTCTTGAGCATAACAGGGAGGTAACTGTTTTAGATGGACATGTTGATTGAACAGTACCGTTCGATAAAGAGCGATGCAGTACTCGCAGGCAATATGACGTTGAGAGTCCCAAAATCCCCGCAAAACGTCCGCCTCTTGCTGTGCTGGTTCAATCGCACGAAATCCACCATAATGTCCAGATACTCACGAACATCAACATCACAGGTGTGTGAAAGGGTGCACAGATCCAGCCATCTACTTGCCAGATGTGCACTGGCTGTGTGGCAACTTGAGATAGATACCTAGAAGTCCGAGCAGCTAAGGTTGCTCAACCACGTTTGACACGACATGGTTGCGGCTGGCTTATCCGAGACTTTCGAGGCAGTAGAGACTTGCGAGAAATATCAAGTCTTGCGCTTTCACGTAGAAAGGACACGTCGACACTACACTTGAGAATCTGGGAGAGGCAGGTTTTCTCATGTAGAACCCTCGAGAGGTCGCCACAAGGCTGAAGCAAAGTCTCCACAAAGACTGCAGCCTCTTGCGGCGTCTTGGGGTCAAGCTTCGGGCGGCACAAGGACAATTTTAGGCGTCATTGAGGCGAAGTGGAACGAGACGCTTTCGGTGTGTCATGGTGGAATAGTCTGGCATTGTGTAGAAGCCTCAAGGGACGGCAAAGGCCAGGCTGTCCAGAAAGGGGGCCCCCTGGACGGCTTGGCGGCGGACCAAAGTAACGATTGCTCCGCCAAAAGGACAGCGTATCGATAACTCTCGCGCTGCGCCGCCAAATAAATATTTCTGTCGCTTGACCATCATCCTCCCTCCTCGACACAACCACCTTTTCTATTCTCGCGCCTTATCTCCTTTGCAAAAGAGAGCCCGCCAACATGGCTCGACGTGGCTCAGGATCCTCTTCCGCGTTCCAGTGGACAACCATCTTCTACCTCCTCCTCATTTTTGTATGTCCTTTGGCTTTGATCGGTTCCGTACACGCCCAAGATCAGACTCCCTTGAACGAGTCGGACGCCAACTATGGCACCGTCATCGGTATCGATCTGGGTACCACTTACTCCTGCGTCGGTGTGATGCAGCACGGCAAAGTCGAAATCATTGTAAACGACCAAGGAAACCGGATTACTCCCTCTTATGTAGCCTTCACGGACGATGAGCGGTTAGTGGGAGATGCAGCGAAGAATCAATACGCCGCGAACCCCACGAGGACAATCTTTGACATCAAGTAAGTTCGAAGTGACCTGCCACGCAAAGCGAATCCCACTGACACGTCGTTAGGCGTTTAATTGGCCGCAAGTTCCAGGATAAGGACATCCAACGAGACATTAAGCACTTTCCTTTCAAGGTCGTCAACAAAGATGACAAGCCTATGGTCACCGTCGAGGTTGCCGGCAGCCCGAAGACCTTCACTCCCGAGGAAATCTCCGCCATGGTTTTGGGCAAGATGAAGGAAGTCGCCGAAGCATACCTGGGCAAGAAAGTCACTCACGCTGTTGTCACGGTGCCAGCATACTTCAACGATAACCAGAGACAAGCCACAAAGGATGCCGGTACGATCGCTGGTCTGACTGTTCTTCGCGTGGTCAACGAACCCACCGCTGCAGCTATTGCCTACGGTCTCGACAAGAAGGGTAAGGAGAGCCAGATCATCGTCTACGATCTTGGTGGTGGTACTTTTGATGTTTCTCTTCTGTCGATCGAAGACGGCGTTTTCGAGGTGCTGGCAACCGCCGGAGATACCCATCTCGGTGGCGAAGATTTCGACCAGAGAGTCATCGACTACTTTGTCAAACTCTACAACAAGAAGAACGATGTCGACATTCGCAAAGACCTCAAGACCATGGGCAAGCTGAAGCGCGAAGTCGAGAGAGCCAAGCGAACCCTGTCATCTCAAATGTCTACTCGCATCGAAATCGAAGCCTTCCACAACGGAAACGATTTCTCCGAGACCTTGACCCGAGCCAAATTCGAGGAACTCAACATGGACCTGTTCAAGAAGACCCTCAAGCCAGTTGAGCAGGTCTTGAAGGATGCCAAGGTCAAGAAGAGCGACATTGACGATATTGTCCTGATTGGTGGTTCTACCCGTATCCCCAAGGTTCAATCCATGATTGAAGAATATTTCGGAGGCAAGAAGGCCAGCAAGGGTATCAACCCTGATGAGGCCGTCGCCTACGGTGCCGCTGTCCAAGGTGGTGTTTTGTCCGGTGAAGCCGGTACCGAAGACATCGTTCTCATGGACGTCAACCCGCTTACTCTTGGAATCGAGACCACCGGCGGTGTCATGACCAAATTGATTCCCCGCAACACCGTCGTCCCCACCAAGAAGTCTCAGATCTTCAGTACGGCTGCTGATAACCAGCCGGTCGTCCTTATCCAGGTGTACGAAGGTGAACGATCACTGACCAAGGACAACAATCTTTTGGGCAAATTCGAACTCACCGGTATCCCTCCGGCCCCCCGCGGTGTGCCACAGATTGAGGTTTCCTTCGAACTTGACGCCAATGGAATTCTCAAAGTCTCAGCTGGCGACAAAGGCACTGGCAAGTCCGAATCCATCACCATTACCAACGACAAGGGCCGTCTGTCACAGGAAGAAATCGATCGAATGGTTCAAGAGGCCGAGCAATTCGCCGAAGAGGACAAGCTGGTTCGAGAGAAGATTGAGGCCCGTAACAAGCTCGAGAACTACGCTGTTTCTTTGAAGAACCAGGCCAACGATGACGAGGGGCTCGGTGGCAAGATCGACGATGAAGAAAAGGAAACTCTGTTGGACGCTGTCAAGGAGACCCAAGAATGGCTCATCGAAAACGCCGACACCGCCGAGAAAGACGACTTTGATGAGCAATACGAGAAGTTGTCTCAAGTAGCGTACCCGATCTCGAGCAAGTTGTACGGTGGCGGCGCCGGAGGAATGCCAGACTACGGAGCAGATGATGACGATGACTTGGGCCATGATGAATTGTGAGCTGGAATCTGTCTCAGGCCGGGTCTGGTATCATGAAACTTGAGTTTTTGTTTTTTTGTTTTTTTAACGAAGGATACCTGAGAAAAACTTGCAGCAGTAGTCACTAGCATTTTAGACTTGGGCTTGACTTGAACGTCTTGAGAAAGGACGGAGGTCGGTCAAGTTTAGACAAGAGGGCGTTTGGGTCCTTGTTTTCCTGCCACTTGTTCCTATGATTTCCGATGATTGTGATATTGTTTTGGGTCTCTGTGAATAGCAGATGCAGGGGGTCACCGTGAGTAGATACCACTAAAAGGGAGATTGTGCAAATGTTGTTTATTGGTACGGAAGTATGTATGTATGTACTCGTTCTTCTCAAGACCCCCTCGTAACGGTAGGTTGATCTTTCCTGTGTCGAGATTGAGAGGCAAGGTATGTTGTGTTTGGTAATGTCGTAGTAATAAGGCGCTCAGAACGACCCCATCAGCGTGGAGGAGCAGTCGGTGGAATGGCCTCCAAGGCAGACGTAGCAATACGTCGACGGTCTCGCAGCTCGACGATGATGAAAAGACATGCCGCGGTCGATTGTGAACTTTGGTCACTCTTAAAGCGGTGCAACAACAGGAAGAAGATTGGAGGAACGGGGATGTATTTTTTTCTTCTTTGGGGTGTGATAATAGTTAGTTGGTGAATTACAACCTACTGAAAAGTACCTCAGGCTCAAGCTCGGACAGTCCCAGTCAGTTAACTAGTTCGTTGCAACGTGACGACGTCAAAAATCAGTAATCAAAATTCTCAAAGACGAAAGCTTTATCCGGCATCCATCCCTGAACGACCTTTCTCATGGCGGGCGCGGTACATATGTACCAGTTGTCGACTCTCGTGGTGTCGTCGTCGTCGGCATCGGCTGCTGCGTTGTCATTGCCGTCGTCCTTCAGCCCGGGATCATCCAACAAGTCTTCTCGTGCCAGTCTCCTCTTGTAGATCGTCACGCCGGTCTCGGCGAGTTTGGCCAGCACGGCGGAATCCGCGTCCGATTCTGTGGTTGTATGCGCTTTGGCGCCACCGGCAGCTGGAGTCGAAGACGTGCTCTGGCCGCTGCCCCCCGTCCAACCAGTTATGAACAACTTCGTCGCACGGCTCAGGCGAGGGTATGTCTGTAAAATGTCCAGAGCCAAATTGACGTCCTTGGCACCCAGGCTCCACCAGACCCTGAGTCGCGGTGGTGACGCGGGGGCGCTGATGTTGTCGGTGTTGCTGCTGCTGCCGTCGTCGGCGTCCTCAGGAATGCTACCCATCTGGCCAAGGAGCGGTGTGATGCCGATGCCGGCTGCGACGAAGCCGATGGTCTTCTTCCTCGCGGTCTTGGTATCGGCCTTGTTGTCGGCGGCAGTGTCACCCCAGTCGAACACAAAGTCTCCTCCAAACCCACGGATCCCAACCTCGCACATCCCCGGGCGCTGCCGTTCGAGCCAGTTCGTCACGGTGCCTACCGATCGAGCCGTGATCTCGAATTCCTCCCCGTGGACGCCCAATGCCCCCGGAACGCTGGACACGGTGAAGGTGCGGATGAAGTCGTCGTTGAGACTCGTCGGGTCGTCGTCCCGCATGTGGCTGTATCCCAAGTCCAGATCGGCCGAGACGTCCAAGGTGACGTACTGTCCTGGCTTCCAGGGCCCGAAGACCGCCGGGTCGCCGAGTGCGAAACGGTAGCGTGTGATGGTGGGTGTCAGACGGGTCTTGGCCACGAGGGAAGCAGTCGTCGGCGGGGAAGAGCCTGGCGTGGCGCCCGCGGTGGTGGTCTCTTTCTGTTCGGATAACAAGTACCGCACGCGCGGGTTGTACGGTGATAGGCCGTGCGTGGCGTCGTCGGTGGGTGTGCCGCGGAAAGACAGGCCTGTCTGGACAAGTCGTGCCGATGTGATGTTCAGACGTACGGCGAGGGTCGATTTCGCGATCACGTTGGACGCTTCGGTGCCGACGAGGGTGGTGGTCTCGCCTGTCACGTAGAGCACGTCGCCCGTCTCGAAGTCGGGAAAGACCAGGCCCGCTCGAGGGGTGGTTTCGAGATTGCCAAGGGTCTGGTAGAGATTGTTACCCGAGTACTCGGGCCAGACTAGGGATGTGGGAGACGTCGAGGACGAGGGTTGGTCAACCCGCACAAACCCCGGGGGGCCACCGCGGTGGTTGCAGTCCATGTCTTCGTGTTCGTGCGAGGTTGTGAGGAAGAAGAGGTCGGACTTGGCAATGATGGCCAGGGCGGCGTCGGTGAGATGGGGAGATGTCGATAGAAGTTTGGGTGTCGGGGTCGAGGACGTGATCAGTTTCTTGTTGAGGTATTTGGGACAGTTGCCGAGAGCTTGAGTGATTTGCGTGACTAGTTGGATCTCGCCTGCTTTACCGGACGATTCGTCCTTGATAGAGGTGTCGGGAGACGTAGCAGCGGAGGAGGAGTCTGGATTGACGTTCAGAGCGCCGGCTACTACATAGCCTGCCAGCTTGAGACGTCCCCGTTCTTCAAGGTTGATGCTCAAGGCGCTCATGAGACGAGTGGTGCCGTCTTCGCGCAGAACTTCGCCGTCGGATTTGCCTTGGTATATGGCCTGGACCACGGGATCGAAGGACGCGTCAACGACTGTGCGGATACCTAGGACGCTCTGACCGATGGCTTGTGCGATGGGTGGCTCGCCTGTTCCCCAGACAGTGCACCACGGGTTGTTGTCGCTGTCGAGGGCGCCGAATGCCAGGAGTGGGTAGCGGGAAGCTTGGTGTGCGGCACGAGGGTAGAGAAAGGGAGATGTCGGGTTGTCATTGTATTCGACTCGTGTCCGTTTGTGAATGGCTTTCTCACCCTCGTGCCAATCTGAGGGTTGGAAGAAGGCCATGTTGTCGAGTCTCCGACCTGGACGAGACGGATGGTGTATGCGTCGCTGACGGCGGCGATGGTTTCTTTCCGCGACGAATTCTACCATGTTTGCTTTCAATGGGGGATGACGAGAACAGTAAACGACCAAATGGGCTTACCTCTAACAATGTCCTGACATCGAACTATACTGCTGGACTGTAGAATTTATATGTCCTCAAGCCAGATCGTCATAATTGAGTGATTTTGCCCCAGACCTCGTTGTCAGAAGACACGAGTGACAAACCCAGAACTAATAAACACTCGCCATTTATTTAAAGACATCTTGCGGGATCGCACTGACAGGGCAAAGACCGGGGGTGTTGGCGTCGTCCCATGTCAGCATCCCCAGGAGCGGCAAATTGGAGGTCTGGACTGCCTACTAATCTTTGAAGCGGCGAGACACCATCGCATCATCCGGCAGGTGTTGGCTACCGATTCAGGCTCTTCAAGGACGGCAAGACTTCATCTTGGGGAAGGTCAGAGGAGATTAGTGCCTTGGGCGATGATATAAGCAGTGGGATTCGCCCAAGTGATTTGTCTGTGATGCTCCTGGTGGGGAGACGGAGGGGGATGGCGAACAGCGAAGGGTCCCGTCGTTATCGCAGCAACTTCGTGCCTACGGACACATTCAGATGCCAACAGAAGGATGCGAACATGCTGTAGAGATTGTCTTCGTCACCTTTAGGGATCCCGTCATGATTCTGGCAGCCTCGAGTACGGGAGTCTCAGCGTCGTCGCCCAGAAGATTGTCCAGTGTCATCGATTTCTATTTTATTTTGTCTAATAGACCATTGAAACTACGTTCTTCGTGTTCACGGTTGGAAAATAGTGCTGCTCCTCTCCATTCAAGAAAGCAATTGCTTCTCCTCGGGTACAAGACGAAGTATCACACTCGGAATACATGCGGAGTGGCCATCCCAATATCGGGCCCTGGTTCGCAATGCCATGCCGATGCTCGCGGTCAAGGCTGTCCAGTCCACTTTGAGCTAATCTTATGGCCGACAGTTTACCAACCGAGGCTTTTGAGGCATACCGCTGTAATAATGCAAGAATTACCGCTTCGATTCATGTTAATCAGATCAATAGAACCCCGAATAAGTACCAACAAGCAGAAGGGTACCTATATACTCGAAACAGATCGGATGTGCCGCCTCGAAACAGCACCATGATAGCAACAAGACCTCGCATACTCTTCTTTGATCCGGTAAGACATGCTTTGGCCGCATTTGAAGCGCTGTGCCAAGTCGCACAATGTGAAGTGGTGACGAGTAAGTCGCGGAAGGAATTCTTCACAGATGTTCGCGACAAGTATCACAATGTTCAAGCGATTTACAGGACTTCTGCTAGCGGTGCAGTGAGTAGGAGTCTCTTTTGTCGTCTCATCGCTCTAATCCGAACCAGATTGCCGGGAATTTTGACAAGGAGTTCATCGACCATCTCCCGCCGACCCTGAAATTCATCTGCCACAATGGAGCAGGCTATGATCAGATCGATGTGGATGCGTGTGCCATGCGGAACATCACTGTCACCTACGCACCTGATCCGGTGACGAATGCAACTGCAGACCTGGCGGTGTTCTTGCTTCTTGGAGCTTTGAGACAGTTAAACCCCGCCATCAACAGCATCCACGAGGGCAACTTCAAAAAGGGAGTTGACTTTGGGCATGACCCTGAAGGAAAGACATTGGGTATCCTTGGTATGGGCCGTATTGGCAAGGCGGTCGTACAAAGGGTCCGGCCTTTCGGCATGAATGCAATTTACCACAATCGAAGAGAGCTTCCAGCTGACCAAGCTGATGGAGCAACATATGTTTCCTTTGACCAGTTGTTGTCCGACAGCGACGTCCTTTCCGTCCATGTGCCCCTGACCAAAGGTACCAGGCATCTCATCGGGAAGGATCAGATCGCAAAGATGAAACCTGGCGTTGTCATTGTCAACACTGCGCGCGGCGCAATCCTTGACGAGGCCGCCATGGCAGAAGCGCTGGATGCCGGAAAAATTGCAGCAGTCGGTCTGGATGTGTATGAAAAGGAGCCCGAAGTCGATGAGAGACTATTGAGAAACGAGCGAGCTTTGCTGATCCCACATCTCGGTACGCATACGACGGAGACTCTGGCGAGTATGGAGACACTAGCCATGGAGAATGCCCGCCGCGGTGTCCTAGGGGAACCGCCTTTGACGATAGTTCCTGAGCAGTTACCACAAAAATAGACCCACACGTCACACAAAGCTGCTTGATCACCGTACCAAGATGCCTTTTTTCTGCCAGACGTCCTCTAGCTCGGCGAGGAACGAGAGTTCCTCTCTGCAATATAGTGTCTGATACCTGTGTTCCAGGTCTTCTCGTATCAAAGCGACATCTTCGGGGGAATCCACTGCATAACCAATGACTAGAGTTGGCCATGAACCAAGATAGCACTTTGACCAGTCTTCTTTGGCTCGAGAACATCGCATTATCTGTAGAGCCCTACCAACCTGCCACGATTCACTGCATGGAGTTACATGACGGCGTGCGGGGTCAGAGACTGCAGTAGATTTAGAGACCCAGTCCAGAAGTAGGGATGCCGCGAGAATATGCAGGCTCGTGGAGTGCTCATAGAATGACCGAGCACGTTGTTTTCGGTTACCTGGTATGCCAACCTCGTTATCGTCGTCGCTGCAACAACCGTCGTCTGGGATTGATGTTTCCCATTGCTTCATCTCTTTGTGCAGTCGACGTAGTACATGGTCCTCGGGCCGAGACAAAGTTTTGCAAAGCTGGACTATTTCGAGCATGAGCTTCTGGAGCTTCAAGGGAAAACCAATTACGGGGCTGTTATCTGCCAACGAAGCATCGGGAAATGCCAGCGATCGCAAGATCGATTCTGCTTTTGTTGCGAAATCCAGGTCAGGCTGAAAGTCAATTGTAAATGGATGTCGAACAGTCTGACGGAACATTTGATAAAGGATGGACTCCCAGAGAATACGGTGGATTGGTCGTGCCAGTGGGGAGGAATGTGAGTTTCGGCAGCGAACATTCATCAGTTGGATGGCGCCATTAACATGTTTCGGGACATCTTTGTTCGTGCCCATGTCGAACAGCTGATGGTAAAGTCGTTAGCCAACCATTTCGCTCCAAGGAGGCAGCCAGGCTGTAAATTGGACCACACTCACTCCATGGATATACAAAAAGGTAACGGTCATCGATACGGCGTCATTGTACTGATCACGGCTCCAATCAATATTGCTGAGGGCTCGACTGACCTGAGACGTCGCGCGAGAATAATATGCGAAACCGGCTTCCTGCAATTGCATATTCCCGGTTGCAGTGTGCAGGTGTGCAGCGCCACAGGCCAGTGCAATATCCTTTAGGCCGTCGAATTCGAGTAACATATGAACCGTTTCAGGGATGTATGTTGAATGGAACCCAGGATGTGCAGAAGACAAGATCAACAACGGTACAAAATCTAGGAAGAAATGTCGAATGCAATCAACTTCGAGATCCGATCGGAATTTGATGGAGTTAAATAGGTCAGTGTTGATGCAAAGCTCGCGACAAATGGACGCCGCCGGTTGCTTTATTGCCGCGGGCGACTTTGTCACTGATAATGGTGCCTTCTGAGAGGGAGTTGATTCCGGACTGGTTGGCGGTGATGCTGGCGATCCCGACGCTCGTGTATGTCGACGATCCCGAAGATCGTCCTTGCCCGGCCACACGCAAGGTCTGTTAGACTTGATACACTTGTGACAGTGAGGTTTTTCTTCGCCACATTTCTTCCGCCTACTCCGGCCTTTGACGTTTTAGCACACAATAATGCCACGAGGAGCAGCATTCGATGGATGGGGCGACTCACATGTCAAGCAGCCTGTCTTGGTGCGCAAAGTAGCGCTCTGCACGGCCATGACAACACTCACAGCTAGGCTGAGGATGGGCAGACCTTCTTCAATCGCACCATATCAAGGCAGTTAGAAACTCTCAGACTCGGTACGTCTGCAGACCGAGATATGTTTGTAGGAATGATTGACTCTGTGACGGGTCGGCGACGTTATCTCGGTTATCGTACATTATGTAGCCGGAGGGAGCTAGCTCTATTGCGGCTTGGCGGACTGTGCTCTCCCCTCCCAAAAGCTCGAAGCACCTCGCAACCCTTTCGAAGGAGGTGGCTGTTATAGTATCGATGAAGACAGTGTCCTGCCAGACATGCAAAAAAAAAAACGAAGAGCAAAAAGGTATGAGAGGAATGGGATTCGAACCCATGCGGGATAAACCCATGAGAAGTGTAGACAGAAAGACTGATAAACAGCCCAAGTTGAAGAACTTGAGTCCCACGCCATAACCAACTGCGGAAAATCAGTAACTGTGATGTGTAGAAGCGACCATAGATTTCACGAACCTCGGCCATCCTCCCGAAATTCAGGTAGAATTTATACCAAAATTTGAGAGATCCAATTCATAATACTAGGGCCTTGGCGGCGGGAACGTCGCTGTGAGCACGGAGCAAGCCGCAAGGTTCAGGTGAGACAGAGACTGGGATCACCCCTGTTGTCATAAGAAAGACAACACTTACAGTAGGCCATTACATTCACGGAGAGATGCTTCATCAAAGGGACCCTGCACTAGAGAAGTCAGATAGATATTGAGTCTGTTCTTTTGTCATTCTGTGCACATTGGGGCCGGATGTCTGTCTTGGGTGAACTTTAAAGTCTAGTTACCGTGTCGCCACTCACCGGTCTTACCCCTTTGAACCACCATGGCATTTGTAATGGGCGGGTTTCAAATATCAGACTTTATGTCAGCTGCTACAAGCACCAAAGTAAGAGCCACGAAAAGTGACACAATAGGCTGTTCATGCCAATTGGCGATGAGGACAGGCCGTAAGGGGTCCGTACTCCGAGGGCGAGTACTCCTAGAAGGAAAAGAATGACGCGACGATTCGAGCTCCAGGATAAACGCTAAACAGCAGTGTGCCTTCTAATACTTCGGACACAGGAAGAAGGACAATTGAGGCCATATGGGCAGCTCGGCATCGACCTAGTACCTTGCTGCAAATACCATGAATTCGGAGTTGGTGTTCGACTATAAATTGAGGGAGCCGCGCTAGCCAGGACTGCAACAAGTGAACCAGGCTGCCCACGATCGCGAGCTCATTGAATCTCACAATGCTACTATCATCGCATGTGACAGGTTATTGGCGTCAAGCCACCGATCTTGTATCGCCGCGAGCATCGAGACACCGCCTGTCGAAACCGAGTTCTGGAGACCGTGAGTCCCTCCCTCCCTTGCATTGCTTGAATCCTTGCCTTGGCCATCTTATTACCCCTTCACACCCTCGCCCCGCGCCCAGTTCGAGCTCGTACTCTCTCTCCCTCTCTCTCTCTCATTCACATCGCAGTTCGGATGTAATGAACAAATGGGAACAACGTTCCTCCGACCATTTTGCACGCCCTTTTTTGTGACTCGATGCTTCTGGACCATGGAGTCTCCGGATAGAGACCATAAAACCTTCATGTCAGCCATGCGGTGCCTTGGTACCGGTCCATCCGGGCATGTATTCGCCATTGATGCACACAACATCATGAAAGTTACCTTGGAGACAGCCCCAGAGTACGTGGGCGACGAGGCTCGTCGACGACTCCAACTCGAAAAAAAGATCTATGAAAGGCTCGGCAATCACGACCGAATCTGCGAGTTCAAATACGCGGTCGATCATGGGCACGTCCTTGAGGGGTTCATGCAAAACCTGAGCGGACTCTTGCGACTCTATGCACAAGCAGGAAGGCAACCTCCCCTCCCCCTGGCGTTGAAGTGGTCGATCCAGACTGCAGACGCATGTGCATACATCCACAGCAAGGGTGTCATCAAGGCCAACTTGAACTGCCACACCCTCTTCATGGACAACCAAGGAAATATCAAGCTCTACGACTTCACCGGCTCATCCATCGATGGCTCCATGCCGCTCGAGAGGCCTGATCCGGGGTTTGTGCGCCCCGGCGCCGATGCCACAAGGGCCGATGTGCAAGACAACCTATTTGCTCTGGGAAGCATCATGTACCAAATCACCACTGGCGTGGAGCCTTCTTGGAACAGTAACCACTCGGCTCCCCACCACTTTCACGAGTTGTCCAGGCTCCCCTTGGCCAGTGTCATCACGAAATGCTGGCTCGGGCAGTATCGTTCAGCCGCAGAGGTGGTGAAGGAACTAAACGAGGTCCAAGACGCAGAGATCAGCCTGCCCAAGCAATGTCCTGCTTCTCACGTTACAGGTACCCCGTGCTAGGCCTTCTGCTAGTTTAGTGCCATCGTCATGGGGAGGAAATCTGAGACTTTGCAAGGGTGGGGACCATCTTGTTCTGATTTGGCAGTGGCGGAATTTCGTCCAGCCGGCACTGGATTCCGTACTGCGTTGTAACACTGTTATCTGGGTCTCAGGACGGGACAGGAGGGAATCTGTCAAAAGCTGAAGGATGAAAAGCAATGAGACAGCAACTTTCCTAATTCATTTTCTATGATGTGATTGATTCCCACATGTGCTCACCAACCCCACGCCAAACAGGGCATTCGCATTCCAAGACCCCGGGTGGGACAGGGAGATGAAAGCCCTGGACAGTCTCATGGCGAGCAAAAGATGCGGTCCGAATGGCAAACTGGAAAGCCAGGCCATGCGTGCATCACACTCTCCCCTAGTGATAGGACACTCGGCTTTCTGTCGAGCGCCACATTCCCAGCAGACACCGAAATGTATGCATGAAGCTGGTAAGGCCGGCAGGGCGGTTTGCGGTGCCGGGACAATCGCAACTCGCCTCGCGCTGCAGTCTACCCTTGCCCTGTTTTTTTCGAGAGTAAGACACCCAGTAGAATTGCAGCGCACCTTGGAAACCCTGTAACATTCGTGTGACCTGGGCGCTGTCACATTCTTCCAGGCCCCCGCTCAATCTCCCCGGTGCTCGGTGCCCAGCATGAACTCTCGACCGTTTTTGAGCTCCCCGGCGTCTCAATCTGATGCAATCTGCTCGGTATCCCCGCAAACAGAGTCGCATCGCAAGATTAGGTTGCACAGATCTGGGAGAGGGACGAGGTGATCTATTATCTGGGGAGGATCAGTGGATCAGTGGATCACTGGGCTGGAACGTGTGAGATTTGGTAATGGTGCGCTCTAGGCCATTCGCTAATGCGGGCTAACTAGTGAGGCGCCGCGGCATCGGATACTGGATACGGGCCGCTCTGGAAACGGGGAGGGCGATCACTGGGCACTGATCTCAGTGATTTGCCCCTCCAACCCGGAGTCCGAAGCTGTAGTTGCAAACTTACAGCAGCCACCGTTAGGGGTGGATCAATGTTGTTTCCTACAATATGACTGCGAGAGGGAAGTAGTCTACATGACGGATATGGTATCCGTACTGCGTACGTAGGAATTACTGACTCCGTACAGGCCAGAAGGCTCTCTCCCTAGAGGTGTGTGTGTGTGCAGGGTACGTCAAGCATTGAGTGCTTTTGCTGCCAGCTCAACCGCCGCCATTAGCTCTTCGTCCTGCTCCGATCTAGCGACAAGCTGCACATGACAAGGAGCACCATCTACAGCTTGTGGGTCATCTAGTAAAAGGAGTCAGCTGGGGATCGTCTCATCCTATCCCTGCAGGTTTGGGCACACTCACAATCGGGCACCTCCGCGTCAGGCTTGTCGACTGTTTGATCTGCCTTTAGAAATGGAATGATACAAGCAGGATACTGCAGGGAAATCAGCCATACTATCCATCTTGTCTCCAGCAAGTCACTCACCGCGAGGAGGTTCCACATCACGGTGTACGGAGGATATCTGAAGGTGTCGTGAGGCACCGCCGTCTTGTGAGAACCGGGGGCAAGTATAACATCCAACTTGTTCTCCATAAAGACCCGTAGCCAGTCCCGGCGGAACTCAAGCTGTTTGATGTTCATCTTGAACAGGTCGTCCAAGGTCTTGTCTTTGCGACCTCCTGGTGGTGGCGTGTACAAGTCAGCGACAGAGGTGACCAGCGGCTCTCCTGACGCCTGAATGTTTTTGAAGCCGGTGCCTTCATTATCGATGTCAAACATGTCCCAGGACAGGTCCGTCGCTGCCTTGAACGAAGGGAACTTTTCAAGCATCACCATGTTGTGACCGGCCTGCTTGAGCTTCTCGACCGCTGTCTTCATTGTCCGCAACATGGGCGGCGTGATCTTCCAGGTAGGGCATTGAAGGACAACACCGATCGTGAGGGACTTGGGCTCTGGGACTGGATGCCACGGGATCGCCAGTGCCGTATAGTCAAAGTCCCAAGGCTTCGACTGGATGACGGTCTCCAAGAACAGCCGCAGGTCTCGAGGGCTGTGTGCCAAGGGTCCCGCAACGGGCATGATCCCCGGTAGACCGTCTGCTACTGGACTAACTTGCCCTCCGAAAGGAATTCGGTTCACGGAAGGTTTGAAGCCGTAGGTCCCGCAGCAGAAGGCCGGGATTCTAATGGAGCCTCCGATGTCAGTGCCGACCCCTAGAATCGAACCGCGCATTGCCACGAGTGCACCTTCTCCGCCACTGCTACCGCCGGCAGTTAGCTTGAGCTTATGAGGATTCTGCGGACAGTCAGCTGTCTGATCTGCGGTTTTGAAAGCTACGACGTACGAGTGTTCGTCCGAAGACGTTGTTTTCCGAATCTGCCGTCTACGAAACCAGTGTCAGTCGAAGTCATGGATGAATGAGGCCTCGGATGCCGACTGAAGAGTGCCTTCGTCCTTCCGAGGACACAGCGTTGCATTGTCATGCATGTCGACGCTTAGACTCCATTGACAAGGGTCGCTCGGTACTCACTCACCATCAATGTCTGCGGAATGTTGGTCTTGACGTACAAGACAGCGCCGTTCGCAAGGAGAATATCAACGAGTGGGGAGTTGGTATCGGCCGCTGGTCGCTCAATGAAGGAGACATAGCCGATTGTCGCATGGATGCCTTTGAGGTTGAATGAATCCTCCAGAACGTAAGTCGGTCATCAATGGTAGTCTTCCCTGAGGCCCGCTTACCTTGAGAGATATGGGCATACCGTGAAGCGGACCCATTGGCTTTCCCTCCTTCTGCAAGTACTCATCGAGGTACTTTGCCCGTTCCAGAGCTTTGTCGAAGAACATCTCAGTCAGACAATTTGTCTGAGGCTTGTCAGCGGCTTTTTTCTCTGGTTGCCATTTCACGCACCACTTGATGCGCCACTGCAGCTCGTTTGCAAAATGCGAGCGTGACCTCAGAGGCAGAGAGATCCTTCGACGCCATCTTGGCAATCAGGTCGACAGCATCATACTTTTCTGTGATCTCGAGTTCTTTCGACGTCAACAGACCGCATTTCGTAGGGACGTCCAGAACACTAATGTCTGCAGCGGCGCTGACGGTGTCCAAGATGGCTTGAGGAAGACGCCATTCCTGAGGCAGCTGTTTGGCAACATCGGCACGCTTTTGAGCGACGAGTTCTTTCCAGTCGCGGACCATGGTGTCGGGGAGTGTATGATATGGGAGTAGAGCTCTCACTGGTCCCGGGGCAGATTCTCGACTTTATATCCATCGTCCCCGCCACCACATTGAGACGAGAACGAGCACGGCTTGATGCCAAGCGCCAGGCCTTTATGTGGTGGCTTTGCGATTGTAAGCATCCTCTTGCGTCTAGACTGTTTTACTTCGTCCAGATTGTCGACAATGAGCACGTCGTGTCTGCACTCCACGAATCACGCCCGTTATCGGAACCCTTTCCGCAGGAACTCCTCCACCATTGCCTCGGCTAGGTGCAAGGGAGTATCTTGAAGGACAATTCCCCAAATCACACGGAATTGCGCGACGTACAATCAAGCCTGTGGCTTGCACAAGCGTGTTGGGACAGGTTCCACGGCAAGATAGTCAACGGGCCAATGATACACGATTACGCACTGAAACTCCTGAAATCCACAAGATCGGCATCCAGCTTTACTGTTTCCAGCGATCTTCGAACCAGTTCTTTATCTGTTTCCTGGTACGATGCCTCTCAGTAAGGCGTGCGTCACGTATGGCACGCTCTGGAAATGCGGACTGAGCGGCCAGCGGCCGGGACGGCGCCGTTGCTATCTTTTTCTCACTTTCCCGCTATAGTATGCCATGCTATCTCGGAGTTCTCGTATCATGACCGGTACGCGGCAAATGGCTACTCTGGTTCGAAGACTCGATGGCTGGCATTGAAGTACTTGTTCCGCCCATCTGCGCTTCTTCGTGAAGATATAAAAGAAAGGGCGAGTTGCCCTTGATCGCCGTTGTCCTGAGTGTAGCCATTCTGCTCTTTCAAGAGTGATTGAAATTCCGCTCGTACTCACCTTGGTCGTGTCATGGCGGCCCAGAACCTTCCAGTTGACTCGGTCCCGGGTACTGTGCACCTCGTGGACTTGGAGCACACTATGCACACACGCCACGCCGGTGGCACTGGAGATGTCGTCCTTGTTCCAACCCCCTCGGATGACCCCGACGACCCCCTTAACTGGTCACCGAGGCGGAAGCTCCTGTCGACGATCTCTGTGAACGTGTACGTACCAGCGTCTGAGACGCCTCATCTGTGATTGGACTAATTCTAGACCAGCTACACTCTGTTTGTGGGCATCTCGGGCTCTGTGGTGTATTCAGTCATTGTGCCTCTGTCCGAAGCTTCCGGAGTGTCCATCACCACCCTCAACCAAGGCACCGGTAAGAACAGATGGACATTGACTGGCGGCTACATATGCTGATGCGAGCATTGTCAGGTTACCTGTTCCTTCTCTGCGGATGGGGATTACTGTTTTGGCAACCGTTTGCCCTGCGCTATGGCAAGAGACTGACATACCTCATCTCCATCATCGGCTGTATTGGTTGTACTTTGTGGGGGTAAGTAGATCAAGTTCTCCCGATGGTATCCTGTCTTTCGATAGAAAGGGTCCGATGCTCACGTTTTGGTTCAACCACCTAGGCCATACGCTCGAAGCAACGGGGTCTGGATAGTCAAGAACATCGTCAACGGGTTCTTTGCTGCTCCCATCGAAGCCCTGCCTGAGATCTCCGTCACGGATGTGGTATGCATGCACTCGTCACCTCTCGCTCAGGCATCATGGTGATGTGGGCTACGTACTGATACAGATTGTCAATATAGTACTTTACCCACGAACGAGGAACGTACATGGGCGTCTACGCCCTCTTCCTGGCTGGAAGCAACTACTTCGCCCCGGTCATCTGCGGCTTCATCGCGGACGGCATGGACTGGAAATGGGTCTTCTACTTCCCTGCCATGTTCCTCGGGTGCGCACTGGTTTTTTGCTTCTTCTTCATGGAGGAGACCAACTACCGCCGCTCGACTGTCGGCATCGTCGAGGAGTTGGGGTCAAGTGGCACGCAGACGCCTGTTTCCACCAAATCCACGGGCGAGAAGACCGTGGCCGATGGAAAGAACGCTACCGCAACGACCGGCGACGCTGATGTCGCGAGCGTTGAAAACGGCACATTCAGCACCGGAAGTAAGAAGACGTTCGTGCAGAAGCTGTCGCTCTGGCAGCCATCGCCGGGACAAGACATGCTTGGTCGCGCCATCCAGTCGTTGAAATACCTCACTTGGCCCGTCATCTTTTACTCGGGGTTCAGCTACGGAAGTTACTTGGTACGTTTGCTTCGCCTCCCCATCCTGATATCAACCCGCAGCTCATGTCCACTTCAATCCGATCTCGGATCTTGTGAATGACACGAAGCGAAGCACATGGTTTGGATGAGGTTCACTGACGTCTTGGTTTCGGCGACGGCCGTCACAGATCTGGTTCAACGTCCTCAACGCCACAGCCAGCTTGATCCTCTCTGCACCACCGTACAACTTCCGTGCGTCCATGGTCGGGCTGAGCTACGTGTCGACATGCATCGGCGTCATCTTTGGCTCGTACGTGACCGGCCGCCTCTCGGACTGGCTCACTCTCAAACTCGCCCGACGGAACAAGGGCATCATGGAACCCGAGCAGCGGCTGAGGCCGTTTGCGCTGTGCATCGTGCTGGTCCCCGCGACGCTCATCCTGTGGGGCGTGGGCGCCGCGCACCACATCCACTGGAGCGGACTAATCATCGCCATGGGCGCGTTGGCCGCGTGCAACGTTTTCGGAATCACCCTGAGCGTCAACTACCTCATCGACACGTATCACGAGATCAGCGGCGACGCGATGACGACAGTCATCATTGTGAGGAACACGATGAGTTTCGCCATCGGCTATGGCATCACGCCATGGGTAGTTAACATGGGATTGCAGAATTGTTTCATCAGTGCCGCATTCGTGGGGATGGCGGCGAGCAGCGCCTTCCTTATCATGATTGTCTGGGGAAAGAAGTTCAGAGAGAGGAGCCGTGTGGAGTATTGGACCTTGGTCGAGGAGTTGATGAAGAAGGGGACTGCGACGGTGTGATGCGAGGATCAGTGAGGACGTGAGTTACGATCCTCGAAAGAGTCACAGAAGTGAACCAGACGATATGAAGAGGTGGAGAGCGTAGAAAGTAGACAGGTCAGTATCTCAGGACAGTAGGGGATTCGAATGCAAGGAAGCGTGCTTGAAAGTGTCTTGAAATCCCAAAGAACTCTACAGGCGAGCAGCCCTGATCTAGGACAGAATTCCCTGTCTCACCGTGTCTCCAATGTTTTCGGAATCGTCTCGCATATCGGCGAACCCCAGTCTCGTCCGGGGCACATGAAAGCCGGAGTTGACATTGCAGAATGTCGAGCGAGAAGCGACACGCGCGTCTCCCTCCTTGATCCCGATATGTTCCCTCCATGTCAACATGGTGTGAATACAAGCTCTCTCGCTGAAGTCCGTCATAGTGAATACACCCTGGTGACCAATTTACGGAGGCTGGCCACCGGCACCATGTACCGAGACGCAAAGATAGCCGAACGGTTCGTACTTGTACTTCGTAAAGCGCATTGTCCGGCTCGTGCCACAACACTAACAAGCTTCCGCAAGTGGTCCTCGGTTGCCTGTCTCCTTCACGAGACGCCGGTCATTTCCCGAGATGTACTGCACTATGCAACCCTGGGAGATTTAGGTCAATCAACTAAACCAGCTGGTAGAGATTCGGGTCTAACTAGCAGGGAGGCGACTCAATCTGAGTGTCTGATAGAAGAACTCGATTCTCCTGGCCATCGACCATGTGCTTGTGAAGCATATGCAGGCAATTGTGTCAGGTCTGATGCCGGGTCGTTTACCATAACCCTAGAAGGGCTACCCGTCCCGCCGAAAACCATGGCTTTGCACGATGATGACCGGCTGAACGAAAGCCGAATCGTGCAATGTTAAGGTCTTCTTCTAACCTCTCATGTTGCGGCTTGTTTCGATCGTCCTTTCGTCTTCCCATAGGCTCCAGACTCGATTCTCCTCCGCTCAAGAGCCTCTTTGTACGGAGGCGCCGTCGGAGGCTGGATTGGATCCAGACTCTTATGGCCTTCGGGCAGCTTATACGTGGCATCTGCATCCCAAGCTGAAAGATCGCCGCAAGCGAGGAACGGGGCGATCCATCTTTGCGGATCGCTCTCTTCGTCTTCAAAAGACAGCTCAACAACACCATCATCGCGTAGTCGTCGAGTTTGTTTGTCCGAGGGCGTGTACTGGGTCGTGCTGGAGGGCTGGGGGATCTTCAGCGCATCCCCGAGCTCAGGAGTCCAGTCTTTGATCGGACGGTATCCCTCGCAGACCACGAATGCCTCGATACTGCTCGCTCTGCTGGACCGCGGTTTGGCAACATGGACCCGCTCAAAGACCAGTTTCAGCTGGGCAAAGATGATGTCCACGTTTCTGCCCCGGAAGATCTTCGCGACAAACTTGCCTCCAGGTCGGAGGACCTTCATTGCCAAGGCGAGGGCCGAGTACAGTAGCTGTGATTGAACGTAAATGTCAAGGTCGTGAAGACCGGTCACGTCCGGTGCCCCATCGCTAATCACCAGGTCGACACGGTGAGTCTCGTTGTGCTCGTCGAAATCAGGGTCGATGGCCTTGAGAAGCAGAGGCACAGTCGACGGGTGGGTTATGTCGGCCTTGAGCTGAACAATACCCTCTAGCGGAGCCATGGGCTGAAGGTCAATCGCAACGATTTTGACATTTTGACGCGGTTTGAGCTCGGACTTCGCTCGCTCTAGGTTCAGGGTATTCGTCGCTTTGGTTAGATCGTCTACCGTGGCCTCCGAAGAGTCTGCCACTGTGTGATTGCGGAATTGCTCCATTTTCTCAACCCACGCTCTGCGACCAAAACTCTCGCCCTTGATCAGTATACGGGACAGGACCTGGCTCCAGCTGCCGGGCGCAGCGCACAAGTCGACCACCCTTGTACATTGTGACGGATCGGCGTATGAAAATAGGTCAAACTGCTCGTCGATTTGGATAAGCTTGAACGCGGACCTCGCCCGCCAGTTTTGTTCTTTGGCAAGACGGTAGTAGGCATCTCGCTTGTCCTTGGAGGACTTCCCCATTGTGTGCAGGCCGGTCGTTTGGGATCAACAGTGATTGAAGGAAAAAGTTACACCGTGAGCCAAAATTGGGTTAGTGGTCCACCGTGTCTATCGAGTACGTTCACGCAAATATTTCAAAAGTGCAAATTTGGCCAAGACAGTACGGCGGCGCATTTGACTTGGGCATTGATCAGTCGCGAAGGCCACTCTGGACTCGGGGATGGTGTTGAACTTGAATGCAACGAATGCTCCTGCGCCGATTTCATTCCTGCTACTATCCCTCCGCAGACACCCCTCTCAGTCATGGCTCCTAACATGTCGCTCCACAGCGTCATCGCTGTCCTCATTCTTTCCACCGACACATCGGCCGAGTCGTCGAGATTGTTCGCCAAATATTACACTGCTCCTCATACCTCTGCCGCTCAACCTACCCCTCCACAACCATATGCCTCCTTGAAGGAGCAGAAGGCCTTTGAGAAAGGGCTGCTAGAAAAGACAGCAAAACAGACGTCAGACGTGATACTTTATGACAACAAGGTGGTGGTGTTCAAAATGGAGAGCGACACGATGCTGTATGTGGTTGGGAACTCGGACGAGAATGAGATACTGTTGTACAATGTCGTTCTGGCGTTGAGGGATACGCTCAGCATTCTTCTCAAGTACGCGGCACGCTGAATACGATCTACCATACCAGACTAACAGTGCGTACAGAAACTCCACCGACAAGCGAACAATCATGGAGAACTATGATCTGGTCACTCTGGCTATTGACGAGATCATCGACGATGGTATTGTGCTGGAGACCGATCCTGTCATGGTCGCGTCCAGAGTGAGCAAGGCACCGGCTCAAGATGCCCCGAATATGAAGAACATCGATCTCAGCGAACAGGGCATACAGAACCTTTGGGAATTCGGCAAGAAGCAGGGCATGGAATTCGTCCGGAGAAACTTATGATTTGTTTTTGTGGATTTGCTGAGCGGGTTTTTGTCTACGTGGAGGCGTTGGGCGTCGAGCAAGACTGGCTGCAACATTTGCGTGGGACGTGGTGAGTCGCAAGACAGGCTCACGAAGAACTTGATGAAAGGGAAAGTGAGTGTCATTCAGGAGCAACAGAGCGAGCGGGCCACTACTGTACCATTCTGCATCGACCTTTGGACTCAGCCTTGTGCTGAACGTGGATGAGGGAGGCAGCCTTGCGGTTGTAGAAAGTGCTCCCCGCAACGTCATTTGGCATTTCAAATGCACATCTCCAAAAATACTTGAACTCACATAGTATCATACGCATTCCGCCGCAACTGCCGCAATCTGGACGTCGCTCGCTGTCTTGATACTCTCCCTGTCTCGTCTCTTTGGCCAAGCGCATTCTCTAGTCCGGTCTATTTTACATTTGTCACGATGAAGCAGCGATTCTCGTCTCTCGACGTTAAGGTGCGCAGAAGCCATATCCAGACGCCCCGCCGCGCAACTGACTGTCGCATGCCCTTTAGGTCATAGCAAGCGAACTCGCCGCATCCTTAGTAACCCTTCGAGTCTCGAACATCTACGATCTTTCCAGTCGAATCTTCCTCTTCAAATTCGCGAAACCCAGCAAGCGAGAACAGCTGCTGGTAGACTGTGGGTTTCGGTGCCATTTAACGTCCTTCTCGCGGACTGCGGCGACCGCTCCCTCGGCATTTGTCAGCAGGCTACGGAAGTATCTCAAGAGCAAACGAGTGACGGGCGTTGCGCAAATAGGGACCGATCGAGTGATTGAGATCAGTTTTAGTGACGGACAGTATCGACTGTTCCTGGAATTTTTCGCCGCTGGCAACATCATCGTCACGGACGCGGACCTGAATGTCCTGGCCTTACAGAGGCAGGTAAGCGAGGGCAACGAGGATGTTGATGTCAAGCTAGGGGGAAAGTACACTTTGGAGCCAAAGCAGAATTACCATGGAATACCGCCAATCACGCCTGTCAGAGTCAAGGAATCTCTAACAAAAGCCGTGGAGAGAGTGAAGGCAGCCAATGAAGCAGGGGGCAAGAAAGCAAAGAGAGCAAAGGGAGGAGATGACTTGAGAAAAGCATTGACGGCTGGATTCCCAGAGTTCCCACCTCATCTGCTGGAGCATGTGTTCAAAGAAATCGGGGTAGATGCTGGCTTAAAAGTGGAAGATGTCCTGCGAAGGCCTGAGGTCTTGGAGCAGATTCTCAAAGTCCTAGAACGCGCCAAGGAAATCTTCGATGGTTTCGATGCCGGACAATCAAAAGGCTATATTGTCGCAAAAACAAAAACCTCCGGTGTTGGGAATTTGGAAGACCAAGCTCCAGGTCGAGAAAACCTCCTATATGACGACTTTCACCCCTTCCGACCGCTTCAATTCGAGGAGAACCCAGGAATAGTCATCCTTGAGTTTGATGGGTTCAACCACACGGTGGACGAATTCTTCTCTTCGATAGAATCTCAAAAGTTGGAGTCTCGACTAACAGAACATGAAGAGACGGCGAAAAAGAAGTTGCAGCATGCAAAGAACGAACATGAGAAACGCATAGGGGCACTTCAACAGCAACAGGAATTGCACGTTCGCAAAGCCCAGACCATCGAAGCCAACACTCATCGGGTCGAAGAAGCCTGTGCGGCGGTCAACGGCCTGATCGGACAGGGAATGGATTGGGTCGATATCGGGAAACTCATCGAGACCGAACAGAAGCGGGGTAATGTCGTCGCCCAAATGATCAAGCTGCCGCTGAAGCTCGAGGAGAACACGATAACACTGCTTCTCAATGAGCCCGGGTTCGATGAAGAAGAGGAGAGTGATGAAGAGGACCGTACTGACGACGAGGAAGACTCCGACGAAGAAACAACCCGGACCACGGGCAAGGCGGCTTCTGACAAACGACTCTCAATAGACGTTGATCTTGCCCTCTCCCCTTGGGCCAACGCAAGACAATACTACGACCAAAAGAAGACGGCCGCCGTAAAAGAGAAGAAGACCATCGAGTCGTCTGCCAAGGCTCTCCAATCTGCGGAGCAGAAGATTGAGCGGGACCTGAAAAGGGGTCTCAAACAGGAAAAAGCTACCCTCAGAGTGGCTCGGAAGCAGTTCTGGTTCGAGAAATTCTGGTTCTTCGTTTCCAGTGACGGATACCTCGTAATTGGCGGCAAGGATGCTCAGCAGAACGAACTGTTGTACCGACGATACCTGAAGAAGGGCGACGTCTATGTACATGCTGATCTACAAGGTGCATCCAGTGTGATCGTCAAAAACAACCCCAAGACACCTGACGCGCCGATTCCTCCTTCCACGCTTTCCCAGGCAGGCGCTCTGACCGTCTGTACAAGTAGTGCCTGGGATTCCAAAGCCGTCATGGGCGCATGGTGGGTGAACTCTGACCAAGTGAGCAAGACCGCACCCACCGGAGAGTACCTGACGACCGGTGGCTTCGTCATCAGAGGTCGGAAGAACCTTCTACCTCCAAGCCAACTTCTGCTGGGGTTCGGGTTGATGTGGCTGATCAGTGAGGAGAGTAGAGGCAACCATGGAAAACACCGATTGGAGAGAACCGAGAGCATGCTATCAGGAGAGGCTGAGGCATTGGCCGCGGATACACAGGGGTTGTCCCTGGACGACCATGGTGATGGTGACGATGATGAGTTCGACGACAAGACCGAGGACGTCGTCCCCGATCTCGAAGATGCTGCTGGGGAAGGTGAGGATGAGGAGAAACAAGATTCTCAGGCAGTCGACGACATGGATGATGAAGCTGTTGCCGAAGAAGACAAGTCCGAGGCAGGCTCCGAGCCAGATGAACAACGAAGCAATCCGCTGCAGATGAACGGCATCACCGACCGTTCCGCAGTCTCCGCGGACGAGGCAGAGGAAGACCCCGAAGTTCAAGTTGAAGTCGATGACGAGGACAAGGCAGCGGATGAGAAGGACGAACAAGAAGACACTCCAGATGCCCATTCTCCTCAGCCACCTGCGGCTGTGCCTTCGCAGGCTCAGCCTCTGTCGAAGCAAAAGCCCCTCTCTCGCGGCAAGCGGAGCAAAGCAAAGAGAGCGCAGAAAAAGTACGCCGAACAGGATGAGGAAGACCGTGAGCTTGCCATGCAGCTCCTTGGTAGCAACCGCGGCCAAGATCGGAAGAAAGCGGCCGAAGAAGAGAAAGCTGCCCGCGAGGCTAAAGCTGAGGCAGACCGGGAACGGCGGAAAGCGCAACATGCCAAAGCCGCCGAACGGGAACGGCTGCGGCATGAAAGGCTCGAAAAGGCTGCTGCTGAAGGGACTGCAGACTTGAATGAGGAGGAAGAGCTCAGCAAAGAGCAACTCGAACAGGAGCGGCGCGAGCTACTGGACATCGACCGACTTGTGCCGTACCCTCAGCCAGGTGATGAACTGATTGCGGCCATTCCGGTCGTGGCTCCTTGGACCGCCATGCCTAGGTACAAATATAAGATCAAGTTACAACCCGGGAGCGTGAAGAAGGGGAAAGCTGTCCGAGAGATACTTGGCTTCTGGTCGACGTTGGATAAAAAGGGGCCCAAAGTGGTGGACGATGCGAGCAAGGACAAAGAACGTGTCTGGCGACGAGAACTGGATCTGATGAAGGATCTGAGGGTCGAAGAGGTTGTTGGATATGTTCCTGTCAAAGGGTGCAGAATCGTCCAGGGTGGTGGGATCGGCGGCGGACTAGGGGGAGGCAATGCTGGGAGCAAGGGAAAAGGCGTTGCTGGTGGGAGAGGCAAAGGTGGTGGAGGGAAGAAGGGCAGATGAAGAAGTGTTTCCTCTGCAACCAGTATCCATGGCCGTGTTACTGTACCCTCCGTAGAGGACGTGATAGACATGGATCCTTCCCGAACATCACTATCTGACGATGTGCTCGTTCCCTGAAGCTCCAACGTGCTGAACTTCACTCGTCTTCCCCTACAAGTTTCCCTCCCTGCTGCTATCGATACATCGAGAGAACGTTTGTCGCAGCCAAGTCCCTCCTGTGGTCCTCCTCCTACATGACTTTCCAATGTCCACATGTACAGGATTAATGTTTGCGCCTTGGCGACTGTCTCAAGAATCTCTCGAGACCTTTTCTTGCTTTCTCGATGATATTCAATGACGAGGATGTTCAGAATGACCGCAGCCTTGCGAGATGGTGCGAGGCTGTATCACGTGACCCTTGCAAAATTTCCTCCACAATGTCGCCTCGCAAAGAAATGTTTGCTCACATGCATCACGGAATCAACCTGTAGTATTGACTACCGTCACGCCGATCCTCTTGCTGCAAGGCAGATTTTGTGATGCACGCCGCACTTGTTTATTTCTAGGATGATACACACCTAAGGAACTGTCCTAGGGTGGTGCCAGGTTCCATCATGGTCGACTCCTTGATCATCACTACTTCGCTTCCCACGCATCCTCATAGCCCTGGTTGTCAGAGGGACATTCCGCCATTATTGCGAAGATCACCTGGTTGAATATTTCGTTCGAGCGCTCTTCTATGTTTAGACAACTTGTTGCTTCCATTCTCCGCTCTAGACAGATTCTGTCTTCGAAGGCAATGTCTCCGCAAGTATCTTCCACCATGGACACCATCATGGAGAGTCGGGCGCACTTGTCCACTCTGCCCTATACAAACTGCACCACGCGCATCGTATCACTTCTGGACGTTCCGATTCCTGAGCACGCCACGGATGACGAACACCGAGACATCTACCATCGCTACACGCGTGACATGTCGGTGCCCAATGCCCGCATGCTCCGCGACGCTGTCCAATCCATCAAACACGGCATATCACCGCCTGTGGCTTTTCCGACTGAAACGGTCTACGGGTTAGGTGCCGACGCGACCAACGAGCCCGCCACATCTGGCATTTTCGCCGCGAAAGGCCGACCCAGCGACAATCCCCTGATCGTGCACGTTTCGAGCGTCGCTCACCTCGAACGCATCACGGGCGAACGCCTGCCAGAGATCTATGGGTCTCTCGTCAAGGAGTTCTGGCCAGGTCCCTTGACAATCTTGCTTCCGGTGCCGCAGAACGGTGTCTTCGCCCCCAACGTCCATCCCGCTCAGAACACGATAGGATTTCGGATCCCTTCGTCCAAGTTCGCCCGCTTCTTCATCGCCGCGACAGACAGACCTATCGCAGGGCCGTCAGCGAACTCCTCGGGAAAGCCGTCACCCACGACTGCGCGGCATGTCCTGGATGATCTGCGCGGCAAGATCAATTTCATCCTCGATGGCGGTCCGTGCGACGTTGGTGTGGAAAGCACCGTCGTCGACGGCCTGCACGATCCGCCTCTGATCCTGAGACCGGGAGGAGTGTCGCTGTCGGACCTGATCGCGCACGGGCGGGGGTGTGGAAACAATTTCGCCAATACCGCCATCGGGTATAAAAGACGCGAAGTTCGACCGGCCTCATCTGGTCTAGCTACGCCTGCGTCCGCCTCCAGTTCCGAGCCCATCAGCTACGTCGAAGATGTGACGGGTGCGCCTCGCGCTCCTGGGATGAAGTATCGCCACTATGCCCCAAATGGACGCTTGATCTTGTTTTCCGAGGAGGCGGTCGTCGAAGGCAAGGTCGAGTCGAAGCTGCTTGAGCTTCTCGAATCTGCACCAGCCGAGAACAACAGTGGTGGCGGCAGTGTCAAAGTGGGTGTCATCTCGTGCCACTGGCCCGCCTTTGCAGGACTATCCATCTCACCGGCAGAAAATGGCGTTGTAGCACCTCCCGCACTCTCCGGTTCCGTGTTTGAACCCATAACGTCTATCGGAAGATACACAATTCACACCAACGTGAATGTGACGTTGTATAATGTGCATATCGGGCCGAAGACTACTGATCTTGGACACTCTCTATTTGGTGTGCTCAGGTTGTTCGACGAGCTTGGATGTGCGTTGATCCTGGCCGAGACTGTTCGGCGCACCGATGAAGGCCAAGACGCGTCGGAGCAGGGGAACAGACCGAGTTCGAAAATTCGAGATATTGAGGACGCGGTCATCGATCGTATAGAAAAGGCTGCGGCAGAGCGAGTCGAATGAGCGCGATGTCTAATAGATTGATTTATCCCATCCCATCCGATCGAGGAACCCAGCGATCGGCAAAGATTCGCCTATTTGTTCTATTCCCTGTAAGAGAGCGTCGATGCTGGGTTGTGCAGATCACTTGTACCATGTGCATTAGAATTCCGTAAAACTGTTGCTCAGGGTTGACAGCTGCGGGAGCGAAGTTTGTGCATCTTTTGTGCATCTCGACCTTTCGATGCGTAAGCCTTCGGTGATGACTAAGTGCGGCCCGCTCAGCCTGATTGACGAGGCTGATCGTCCAAGACCAACGGCGACGTCATGGTGTGTATCTGTAGTACAGCATCGATATCATCATTGTCCATTCAGGGTTCCTTTCGACCACACATCGTTTCCCCTTCCTCATCAGAATGGGTGAAGAAGTGCTGTCGACAGCCCAGAGTGCGGCCCTGTTCGACATCCTGACACACTACAACACCTACGCCGAGATCAGGGAATTCAGGAATCCGGGCAGCCTCGCTCAATACGGTCCCCCGTTCAACCACGACACGGCCAAACCCTCTACGTCGCCCGCTCTCCAGGCTCTGGTGTCGAAGTACCTGCTGAACCTGCCGGGGCTGAATAACCTGCCAGAGAAATGGTGGAAAGTTCAATGCCACACCATCATCGAGAACCTCGAGAAGGCGAACCTGAGCGAGAGCTACGACAAGGGCGCCATTGGCAGTCGAAAGACCGTGGCCACGGCCACCTCTGCCCTCATCGAGTATCCCGTACGGGGCACCTTTGGTGGAATCCCCAAGAAGACCGACCGAGTCGCCCACTACGATACCGGCCGGGCCGAAGACCTCTCACGGGCGTTCCGCGACTTTCTGAACGATGCCGTCTATGGCGATGTCCTGGACGAGATGGTCCAGAAGACGGCACAGACAGATCGACTCGAGGACCATCCACCGCTAACAAAAGCCGTGCACGAGTTTGTGCTTGTCAAGTGAGTGAGGCCACTCTTCTCTCGTCAGCCATCTACAATCACACACACACACACGTCTTCGTCGAATACCGGTCTCTTGCTGACATCGGGGTCTAGTCTCGCTTCATTCATGCACTACACTCTGATCCTGTCGCCCAAGGGCCAATACCTGCTCAAGTTGATCGACAACGCCAATAAGCTGGTACCCTACCTTGTCATCAAGCAGACGCTGAAGATCGGCAACGTGGCAACCATGATCAACGCCATGGTCAAGGTCGGACTGGCCAAGATGAGTGTCGCCAGTGTCACCAACTGGATCGGCCTGACTTCCAACTCTGACGAAGGCATGAATCTTATGCAGACGTGCGAACAACCCAACCACCTTTTGTCTTACTTGTGGAACTAGACCGGTGATGATTGACTGACTACCCGTGTAGGATCATCTCTACCGTGCTGAACTGGGACATTAGAGACCTCGAGTCCCGCGCGGCCAAACTCGAACGAGAACGTGCGAAACTCGGCAAAGAACAGCTACACACGCTCAAAGCGTACACCACCAAGCCGCAACACGAACAAGATCGGATCCGCCGGCAAAGCCAAACACAGTCCATCTCCATCGTCACGGCCATCCTGCGAGACAGCAAGTGCTCGTCCACCGAACTCACCGAGCACCACCACGCACAGGCGCTCGAGTACTTGTCGATCCACCTCTCGGTGCGCGACCGCAAACAGCTGATCCAGGTCCTCTGCAGGTCCAACCCGGACCACCTGACGACGTCGGTGCGCGAGGTCGTCGACGCCTACGAGCCCGTGATCCGCCGGCTGCACAAGGCGGTCGACCTCTCCGGCACGGTCAACGACTTTGAGTACTTTCTGCGCGACCTGATCAAGCTCGGGCGCATCCACACCGACAAGACCGGACACTCCGTCGTGCCGACCGTGGGCGACTTTGTCCAGCTGCTGCGCAAACACCAGCGGTCGACGCACGTCTTCATGCACCAGTGCTGCAAGAACGACAAGGAGCTGACGGGCTGGTACCTCGACTGGGCCAAGCAGGCCGCGTCGCAGTTCCGACGAGACCACCCTGGTGACGGCCATCCGGCATCCAAGGCCCAAGGGCCCGGCAACTTAACCCCCGACCTGCACCGGCTGTTTGGGTCGCTGGACAAATCCACACAAGACCGCATCGTCCCGATCCTGGACTCGCACTCGTCGTATCTCGAAAAGATGCACGCCCAATCCACCGCGCGTCTTCAGAGCGTCATTCACTCCCGACCGTCGCGCTCGCCGGCGATTGCGAAACTGTTCGCCGGCACCACCGCCACCACCAACAACAACAACTACTACTACTACAACAACACTGTCGTCCACGCTTCGAGCACCCCGCCCTCTCGCGCAAGCAGTCCCCCTCCCGACCGTCCACGCAGCGTGCCGCCGCCCGAACCACAGCCGTCCGAGACGAGTCGCGAGATCAGAGAGAGACCAACGACACCGAAAGTCTCGTCGTCGTCGTCGTCGTCGTCGCCTGGTCCCGGCTCGTTCCTCGCGCGCTGGCAGGCTCTTCTTGACGCCACGCCCATCACGCCACTCACACAGTCCGGCCCTCCCAAAGCAGCGAGCAGTCCGGAAGTGGTACGGGCGAGTGCCACGGACGTCGACGGGTCGAGACTGGTCGATTTCGGACCCGAAGAAGCAAGCGGGGCCAAGATCCGTGTCGAAGGCGGCGGAGGCGGCGTTGGCGGCAGCAGTAACAAGTACTCGACCTCGACCTCGTCGTCAAAGTCTCCGTCTTCCATCCACGAGGCGCGTGAACGCCAGAGGCAATACAGAGTCATCGTCGACGCCATGGGTCAAGAATTTCGATCTCTGTTGGCGGAAAGATCTAGGTATTGGTGAACAAATCACGAAAAAGGGAGGCTTGGCCAACCAACTGACCCTGACGATGAGAGAGGGTGCCGTCTCCCTTCCCCAAGCCCACGCCACAGCATACATCATACGCCATGTACCGACTCTGAGGTCTTTACCCTGTAAGTCAAGACTATACATGCACAAACAAGGCCGTGGCTGTGACTGCAAGGCGCGGACCGTGGGGTATTTACTGGCCATGGCAACGTGGGTTATCAGTGGTACAACTCCGACAGACAGATCGAGCCAGAGCCAGAGCCGGAGCCGGAGCCCGCATTTGCACACGACAGGCCCACACTGGCATACGCACCACAATCCAGAGGCCGAACCAAACTACCAGGTGCCCCGTCCATGTAGATTGGGAGACAACGGACAACAAAACCTACACGCGCCCAGTGTGAGATGTCTAACTAGGATACCAACGTATCTGACCATGTGTATTTGGATGGATAACAGATACATTTTGGTACGGTACTCACCATCTACTGCTTATCACCACCACAACGGCAACACACCACCATCATGCCGTGTGTAAAGTGCGTCTGAGAGACATGGAGAGACAGTAAAGACTAAGCAACCAAAGAAACCAACAAATAAATGAATAGCCATGTAGAAACAGATGATAGGTGACTTGATTCGTTGGAAAAAATCAATCACTCAGCTTCACAACGGCTAGAAGTTCAGGATGGAGAGAGACGTATCTTTGTTTCTTTACATCTACCTATATCTACTTCACCAAGGGAGGTATCCTCCATCCTAGATATAGTATCGATATCAGTATCTTTATCCCTATCCGAATGCATTGGTACTCTCCAAAGGTACCATATACCATAAACCATATAGCACCATCCGTTCAACATACCACCCTCATTGAACGCCATCGGTATGCTTCATCTGTCCAGTGAACCACGGGTATTGCAACTCCCCAAAACTTGAATTGTATCGTCCCATAATACACACATTGGATGCTATGCAATCGTTTCGTACGCCGTTTCACAAAATGGGTCGAGCAAGTTGAGTTTGTATCGTGTATCGTATTGTCTCGTGCCAATTTCTCGACGCCAGAAAAAAAAAACTCTTGTCAAACCAGAAGCATCATCGCCCTCGCATCTGAAGAAGTCTCAACCTCCTCTCTTCGTCTTGCAGGGAACTCACGTTCCTATGTGGAACGAGTGGCCGGGGCCCATTCGACAATAAATCAGGCGGACTTGACGCCAGACTTCCGGGAACCCGAGGAGACGATCGGATATACGCTGTTGGAGGTTCTGCAAGTGGCGGCGGACTAGGGGCGCGCACCGCAGCGCCATATGTCGGTAGACACGACGAATCTTCATAGGGTGTTCTTGGAGCTGGAGCCTTGACGGCCGTCGCGTACGATGGAACCCTCGCCAAATCTTCCATGTGGTCGTATTGGGGAAATGGCGTCCGGGAACCCGAAGCTTGTCCCTCATCTTCTTCGGATGTTCTGCGTGACATGAGATTGCTTCCGGGTAGACTTGCAGGAACAGAAGATGGACCACTGTAGGATGATGGCTCAAAAGGACTTAATCGAGGCTGAGCGCCCGGTGTCGAGGGATGACTCAAGAAGTAATCTTCCATTGAGTGAGGAGCGTTGGAATTTGATCTAGAACGTCCAAGCGCCGAGGCTTCATTCTCATCGTCGATTGTTTGGCCGGCATCTGCAAAATGCAGATCTTGCAGCCTATTTTCGAGTGCTATCGGCGAGACATAAGTGCCATTTGCAATGCCGGCCAAACTGGCCAGATTCTCCGACGAAGCATGTCGACTGTGGAGGTAAGGCGTGCCAGGACTTGACAGCGCCATGCCGGGGGTCCGATAGCCGTCGACGTCCAAATATAATGCGTCCAGGATGTGCTGGCCATACAATGGTGGTGCCGAATTGGCCAGGTCGTTTGCAATTGCCGCTCGTCCAGCTTGGGGTGACTGGTCGACAAGGTCGTTGTTTTCGTTGATGGGCAGACTGGGTGAAATGTAGAAGGAGACGGGAAGGTTGGCTCGCAGTTCGGAAATATGACCGTCGGGGTTGTGCAATTGGACATTGAACTTGACCTTGTGACGGACTTTGATTCCCTTGACGTTGCAGTCTTGTAAGCATTGGTTGAGGCTTTTGGGGAGTTCCAGGTAGCGAGAGAACTGATATCCTTCGGCCACTTCGTCGATGACCTGTTCGTCCTTTTCCGGGTCGACCTTGTAGAGGTCGGAGACAATGGTACGATCCACCTTGGTAAAGCCATTGTTCAGAGCCGACACTCCCCATTCGGGGTCGACCACGAGTTCATGCTCCTCCCTGACTTGGGTCGAGATATTGCCGATGACTAACCCTTTGAGAAGTGAAATCAGTTTGAAGTCGACTTGGACGAAAGAGCCGAACGCCACGGCTTTGTTGGGTATGCTGATGGAGTATTCGATCTTGTTCGGCCAGATGTTCTCAACGCTCTGGGATAATGTCAGTACGAAGCGGGAAGGGGGAACCGCAGTCGTGCATACCATAGCATGAGCCAGCTCCAGGGCATTGGCGTCGAGAGTACGGACGATCCGGAGCGGTTTTCGGACGACAATGTCCCTGCCTCGCTTCCTTTTGATCTCGGCCTTGAGCCGGTATATGATCCAAGCATCTTTCATGCCTTCGACGCTCTCGGGCAGGGAACCCTCGAGGATGCAAGAGAAGGGCCATTCGTAGTTGTCCGAAGGAAGGATCTCGGTTTTGCCCTTGCCTGGATCCCGGAAGGACCAATTCTTCTCGTAGAATGTCTTTTCCCGGTAGGCAGTACGTCGACCGGACATGGAGGAGGTACTACTAGTTTGCCATCTAATCAGCAACAGATTAGTTGGCATGTGCTCGGGAGGGAGGGTCGGCCGGGGATGCCGCTCAGCGTGTGGGAGGTGACTTACGACATGTGTAGGATGCCACTCAGCGTCAGGTCGACGTGCGAGATGTTCATAGGCTCGGTAAGACACAGAACAACGTTGCCAGACAGCTGGGCGCTGGCGGCCTCATCCTCACCTCCCCGGAAGACAATGTAGTCGCTGTCGAGGCGGATGTCAAAGTATTTCACACTGCTGCTCGTCCCGGTGTGGGAGGTATGTGAACTGAGAAACTTGAGAGCCATGGCAGGCGATCGTGATACAGGGACACCGACCAGGTGTCGATCGGCGTGCTTGTTGGAGGAAGATCTGGTGGTATGATGGCTCAATGAGGTAGACAGGACAGGCTCATGGTGGGCGGAAGAGCATTCAGGTGAATGCCTGCGGTGTCGAGCACGGAAGGACCTGGGGGTGTGGGACTGGTGGTGGTTCTAAACAAGCAGATACAGTGTCAGAAGAGAGCGTCGAGAGAGGCCAAACGAAGGTGCCTGTGTATGAATGTGAGAAACATATGACACGGTAACCAGATGCAGTGAGGAATTTTCCAAACCCATGTGGGTTGATGGTGATTGCGACAATAAGAAAAAGATACGGATGGATAAGGGCAGCAGACAGGGTAGCAGGAGGGACTCCGTGATGAGCACAGAGATTAGCAGCGGCAGTGGCAGTCGACAGAGGCACGGATAAGCCTGGGCTTAGAGCCTAGTGGATGCCTAGTGGGTGCCCTAGTGGATGCCTAGGATGGCGTGCGGATGAGATCAGAGGCGCCACAGTGGGCGCCGGTGGGAGCTGGATGGCCTATAGGGAGCTCAGGGAGTCCAGGGAGCCCCCGGGAGCTCCGACCAGAGGCTGGCGAGGCTGCCCTAATAGGCTCCCGGGGGGGCTTGGGTCCCTCGTCGTAGGGATCGAAAAATTAATGACGCTGGGACGTACCGTTATCAGTCCAGGATCCACCACCGTTGCCTGTCGCCCTCGTGTGTTGGGAAGAGACGAAGAACTCGTTGATGCTGATGCTGAGACGGATTCTTGGACGATTCGAATTCGACCTTGGAACTGGACGGGCAACGCTGATGATGTTCTGGTGCTGATGGTTCTTCTCGCACTGTTGCTGTCAGCATGCGAGTAAAATACAGTTGAGAGTCTTTGGCCTGGGCTACACACATCGCTGGTGACGGAGACTGTTCCTCCTCCTCCTCCTCTTCCTCGTCCTGTACTTCTGTCTCTGCTCCTGCTCGTGGTCCGGCTTCGGGCGCCGGTGATGGATCTCGATATGCCGGGGGTTTTGCCGGCTGTTCTCGTTCTCGTAGGCGCTCAGGATTGTCACTCGTACGGCTGTCTGTTTCCGTGCTGGTAACGCGCGCTCTGCCACGAATGGCTGTGTTCGCACCGGCGCTGGCACTGGCGTCACTGATCCCTCTGCTGCGTTGTTCTTGCGCCTGATCAGGCACCTGATGTTGGTGGTGACGCCGATGTTGTCGCTGCTGTCGTTCCTGATGCTGATGCTGCTGCTGCGATTCTTCCTGTTGGGGGCCTTCCACCTGGACCAGTTCCCGTGTTCTGCTGCTGGATTTGACTCGGCTTCTGATCTTGGCCGTGGCTTTCAATGGTGTCAGTGGCCCGTCTCGTAATATCAGTCTTCTGGATCCAAGCGTCATGTTTTATTGACTCCCGTACGTCGAACGCCCAATTCAATAGGTAGGTACCAGGAAATCAGTTGCCTTGCCGCAGCCGTCAGTTGGTACTCGTTGGCCGTGTGAAACGTTCGGCTTTCGTCGTCGTCTTCTCTCTTTCGTCTCAACACGGGCCGTCAGAAGACAATCAGAGGGCCGTTGTGTCCCAGTACAAGCACAAGTACAAGTATCCAGACTGGGGCCGACGGAGAGACTGGCACGTCGTTTCTAATCGAGACCAAATCTGCGCACCTACGGTAGTTATGCTGTACAGGCCACACGGGCCAGGATCGGATCGGATCAGAACGAGATTCTCGGCCTTGTATCCATAATCCTCCCATAGGTGAAGTCAGACTCGTCACTGTGCTGCTGGGCGTCCTCACGGTGAAAGGGAGGCTGTAGCGAGCGAGTGCTCTCGTTGGTACAGAGTGTTGTTCGATGTTTCGGTATGTTAACGAGGTCAAGGTCGACAGATGTGTACGGTACAACAGCCCTTCGGCTGCCGGATCCATTCGCCCAGTGCGAGAGACTGGGATGGATGCATAAATGCCAGCCCATGCCATCCCATAATCCCATCATCCCGCTCTTCTTCGTCCTCCGCTTCCCCCTCCCCCCCTCTCGGATGTTTCATTGTCTTTCTGGGGTCCGAGAGCGACGCCTAATGAAGCTTTCTCACCACTGAATCGCTCCGATTCTTACAAAGCCTCTTTCTCATCCTGACTAGATGCACAGTCAGAGATCTCGTCTCGTCTTGCCCACCCACGCCTCGGCCTCAGCTGGGTAATCACACAAAGCATTCGCATCGACAACTCTACATTAGAGTTCTGACTTGTTACAGTGTACTACTGATGCATTTGCTACAACCTTGGCTGCATCTTCTGTTTCTTTTTCTGTCCCCGATGCTCAAGTACCCTGCAGAGTCAATCACCCAACCTACAGTACGGGCCAAGTGAACTGCGCGCAGCCGTAGCGTGACCGGGCCTCTTCATCCTCCTATCCCACTCGGACTGCTAGTGTAAGGTCTCCCATCTGAGATCTCTCGTAACGATGCAACCCTGAACCTTGTGCACTTCTGCCCGGACTGATGGCACCGTTTGCCCGAGCCGAGAGATCCGTCCGAGAACCACATGCGTCTGATGGTCCCCCCAGCAGATGCAATACATACCGTACAGTGCTCGACGAGAACTCCCTCTCCAACTACTAGAACTACTCCATGCCTTTAAAAAAGTTTACCCTACTGTAGATACCTAGGTACATGACTAGGGTGCCTTATCTAAGTTATCTTCTTTGCTGATCGAGGCACACTTGACCGGACATGACCCATGACCATCACCACCACCCACGTCGTGTGTGGTAGTCGGAATCTTCCATAAGATCAGTATGACATCACACAGGTAGCTAAGTAGATCACAGCCTCTTACTGAGCAGAACCACGAGTATCGAGCTGAGTTCACAACTTCCGCGCTCGTTGTCTGTCTGTATGGGAGCATTTTGTCTACAATGCAGAGCTCTTATCATCCATCGACGATGGATTCCGATATGATGGAAACAATAGCGAGGTCAAAAATGTGCCGCTCCACCCTCACCACCACACAGATTACTCTGCAGCGCCATCATGTTCGTGGATCGACCACAGATCGGCCTCTATCTCGCCGCATGTCTAGCTGCACTACCGACGCGCTTGCCATTCGCCGCAACTAAACTTTACGCCGGATTTCGACACCGACGGCGTGGGTACGCGACCATGTTCCTACCAACACGAAATCCCCAACGGCGCTGGCTGCCGCAAGTTGTGCGCCTCGAAAGGGCGTGGCTGATAAGAACACTGGCTAGTGAGGCTTCGACTTGGCCACCCGTCCGAGTGCCGCTTAGAGCGAGAGGGCCGATCTCGCTTCTCGGTTAAGCTCCGGCCAAGGGAAGGCGCTAAGTCGCCGCATTTTTCGCCTTGAGATAAGCATCGGACTCTACCACACCGAGTGCGGGCTTTTGCACCGTTTCATGCTTTGGGCTTTTCCGATAGGTTGGTCTGGCTGCTGTTGGCATTTTCACGAGGTCGATCCCAGGTTCGCACGTGTCCTAGACATGGAGTCAGCCTCAAATTTCACATGCCCCTCTGCACTATTTGACGATGGGAGAATGCCGTCACTTGCAACTGGGTACGTACCCTCTGAACAAGAAGTGATAATGCAGTCCTGTTCAAATGCCAGACCACTGAGAGGATGCTCATCTATCTTTTTGGACTGCCGTCAAATGTCAGCACACGCATAGGTACCACTTTTCCAGACCCAACATACCATGACAGGAGGTAAGACAGCCGTGCGGGCTCTCGCTTCGACGGCATGGTTGAGGAATTCTGACTCGTCGACAGTGTCTTCCTTGAAACTTCCAGTGCGGTTGGAATCTGATCGAACTCGATTGACAACGCTCGTGCTCTCTGTTCGCTGTCGAAGCAATGATACTGATTGCGTCGAGATGCTGCCTCTCGGTCGAGCCGTCGCCTGTATTGCAGCGTCAGTCGCTTCGATGTCACAAGTCAACCACTGCTTGTTCGGCTTACCACCTTAGGACGATGGAGCATTCCAACGCTAAAGTCCCATAGCAAGAGCTTGCAGTCGTCTCCCACGCTCCCGAAACGATACGTCCGTTCATCGCACCGCCAAGGGTCAAAGGCTACTGCGGTGACCCACGAATCATGACCGTGGCACCGTGCGATGATCTGTCGTTCATCGAGGGACCAAATAGTCACCAGGTCATCTTGGCCACCGGTAAGGACATATTTCCCATCCGGCGACCAGCAAACACAGGTAAAGCCTCCATAATAGGATGAGTATATGTCGGTGAGCCTTTCCGAAGTCAATAAAATAATGCGCCTTTACACACTCGATGCACGTACCTTTCCTGCAGATAGTCGATTATCCGAAGGAAGCCGTCGTCTCCTACCACGGCCAGATGCTTGCTGTCGGGCGAGAATGCAAAATCAGTGATGGCCTGGTTCGAGATCTTCCAACACGCCACCGGATTGGTCCTCTGGTTCTGGGAATTGACGCTCTTTGTGATCACCAAAGTCGACTGGTCCTCGTCGGGGATACTGATGCCTTCATCCACGAGTTCCTCCGAAATGTAAGGCGCGTCTTCCTTCTCCTTGTCGTAAACCACTAGCATTCCGTCCACATGGGCAGCAAGAAAGTGATTCTCCGACCCCGGTATCCATTTGATCTTGGCGACGGCAGAGCTGTTGATGACGCCGTTCTTGTTGATTCGGGCATACTTCTGGGACATGGGTTCGTACCAGATTATGTCGCTCGCCGAGGACCCCATGATGACATCGAGATGGGTCGAGTGTTTGGTCAATGCATTTACGTCGTGGCACAAAATGTGCGCCTTGGTAAAGAGGATCTTGGTCATGGGATCCTGTTTCGAGCTCGAGGAGAGGTCAATCCACTGGAAGGCTCGGTTGATGTTTGCAAAACAGAAAGTCCCGCCCTGGTCTCGCTCGACCAGCTTCTTCGCTAGTGATTCGTGGGGGATAACGCGGGAGACGAAGGAAGAATTACTCTTGATAATGTTGTTTTTGGGTTTCCGGCGCTTCAGGTTGTCCCCCCGGCTGATGACCGGCGACAATGCGGCGTTGCCCTCGCCAAAAACCTTGACGCTAGATTTATTACTGCCATTTGCCGACGCCGCCAGGTTGCTGATATCGCTGGTGGTGTCGATGGAGGACCTCGGCTCTTTCTCCAAGTCCTTGAGTTCTTTATATTCCTTGGCTTCTTTGGCCTCCTTGGCTTCCTTCGCCTCCCTAGACTCCTTGGACTCTTTGGACTCTTTCGAAGTATTCAACCCTAGAGACCGCCATCTCAACAGACTGCTGGTGGCAGTGGTCGTCCGGTACAAGTCTGTGTTGATCTGCTTGGGATTTAGAGAAACAAGGGAGAGCTTGACGCCACTTGTCGGTGGGTTCAGGCTGGTACTAAGCGGGTTCGGGTTAACGATAGGAACTTCTGAGGGATGCGGAGGCGGCGTTGCTAGCAGTAGGTCGTCGCGTAGGACATATCGACCTGATGGCAGGGTTAGCTCGATGGTGGACGAGAGGCGGAGCAGACGAGGTCAACCTTCGCCGGCCTGGAACTTATATTCCGGTCCTTCGCGGTGATGAAGAGTATTTGCAGTCTCGAGAGTTGTGGCTATTAGGTTACTATTCGTAGGATATCTAGGCGGAGGAGGGATGGCACTGCGGTTGAAAGATCAGTGGGATTGAAGTTGAGAGACAGAGGAAGTCCCGACGTACAACATGTCGCCTATCAAAGAGAGAGCGCCAATCCGCTGGCGAGGAGCTCAGTCTCGCAGACGACAGAACACCAGAGAGATGTGGGCTATGTGCAGTTCGAGGTACTAGCAAGGTGCGTCTGAGAATACACGTTCGAAAGACCGCAACTGAGTGGACAAATGCTTGGAAATGCAGCGAGTGAGTGGTGCGGGAGGAGAAGGGCGCACCGATAACCGGCGGCTTTAAGAGGTTACGGCGAGCCCCCGTCCATGTGCGGGGGTGTTGGCTGCTATAGCGGTGGTCAGCACCACTTTGCTCCGGCGTTCTGTAGGCGGTGCTGGTGGCAGTCGGTGGTGCGACTCCAACGCCCGCAGCTGCAGCTCAACCGCAATTCAGCCGAGAAACGGTTGCCCAAACGCCCTCTCCCATTGGGACCTTCGCAGCAGACGGAGGAATGTGCCCGGAGTGCTTTTTGGTGTCCTGCTCGACAACGTGTCTTAGACTCTTGGAGATCTCGGACACACATCACTACAGGCAGTGTAGGCTGGGGCGATCTGGAGCTGTGGCCGCCGATGAGCGGCCTGCACAAAATGCAGAAGGCGTCCCCGCGACCCTCGCCCTGTACTCCTGAGCACCTGAGGTTACCGACGGCAACATCCCCTGCTTTGCTTCAGATATCCTCAGGCCATCTTAACTTGGCCAGTTCTTCTCTAAGGAGCGTAGCGAGTTCCTGGCTGATCGCTTCAAGATCCGTCCGGACCTGCTCATGTTCATGTTCGGTCTCGGCTTCGCTGTGTGCTTGATCCTGCTCTTCCACAATGTCACCATTCGTAGTGTGCTCTTGCTCTTCGTCGACTGCCTCGGGCGAGGCTGTCTTTTGCTTCTTCGGTTCCGGTCCGGTCACCGCCAGGAGGATGTGGTCGGCAATAGGTGTCACCACTGACAGCGCGCCCATGTTCTGCGCTTCAAAGACAAGTACATCCTCCGATGCCACCGTGTATGCGGCGGTCATCGTTGTAGATTGAGTCCGAATGTCTTTGATCGAAGGAGTGGCATTTCGGTAGGCGTATGCGAGAATGGAACCGTTGAGAGCAGATACCATGAGGGACGAAACATGGCCACCCCATGACAACGCATCTTGGAGGAGAGCTGACAAGCGCCCAGAGTCTAGGAGGCATACTTGGCCCATGATTGTGTCTGGAGGGAACAAGAACGCCAAAATCTGGACCGACAGAAACCCTGCAGATGAATCCGAGCCTGAGCAATGCTTCTCCTGCTAGGACCCAAAGGCGCATGGAGACGATGAGCACCTTTAGCTTACTTTGAGATGGGAAAATGAAATGACATGCGCCAAGAAGACTGCGCTGCCCCTACGGAGGACAGAATACATTATAGTAAGGTACCTCATGGGGCGAGACCTCCAGTGTCTCTGCGACTCTCAGCGTGTACAATTTCCTCGAGCTCCAAAATTTCTTTCTTCAGCGATTGCCGTTGGGCTAATGACCGTTCGTGCACAAGATGAGCATTTAAAATGCACGCCGTTCATATTGCACCGGTAAATGCTAGCCATGGACACGCTACTATGAGGGAAAAGGGCAAAACAAAGCATCACCATCTAGCACCGCCTGGCTGTGGCAACGGTGGTCGAGTCTGCTGTCTGGCCTTGTCAAACTCTCGAACAATAATCTCACAAGTGACCTCTCTGCAGAGCTGTTTGCGCCGGTCCGAGGGCAGTTTTTCAGCAAACATCAGTCCGCTCGCTCTCTCGACCGCTTCCAGAGGAACTTCAAAGTCCTTCAGGCTCTTGGTGTTGGGGATCACAGCGTTGGGCAACACAAATGCTCCCAGAGCCACTCTTCCCACGGGGTCATTTGCAGCTTCCTCGCCGAAAATGACCTTGTAAAAGTGAGTGGGCACCGCCACATTGGGAGGATTGCCAATCATTTCATACGAGACTTTCCATTTGCCGTCCTTTTCATCCTTTTTGGGCAGGTATAGTGGTCCCGTCACTACTCGTACGCTGGGATATCTCTTGGTCAAATTTCGACAGAATTCTTCAAAGTGTGCCCAGTAGTCACGATTGAATCCCTCGCCCACTTGCGGACACATGTTGCTCAGGACAAACGTGCTATCCATCGCCGCCTGTGACCATTTTGCGTCCGCCGCGGGCACTTGGTGGCCGCGATCGTAGCCGCTCCGTGCGTAGTCGGTCAATTTGGCTCGAAACATCGGCGGCACGGAGAGGTCTTCGTAGAAGACACTGTTTCTGCGGGAGCCGTTGTTCAGGAGTAGTGACTGTGCGGTGAAATGCTCTGCAACCCAGTGCGGATTTCGTGTGAACCGGTTGAAGGAGGAGAGGTGTGACGGCGTGGAGAGTGTGTCTGCAATTGGACCAGGGAAGCCATACCGCAGAATTCCTGCGGGATCGACGGGAGAGACGACAGCTGGGAGGGCAGATTGTGTCGGTGCAATCACTGGGATTGGATTGGGCACCGCAACTGGCGCTGGCGGAGCTGGGACGGGCACAACGGGTGCGAGAGAAGCATCTTTTGCAGGCGACGGAGGTAACGGCGTGGGCGGGCTCTTCGAGGGCCGGGAAAAGATCAGAGCACTGAGGGACGCGCCCGCCGCTGCAGACGTCGCAGCGACGATGGCGAGGGTCGTTTTCGACATGGCAGCCACGGTGTCGAGAGGCCGACGAGTGTTCCTCCAGCGCGTACACTGAGAGCGACGGCCTCGAATATTCTGCAGGCACCCGGACCCGCCAGTCGGAAGATTTACCATAGGCCCAAGACACGGCTAAAGCATGCTAGCATAAGGCTGCGCCAGATCGACCTATAGGGGCACAGCTACTTGTAATAGGCGCGTTAGCGCGCCTTAGATAATATGATTTCATTGTGGCATATGTCCATCACGGGCATGATTTAAGGTCCTCACAATGCCCTCCTCCTTGTGCACCGTTCCTGACAACACTGTTGACTATGTTCCGTCCACCTCAAAGTTAATCCCCCTTACACCTAGCGTCTGGACCTCTATACCCTTGCTATAGCCTCGATTCGTCTCAGGACCCTCACGAGGTACACACACATGCACTACGAAGTATTCTACGCACCTCATTGATCCCTCTGGTGGCGTCTCCCCACCGGGATAGGCGCCCGCGACCCTCAAGATGGCCCTCGACAATGATACTCGGGGATGGATTATGGCGTGTATCAGCGGTGTTGGTATGGCTTCTTGTTCGTTCCACATGAACCAGGCGGTCTAACGATTCGTAGCTTGCGTGCTGGGAGCATCCGTCATCTGCGTGGATATCATCCTACGCGTCATTCCAGGCTGGCACGATTTCTCCATCTCTGAAAGCGACCAATTCCTATCGGCGTCATTGAGTCTCAGTTTTGGCGTCATGGTGCGTATCTCGAAGGGAACATCAAACTGCTCGGCGCTGACCTCGCTCTAGTTGTTTTCTGCCCTATACTCCATGCTACCGCAATCCAAGACCTACCTCAAGGACGCCGGCTACTCACCCAGGACCGCATCATTCATGTTGATCGGGTTCTTTCTAGCCGGCGTCATTGGTATTCGCGTCCTGTCCCGCTTCATTCATCAGTTTATCCCATCTCACGTTGTCGACTGCGACCACACTCACGGCCAGGAGGAGGACTTCCCCAAGGACCCAGAAGAGGTGGAAGATCATTCACCCAGTTTTGAGCATACAGCCGACTTTCCCGCCTCAAAGTGCCACCCGCGAGCTGCAGATGATGAACACACGCCGCTACTTTCCCGCTCTGCCACATCCAGTCCAAAAAAGCGTCCCCATGAGACGCCGGAAAATGCGGACGACGCCCCTGGCAGGCAGTTTTTCACTGCACCGAACAGCCGAAGGCCATCGTTCATGCCTCGGACGCTGACCAGAACCTTTTCGAAATACGTGACCGGATGGAAGGAGAACTGCGATGAGATGGGACCGTGTATGGGTTTCTCAGATCCTTGTGGGCAGGATTGCTTCAAAGTCGTCGTACACAGGAGAGGATCGATTCTTCCAGGCCATGGACCATTCTCTCGCGCTCCGACGTGGCGAACTCCAGTCAACGACGTGCGAGTTGCACTATTGTCGGAGGAGGAAGAGCGTTCTATCTCAAATATATCACCTGTGACTCTATCCGATTCTCCTGCCCAGAGACTACAGCTGGGGCGGTCACGATCGTCCACCCATCATTTTCACCACCTGGACAATGGGCACCAGGAACGCGGGCTTCGCCGACCTTCGCACCATTCTCACCGCTCTCACCATTCTCACCGCTCTCACCATTCCCACCACTCCAACTCGGCCGCCGGACAGGAGCATCACCATCATGTGCCGACCAATGCCTTCCTATCGATCGGGCTACAGACCTCGGCCGCTATCGCTTTGCACAAAGCACCGGAAGGGTTCATCACCTACGCGACCAACCATGCCAATCCTCAGCTGGGATTTGCCGTTTTTATGGCACTTTTTATCCACAACATCACCGAAGGATATGCCATGTCCCTTCCTCTCTACCTAGCCCTGGGCTCTAGATTCAAGGCCATTGTATGGTCATCCTTCTTGGGAGGCGCATCCCAACCGTTAGGGGCGGGGATCGCTGCGCTCTGGTTTAAAGTGGCCAACCGAACAAGCATGGGAGCACCGACCGAAGGGGTGTATGGTGGCATGTTTGCCATCACGGCGGGAGTCATGACCAGCGTGGCGCTTTCGCTGTTTTCCGAAAGTCTTTCGCTTTCTCACAACAAAGGTACTTGTGTTGCGTTTGCATTCTTGGGAATGGGGATTTTGGGTTGCAGTTTTGCATTGACAGCGAGTTAGTTGCACCCCAGGTTTATTCTTATGATGATGAGAAGATGAATAGAGAACAATATTATTATTATTCGCACTTGCAGGTTGGCCCCATGCCGGACCAGTAATGACGCTATGTAGTTGGTTCTGATTTAGACGTATTGCCAGAACGATGACCTCCTGCGCAGCCTCGTCGAGATGGCGTATGTATTCCAACAACAGAGCTCATGTCACCAAGACGCCCCTTGAGGAGGCATGTCCAATGAGCTTTTGAGGAATTGGGTGGACCGTAGACGACTTGCTGTAGAGTTCTTTATTCTTGCAATGTTCAATGTTAAGCCTTTTTGCAAAAAGACACCTGCTGAGAGACCCTGTGAACCGAGCCTTTGCAACTCTTCCCAAGCGTGGTTACCGAAATGATTACTTCCGCAACATTATCGAACGGTCTGGCTTTATCAATGAGTCAAGGGTATAGGAAAGGTTGATTAAGAGAGAAAACCAAAAAAAACAAAAACAAAAAATAATAAAGAACAAAAAATACAAAATTGAAGACTCCTCCGGACAGGATCGAACTGTCGACCTTCTGATTATATGTTTTAGGCATAGAAGTGCGCTTAACAGTCAGACGCGCCACCGATTGCGCCACAGAGGAAACTGAGCTGGGTTGAAATCCAACCCTTGCTGATTTGTGATTTGGATTTAAGAAATATAATACATAATCCCTAATACAACTTTGTGGGCTAGTTGACTACCATTAGCGTTCGACTTAGCCTAAGTGAGCCTAGGTAGTTTCCTCAGGTAGGAGCTCTCCCTACATAACAGATATTCTTCCACCCTTTGTACTCTTTCCTTTTCGAACTCCTTCAAACATCTATCCGCTTGTCCTCTGGTTCTTCGTATATGTAGATTTTATGTATGTCTGTCCGGTCGAGGTGTCTGAGTGGGCCTTTGATTTCCTGGCGTACCTCCCTTTGAGTACATTTTTTTGCCGACTCGGCTGCATCAGCTTCTTGATCAACGTGAAGACACTCACCAACACTCATAATCCCCTACCTATAACAGTCAAGTGGCGCCATGCCTGTTCTCCGCTCTCTGTGACTTTAAAACATCAGAGATTGATAGCTCCGCCGCGATCACTTCTAACAGGCACTCATCTTCACGCTCAGTCTCCTCCAGTTACATTATTTGTATAATGTCGCTCGATTTTCTCCCTTTCCATTCTACTGGCTTTCTTGACAACTCTATCGGATCATTTATCTAGCCATGATTGTCATGGGAAGTAATAAAATGCCGTGTGTGATCTTCTTCGGTGTTGACTCAAACGGCTACCTCCAGTATGGGAGATTTACTCCAGAGAAACAGGGACGTTATGTCTCATTTCAGCACGCCCTCGTTGTGAATGTGACCAGTTTTTAGAACTCTATCAGTTCAAGGATGTTCCTTAGAAACAATCTTGAACCCTTTTCTATCTGTCCGACTTCCTGTCCTCCGTTCATCATCTCTTTCCCCTAACCACAAAAATGCAGTCTACCAGGGATGAATGGGCGTCATCTGTAAGGCTTCACCCATTATCTCTGAGCTGACAGTTACTAATCATGACACAATTCCTCAGGATGGATTTCCCTTTGACCTTCTCGACACTCGTGGCATTGGGGTCCGTGCGGACGGCCGGATTTCGACCCTAGGGAACGTGGTAACCGAACTCCCCGAGGAACGACATGCACGCGAACGATTTACTGTGGAAGACGACGATGAGGTTGAAGAATGGGCTACTCGTGCCTTAGTTCACCCAGTGACAGCCCTTCAGGCATTCCGCGACTTCGAGACCATGGTGAGTCAAGAGGTATATTGATTCTTTTTATACATACATGCTAAACGCCGCCTTTCTTAGAATGATAGACATACCGCCTCGTCCTGGCAGGCCAGGTGGCGCAAGATCTCGCGTGCCCGTGCCGAGCAGCCCCATTTGGAGGTAGGGGAACCGTCAACTGCCTCGTCCGCGTCTGGCTGCGTGGAATTCTGGGAGGGACCTGATTCGGCGCCACCAACTTCCGACTGTGAGGGCGACGCTGGTGAATTGGACGAAGAGCAGAGCGACATGGAATGGTTCACGCCGCCTCCTGAGCAACCTTCAATCAGCCCAATAGTGTCATCCGAGGCAATTTGTCCCGAGAGTGGTGTAACCGAAGGCGCCATAGCCACGTTCTACCCTCGAGACCCATCCCAAGAAGACGAGAGCGCCGTTCCACCAGCACATTTCCGACCTCTGACCCACACCGAACCAGCTGGTCGGGAATCGCAGAGCCAGCTGAGAGTGAACTCGGAGATCACCCTGCGTCAAGCCCTATCCTTAAGGGACAGACAAGAACATATTATCTGGCTCACACAGCCTTGGGTCCTCGACGTATACATCGAGTATGCAGAGTGCGTCCTTGATCGGCTGTCGTGGACCACGTCGCGGTCATATCGGTCCTACAATGATAGTCAGCCACAACGTTCTTCGACCACCTATATCGTTAACAACGCCATTGAGGCTCTTCGTTCTCGGTCCCAACGATACCTGGCTGACGTCACGGGTAAAGCCTGCTGGTCTTTGGACAACCACGATATTCGGTTCATCGTACGCCTAGTAACAGCTGGTCGCGAGCCAGGGCGCTGGTGGGAGCGACGGTCGGATGGAGAGATTCCCCAGCTGTGTGCCATTGCTAACCGTCTGGCGGGCTGGCTCAGGTATGTCCACACCACCACCTCGGGCACAGGAGGAACGTCCCAGTGGCACCGCGCCAACTGCCACCGATGGCTGTCGATCCTCCGTCCTGCTCGAGCTCAACGTGAGGAGCATCTTCGTCCCCACCCAAGAGGGATACAGACGGGATCACTTTCGTGCGCCAGCACCGTACCAAACCGTGCAGGACATAACCCAGATGGCGAAGAAGTGTGCGTGTCTGATCGTTCTGATGGGCCTTCTAACCAGGCACAACCGGACCAGGGGCAAGCAGGGTTACCGCATGAGCCTGAGTTACCACCTCACACAATAGAACACAAAAGAGACCAGAACGAGACACTGAAAACCATACCGGGTCTGGCATCCTGTACCAGTGAACACAATCTTGACCCTTTTCAAGACAATCCTATCCCAATGCCGGACAATAAGTCACGAGTTCCCGACATCCCAGCATATCCTACGCGGCCCCCTGCCGAAATGAAGAGCGCCGAACGAGACTCGTCATGGCTGAGCGACTTTGGTCGACAGAAATTCCAGTACAGAGCTCAAATGTTGTTAGCCGCATGGGGCGTCACTGCAGATGTTGAGTCGTGCGTGCTCGTGCCGGACATGTGGTCGGGGGCCGACCCTCTCCATCTGCTGGCCACGTTAGACCTGAAGGACATGCCGCCAAAATCAGTCCCCCGACTGGTAAGTTTCCCGCTCCTCTGTCTCTCTATCACGGCCGCTCACATCACATCCTCAGACATTCAACCTGGCGGGGCATACCACGACACACGCCCGAGCCTCTTCGTGGTTCGTGGAGCATCGTCGGGGAATCGACCTGGACAATTTCTTTGGCCAGGGTCCTTTCACACCGATGGAGGGCTCGCATCGATGTCACCTTCCGTATTGTATAAACCCTAGCCACATCGTTTACGAGGCCCAGGATGAAAATCGATCGAGGATTCGATGCTTCCACCTCGCACACGATCTCCGTTTTTACGGCTATGACGTGCCAACAAATTGTCGACGTCACGAACCCCCTTGCCTCCTGGCGTTGGCGGCGTTGACCTTAGGGGAAGCGTACACCATCCAGTTCACCAATTTATCCATCGCCAAAAACACGTCACTGCCTACGCCGCGCTTTCAACAGCCAGGGGCGCATCCGTACCCGACATTTGAGTCCAGGTTCCCCTTATCATTCTCATCTGGGACATCCGCCATCGGCGCGGATTCCCTCGTCGATAATGGCATTGAGCCCCAAGATCCAGAAACCCTGCGCCACCCTACTTTCTACTGTCGTTTCTGCAAGGTCAGGTCATTTAAGAGGATTTCTGCGTATTGGTTTCATATTCGCGACGGCCATGGCTTGGTTCAGACTGAAGAGCGATTGGGCGAAATACGGCGTACGGCGGCAGTCTGGGAAGAGCATCTCAATCAACAACGAGCGCGTGGTCACGGGGTTAGGCACGACGATCGTACCTGGCTCAAGATACAACAGATCAAAGCAGGCAACTTTGGTTGGGAAGTCGTTATGGCATGGAAATTGAGATACCAACGTGAACGTTGATAAAGATGATTTTATTCTAGAAATGGGATGATGGGAAGATTGGTTCTCTACTTTGAGTGACGCAAACAGCGCGAAAACAGATGTTACTGGGGAAACTGCGCCGAGCGCTCATTTTATGAGTTTAATGGTAGATAAATACCTACCCTCCCTGTAGTTACGAGCCAGAATGTCAAGGCGCGCCTCTGTCCAGTCAAAGGCTTCTTTCAACATGCACTGCGCGGTTTATTCGAATGCCCCTTCCCTGCTCGTCTTGCTTTCATTTCCCGAAATGCGAGGAGGTCGTTGTATTCTACCCCCTCGAGTCCTAAGATAGGAGCCTCTCTTTCCCAACTACCCAGTACATCTAACCAAGGTCACGTCGAGCGTTGCCTTGTCGTTTGTGTAGGTGACAATATGGTAGCTCAGGCACCTCCATAGTGCTCACCCGAACAGTCTTGCGGCAGCGGTAATTGCCTTCTGGTCCAGGGTCCTGGTTGATGCCACAGCAGCGGCTCAGCAGACACTCGCCTTCCGTCGTCGCCAGACCACCTCCTTCACAGGCTACCGCGCTAACGAAAGTTGATCGAATCGCTGGCGAACCGGGTGGCAGTCGGACGCAGAAGCGGAGCAGCGCGACCAGTAGCTTGCGGATCACTCCTAGCGTCTTCAACACAACAGCCTCCGCTCTATCACTGAGGCAGAAATCCGTGAAGCTGAGGTACAAGTCTATCGCGCCAGAGAAGAATCGACAGATCCACACTCGACCCTTTAATGAACAGACCAACAACATCACGCCCATGGTGACTGCTGCGCAATACACCGATGCGGTACTGGAGAACCCGCCTTTGTCCATCAAAAAATGAAGGATTTGGAGAACATCGTTCGTCGGTGTCCACAACACCATCTTACTGAATATACCAGCAAGTGCAAGTCCCAGAACTCCCAGAACACGGTTAAGCACAGCGCCCAAAAGTTGTTCCGACCAGCCCATCCTCCTCACTGAAATGGAACCCACACGGTATGGAGTGAGTGGTGTCCTTCCTCACTTTTATCAGCCTCTTGCATGTCTATATCGCATGTGTGTTTCTCACCTCTGATCGGTTTGTTTACTCCCCTATCACAGTGGCGGGGGATCTCCTGGCCGTGAGTCGATCTGCTTGTAAGATTTGACCGACCAATGTTGAATGGCTTAGCGACACCAGCGCCCTTTTCATGAAGAGCAGTCAGGGAAGAGTGTATCGGCCGTGAGAATAGTTGCTTGAGGAGGGGTATTGTAACGGGAGAATCGTTGTACCTCCTGCCGTACGCAACCTTCGCTTTCCAAGGCAACAAATAACTCTCTGTGTTACTGAGATGATTGTCTAACCACAAATAGCGTGCTTCCCTTACGTTCATTGTTCCCTTTCTTATTTGTCCGTCTCTCAAGTCTCACAGCGCAGGCAGTAGCACAACTTGTGCTTGTTGCAAGGCGGGAACTGAAGAGTGCAATTCGCTGTTCATGGCTTGTTGCTTCACAAATGCACTGTTGGTGCCTGCGGGGGAACAAAAGAATTCGTTTGGCCCTTCGTCAACCGGAAATCCGGGGTTCGGCTGACCTCAGTAAACGTAGCGGCCGGCAAACCTCTAGAAGATCAGGCCGGGTAAACGTATCATGCAACAGCCGGCATATCAAGGATCTGTCTACAGTCGCAAGGGCAAAAGGAAGGAGTATCAAGTTGATCGGGAATGGGTATCAATGGCCGCCGTAAAGCCCTATATGATACAGAATCAGAACAAACAGGAAGGGCACAGCAATTCCACAACCACAACAGATCCAGTCCGCGCCCTGCACCAGTCGGCGATCAGTAATTGCTATCGTTCTCTATGGTCTCGAATACAAGGAATGCATGCATTGTTTGCTTCCACCATCGGTCTTGTTCCACCCCCTCATGCACCGACGATCATCATGGGCCAGCCTGCGCCATCGCTGGGATACCTTGGGTCATGGTCCGCCAATAGCTGCCGCACCGTCCGAGCATTATTCGTCTCTCTCCACAACCTCGCGACGGCCACTGCCCTTATTCCTACCGTGGGTCTCGTATTCACTTTCTGAGACGAAAGATTCACCATCATCCGAGTCAGGTATTACGATGGGCTGATCCCGTCGCCGCCCAGCTCTGTGAGCACGAGGCCAGCCTAGAGCAGGTAGTCCGGTTGCCTTTAAGCCACTTGACTTTTTCCCAGCTCCAACATGCACCGCTCTCTCCCCTTCCAAGTCATGGACGATGAATGTAGTTGGGGCGCGTCTGGAGCTCCGCGGTGACTGGTCATCTTCTCCGAAAAAGTCTTTGATACTGCGTTGAGGATGGGTCTTAGTGTCGACATCCATGTCTGTCGGTTGTGATTTGCCTGCTTTCACCCCTCCACCTCTGCCACTGCCACGGTTGTGTCCCTTGACTTCTTTCCGAGAGGCTTCGGAAAAGGTTGAAAACTCGCCATGGTGGCTTGTGCGGCGCTCTCGCAAATCGAGGATGTCTAGGTCTTCCGATGTCTCTCGCTTCAGCCCACGGACTGGTTGCGCGGAGGTCGCTCTACCGCCTTGAGCTTGCATATCGCCGGCTTTTCCTCCTTGGAGTGGAACGTCAGAGGCTCTGGGTTGTGGAATTCCGAGATAGGGTCCAAGCCCTTCTGCCAATTCGAGCAGTTGAGGCATCGAAAACTCGGCCCGTACGACTTTGGTCTTGATCAGGTAAGCCATACATGTTGCCGCGCCCGGTATCTCCATGTGTTGGATATGGTTCAGAGTATTGGCCGTTGACGCCAGCTTGTCTCGAACTCCGTTGAAAGATTTGCTACCAGCCTGTGCCCTCATGTCGGTGATCTCTTCGTTGTAGCTATGTACTTGGTTCTGCACGTATGCGGCGGCGTGGACAAATCGGGTGACTGCTCGCTTCGTGTCCAAGTTTCCAGCCATCTTCTCCTGGACGAACTGTGCCAACTGATCGAGCTCCGAGGAAAGAGTTCGTGCATTGTGGGCAGACGTGGGTTGGTCGAATGACAGGCTGAAGGCGCTGATCGACAGTTTCATTTGCGGCATAATCTTCAGGCGACATTCGAGGTTGCTAATAGCTGTACGGGCATTACGCTCGCCGCTGATTTTCTCAATTGACATTGGGTCTGCTGCCGACTCTTCGCGGACGCGTGCTCCCTCGCGGGGTTGGGTACCAGGCTGGAGGGCGTTTGCCGACATGGTCTCGTTGTCTGGGGTCAAGTATTGGAGGGTCGCCGATGATTCTTCAGTGCGAAAGAAGGGAATTCTGGGCTAATCATAGGGACTTGAGAAGGTTGTGGGATGAGGAAGCAAATGTAAGACCCAGCGTTAGTGTGAGATGACCATTATATCAGACCTTAAGTAGTGAAGTTTGCTCCTTCATTGTTTGCAGGCAGGCAACCATGGCTCCAGGGCTGCCTGCATAGGACAGAGAAAGACGTCAATAGATAACTGGTACGGCTCATACCAAGGTGTCCCTTGCTTCACTGCAGTTCTTATGAAAGTAGAAAGTGTATCGATATGTTCTGACGCCTTGATTGTGGTCGAATGATATGGAAATATTGAGCTAACAACGGGAACGCCACTCGATTATGCGTAGGTGATATTCACGCATCACAGATCGGTACTCTGAGGAGATGGCATTTTTGTGAGAAGTCCTGGTCATTCCACTCAGGACTTTGACATAGATCGAGAAGACTCTGCACCGACACGAGGATTTAAGTCGCATCTGAAATGGCCACAAATCGAGCCTCAAGCTGCCGCAGCCGTCGCATGACAGTCCGCCTTCCCACTCCTTTCGACGCTCGGCTGAGCATGCTTTCCAACGCAAACCTAACCAAGAGAAAGGCATACGGGTTCTCTTCTGCCACGTGCCGCAACTTGGTCTGGGAGAGGACGGGATGCACTTCAATCGATAACTGCGCAGCGTTGAAGGAAGTCGCCGTTATGTCCTTGTGCTCAGACACAACGCCTTGGAACCACTTGTGGTAAGAGGGCACCGGAACGAGGGCTGTTTGGTCTGACGTGGCGGCAAATTCGGAGACAGTGGTTGTGTATTCAGGGTATCGCAGAATGAAGTCATCATAATCAGTTGCATCGATCCGGTAGCCCCATTTGAGGATGGTGTCAAGATAGGCACACAACCCGACCATCTGGTCTTTGCTACAGCATGAACCTCTGACTTGGCGAAAGTGTTCAAAGATGTCGGCTGTTTTAGGAGCTGGCTCGGGTATGCGATCACGGCTGTCCTTTTTCATCCTCTTCCAGTGCCGTTCCTCCGGATCAGTCGAATCTCGACGTTTGTGGCTTTGTGGTGGTGGTAGTGGTGGTGGCGGCGGCGGCGGCGACTTAAAGGACGGAATCAGCCTGCTGAGAATATTGCTTTTGAACGCCCACGGCATGATAGAGAAGCTTGTTGTGAATTTCGTTACTGTTATTTGTGGTGCTATTACTGCTGGCATTTGCTTTCGTTATCCTTCTTGTTTCTATCGTGGAGGTGGGCATGGATCTGAGGGTATATAACTCCTCCATACCACTCAAACAGTGTTTTAACATTGTGTACATCGCTGTCCTGTGCTCGGGCTGAGCGATACATCTGACTCAAGTGAGGTTTGACCTCATACTGCCTAGGCACAAGGTTACTAAAGAGATTGTCTTTCTTGTGAGTGACTGGTGGCGTCTGCTCAAGTCTAGATGATTCACTTCATCAAGCAAATGAGGCAGTACACTGTGTGTTTGATTCATATACAAAGAATGGCTGTGTCAGCCCGACCATCACTGGATGATATAGTCTCACGGAACAATGAGTATGGAAGAAAGAAGCGTTACTACAAGGCAGTGGCGTCGTTATTGCGTATCCAGAACGGCAGCAACGTTCCCCTGCCAACCGCATCGGTACGCACACAAGTCAGTAGCAACGGATGATTAAGCGATGATGATCAACCCAAAGCCCGATAGCTTTTCATACTACAACAAGTGAACTACTGTCCACCATAAACAGAAGGGAGGAATGTCTCAACTATCGAGCAAGGCATCTGCACCACTACGCCAAGCACTTGAGGCGTTATTCGTCTCGCACACCATTCTCTCGGTTGACAAATGCGGACAGTTCCTGAAGCAGCTGTGCTGTGGTTTCAGATTCGTCCGTCACTTCCTGTAACGTAGGGAGTGATTCTAGTAGGCACTGGGTTTGATTCTGGATTGCCTGTGAAACCACGAGCGCTGCTTCTGTGCATGAGTTCGTGTTGACGAGGCGGTAGAAATAGCAGACATCTGTCTTGACACCCAGCCGGTGGACACGATCGGCATTCTGGCACTCCACGGCAAAGTGACGCGAGGGTTCCATGAGCAATACTCGATGCGCACGATGGAGAGTCAATCCTTGGCCCATAATGGCCGCGGTGCCAATGATGATCTGAATCTCAGGCGGTCCCTCTTGGTGCGGGTGTTGAAACTTTTTGACCATGGCCCGTCTTTCCTCAGGTTTTGTGTCAGCGTGCATCCATTCCGCCTTGTAGTCTAACCAAATACAGAACTAAGTTAGAGATATCCGTCAGCTTTTTGGTTTGACACCATGTTAATATCAACACCTCACCTAACACTTACACAGTGAACCAAGTGGCAAATGAATGGAAATTCCGAAATGATGACGAGCGACTCGCATATACCGTCAAAGGCTACACATTGGTCGAGACGGCTTAAGAATTCCCGGAGCTTCTGGAGCTTTCCGCTGGTGCTTTCCAACTGTCTCAAATTCCTATAGATGTTGCTGCACTTGGGGTAACTGTGCCAGTCGCGATCTCTAATGTAGGTCCACGTCAGGTGTTCCCGTAGACCGAGACGAGCGAGGCCAGGTGCAGTAGCCAATAGTCGCGCCAAGAAGACGTTGTCGAGAAGCAGCTCCTCATCCGGCATAAAATCGTCTCGAACGCCGCCCTCGTCTATCCATTTTGTTATTTCGCGGTCCCAGGCTTTGTTGAGTTTATTTCTCAGCAACGCCTCAACTTGTCGAAGAAGGAGAAAGTCCTCTCCGCAGGGCAACGTACAAGCAATATCGAAAGAATTCAAGGGGGGAATAAAGGTCAGTACCTTGCCGTTTTGCATGGTGGAACCTCGTCGTCGTATAGCATACAGCGGCAACATGCGAGCAAAGAAGGCCGTATCTTCCTCAAACCTGTGTTCCTCTTCGTCGGCGAGTCGACGGTCAGTACCACGGCGTCTCGTTGCTCTGGCTAACCCCTTGGCCTTCTTGACGAGCTCGTTGTCGTCCAAATACTCGACGAAACGGGGGTCGTCCTTGAGACGGGGGGAGGCTATATTGATGCACCGAACTAGAGGAAGCACGTCGAGGAGTCCGTTCCGGAGGATCGGAGTCCCCGTAAGGGCATAAAATGCTGGGGGATCGGCCCAGTCCCCGTTGTCGACAAGCCGCCCCAGGATGCCGTAGAGTGTCGTGTCCCAGTTCACCCTCAGATGGGCCTCGTCCCGCCACACACGAGCCCACGCAATGCCATCAGGGCGGGGTGTACCACGTTTCACTAAATGCCCAGCCTTGTTGTTTAGGAAGTCCGCTACACACGACTGGTACGACTCGACAGACGTGAGGATGATGACACGGTACGCTTGTGGCTCGGCCGGCGCCATCATGATCTTTCCTGGTCCCGGTTGTAGTCGAAGTCGTCTATGATATTCTTCACCCACGTAGCGACCAGGATAGTCGGCGTGGTGGATATACAATTTGACCCCGACAATCGTCGTGTTGATACCCAGGGCCGTCCATTCTGTCGCCCAGGTACCGAGAAGCCCCGCCGGGGTGAGAACGAGTGATGCCCCCATGCGCGGTTTCCACCTATATGCTGGCGAGCGGACGTGGCACGCACATTCAAGAGGGAAGTCGTCGCGGACGTTGCAGTATTTGGAGGAGTCAGTGGCGTCCATTTGGGACAGATGGTCTTCGGGGTGATTCTTGATGTGTTCTGCGTTTTTTGCCACGAGACTGAAGAATACTGTCCCGCACAGCGCTTCGGTCGTCTGCGTCGAGGGAATTAGCTTGCACGGACCAAGCGAGCCTCCTCAGAGTTGGTAGTGGGGTTTACCTTTCCGAGGCCCATGAGATCATTCACTAAAGCACCCTGTCTGGCAGACTCGTGTTCTTCCCGAAGGAGCCAGTACATGACGTACAGTTGGTAGTGATATAGTGATCTGGTTATCCCGTCGATTCGGATCCACGGCTGTGCGTGACGGATACCGCGCTCGATACGGCTGTCAGACTTTACCAGGCGGAAGGCTGCCTCTTGAGTTTCCAAGTCAAACTGTTCTGCCGCCATCGGGACCGCGTCGGGTTCCTCAATTAGCCTGACCTGCTCACCGATATGGAGGGGTTGAGAACAATATGGGCGGTTCGTGTTCTTCACCAAGACCTGGCTCGGCTCTTCCTTCTGGTTTAGGTGGTCAATAATGAGGGAGACTTCGGCATCCGTGAGAGGACGACGCATGGTACGTAGATTGTCCAGTAGATATCTCCCAGTGGCTGAGCTTCCAGGTCGACATTGACTGCGGCCGCCTGGGGAACCATTCAACCCGGTAGTCATTTCCATCCTACTATCAATGCTATTGAGTGCACACTTGGTGCGAGTACGGCTCGATGGGTCGAGAGGATGGCGGACGTTGGAAGTCTGTTCGTGCCATAGTCAGTCAGGAGAGACGCCAGGACGATGCGATCATGTAAGATGAGGCATATGAGTGTCCGTCACCCAACTTGGTTAGCCAGACAAGGACGAAAATAGGGGCCATACCTGTTGATTCTGGCAATCACAGGTGGCCTGTCAGCCAGATAGGTTTCGTTGGAGTTCTTGCCAAGGGGCGGTATCCCGCGAGAACACGGTGGGAGCCAACGACGAGGTGGTTTCAAGACGTTCTGTACCTGGGTCCCCATGTATTGGCCAATCGATTCTGGTTCACGGAGATGGTGAAATAAATGACTAGAAATCAAGAAGACAATAGTAAGGCCAGGGACAGAAGGGGACCTAACCTGTGTGGCTTTACACAGGATGAAAGGCAGCACAGTTGTTCGTGGTGTTGAGAAGGATCAAGGATAGAGCCCAGACAGCATTACCACGTTCTTTTCTCTTTTTTTTCTTTTTCTTTGTTCGTCGTGCAAGGGATCACCCCCGAACGTGAACAGCAACGCGACGAGTGTATCCCATTTTTCACGGAGATGGCCACGGATCGGTCTTCTCACAACTCTCTGGAATTGTCTCTTCCTGCTAGCGCGGACAGATCATCGTCTGGATGAAACATGACCCGTCGTCTCTGTGATCAAGAGAGAGACATCTTACCCGATGCCCATCGGTTATCCACGACCACCGTCTCGGACGGAGACCCATAGAGGAAAAAGGCACATGAATGAAGTCCAGGATTCCGGCACACCAGTATCTTCGTGCGCCATGTATCACTGCACCGGCTGAATACTGTAGGGTGACTTTGGGGAGGCTGGCTTGGTCGGCGACGAAGCTCGTCTAAATGTTTCAGTCTTACGGATGCTGTCCGTGAAAGACCCCCTGACTTAGAAGTATGAAGCTCAGAGTTCCTGTTGGCTGGAATATGAGGGTCGTTAGTAGTACGCAGCAAGACATGTGGTGGAATATTTTGGTAAGACAGGGGATTTTGCTCAACCTGCCGCTTCTCCGCCCACTTGAGGTGGCTGAGTCGCTAACCTGTCGGCGGAGCTTCCATTTCCAGCAAGTAATCATGGCCGTGAGGAAATTGTCTATGAGAAACCATTCACTATTCTACCGAATCATGGCCCAGTTTGCTCCATGAAGGGATACCAGCCGTCTACAAGCGACATTCATTCGATCCTGTGAAGCTCCCAGACCAATGTGCAACCATCATAGTCACCGTACAGCGTTACTCTGCGTGCCCGACTGTCTACTCGCTCTACAGCCCTCCTGCAAGCAAGCAAGCCTTCATCGCGTTCACATCACGTGCTGTGTGTGTTCAGGGGATCTCTACTCCTCTGCCGTCATTCACAAGTGACAACCTGCTGATTCTCCTTCGACAATCTCGTCCATACCTAGCTCGACATCGTTGGGGTAAAATACCACAAGAGAATGACACAAGACAGGCAGAAGAGGAAGAGTTGGAACCTGGGGAGACAGCGGGGGTCGTGAGAGAAGGTAAAGAGAGAAGGATGAAGCCGGTCAGGCAGGCACAGTCGTATTTGTATTCATCGGATAGGCCGTACACATAACATGCCATGCTCGCGATCTTGTATGCAGATCACTTGTGATTCTTCTTACGTCGCTTGATTGGACTATGACGCTCGTCATTATCCCCATCTTGCAAGACACGCTCCTGTTCGAGCTGTCAGCCTTTTTCAGGACATCAGGGTTGGCAGACTTACTTCTTCCGTCATGCTGGTATCGGTCTTCTTGACTCGAGTCTGACCACGTGCAGACCAATGTCCGCGGTCAACATCTACCTTCAGATTTGTTTGGTTCGCTGAGTTTGCCGCGTTGCCCTAGATGGAATGTCAGTCTTTTCCAGGGCGCGGATATCGAGGATCGTCCACTCACCCCTGCGGTCACACTCGCTCTCCTGTGGGGAGGCGTGACCGGATAGCGCCCCATATTCGGAGGTGAGATCAGATAACGGCCCATATTGACAGCCTGGTCCTTAGCAGGTGTTTTTACGCTGCCTTTTACAGTATTCTTTGTGGAGGTATTCGAGCTTCCTGGGTTCGACTGCTTACGGGAAGCTTTGGATGGCCGCTTTCTCTTGCGTGCGCGCCCGTTCGTGCCGTAGATGTGGGTGGTCCACGACGCCCATCGTTCTGCCGAGACGCGCAGTTCTTCCCGTGACGCTGGTGGTGCCAGTGTCAGCTGTTGTCCGTCCCAACGGCCTTGAAAGGTCGGGTCCTGTGACCGGCTTGATTCCATGTTTGGTATGGGCGTAGTTGTAGTATTGGGGAAGGAGAGTTTGAAGCGGACGCCGTGGATGATTAGAAACCAGACTCTGAGTGGGATGAGTTGTAGCTGGGTCAGGATCCGAGAGTGCAATTGACCTTCTGTATTAGTGGATGCAGCGTTACCTTGAGACAGGAAATTCAAGCTGAAGGCAGTGATGATGCTTTTATATAGTCAGAGGGTGAAGCCAGATTATGTTGATTCACTCAGGCACGTCAAACTCTGAGCAAATCCTGAGTAAACACTGAGCAAACTCTGAGAGGTTGAAAGGTTCTTGGTTCTCTTTGAAAGGGTCCTCCTTCCCTATGAAAGGGTCCCGTGGGTGCTTGCTAAGACCATACAGACGTCTAGCTATCGATGGGGAGTCAGGGAATGGTCTGAGGAGGCGGGTGAAGCCTATAGTGAGGTCCTAGTTACCCCGAATTCTGATAAAGCATCCATTTATACCGGAGTATAATAGTACTTTTTGTAGCCATTCTTTTTCGGCCTCGATGTTGCACACCTGGCATGAGAGCCATTGTGGTGAGATGCTCTCATGGGTTTCGAATAGGTGAAACTGACAATTGGAACACATTTCTGTATGTCTTATAAACATCTGTTCGATGAGTCTGCGTGAAGGCCCACGTGCAGTGGAGATCGCTATTGGTTTCTTGAGGATTCGGACCAACCCTCAAGGCTGCCATCAGCAACGTTGCGTAACCGAATTTGCGATCAATAGAACCAGGATCCCTCACAGTTGAGGTATGTATCCATGTGAGCCGACCGAGAAAGCCGCAGATGGACCGATGTAAAGGACATAGTCAGGACACCGAAACATAGCACGGTGATAAGGAGACAGTGGCAGTGAGAGCAATCGAAACGTGGGCCTGACGTGATGATGCAACCGTTTTTGTTCTCGACTAATCCTGGTGCCGGGCGCTGTAAGTGACAAAGGTTCGATGGTCGTCGGCCTGAGGTTTCCTCTGCAGCCGAAGCCCAACTTTGTACAACTCCAGTTGCCGTCCTCGTTTCGCTACCCTGAAATCCCCTGCTCAAATCAGGGGCCCGGTTCGAACATGACCAGGTCCCTCGGACCCTGTTTGACGAGAAACAACTCTCAATATTGTTCACAACGCCAGGTGGCAGACACAGTGAAGTTTCACACTCTGGCTGCAGTGCGCGACAAGACCGGTATGGTGATCTTCGATCCGGCATCCTCGAAAAATAGCAAGTAGGTAACTCCTTGCATTATCTGTCACGCTCGATTAGGTTGGAACTCACTTTGGACAATGTAAACCAAATACTCGATATCAACGACCTCTCAGCAATGAGATCGGTATCCATAAATTTCCCAAGGGAGATATGTCCAGATATGTCGTGACGAGACGGGAGAGTAGTGGACTTTCCTGCGGCGAGGTATGACAACGAGGACTCGAAACATGGGCATCGGGAAGAGACCAACGCACAGCGATATATACATTGTACTCACATGCAATATATATCTAGGAAAGGATAGCTGCCGGGTGTATTGGTGGGAAATTAAGGGACGGGTTACATTTGTTTAGGGCGGCTTTCCGGCGAGATCTGTTGTACAAAATGAGGCCCTGTATGGGCCTCACGTATGAGGGTGAAAAAGTGTAAGGATTGTAATCTCTAGGCTCTAATATCTCATATATATAGTCTTATCAACAGTGAAAATTTGCGTTCTCAGCACCCTGCAATATCGGCGGCTACCGCCACCTAACACCCACGTGATACCGGTGGCTACCACCGTCTAACAAGATCGATCTTCTGAAATGGCACACTTGTGGGAATCCGATCTATTGCAGTCTTCGTTCTGGCGGGTATGGACGTACAAAATTCGAGCTGTTCTTTGGTACAGCTGCTAGAGGAGTGACGCGAGTTTACTTATTGTGTGCTCCTAACAACAGTATTGACCACTTACACCTTGTCTAGCTAAACGCCACTTGTATTTTGACAATATCTCCTGGAGAGTAGAACATAATTTTACAACGGACTTTCTGCATTCCTATAATATCTTTCCCAAGCCTCTCTGAGCCACGTTGCAAATTGGTTTGCAACATGTTATGCAAGAGTCTCTGTTTGACGGTGCGGATTGGAGTTGTATCGTTGTGGCTTTACACGTTCTTCGAAATGCAGCAGAATTTTGGGCCACAACACAAGAGCCCAATTTCCACCGTTATTTACATTGCGGTATTGTATTGAGCGGTCCACGCTTCGTTTCGTCATCCACCTCGATGATGACTCTAGGGCCTGTTCACTTGCGTTGCCTCTATTCGCCTTGCTTTCCTTTGCTACATGAGACAAGATGGTCAAGATGTGAGATTCTAGTATCCGATCCGGGTGACTTAGCTCGACACTCTCTTTCACGGCTATAGAAGTCATACAAGAACCGGTCCTCAGTCGACTAGCTTCGGACGTATGTGACGAGAAGAAGGAAGCCAATTATAATGTCTCGCATGCACCTACAGGGGTTCAAAAGACGGTTGTTGCACTGCAAGTCCTCTTAGAGATGAAGTCGGGTACCCTTTGAGACCTGATTTTGGAGACCGTCAATGGCGTCCCTGCCGATCGAGACTGACTATTTTGAAGGCCGATCCTATGATATTCTCAGTATGAATACTTGTGAGCGGCTACATCGTTCAAGATGAACACACATTTGAAGACCTTCTCACCACCACCCTTCGCTCGAACTATAGAAAGACACCAACCGTTGACACTTACTCGCTTTGTGCAGCCGCTTCATATTCAGCCGAACTTGGCCACTTCCTTTGGCACATCACAGGTGACACTCAGCCCGTGCGTCACATCGATCGATTATGGACACCTTGCCAGAGTCGACGGCTTACCGTGAGAGAGCAAGTCCACAAGGACCAACGACTTCAAGAATGGCTTCTGCAAGATTCGGCGTGCCGTTCTTGCTGACTTGCTACTACCTGTTTCTCGGCTTTACCCTGGACTATTCGATTGCCGTTGTACTTTCGCTGTTTGTTAACCGGACGACCTTTAGCTTTCTCATACTCTTTCTCGAATGGCGACGGCTGTCACAGGCTCTGTGCATTACAGCCTGTGTAAGTGTCGGTGTTTCCCAGCAAGTCGGTTTGCACGCAACAAGGTGTAAATCTCGTCTGGCTCAAACATACAGAACCACTGTTGGGGCCATCTTTGATCTTACCGCCCCGCGGCGCGTAACGATCCTCCCATCGATACCTATTGTCTGGGGCCTGCCGACAGTCAATCTTTCGGCGACTACTAAATCCATCGCCATAATGGCTTGTCTCGAAGCTGTTCGGGGTGCCGTGGTTCCCTTGTTTGTCGGCAAAATATATAGCGTGCTTGTTGGACAATCTTGGTACGACGATCTAGCTCGATACCATGCATTGTTCTCATTTTGCCAGTGTCTCTTCAATTTCCTTTTCCACATCGCCATAACTCGAGCCCTCTATAGTCGGAATCATGTACTCCATGCTCAAGAACCACGATCGATCCCCGAAGCCTCGCCGTTGGCTTCTCAAGAAGTCGACGTCGAAGCAGAAGGCAAAGGAGAAACACAGCCCGAACCAGGTGTCCTGAAAAGCAGTTCAGTGAACCGCTGGACCGCTCCTTCTAGCTGGGCCGACCAATCGGATGCGCTGCAGTCAACTCAGGAGCTGGCGAGCAGTATCCTCAGTACAGTTCAGGTCACCCAGTCATCATGTTATGAGTTTATGCGGCTACTGAACCACCACGAGCCAGGAGCCGACATGCCATCGAATGATCTCATGTTCTGCCTACCCACAACCGACGCAGAAGTGATCATGGCACTCCAATCCGTCTTGCAAGGTTTGATATGGACTCTAAAGGCGCTTCTCTCGACACAGTACGAACCCGGGCCAAATCTCCCCCCTGCCAGCGTTCTGATCGAGAACTTGCAACGGTACATCTCCTACACCAAGTGGCTATGCGAAGGGCGAATGAATTGGTTCAAAGAGGAGTGTCGGTATACTACGCAAGGAGAGCATCTACATCCGAATGACAGTTGCCAAGATGACAAAGGGCAGCATAACGGACTAGAGAGGGACGGGCTGACACAGCAGCAGCACGAGAAGGAGCGGCAAGAGGAGCGGCTGGAGAAACAACAGGAGGAACAACAGGAGGAACAACAGGAGGAACAACAGGAGGAACAACAGGAGGAACAACAGGAGGAACAACGGCAGGAACAACAGCAGGAACGACACCACGAAAACCTCGGCGAGCAACAGAATGGACACCATCTCTCAAGTATACAGAGACTCAATGTCAGGCATCAAAAGCCTTTGCCCATCCGACCACGCAGAAAGACCAACCCTGTATGGGGGGCCGAGACCGTTGAACCATCGAATGAAAATTGCACCTCACGCAGATACACGAGTTTCGAACGATACGTCTACAACGACAATATTGACGAAGAAAGGAGCGATCTTTTGACTCACTCACACCGGACGAATACTGTGCTTCCACGTGTTCGACCATACCCGCACTCAGCCTTTCGCACAGATAAACTGGATAGATCTGAGCCTCGCTTGTCGACATGTCGTTTCAACTTCCCCGCTATATGGGCCACGTCGGTTCTAGACGAGTCCACGAATTTAGTGAACCGTTCTCGCGGCGACTGTGAAATACTCATCCACATCGAGAAAGATGCCCAAGAAGGCCCCGAGGTTCGCGTCCTGGCGGTAGTCACCGACAATATCGCTACTCTCTGGGCAAGTATGAAGCATGGGTACGAGATCGAGGTTTCGTTCACTGGTTACCGCATTCTCGACCGACTAGAGTCCATACCTAGAGACCATACGTGGTATATGTCTGTAATATGGGAGCCTGGCGTGTGGCAAGGACCGTGTCGCTTTTCGCACGATTCTGACCTCGGCACGTTGTCGTTTGGCATCCAGAAGCATGGCTTCTACGGCCTCTTTCCACTGGGTCAGACGCTACAGGAGGTGCACACCGCCATGGTAAAAGAATTTTATCACGAGCATACAACAAGGCGTAAGCGGCAAGCAGCACTGTCCATATCACGCTCGGTCAGACGAGATAACTAGGAATAGGGGAGAATGTTGGGTATATCGTGGTCAGAACATACATTTTCAGATGGCAGTATTGTCAGCGTAGAGGTGTGGCTTTTAGAAAAAGAGACCCTTGATGGAGACCATCTCTTGCAGCATTAGATTATAAAGCGATCTTGAATTTCATACGTGGCCCATCCTGCTCGCCCAAACAGGTGTCTTCCAGCTTGACCATGTGTATGTCCTTTTGAGACTCGCTCTTTCCCCATTACATCTGAGGTCGCGTATTCCACCGTCTAAGGTGTCAAGGTGACATTCTGTTGCAAGTATCCCGCTAGGTTTGTGTGGATATCTTCAATCAGCAATTTGCGGACTTGCCGGGCAAGATCCAAGAGCCCGTCTTCCCTGCACAAGTCTCCCAATTTCAATTGATCCATATGCCGCAACGCGCGCTCCCAGACAGCGCCACTTGTGGTGAAGCGTGAGAGTATGCTGGAGGCGGCCAGGTCAGCGCTTTGTACTTGGAAAGATTGCGTCAGTTAACTTACAAGTTTTTCGACAGCTTCCCAGCCAAGACGAAGATGCAGGATTCGCCGTACCGATTGCTGAGCTCGTTGAGCCGGTGGCCGACTTTGCAGCTAGTACTGACCTCGGTCAGGATGGCGTCCATCCACGCAGGCGTGATGTTGCCCGTGTACACGGCCTCCAGGAGTGGTCGAATATCCTTCTTGACGAGATGTCCAAGTCGTGTGCCGGTGATGTCTGGTCGAATCAACTTGACTATATCATACCACATCAACCCGGTGAAGCAGTAGCGAACACGATCCATATCAGAGCGAGCAGCGATGTCCATGGTATAGGTTACTCGCACCTTGAGCGCGTGCGCCACGTCGCGTGTCGACTGTGCCAGCTGAACTCCAACTTTTTCCTGGCCCGGGTCTCCAGAGAAGTCAACGTCGGTCAGCAGCGCCATGGCGCGCGCCCGCTGAGGCTCCATATTCGACGATTCAATCTGGCTGGCCTGTTTAGCGAGGTGAGCGTGGATAAACTCTGGCGGCCGCAGGGTTTTGATGATAAAAATCGCCCCCCACGCGTGCTCGGCCACGATTTGAGCTTCCGTGTTCTCTGGGTTCTGCTCCGGCTCGTCTGTGCCTTCGAACGGGTCTGGCTCATCGGGAGTGTTACGCCGTCTCGAACCTCGTGTATTGGTTTTTCGAACAAAGGCGTTGTAGCACTGTTTGATACTGTAGACAGCGTTTTCAGGAACATCATGTCTAGGAACATTCAAGATGGCGTCCATTGCCTAAGATCATGTCAGGAAAAAGACATAACGAGCCATTTCGTCTGGGAAGTTGTGCTAGCGGCTCACGTCTCCATTTTCCAGGAGCCTCCAGAAGAGCTCTGGGTAAGATCCATCATTCCTAGTGGGTGACGCGGTTTGTCGAAGTTGTTCATTGTCGCGCGGACTCATCTTTTCCTGGAAGGTGCAATGCTGGACTGTGTAATGGTAATAGTCTTGTACGCAATGGAAGTTGGACAGAAGAGAGAGGTAGTTTCTAGTGAAGACTGAGTTCACGTCCTGTTCTTTGTTTGCTCATAGTCGAGATTGAAATGCAGTGATCGCGCCTATGAACTCTTCTCCGGGCCACATTGAGTCCTCCAACACTACTCAACTTTGCGACACGGTACTACAATAACAAGAAATTGATCGGTCCGCCTCAGTATCGTCATATTGTAAGTCATCAATTCTCATCCACCTGGGTCATGAAGGATGACACTGACTTACCTGAAGGCGACCCCTTTGAGGACGTTATGCCGGGCAAAGGAAGCCTCAACCTTTCGGAGTTGGATGACATGGATGAGACCACCATAGACAACCTGTGCTTGAAGCGAAAATTGTCCACTCGAGGAGGGAGGGTCGACAAAATTGGCAGACTAAAAACTTGGATGGAGGTGGCTACGAGGGAGGAAATATTGGATGGTGGCAGCTCTGTGGTGAACCTGTCGGCGGTGAATAAGAGTGATAGCTCTACAGAAAACAACGAAGACGGAGGGCCAACAGGAAGGGATTTTCTTCGTGCGTTAATATGGTCGTACATATTTGCGTGCCTGGTGGGATTCGGTGTCGTGTTGTTGAGCTGGCGTCGTGGTTGGACTCAAGAGCAGCTCGAAGTTGTGGCCAGCAGTCCCCTCAAACCTGTTGCATGGACTTTCAGCTTCATCGTTTTGCTATTTGCCGCAAGCTGCTTGAAATGCCTGAGCGAAGAGTGAGGAGCGATGAAATAGGGCAAAGCAGAGCAATCTCGAATCCCCAAAAGTTGAGCTCAGAAACACCTTTGCGCTCAATCTGGTGTAGGGGAATGGACTTTTCATTTGCCTATGGAATTCACGTCCTAATTCCAGCACCGCTATCTGCCCCGTCTGCCAATAATCTCAATAATCTCGATAACCCGGCATTGAAATAAGTTTATCATTCCGATACGCCAATTGCTCAAGAACAACAGATTCACGACGATCTGTTCAAGATCAAGATAAGCATAGAAGCTGGGTATCAAGTCTGTCCAGAGAAGACCCTGTTGCGTTTCGTAAACCAGCGACGAGGTATGTCAAAGCTACTTGAACTTTTCAGTCCATAAACGTACGTGAGAGGAGTGAGCCGTTTCCACACTGTCTTCTCTCCCTTCTGACCATTCCCGTGTCTGGTGAACGAACAAATTCCCACTCACATTGACAAGGCTGCCTATCTTCAACAACCAAAATCGACCAGATTTCTCAGCGACCACGCGAAATCATCAACCGGATCCTCCGTGCTCGTCGATACACTTCAACATTGTAGCTTCATCCGTGTCGACGATAAACCATGCCGACTGCCATCAGGAACACATAGACAAAGACAAAGAGGCAGAGGAAATATCCAAGTGTGGAACGGTCAGGATCGTCCAGCCACTCGTAACAGCCATGAATCAGTTTCTCCGCGATTGTGGCGGCCGCCATGAGGCTCTGCAGAATCAAACCAATCTACATCGAGAAGTGTCAGCAGTGGCGAGGAAAACCTTCGCTCATGGTAGGTGAGAGCAGCGTCGGACTTGTCCAAGGCAACTTACCACAACTTTCGCCACCGTCAAGACGAAACGGGTCTGAACCACGAACATTTCCCCAAAGTACTCTTGAGCAAGAACAATCGTGCATCTCATGAGACTAGCTGTCGACTCTTGCAGCCATGGACCATACTCGTAGGCGAAGGCCATAATTGTAGTGGTGAATTGGATACATGCTTGCTTGATTTGTGGGTATGTTTCTTTTGCGGCTGCGACGATGTAGTTGACACTTTGTTTGATGCCCTGGTTGGTGATGTTTGTGACCTGAGTGACTGCCAGAGCCAGTGTACCGCAGACAAGGTGGGTGGTGTTGAGTATGAGATGGCATAAATTCTGTTGAAAAACAGGACCGTCAGAAACTGTCTACATGAGGGGTTCAGGGGATTACCTGAAGATGGGCTCCCAACTGCTCTTGAATTGCGTCCATCATCGCTTGCAGATGGTTGACGGTGTGAGAGAAGGACTTCTCTGCTGGGGTTTACTGCTGCGAAAATGAACAGGATGAGAGGATGGTGGAAGGCAGAGACATCCAAGGAACAGGAGAGAATAAATACGGCTGAATCCAAGAAAAGTTTGCATGATTTCATGCAGACTACCGTTTTGAACAGTCTCAAACGAGACATTCCTTTGTTGTACTTTTGGAGGATCCTCTTGGACTACTTCCATCCCAGGCTTATTACGCCTCTTGGTTGGCATTGCACATCTTGGGTTAGGCTGGTCAGGATGAGGATCGATACTTTTATTAGAAGCCCTGAGCCGTAGGATGACGGCGACTGAGAGACGCCTTCAAAGTTCAAACCATTCCTTTTCGGCCTCGTACGTGGGATTCCGGTATCGACGAGCAACTGGGCGCGGCCATCGCAGTCAACACACATAGTGTACGGAAATATACGTGGACAGGGCTCACCGATGCTTCGCGCCGTTAGAAGCAGTCTTACAGTGGTCGAAGCGGATCAGGAATTGGCGGTTACATCCTAGACTGGAGGCTGTAAATTTCGTCAGTTGGTCTGGAAGACAGTCCATAGATTCAAACACCACACGCGTGTCGTTTGAGAAGAACCAATCTTACATATCAGGTAATGTCTAATGACATGTTTGAGATTTTGTACACTAGATTGCAAAACCGCACGCGCGTCATTTGAGAGGCACTATCCGATACCGAGTGTTCGTGCCGAATCGCCAGGAGTGATTTTACAGATGTGCGCTGGCTCGAGTCACCCTGCGTAGATCATGGGACATCCTCGACTCGCGCTCGAAGAGTTCATGCATTGGTCAAGGTGAGAGACTCCGCGTGGCCACCAAAGTAAGAGCCGTCCGGTCAGAGGCGGATTGGTAAGTTCCTACGCTCCTCGAACCTTTCCTGTATGTCGCCGTAATCTGATGTCCACCGTGACACCTCACAGTAGGACAAGTCTTCTTTCAACAATCACATGTTATTGAGCGAACGGTTCGTGGCATTTAGTTGCATTGAACCTTATATGGAACTACGAACGAGTGGCAGTTGGCTCATCCTTCAGCTCTGCCAGCTGCGTGATGGCCTGAGCCTTCTGGCAGAATCGCCGCTGATAACTGCGTTCATGCCCTGTTCTGACTAGTACTATTGAGTCTATCTGTGACCTTCCCTCTCTCCACTAACCCGCGCCATCCCTCGATATCATGCAGTCTGAAAGCCAGTAAGTTTCATGATCCAGAATTCCCCGCCCTCCTTCGTCCTGATAGTCTCCTGAATGCTGTTGTTCGTGGCTCGTACAGCGGTCACACTGACAAATTACGCGGCATCAGCAGAATGTTCTTCGAGACTGGTAAGTTCAAGCCAGAAACTCCGTCTCTGGTCACCTTTCAGCGTCTTGAGTGCAGATTCCATTAGAACGGTCTCCGTCAAGGCAACTGAATAGGGGTGCTGGGTGGCGATTTCTGAAAGAATGGACGGAGAGAGGACCTTCGACGATGTGGATTTGGGGACGCCGTCGTACGAAGGCGATTTCGATTCGAACCATTTGTGGTAGGAAGGTATTCGTACCGTGTGTGTGTCGAGCTGAGAACTATACAGAGAGGGTAGATCAGCTTCGTACATCGGGTACTCGAGGATGAATAAGTCGTAGTCGGCTGAGTCAAGCTGGTAACCCCAGTCTAGGATCACGATGAGGTAGGCACAAAGGCTGATGAATGCTTGATCTCCAAGATCAGTCGAATATTGGCGGTTGAACACTTGCACGATGGCGAGACGGTTCGATGTGAGCTTAGCCCGTTTGCTCGCCTGTGAGCTACACCCGGTAAAGGATGCGCGGCGCTTGGTCAGATTCATGTCGAGGGTCCACTTGAGGTGTTGTAATCAGAGCTCTCTCTGGCGGTTGGAGATATCCTGATGGGAAAGTCAAGTTTCGTGTTGGTATCGGCTTTGGGACGAGGTAGGACCAACAAGGAGGAACTTGTGAATAGATATAAAATTTTTAGTTAGCTACACTCCCCTGTCACCGCACTTGGGCACGAGATGCCTTGCCTCGCAACCCGTCAACTCCGACCTCGATCACAGTGTCAGGGCCATGGTAGCGTGACAAAGGCGGATTTGGTGATAGGTGAAAGTCGACAAAGGTCTTATGTTGCAGAATCCTCTTGTCTCAAATCCATTGACCGCTCTGCATTAAAGACATGTGTCCGAATATGTTCTGAACCACATCTTCCATCAAATTTCCAAATTCTCTTGGTGTCGATCACTGGCTTTGTCAAAGGCTGTTTGTGCCGTCTTCAAAGCAAGATACTCTCGCAAACCTCCGTCAGGATGTCTCTCTCGGGCACGCAGATACGCAGTAGCACACTGCTGCAGGTTTTTCAACTCCCCTTCAAGCTCCACCGAGACCTAACAGCCGTTATGAGGATTGGTTGCTGAGGGGATGGAAGCCTACCTTCTGACACCTTCTCTTATGCTGTTGACAATCGGCGCAGCCTTGCCAATTTTTGAATTCTTTGTCCTGATGTGGTGTTGGGTCGCATACGAGGTTCCTCGTTCATATGCCATCAGCAATTGCCTCTCCATAATCGGTATGGAGTCTTACGGGTAAGCCCAGTACTTCCGTGCACACGAAGTACAACAAGGGTCTACTGGACCTGTCTCGCCCTGTTGTGGACGGTCGGTCTCTGCGTTCGACAATGGGGAGGTGGTTGTCGGTGCCATGGTCTATAGTATCACAAGGGAGTGCAAGTCTCAGCAGGCAAATGAAATGCCTGCCATAACCTGGGTGGCTAGCGAACTCGAGATTGAAACGTCGTGTGGCCAGCCTGTGCTTCTGATAAGCTTGATACTGACACGCCGAGGGTGAAAATTCAATGTGCGCTTTGTCCTGGTTGTTCTGGTTTCTTTGGTCTGACCCCGGCCGTGTAACCACACCAAAACTGCCTATCTCGCAGTGTCAATTGTCCCTTACTGAGTCTGAATCTCAGCATAATGGATTCTGAGCAGCTACAGAGTGTCCCATCTTTGTGAACCTGGGTTCTGCGAGCGTTGTTTGAACCGCAAGCAGTGCTCTGTTTAGTCAGGAAGCCCATCGCAATGATGTGGTTCAAGGCATATTCAAAAGAAGAGTCGGCGCAAGCCATCACCCTCTGCTATCGGTTCTCCTCTCCACTCGCCTCTCGAATAACCGCAATCTCAACGAATAATATCGCGGCAAACATCGGAATCTCATAAATCGCAACCCTTTATACAAAAGGTTCTTTTACTTCTCGACCTCATGGCCCCCTCATCATCGCCACCGTCGCCCCCAACGGCTAAACAGATCAGATGCTCCCCTGGAACGGAATCTCGATCCTACCCGACGACAGGTTCGACCGAATCAGTTCCAAATCCGGACAAAGCTCATATGCTCCACGCCATCGCATTTAATGGAATCAAGCTCCCTGAAGGCAAGGGCACTGTAGTGGTCGACTGGAGAGACTGGCCCCCTTCCCAGAGTTATGTGGCGGAGAGCAAAACGGACAATTCGAGCACGAGAAGTCCGTTCTTGTTGGAGGAGGAAGAGCTATGCCAGTCGCTCGCGCGGAAGGCGGACCAAGAAGGCGTGGCAAAGTCCATAGTCTATGAACAGCTTGCGTGTCTGGTGAGTTATTTGCCGTTCGTTTATCTGTCCTTCGTTCCAGTCTGATCTTGACGTAGCGACCACACCACACTCCTGCGGCATGGGCATCCAAGATCAAGAAGCTCCTTCGAAGTAACGCCAATGACCGAGTACAACAAATTCTGAGAACAACTATCGGTCACGCCCTTCAGCCACCGAGCAACGCGATTGCGGATCCCATTGAGAAGACACAGGCCATTGAGTCAGAAGTGCTGTCCAATACGATCGCCACCTCGCATCCCACGCCATCCGTGAATAAGTACGAAGACGTTGACATGGTTGATTGTGCCGCAGCCTCAGCACCAGGGTCGGGTGCAGCTGCAGAACCGAGTGAGGTCGAGCTGTCATGTGGACTGAGCGTTAATAGTACTGAGGAAACATTAGACATGGCAACCACTACGACACCGGCCAGCAACACATCCCGGGAGTCCCCAAAGCGCACCAATTATTGGGCGTCGAAGTTACAACAGATGGGGAAATCCGTCTTTGGCTGGTGATCACTACGCCATCAGGCAAGTGTGAGGCTGAGGGTGAAAAGAGTGAAGCGGGAATAAGAAAGGAAAGATATATCTTGTGCGGTTATGGCTTTGTCATAACGCTACGCCGACTGTTCACACGCAGATTCCATGCCCAAATTGCCGAGCCGTCCGACAAGCACCTGTAGAAAAGCGCTCCCCAATTTTAGTTATGCATACATATCTTCCCACTCATCGAAATCCTTTAATTTCTGTAGATCTTCCAGATCCTCCGAGTTTTTCAGATCCTCCAATTCTTCCAATTCCTTCAGATCCTCTAGGTCCTCCGAACCTTCCAAATCCTGCGTGTCCTTCGAGTACTTTGACTCATCTGTATTCTTCTGATTGTTTGTAGCACCGCCGGAGGTCTCTTTGGCCCGTCGAGATTTTTCCAATGTCTGTACCATCTCGTCTGTACGAGAACCACTGCCCTGTCCGGCCATGGCGGCGACGAATCGAACACGCTCCTCGAGTACGGAAGCTCGGAGAGCTTGTTCCCACTCCAGTATGCCATCGTTGGTTGGCCATGCGTTGTCTGGACGCCGCGGTGCCTTCGACTTGATGTTCTTGAGCACATGGGCCAACAGTGGGGGGACTTTGTCTGTGCCGCATCTCTCTCCGTTAGCACAGTGAGCTACAGTGACTGAAAAGTACCTACCCTACTTCTAGCTCTGGTGCGACCTGCTTGGCAAGCTTCCAGGCGTTCGGCTCGGTCACCAGCTCGACGAACTCATTCGCGGTATCCCGCTCTCTGCGCTGTCTCTCTGGTGTCCAACTCTCGTCCTGCTCTGGGTCCGACTTGAGATATCTGACATAATCGATGGTCACCCACACAACTCGATTCGCCGCTTCTGGAATGTGTAGCTCGCCTATGCTCTTCACGAGCGCCGTCACACGTTCGCTATCAAAGGCAGAAGGAGACATTGCTATCTGATGTGATGCCACCGTGACTGGAAAAAGTGGCCAAAAGCAGATTTTGAGGTTGAAAAAGGAGGCCAAGTAGAAGGGAGGCTTTTATCAGGCCCATTTCTTACTCACGTTACACAACGGAGGTCTTCTGTGAGAAGCCTCTACACAAGGACTGCGGCTTCCCAGATCACAGAAATGCCTGAAGCAAAGTAGAGGCAATTTCCCCGGCTGACCAATTACTCTGGCAGAAACTGTTTTCACGACACGCCTAGGTCGGGAAGAGTAGACCGTTGAAGTAAGTACACTGGAAGAAGCCATGACATACATGATGTAGAAAAGCAGAATCGGATCATTAAACAAACTGGAACTAAAAAACTTCTTCTCTCCACGATATGGAGGGCTCATGAGTGAATAACTTCAAGCGACACCAACTTATGAGTCTTCCTCCTCTTCAACCTCCCCTTGTTCACCGTACGCATGTCCGTCACTAACAGCGCTAAGACCAGCATCGATCATGAAATTCATCAGGGTTTCGAATGTCATAACGAGCTCATTTCCATTCTCAAATGCTTCTCGGTGCCATTTCTCGAATTGATCCAGCAGGGCTTCGCCAGTGTCAACCCGGAACGACTTCAGACTTTGTAAGCTGTTGTTCTTAATCATGTAATGGCATCCAGTCACCCTGTCTCTGTCGAAGTTGCTTGTGAACTCTGGCTCCTTGTTGCACATTTTCCTCATGTCCTTGGTGAGCCCAGCGTATAGTTGTGTGTGGATGTACAGAGTTACTGTCGCGGTCGTTCCGGCTTGTAAGAATAACGTCTTCGGAGCCTTTTCGACGAGTTGCACGTCAATTGGAAGCACGGTGAGTCGATCCACCACCCAGTTCCGCGCACAGAGACGACTAAGCTGCTCGATGGGCTTCAAGTTCGGCCAGGCTTCAATTTCCTCAGCAGTCCATAGCTCTGGGACGTAACAGAGCTCTGGCACTTCTTGAAAGCGCATGGCCGCTCTGGAACGCTCTCTTTCCCGGTGGATATTGGCAGGGTCAGGATGGCGTGCGAGGACGTAAACCTGTCAGTATCAGTCAGCGACCAGAACAACACGTGCATGGAATACACAAAAGGCGTACCCTTCCGATGCCTCTTTCACTGCACAACTCAGTGAGTGCCAAAGCAAGTCTACATCCATCTGGGAGGACTCTCGGGCCGCTCCAGAATTCCCGAGTGATGGTGACCCGCCCACCATCTTGTTGAAACCATTTCATACCGGCCTCCAAGCCATTGAACTCGCCAAATTTCCTAGGAGCCATCTCAGACAGTCAATGCAGTTGATGGGTATAGCAGCGTTGTCGTATTATGGATAGAATTTGTTTTAGTTCGACTGTAGAAATCCTCTTTTGAGCCTACTTACACATCCGGTCGGGGAGTTAGGCCAAGATTTCCATTTGTCGTATTGACAGTGTTCCTTTCTCTAAGCAAAAGTTGAAGGGTTTGACAAATCATGCCAGACACCACTTCATCTGTGGTCACTGCCTTTGCTGTAAATCACTTTCAGGGCTCGCAGCCATGGAAGGACGCTCCGGGCATCGGCGACCTGCATGGCGGGCTGTTTCAGCTGAAGCCAGCGCCTTTTTTCCGTTGGCCACTCTCAGTGTTCTGTAGTCTTCTTAGTGATCATTATGCTGGAATGACGATATTGTAAAAACCAGGCCAGTGAGATCGTCTAGTATAGTTTGCTTGAGCGGGTCTGCATTTCAGAGCTGGCCGTGCAACCACACCTATCACAGTCAAGACATGCTTCAATGGAGGGTGCCGTAGAGGCAACCATTGACTCAGAGATACAGCGTGCAGCGGGTTACTGCTGCTGGGGGTGAATACCATCTCTTTTAGAAACCCTTTCCTGTCTCTGATTGAAAAATCACTCTCTGCCATATTCTTTTTTCTTTGTATGGCATCAGCATTCTCTGCATTCTTCACATACAGAGAAAATCCTGTTTGGAATTTGATTTGGTAGCTCACAGAACCACTGGACTTCAAAATGAGTGTCTCGGACGAGCGCTCATACTTTACGAGGATCGAGGGTGCCATTATGGCCGACGCCGCCGCCAAAGTTGAAGCCGAATGTGCACGCGCCGTTGAACGCTCGCTCCCGAACTTTATCATGTCCATGGAAAAGGCTAGCGTCGATTGTGGTCTGTTAGTGGACGGCGCTATATCCAACTCCGACCTAGCTGAACGAGTCATCGAGGCTAATAGGGTGTATGGAGGAACGAAGAAATTGATTCCACTGGATATCAAGCACATACGCCCGACACTGTCTCGAAGCAGCACAGCCGGGGGCTACTACAACTACCGGATCCACTGCATGCCTATGCAGAAAGTCGTCCCTGCATTCATCGTTCAGAATCCTATCGCCCCGGAATACGTGGCAGTAATTCCTCATTGGTATCTGGACCGAGATTGGCCTCCGAGGTCCAAACCGACAAAGTTTCACACCTATCATAGCCTCGACATCGCCCTCGTCGGCCCCTACTACACTGCATTCCCTCCAGAATGGGTTCCATTTGTGATGCCCCTTGACCGTCTCCATGACGCCTTACAGTCCTTACAAAATTATGCAACGGGCGTTGGAGGGGCAAACTGGTGAATCCTCCCTGTTCATGCATCGTCCGCAGTCCGACCCACGTTGATTAACACATCTGGCAGGAAAAATCCATACTCAGGCGTCGAGTTCGACCACTGTCCTCGGCCTCGCCTGGAGCCTGTGAGACTCACGCTACCCCAAGACGGTATTGCCTCCGATCACGATGACATCCTCGCCATCCATCGGGCTCTCGAGAAATATTCGCAGTCATACCAAGTCAGGCTTCCACGGACTAAGCCGGGTGCCGGTGATTTCTACATCGAGCGCTGCGACAAACGCAGACTCATTGTCGAGCTCAAACGTGACGAGGTCAAACACATGGACAATGGCGACATTCACATTCAGTACATCAAGCAGAGAAGAGTGCGGAAAAAGTCGTTTCTAGACCCACTATCGCAGTGGAATCTCTTGTTCGTACTGACAAAGACCCCAAGCCGACTGTTCGTATTTGCAAGAGACGAGTTGCCAGAGGATTGGTTCCAGCTTGATCCACGACAGACAGCGGAGGCGGTGCTACAACACGGCTATCTGAATCTTACGGACCACGAGGTACAATGGAATAGAGGCACCGAACGGGCCGTGCAAACTCTGGAGAAGTTTCTCGATCGCTATATCTGCCGTGCTGATTCTACCTCTACGCAGCCTCGAAGTCAAGGTAAAGTGCTGACACCGGAGCTTCGTCGCAATTTACTTGGCCACCTGCCCGAAGAGGAGGACCACCCCCCAGCCGGGACCCTGACAGGAGCTAATAAAATCTCCCAAAATCCAAGTCGCCGGTGGTCACGTCGATTATGGGAAGCCCGGCAAATGCGATGGTTAGTGGGGGAGTGCGAGAAGCGGTGAGTTTGCACTGCCATCTGGATGGGCATCTGAGGCCGAAGATTTTGATTAACCTATTTGCAGGCATTTCGGATTGGTATACGTTCTGGGACATGCCCATCCATCAGGTACTCATTTGTTTGTCCCAATACCACTCGACACCATGTCGAAGCGACCAGACTTGCATGAATTGAGCCCGGACACACCGGTGTTGTTTCTGAACTTTGCACCTCTAGACGAGATGGCGTGGCGAGTGCCGACTGACCATCGTCGACCAAACTGTTATCTCAAGGCCACACACGGCTCCACACCGTCCATGTTCGTTCTGTGCGGAGTCGAGGAAGCGGTGGACACGTATCAGCATGGCCGCTATCTTGTTCCGTCGACGACTTTGGCAAGTGAACAGCAGATAGAGCACCATGAGAACATTATCCTGAATGGTATGTCGAACATGGGAAAGCAAACCCCCGTGTATCTCAGCCACGGAGAAATGATTGATACATATCGATTATCCGAAGATGATGTCGTTCCGCGGCTGCGGCGGGTTTCTGAGGAATTCCAAAACGAGCGCCATTTGTACATGGGACGACCCTTGACCGCAGCTGGAGTTACTGTCGACCTCGAGGCCTTTATCACCAATCTCCGTACGGTGAACCAACAATGGATTCGCTATTTGAGCCGTGATATCGATGAAAGGTTGATTAAGCTAGAGGCCAAGGATTAGGGCATGACGAGCTCTGGCCACATCAAGTGAGATTTTAGTCAGACAGACGTCTACATAGAAAACTTCGTGACGTTGCTTGTATCGTATTTACCTTATATTTTTGTCCAGGGAGAAGGCATCTGTCCTTTTGGGTCCGTGTCTGTACCTCTGTCGTTTCCAACCTAGTAACGATCAAAGCAGGTGAGTTGATAATCATCGAAGAAATCTGCTGGAGTCTGATTTTATTCCATGGCGTGTTTAGACCTCACACGTGCAGTGAGTCCACTTGACTCTCAATGAGATTGAATGCCGCTTTTCAAGAGGCCCTGAATTTAAAGGCGCAGTTCACCGGGAGCAAGCCAGGCTAATATCGTGCCGTGGTCGGCTCCGCCAGGTGGCTGGCCACCTGTTAGGTGAGTAGGCGAAGGTGAGACTGAGCGTTGATGTTTCAGAGAATCAATTTTCACGAGAAAGTCCAAATAACGATATCGGACACTTGTCACGGCGGTGGCGTTTTAACGAGATACTATCTCCCTTCCCATGGACAGGGTAGACCACTGCCCGCCGATGTTCCTTCTGTCGATTCTCGAATCACAATCATGACGGTCGCTAATGAACTCGGTTTATTCAATCAGCTATGACGAGGCCCAGCCCTTTCTTCTGACCTATTGAAACTGAGCTCGATTAGAGCAGCGGTGACGGCCGATATGGCAATCACTGACCTTACATTTAGACAGACCGACCACAGTTTGAGCCATGTTCCAGCAGTCTTCTCTGCGAACCCTCTAACTTGTGCACATGATTCACCAAGTACTATAACTATAAGACAAGGATACTATTATGGCCAGGCTAGCCGCGACCGACTGAGAAGTGTCGCAAGATCGAAATGATACAGATGTTACGATTCGGAAGGCCCGCTTACGAAATCCCTTCCTTCAACGCGCATTTTGAGCGACCGTTCCAACACGATAGGTAGAGGACGGCGTTCTGAAATTATTCCCCTCCCTCACACCAGGCATTCCTACCACCGTTTCTCAATTCGTTTATGGCTGAGGGAGGATACCTATCCTATCCTCAGTGCATGGTGTCTACTCTCCATCAAGACTAATTTGATGCATGAGCAACACTTTATGATCCTAGTTCAAATTAATCATGAACTCACCTCGGTACTATGTGGGAATCGGGTCGCGACGGGCAACCATTTATCTCTTGGGCACTGCCGCTGTAGCAACTCTTTTCGGGACTGGCAGGGTTGTATGGAATGCGCTCGCTTTCAACTCCGACGCTCACGATAAACTGGATGGTGGTGGAGTTCATTTCCAAGATTCCTCCAATTATCCAGCATCACCTTTGGCAAACAGTGTGGCCTCACATTGCAAGTCCTGGAGTTTTATATCCTCATTCGAAGAGACCTACCATCTTCACGGTCTGTGTGTGGACGCGTTCGCCCAAACCAAGAGATCATCCCACGAAGCCCGCGCTCCGAGTCTGAAAAAGCTTCGTTTATCCTCCCTCGAGGCCATGGACCACTTCGGAAACTGTCATGATTCAGTAGAGCAGGAAATTGCAATGGCCGAAAGTCGGGAAGAAACAGCAGCAGAGACGGAGCATGCACTTTACGTGGACCTGGCGCACCGTCTCCGCGGGCGTTTCGCTCCTGGAAAGAACGGACACACTCTCAGAAGCGCCCAGGTCACAGTGATCGAAGGCTTGGAACGGGAGAGGTCTGGTTTAAAGATCCTTCACAGCACGAGGTCAAGCTTGGCTCAGCAGTATACTCGTTTTCATTGCCTCTCCCGCGGCTTTACCGAGATGATCGTGGAGAATAATGGAAGTTGCGATGCGATACAGGCGGTTTATCGAACCTGCTCATTAGGCATGTCTAGTGACACCAACAGATCAAAGCCAGCCGAATAGTCATGATGGACAACAACATATCTGGCCGCAATCCAACGCCGAAGTTAACGATCTAGTACACAACGTATAGCATTTCTCCAGCTAGTTAGCTTCGGTCTCCTTAAGGATATTACAAATGTCTACTGCATCGGCTGCTTCGAGACTAATAATGATATTGCCTATACTGATCTTTACTAAGGTTTCCAGCGATCCGTCAGTCAGTGCGGCGTCCTCGGCAACGTCCACCGTGGACAATGCCAGAATCATAGCGCTCCTTCTTCACTTCAGCAAGACTCCAACCAGTTTGTTACCACCGTCTGGATGTTGCGATACTCTTCACTACCTTAGAATACTTTAGTGGTTGACTTGTGGCGTAAGTACCATCCCGTTGCGGCGAGTCTTAGACCACAAAATCACCTCTCGTCACTTTGCCGAGACCGTGTCACAGGGTGCTCAGCTACATGTACCAACACCTACGGCGATGAAAACAGTCCTCGTCTCCATTTGTACCAAGTATTGAGGATCCGTCTCAAGCAACTCTTATTTGTTCCCCTGGCGCGCACCCAGGGCTGTCTTCAACATTCCCTCGTTACCCAACAATTTTGACCATATTTCCTCACAGGGCGGTACGATGGTTGAACCACGAGCACCCTGGGATCTTCCACAATCTCAAGCATTGCTGGAGCCCTTCCAATCCATTGCCTCGCCGACCAGCAGGACAGGAGTCTCGCATTCCGACCGCCTCGCATCAGATAACGGAGTGCCAGACGCTGTGAGCAGATCGAGTCGTGACAACATGGTGCAGTCAAGCAACGAAAGCAGAGAGTCAAGGGAGAGTCACAGGGTCTCTCGACGCCAGCGCGATTCGTCGAGTATTTTGTCTCTATCTATGGTGGCATTTGGGCTTGCTCTGCTGATAGCACTTACCGCCACAGTGGTTCGCGTTAAGATGTCCAAGACGGAACCCGACAGCTCATCCGACCAAGTCAGCATCCTCAAGAACAACCTCACCCGGGCGTGGGCTGCAGTCTCCTCGGGGCCCACTGTCGAGCCCTACCATGTCAAAGTGACTGAGGCACTGAGTGCTTCGGCCGACGTCGAGATACGAGAAGCCTCTGTCAGGGCCCGACACAAAAATTTATTAGACCATGAGATGCCAAAGGTTTTCGGCGAAGGCCAATGTTCGGCGTTGTTAGTCTCGATTCGCCACACAGCCAGCGAGATCGCCGCGGCTAGGGATGCGTACAACAACCTCAACACAACCTTCATCAGCGCAACGAATCTCGTATGCTCACAGCAAAAACACGCTCTTAGACGTTATCGAAGTGACCAAGATTGGAAGGCCACGCAAACTCTGGCCAAAGTAATATTTGACCCTGGGGTCTGGGACCAGTTGCAGAGTTGGTGGCCGAGCGGACCAGACAATGTAGCCGAAACTGCGAAGTCATCACGAGAAATACTGCAAGGCCTGGAGCGTGCGTGTGCGATACTGCTTCAATCTGTCGTTCCCCCCCACGCTGCCACTTACCACATCATGTCGCTGGACTACTTGTTGGCGGGGGAAATGCTGGCCGCCCATATCGGTCAATCACTTACGCCTCTGTGCGACCCAGGGGTGGTGGGTAAAGTCAGTCGAATGATCAGGAAGGCAGCAAAAAGAGCGCGGCGACAAAGACTGGTTTAGTGGAGATCAAAGTTGGGGAGACCCCCTAACGAGCTCCACTCTTAGGTGTTCGATGTCGGTAAATCTCTCCCTTCAACTACTGTATGTACACCCACCACGTTCAGGTATTATTTAAATGGTTACCTTTTAGGTACTAATAAGATTGACATTGTAATGACTTCGCTTCTTCCTACCTACGTGGGTGTCATAACAGGTGACTTATTCTCTACCCTTTCATGGACAACATGTAGCATTCTTGCGTGGCCCTGGTCCGATCCTCGTTCTCCTCTCTGGTGGCAGCCTCTGTCCCTGTCTCGGGAATCTCAGAGTTGCCGGCGCCACGGCAACTGGCGTGCGTTAACCTTTTTTCTATCCGTCGCACAGAAAGAGTCTTTCGTCAGTCAGCCATTGGCCGATATTCACAGGGTGTCCTGGGGCGCCTGGAAGTTTCATTAGGCTTTCCAGGGCTCCTTCCGGAACAAACAGCCGAGGAGACAGACGGAAAAGGGACAAACGGTATGTACTGTAGGAATCACCTGGTGAAGGACGACCAATCTGCGGAACCGCACTCGGAATCAGAGTCGGTGCGAGCCAATCTCCTACCCGTCGTCATACTACCCGGTGGGGCAACGACCCCCATGACTGAATCCGTGAGAAATATATATTGCATTTTCTATGTAACGAAAAAATTAGCAAATACTCGTCGCCCGTCGCTCGTAGTCATCATACTCGAGACCAGGGTAGCGAGCAATCGTACTGAACACCCGGGCAACCAAACAACTCGCCTGAGGGAGGCTGACTGGCTACATAGGTCCATTAGTCCCTTCTGAGGACGTGACTCCCTTCTCGTCATGTTCGTGAACTCGTGACAACCGTGAACCCCCAGCTCCTTGTGGTCCTCTCTCCCCACCCGGCCCGTGCGTTATTATGCCCTGCAACGGTCTCGGTGGAAGTTTCTGTCGATGATAATTAATAATGATGACGGCGGTCGCGCTCGCGGATGCGAGAACAACCCCGTCGCGTCCCGCGGCGGAACCGCCGCAAGCAGTCTGTGGTCAACGCATACGGAGGAAAGAGGTAAAAAAATAAAACAATAGACTATGACGCTGACGCTGACGCTGATGCTGATGCTGATGCTGATAGTGTTCGAATTCGCGCGCGGTGGTCATGGACCGATGGTGATGGAACGTCATGTGTCGTGTCGTGGGTCGATGTTGATGATCCATAGATCTTTTTACACAAGACCAGAAAGAACTTTTTGTCAGAGTGGCACAGCCGAGAGGCCGTTTCAGATCTAGGCCTTGGTATTCCAGCCCTTCCAGTCACCCCAGCCTTGGCTGGCAGTCACGGTCGAGTAGACGGTGGTGGGAACGGTCACTGTCGTGGGCACGGTTGCAGTACTGACGCTGACGGTCGTCAACGTGTTGTAGATGGTGGTCGGCTTGACGACGGTCGTGGGAACCGTCACGGTTGCGAATTGAGTGACGGGAACAGTGACCGGGACGGTGACTGGGACGGTGGTCGGTACAGTCGTGACGATGGTCGTGGGGACCGTCACAGTGGAAGACTGAGTGACGGGAATTGTGGCCGGCACGGTGGCAGTGCTGACCTGGACAGTTGTTACGGTCGAATATGCGGTTGACCAGGCCGTCGACCAGGCGGTACTCCAGGCGGTCGAATACTCGGTGGTGGTTTTCGGCTCGCACGAGGCCGAGGCCCACTGGTTCCAGTCACCCCATGAGCCACCTGCGCCCCCTGGAAATCCAGGAACGGCGGCAGCATAGGCACCCGCAATGAGAAGAGCCGTCGTGAAGGACTTCATGTTCGCCGTTGTGGTTGTGGCTCCGTCCGAAGATGGGCTTGGGCGACGAGGGTGTTTCGACAATGGGGTTCGACGAGGAAGGGCTGTAGCTGGTGGCAGAGATGGTGAGAGGGAGTTCCAGAGAGAGAAAGAGGCTGTGGGCTGTCTGGACTGTTGGGTGAGTGCTCGGTCTCGAAAGCGAACTGTCCGGTTCCTGCTAACAGAATGAGGGAAGGACGGAAAGGAGACATTCTGGTAGACGATTCACCAGAGACTTTATACATCTTCATCAGAGATCATCCTTCGTTGCCCCGGACATCCCTGGGAGGATCTCGCAAGGCTGGTTGCTGAGATGTCTGGTACTTTTTTGCAACGAACCGGATGGGGTTGGTCAATGACGAGACGACCAGGCGGCCACTGCCAGGCGAGACCAGCAGGTGGCTAGCTGCGCGGTGCAGGCCTACAGTCGGGTTTTACCCTTGCAAACTTTTTCGGCACATGCGCCTCGCGCTTCAATACTGGTCGGTCGATGGGCAGCGACATGGCGAGGTGGAAGGGATGTGGAGCAGGCAGAGAGAAAAAGAGGTTGATGATGGAGTCTGGGTGGGCTCGTCCATTGCGACATGCACCATGCATGCTTGACCTGCATGCAGATAGATGTACGAAAGCTTCTCGGCTGATGTGACTGACGCCTTCGGCACGCCGCTGCCGCTGAGGAGGTATGTTGTTGGCAAGGCCAGGCATGTGGAAATTCCTGTAAAGACTAAAGCCTTCCCAGCCCGCCAGCCTTGGTGGTGGTTGTAAATAGCATCAACCTGATCCCAGAACGGCTCAAGTGCGCTCTTTAAAGTTCTCGCTTCCCCCCGCGTCTTCTCCTCACTCCGGGCGCCGATTGGACCGTCACGCCCTGTGGGCCTCGCGCCGGCTGCCATAAACGGTTAGCCCAGGGCCAAGCCAGCCAGCGACGCCGATGAACTCTACAAGGCCGGCGCTGGACAGCCTGGTACAGGGAGACATGTACAACAACATCCTTTTAGCTCCACGCCACAGGCGGAGTCTGATCTTCCCTGCCCTTCGTCACCTGGGTCTGCCGATCTGGGCTTGTGGTCGGCCGAGTTGGAAACCCAGCCAACGAAGTTTCCGTCCTGCTGGCAATAAAAATTTAACTGCATGCGTGGAATTGTCCATTCTGCCGACGGCCGGTGCCCCCGCAAACGACCAACCTCGTTCGAGAGCATGCGATCGTCGCGGTGTACTCCGTAGAGCGGACGCAGAAAGTGTCATGTAGATCGAAGACCGGTCATTGCGCGAACTTGACACCGCATTGGCCTGCACCTTAAACGGTCAACCAAAGATCTTCCGACGCATGGACTGGCCTGTCCGTCAACCGTCTACGGCACACTTACTTTGCACGACGGCTTCTGCATGACGAGATGGTTCTGGAATCATATACTCCGTACTCCCACCGTCATCAATGTGCTCATGTGTTGTGGCGTGGCCCGTCCTACTCAGGACTCTGGTACTCCGGACTCCGGAGTGTCAGAGGGAAGATCACACTCGATGGCGGCGAGGAGACACCTGCTTGGCACATCTTACATCTTTCCGAGGCCTGCCTCCTGCGCAAAGACCGTGGACGAGAACCCTTCGGCAAGCGTTACTCCGACCAAAGTACAAGAAACCGCACGTCGGCAAGAAGCGCCGCACGGCTATCGACCACCGGTGGCGCTGTCGAGGGGCCCAGCCTCTTCGCATCGCAGGCTTTGTGGCTGCCTGCGGTTCCGTCAGCCTTGGGACAGATGACTACACGCGTACGTGATATTATGGCGCGAGGGGCAAAGATTCCGTATCCGCGGCGACGGAGTAGTCATACAGGTGAGCAATGAGGTCGTTGCACCGCAACCCAAAAAGAACTGCCTTCGTGACGGTCCGTACCTGCTGTCGACGGAGTATCTGTCGTACGGGATTCACGTACATTCGCGAGTATCACCATGCTGTTACGCCGCAAGGGAAAACCCGTGCGCCGAGGGGAAATTGCCTGCAGCACAACGATAGCCCCCGGCGATTCTGACTCTCTATCAGGCACCTCCCTCCCCTCTCCAGCCCCAGCGCCCTTCTGAGTCCTGGCCCACGGCCCGACCTCTTCTCGAGTCATGACACGGAGTCCTTGGCGGTCAGTCGCATGCATTCAGGCATGCATCGTATTGTCCTGGTGCATCGGCCTGATCCATCGCGAACCACCCCACCGATCACTCCCAGGATGTGCCCCGTTCAATGGCGAGAACGGTCTCGATGTGCTTCATCCCCACCTTTCCACCTTCTCCGTTGCCGTGTTCCTGACTTCGAGCCAGCATCTGTGCCGTCTTCAGCATGTTTTTGATCTGTCGGCCGTTCAAGTCCACGGCAGCGAGACGATCAATGTCTTTCCCGGTCACGGTGGTGTCGTTTCCGAGGAACGTCTGCCAGACATGCCGACGGGAGTCGATGGACAGATTGGGATAGTTGATGGTGACGTGGACCCGGGAGTGGAAGGCGGCGTCGATGTTGCTGATGCGGTTGGTGGTCAAGAATAAAACGCCCTCGTAGTATTCCTGGCACGCTTGTCAGCCATGTCCGGCGCAGCAAGGAGGTCCGGCGGTGGTGGCTTACCAGCACCCGCAGGAAGATGGAGACCATCTTGTTCCTCTCGAGATCATTGGAGCTCCGCGCCTCGAGGAAAACATCTGCTTCGTCGAGCAGCAACACTGCGTTCCACTTGCTGACCATGTCCAGCACGAGGTTGAGTGATTCTGCGGCGAAACCACAACGTTAGTCTTGTTGACACGACGACAGAAAGGCTGGGAACACGAGAACACCAAACACACACACACGCACACATACCTTCGATGTCCGACGGGTCCAGGCCCAGGTCCCCGGCGCTCATGCAGTAGAGGGGCACGCGCATGTCCTCGGCGACACTCTCGCTCGTCAGCGTTTTTCCCACGCCCGGCGGACCGGCCAAGAGCATGATCATCCCTCGACCTTTCCCTGCAATGATGTCGTCAAAGTCGTTCTTGTGCCTCACCTGGCATTCCACAAAGGCTCGAATCAGCGACTTTTGCTCCGACGGGAGCACGAGCGAGGCGAACGCATTGTCGGCGAACTTGATCGGCTCAATCTGGTCCACGTGGAACCACAGCCACTTCTTGTTCTTGATGGCGTATCCCTTGACATATGGCACCGACAGGAGCAGTTCTTCGGTCGTCAGCGGCCGGTGCTTCTGCGTCGAGCCGCATGCGTCGTCGATTCCGCCTGCGCTGGGGGGGCTGATGAAGATGGGCGGTGTCTCGTCGCCCGAGAATCGGTCATAGTCGTCAGAGTCGTCCGGCTCCTCCTCCCCCTCGTCATCAGATCGGCTCCCGGTCGACGTCGCACCACCCCGGACCCGATCGGCGCCAGCCTGGGGCAGAGAGGCGAGATAGACGGCATAGTTGGGCATGAACCGATTGTGCGCCTCACAGTCGATGATGATCCGAGACTCGATGTTGTGCCTGATCATGCCGCTCCGGCCGTACCCCAGGGCGACGCCGCGGTACGCCTGATAGTGGTAGCCTGCGAACTGCTCGAAGAGCTTGCCTCGGGCGATCAACTTGTCCGAGATCTGCTGCCGAGCGGGATGGAACTCGAGGGGAAACGCCGCCAGGGAACTGATGGGCGTCGTGCCGGCAAACTGGTAGTTCTTCAGCTCCGTGTTGTTCTGGCCAAAGGTGGTACCGTCCCAGTCACAGGACCAGACGGCGAGGGACAGATAGTCCTTGCCCGCCCGTTGGTCGAAGGTCGTGACGTACGAGTTGAGCTTGAAGACGCAGTCTTTGTTGTCTCTGACGCTGTAGACCAGGGTCGACGGCTCGAAGATGGTCCAGAGGTACTCGAAGGTGATGACGCCGTTCTTGACCAGGTCGATCTTTGCCGAAATCGCGTTCTTGAGCTCCTCGTACAGAGCGTCATGGAACAGCTGGAGATGGTCTCTGGCGGTCGGATCCTCAAAGTCGTTCTCCTCCAGCAAGGCGAGCAACTTGTTCCAGCGGTGGACGAACGGGTGCAAGGGCGCTCGAAAGACAAGTCGCTCCAGATTGGTCGTGATGCCCGGGTAACCCTCGAACACGACGCCCAAGGATTTCTTCAGCCACGGAGACTGGACGATGATGGAGTCGATGTCGTACTTCTTCCTGCTGTCGTAGCTCTTCTTGTTGCGCACCAGGAAAGCGTAGCGAGCCGTCTCGCTGTTCTCGGCGGCGTCGACGGCGTCGTCCGGCTCTACAGTCACCCACTGGTATTTGCCGTCGCTGTCCCGTTTCGAGTAGAGGTTCTTGGCCTGGGTGATGCTGCCCAGGGGCACGTCTGGTTCCTTTGGCCCTTCTTCAGGGTTCTCGTTGTCTCTATCCACGTCCTTTTCAGCCTTGGTGAGAGACACCGCTTCCGGCGCCCTCCCCGCCCTGCCGCCGACCGGCGAAGGTGGCCGTCCTAGGGTGATTCTCGCTTCTCGAGTGAATGCCATGATGTCAGATTCTGTCAAGTACGGTGAGTTCAATGTTCTGTGTGGTCGACGTTCTCATGACGCGAGATGCGTGATGGGAGGCGTACAAGCTTCTCTATATACCTTGTGAGGCGAGGGCGGCCTGGCCAGCATTCGTCGAAAATGGTTGAGACATGGCTCGCCAGCGGGGCTGTTGCCTGCTTGTCACTTCTTTGTTGGTAGCTGACTCGCCCAATGACCCGGAGATCCAGGAGAACTTTGGTGGTGGTGTGAAAGAAGCACCGGGGAGGTGATACGGGGAGTCGAACCCAGGGATATTTCGCCGTCTCAATGGGAGGCCTTTGAGTGGTGGTCCTGGTGCCTGTGAAGGAATGCAATGCAGGCTGCAAGGCCACACTTATATTCATTGGTCGTCTGGCCCTGCGTCGACTGCGGCCAAGCAAGGCAAGGCAACGAGGCAGAAAGCCCTTCAGCATGGGGACAAGGAGAGATGCATGGGGCCGGCGGGGGGTGAGCATATCCGACGCCTTGAGTCTCGCTGAATTCACCCATGTCTACGAGGAGAATATGCAGGGGCGCACAAGATAATGAGTAGAGGGAGTCGTTGCGAAGAGACCATAATACCGAACATTGCTGGACGGGTGAACAGGCTGTGAGTTAGAGAGAAGGAAGGTCGGCTAACGCCTTCAGTAGGCATAGATGCCCGACACTACTGTAACTACGGCGCCTAGATAGAGACAAGCCAGGTGGGCCGACGCCATTGGCCTCGTTACTCCATACCTCCACCTCCTCTTCCTCCTCCTTTCTCCCTGCAGGCTCAAGAGTATGCTAAAAGGCCCAGTAATTCAAGGCTCTAGGCACAAGGCTCATCAAGCTCGCACCCACGCCGCCTCTGCTTTGCTGCTCGAGATGTAGGCGAGAGATCTAGATTCGTCGATGAAGACGCTGTTATCTCTGCACATGTCTGCCCTTGAGTTCCGTGGACAGACATCTCCGGGCCACTTCTAGCGTGACTGTACCATCCAAGCATTCCAGGTTTGCATGTCGCCATTTCTCTACATATCATCTCCGTCAAGCCTCGCCACCCCGAATCCGATGAGTTGGCAGCATGCTAGATATCCCCTCCTTACTGGAAAGTCGGTGAATCAGCAGATCGGGAAAGGCAATGTCAAGTTCGTTCTGGTCTCCAACCGTCCTGCACCTGCCCCGGTCCGTGGCGGGACGTATTGAACAGCCCATCCTTGCAACCCGGTTCTCTCTCAGGTCAACATTCACTCCGTCGGGCTCGAGCTCCCTGTTGGCACGTAGACCCCCAAGCTACACGGAAAGTCGGCGGTTACGCGCGACAACTCCATAGTTCGAGGGAAAGCCCTCTGAGAGATGAGCGTTTTTTGGACCCGAACGAGCTGGGCTCACGTCAGGCCTGCCGCATACGGCATCCAAGTACACGTGTCTACGACATGCAACCGAAACTCAGCATCATTGTCTACAGAGGCGATCCAGTTGGCCTTCGAACGACGAGACACACGGCCCCTTTCATCACCGCGGGTAAGGGGGCAACGGGTATTGTCCTCCACGTCACCGGCGCAGCAGGCTTCTTCGGCTTCGAGCAACGGCAAGAGGACGATCCTAGAGGAAGCAGACACTTCACCAAGCAAATTCCGGTCGAACCGCTCCGAGATGTGACCAAGCAGCAGCTGATGTCCACGACCGCTGGTACTCCAATCGACAACAGGACTCAGTCGTGGAATTGCCAACATTGGGTCGCGGAAGGACTGACGAGAATCGCGAACCAGAGGTGGATCGGTATGCGGACCAAGTCAGGCGCGATTGGCGAAATGGTCGACGTCATCATGGAGGCAGAAGACGAGGTCGACTAGGATGGGCGGCAATTCGTGACGGCCAGGCTCGTTACCGTGTTGGAGGGTAGCAGTCACAATGCGTATCGTCGGTTGTGCACCACAGATCTTGCATGGAGCGGTTGCGATAGTCAATGCCTCGTCAAGTGGCTCAGGAAGTGATCGGTCATCAGCTCTTCCGGGTATAGTTTGTCAAATATAATGTCTGCATACTCGCGATAGTCGCTGTACACTGCCCTGAAGAACTGGACAAATTCCCAATACTCTGGGTACCATCCGGCCGTCTCCCAGTCCAGCACCCCAACGATTTGTCCTTCTCTGATTACTACGTTAGTCAGGCTCAAATCCCCGTGAGTAAAGACCGTTTTGTGAGAGGTCGAAAGAAGTCCCTCCAACATCTTTCGATACACTCTGGGAGTCTTGGAGATGGTGTTACTCAACAAGAAGTCGTTGAAGGATGCTTCATCCGGAAAAGGGCCGCCTTGGTGAGTGCCTCGACGAGCGTCGACCCCCGGGCCCTGATCCAGTGAACCGATGTAATCCCCCTCCAGCGAGCGAAGCTGATTCACGATGCCGCGTAGCTGACGCGCATAACTGTGTTTTTCATCCTGTGAGAGTTGTGGCCACACACTCTCCGACGTGTCCCCGGTGACCATCTCCATGTCGATGATCGTTATGCCCTCACAGTCGGTGCATGAGTATACTTCTGGCACGGGGATGCTCAATCCAGACCCGGCGATGAATGTCAGGGCTTTCGCCTCTCTGCAGTTCACGGGTTCGCCATATTTTATGATTCTCCTATTGTGGCGGAAGACTCGTCGACCGAAGGAATCGAGCAGGATGGCTGAGGGGTCTGCGCGGGCTTGGTCGAAACCCGCCTCGACACTCTCGCGAGTCCAGTGTGCCTTCATATTCTTGTGGTCATGACACGCCTTGGAGACAAGAGCCAAGCAATACGCGAGGCAATCAGGAATTCGCTCGTCGAGGCGGCGGCAGCGTTGAGAGATTTTACGACGGACAAAGGCAGCACCGGCCTAGCGGTGTCTAAGACTGCGATCAGTGGTAAGCATTTTGCAGACACGTCCCGGAAGCACGAGGTCGACGTGTGTATCTCGCTCGCATTCACCGAAGACCAGAAAGAGGCGCGGGATGGACGTTGAAGAAGTGTCCGATTGTGGTGAAGCTGCGAGGGAATTGATTCATGACATTGTTACGACTGAGAAAGGGGGGAGGGCATCTGGGTCACGTGCTTCCTTTGACGTGCCCGTACCCCCTGCCTCAAAGGACATTATCTCGACAACTGCCTCCATGTCTACAAAACCCAAAAGTCCTCTGCTGTGGACAAGGAGCGATGGTTATGCACACAGGATGCTCTCAGGCTGCGGGGGTGACCTCTTCAGGCCCAAACCTCAACAAGCGAGACTCCCTTTTGCCTTCCATGCCCGAGCACAAATCCCTCACTGGCCCTATCAACATGTCCTTACCGCTGTCCAGGCTTCTAACATCGCACATCCAACCTTTCCGCTTCAACCAGGCTCCCTGCTCTCCTTCCCAAAGATGTTTTTGCACGGCCGGTGCCGTGATGCGTCTCACACGGAGCGCTTTAACGCTCACGCCACGATCATCTTTGGCCTCATCGTGAGCACTGATCCAACACCTGGCCATCAAAGCCCGTGCGATCTCGGCACCGCCCTCCATCCCGGTCATGATGTTTCCGCCCAGGAACCATGGATTCTCGGCTCGGTCGAAAGAATGCAACAGCAATGTGAGCGGGAGGGCACCAGTCAATTGCACGAGATGATGCTGAACGTATGGCTGGAGGTCTGACAGCGCCACCCCGTGGGGTGAATATATGACGGACAGTGCCTTGGGGCGAGGCGGAGTAATGGGCGACGAACACGGCGTCGACGAGGAACTGGAAAGGGATTTGTGGTGTCGCGGCACCATCGACTTACGATACTGGAGGACGGTCGTGGGCGGAGCCATTACCGACGGTCTGGGGGAGTTGGGGACAGAAGTGTCGACCAGTGTCGCGCTCGGGGAATGGGGAGGCGTTGGCAAGTCGTTGAAACCACCAGGCGGCTGGTCGAGGTCGAATTGAAAGGGAATATCCAATAACCGAGCCCGGTCAGGCATAGTCAACGTTTGTTGTATGATGTCCTCGGCGCCGGACGCTGAGTTGATCTGAACAGCGGTCTCTTCCCAGGCCGGGAGGAGCTCCGACGAGGCCGTGTTGGACGATCTGGACAGGTGGGGTCGATGCTGAAAACGCCGACTGGAACGGTACGCTTCGCGTGGCTGGTCAAAGGACACGGGTTTGACGCTGAGAGGGGACAATGGCTGGGATGGGCTTGAAGGCGGGACGGTCATCGGACTCAGCGGCATATGAAAGTATTTTGTCATCTTTGGCAAGTCCACGGTCGCGATAGGCGCGAGAGATTTTGTGCGTGTAGGTGGTTGGTACGTGATCCCGAAGGCATTGTGTAGACCGGTCATGTAGTTTTTGGCGGGCACGAAAGAGATGGTGACCTCCCCTGGAAATCCTGCTGCACCGAGAGGCGGGATCGACACTCGAAACGACCGCCCGAACTTGACCTTGGGGTCATACTTGAGCAGGCCATGGACCTTGTGGGGATCGAAATGAGCCCAACTTCTGATGACCTTGGCCGCCGCGGGTTCGGCGACAATGACGGTCCTGGCTTCTGGCGGCAGCTGGAGAAGCGTCTCCTTGTGGCAATGGTCCGTCTTCTTCTGGGACACGACGACCACATCTGGTGCCTCGATCTCGGACAGATGCTGGATTGCGCTCGGAACTTGGTGCTCGGTTCTGGCAAACCAAGGTGCAGTGACGATCGAAGGCCCATTCAGCCACGGGTCTATCAGAACACCAAATGCACCGCCAGCGGAGGTCAGGTCGGCGGGTGTAGGGCTCGGTTCTGGGGAAAAGAGGAGCAGGAACGTCGAGTCGGCATTGAGGTGTTTGACCGTGACCGACATGTGGGACGAGCTCAACAGACACCGTGCGATGGAGCGGCAGTCTAGAGAAGCCCCATGTTGACCGTCGAGGGCTCGGGGATGCAGCAGACGCTGAAGCCTCTAAAGGCGCAACATCAGGGGCCGTACGGAGGAGGCATTGAGTAAGGAGGGATCCTGCCTCGCCTGTTGCGCAGAGGACAGTCAACGGAAGGGTGTGGTACTAAAGAGCTTTATCTTGTCTAGTTTGCACGCAGCACCGGCGGACCTGCTCGGTGACGTCCCAACTCACCACACAATTTCACAGCGTCAGGTTTAGGCGAGATTGACCACCGCTGTGAGTTTGTGAATCGGCGGACCCACGCGTGGGTGTACGGGGCCATGCTCCGTGCCTTCCCGGAATATCATTGATCCGTCCACGCGGGGACGGTGTCCGCTGTGCCCCGCACTGCAAGGCTGTGAATCCACGACAATCAGTCGGTGAAAAGGCTGACGGTGAGACAAGGGGTGTTACGCGCACAGGAGAGACTTGCACTAAGGGTCACAGCAGTGGACACTGTCCGTCACTCAGCTACCTAACTATCATCAGGACCATTGCCGCCACAGTTGACGATGATTGCTGGAGAGTGGCACTGTCTTCATTCAAAAGCATCAAAGGAGAAGATGCCCTCGAGCATGCTCGTCTCCATTTCGTTCGGCCATTCCAAGCCGCCGAGGTCGTCTGGCAAGCTCGCGCCGCCAGGCTCAAAGTTATGGTCAGGTAGTTGAGATTGAGAATGAGCATTCCCGTCACGATCTCGGTTCCATTCGTAAACATCCGCACCACCGCCTTGCGGATCTTCGCCTGGTCTATGTCCTGGTTTGAAGGACACGATATGCTGGTGCAACCGTTCCAACCCCCTGAGACAGTGTGTCGCAGCTGGGCTGAAGACCAAAAGGGCCGAAAGGGTCGCCTTGCATTTGTTCCAGCTCTCGGCCAACTTCGTCCAGCCGACGGACTCGGTGATTGTGTCACAGGCCATGGCGAGCAGTACGACAAGACCCGCGGTCCGCGCATAGTACAAATTGTACCACCAGGCCCCCGTCGCGGCGGTGGTCGAGCGGAGATGGACTTGGTCGATCAGCCTCGCCGAGTTCTCGACACACATTATCGACACGCCGCGCGCGAATATGAGGGACACTTCTGTAGCTGGGGCGGGCGGGCGATAGGTCGGGTCCATCGTGCCTTCCTCCGCCTGTGAACACACGTGCTGGCAGTAGTGGATGAACATGGGACGGTAGAGCAAGATGCGGAGGTGCAAGTATCGAGCGTACAACACCGACGCCTGCATCTCGAAGACGCGGCCATCAAAGAGGTCGGGCGGCAGTTTATGTCTTCGCTCCCAGTGGAGGTGATGGGGGATGTCGGCTTCAAACGCCGCTATGTCCGTGTCCATTCTCTGGACGAATGCAAAGTCGCCGAAATTGGCAAACTTGGCGCTGCTCTGGCCAGAGACTTGCGGAGTGGAACTCGGGGCGTAGATCTGCGACACCACCTGTCCCAACATGACATAGAGCTTGACTGACCGCACGAAGAACTCCAACCTCGAGGGGTACCCCGGCGGCTGGCCGTTGGGCCGGTCTAGATAGTAGTCGTCGATGGCCCGAGGTAGCGGGATGTTGCCAGGGGGGCTGAGCATCAGAGGTCGGCCCAGCGTCATGCTCACCACGGCGTCGAGGGTGACGCAGCCGTACCACACGCGACGGCGCATCTCTAACGCGAATGGCCCAGTCCATTTCCCTGCCTGGGGGTTTTCGATGTGCAAGCCGAGGCTCTGGGCAAGCCGACAGGTGATGCCGATGCAGAGCCAGCACCGATTGGGGTGAGGAGTACATTGAAGGTACTGGGTCATGATGAGCAGGGTCTGGATCACCGCCAGAGACCCGTCGTCGAACAGGTCGAGTCGGCACAGGTCTCTCGCCTTGTTCGCAAACACCTCTTCCAACCTGCGGCGGTCGTCCCGTGGCATGTTCATGAACTGCGTCGCCAGCGCTAACATGACGTTCAGAGCGCAGTGGTAGACGATGCTGCGCGGGCCGTATTCTGCAGAGCCACCGAGTCCAGCTTCGGGGGTGTTGAGTTCGCTCTCGGCGGGACCGGGGTCCCATAGTTGCTCGTAGGCGCGCGTGAAGGTAGGCTTGTGGATGAAGGGATACAGCGGATATATCCTCTCCCAGTAGGTGCCCAGAGCAGCGTCCATAATTGGCCGAGGGAGTAGTGACAACTGCCCTGGATCCTTCAGGGCCCAGAACGTGGAATCCATCAAATTCACGCTAGGCCAATGTGGATTTCGCAATGGCCCGGTGGACGCACCTGCAGGGTCGCCATTCGGGATGGTACTGTAGACCTGCTGCATGAACGACACGGTAGAAGAGCTGCCATAGTATCGGCTGTCGTGTGCCTGCTCATGTGGCCGCTCGGCCGAGTTGGCACCCATGGCGTCCACGGGGCTGTACCCTTCCTGATTGCGTGGCGGCGTCGGGTTCGACGTCGCCGTTTCTGGATGCTGGACGGCGAACCCCTGTTGAGTACTTCCGGGCGAGTCGGTGCATCGTGGCTGCTGGCTTCCCACCCCGGGATCTGAGGAGGTTCGCAGATTGCTGAGTTCGCGGTTGACACGCTCTAGTTGTTCAATCCGGTAGTGCAGAGTGTCGATGTACTCTTTCTGCCGCAAGATTTCCTGTGGGCAGGACTTGTATGTGCATGGTTCCACGCGCGTGCCCGCAGGCGCCCGTCGTCGTGCGCATTGCCAGCAGACCGGATGTGTACCGTCACACTTGAGATGCCGCACCCTGCACGGATCGCAAGCCAGGACGGCCTTCTTTCGCTTGCGCGGCGCATTGCCGTCTGTGTTGTAGGGCGCCTCACCATCCTCCTGTACCGGAGCGTTTTGAGTCTCAGGGCCTCTTTGATCCATCAAGCATGCATGAGCGCGCGTGCCTCGGAAACAACAGGGAGGAGTCTTGGGGACAGATAGATCGCGAAGTGGCTTGACGACCAGGCTGCCCAAGGCCTCGCTGTCCAGCGCAAGGCTATCAGCTCAATTGCAAGTTTTGAGGCTGAATTGGCCTGGATGCCCACGGTGATACACAGCGACAACTACACTCCTCCAGAAGAATTGCTGTAGATAGGTTTGGGCAAGATTCCTCACTTGTGTGAAGCCTCAGGCTAGTGAGGCTGCGTTGTAGATGTGAGAGTCGATGAAGAGGGCAAAGTCATCAAGACCGCCAGCTCAAGCCAAGACAGGGTTCTTTAGTCAGCGTGCAGACGACCAGCATCAACACCACTACGAAACCAGAACAAACGACTAGGGATAGAAAGGCATTTGAGACAGGCATCAGACACGGGACGTTTCTTCATCTTCGCGGGAGATATTTACCACGCTCCTTCTCGCCTCAACCAGCAAGTATGGCAAGTCATCTCGCTGAATGCAACGGGTCCGCTGCATGCAAGGCGCACTAGGCATCCCCCCTCTGATCATTCCACCTTCTGCTGAATCCAGAATTACGCCTATCGAGATATGGCTGTCGATATTCAAGGAAATGTATTCCACCATCTCAGAGGTCACTCGCTGAGGTTCCGCTCGTTAAGAGATTCAAGATCCGAACAGTCTTCTATCTTTGGCGCACCACCATATAACACATCTACCCGTCAAGTTTCAAGACATAATACGAACGGTCCGCGGCGCTTTCTGCATCTCTCGACTTATCCAAAAAGTCCCCAAATTTGGTATAGAACGTGGTTCCCGCTCCGATGTTTCCCCAGAGTTGGATGGCCTGTATCGAGATCACACACGTCAGCGACGGACCCAGGAGGAGCACTTGGAATATCTCACCCTCATTCTTGCCGTGGGCTTCTCATGGGCGACAATGGCAAAGACATGATTCGCCTTTCCGCCATAGTTGGAAATGATGATGTCTCCAGCTCTCAACCCCGGCGTGTCCTCGTCGGACGCATCGAACTCAGGTGACAACTTCGCCTCGAATGCCTTCAGCAAGGCTTCTCCAGAGTCAAAGATGCCAGGAAATGCAGCTTCGAAGGCTTCATCATCATAGTACATTGGCTTCAAGACTTCCGCGTCCACGAAACCACTTTTGATTGCGGCATAGAATACCAGCTCCCAGCAGCTGGGGGAATTGTCAGTATCTCTCGGCCTCTAACACGACGTAGGGGGGTTTCCCGTTCACGGGTTACTCACTTGAGCAAGGAAGTCGGAGGCAATTCATCCTGAGCGCCACCGTTCAACCATGCTTGAAAGTCGGCGCTTCGACCCCCCTCCCACATGAACAGACCCAGCATGTTCATCCGCAGGTGGTGAACGAAACGTGCCCTGGCACTTGCTCCGTCGGGCAACACTGGCAACGGGCGGAGTGGCTCCCACCCCGTACGAGGAAAGATCTTGGTCTGGTAATCATATGGAGTGATGAACTGTTCAGTCGCCGGCAACCCGGACACGTAATCGATCTCTTGCCGAAGGACCTCCTCGATCCCATCCTGCTTGTCCTCGGGGAGCTCCGTGTACCGCCCGAAGAACCATTCAAAGTTCTGCCTTCGAGGTCAGCACGGGAGAATGTGCAGTGAAACTTGAGGCGTTTTGGAATCGGAGTCCCCTACCTCCAGAAAGAGCCAGGATCGTGCGCTCAACATCAACTCGGGAGTGATGTCACTGGACATCCCATGGCTGACGATGAACATTTCATATCTCTCGTCGTTGACTGACAATCCCAAGCCCTCAATGCCAGGTTTCGGTCCACTATTGCCCTTCCCGGCAAAATAGGCTTCGATGATGATGTCGTCTTTCAGGCCGGCGGGGAGTTTGTTGAGCGTGCTCGGCAGTACAACGGACATGTTGATTTATTTGGGTTCTGCGACAACAGCACGAGCCTTCGAGTTGGTGTGTGGATGCGACAGGGAGAAGTAGAAAGGGTTGAACGGTTTTGAATTCTCCTGGTTGGGATTCCGTCCTCTCTCGCCCTTTTTGTACCCCTAGATCTACCCGTGCGATGTGTAAAATGGAAACGCCGTCCTTGGAATTGCCAGCATCCTCGACGGTTGGATTTAATTCTTGTTCTTCAGCAAGCCACAGTTCAATAGCGATCGAATTGGAGTGCTGGTGTCCTCTCGAGCGCCTGGCGGTGCTGTGCCACGAGTCGATATTGTCACTCCTCTACGCTTTGGCTGCTGCGTGACCGTTCCAGACCAGCTGAGCCGGGTGACGAAAGGAGCGCCACGATCCTCGATCTGTCCACGAAGAAGTAGCCATGCATGCAAGCTGAATCTCACCGTCAAATCAAGCATGGTCGCGAAGTGGTGCACGTCGAGACGAGACAAACGCACCTCAATTGTCGTGGTAAATGGTTCAGCTCGATTCCGAACTGGGCATGTCGATGCGGGCCAACGAGGTGCATATGCACTCCTGACTCAAGTACGTCGTGAAGCTGAGAGATACTTGACCCACGCGCTGCTCTGCCTGTACTTACGCAATAGACTCTCGGAAAGTGTCAGGATGAGTTCCCACTGTGCATCGGTTTATTGAGGGACAGGGATGCCTTCAGATAAGAGTTTAATTTCAATCGAGGCCTCGTTCAGCCTCGCGGACCGAGGCTTCTGCCTCAATGTGGATTGCGGGGACGAACTGGACCTCGATACTCAGCACCGCAAGCACGGGGCACTCGTATCTCTTTCTTAACCGAATGTCCACGGCCCCGGTTCCTTCGAAAGGCAACACGACCATCACCACCATGGCCACCGAAGCATTCAGCATCTCCCGCAAGGACCTGTCGGGCCCCCGAGACACCACGGTCCTCATCACCGGCGGCTCGTCAGGGATCGGTCTACAAACCGCCGTCCTTTTGCACGACCTCGGGAACAACATCATTGTCGTCGACCGGGCCAGACCACACCCGTCGGCCCCCAAATCACTGACGTCGTCACCCCGGTTTTTCTACCAGGCATGCGACATCACGTCGTGGAAGTCGCAACGGGGTGCGTTCGAAGCGGGCTTCAAGAAATTCGGATCGATCGACGCCGTATTCGTCAACGCCGGCGTGGCAGAGTACAAGGACCAGTTCTTCAAGGACGAAACGGACGAGGACGGGCTGCTCAAAGAGCCCGACCGTCGGACCGTGGACATCGACATGCACGCGGCCAACGACACGGCGAAGCTGGCCATTTACTACATGCGCAAGGAGAAGCCGCCGGGCAAGCCCAGGGGAGGGAGTATAGTTATGACGGCCAGTCTGGCGGGATACCTCGCGAGTGCCGGCGCGCCGCTGTACAGTGCTGCGAAACATGGTGAGCTGTCCCCGGAAAAGCCAAACCCAGGCGCCGGTTGGCCCCTTTCTTGCATGGATACCTCGCGACAGGCATCACGGACTAATTACACCTCCAGGCATCGTGGGTCTCATGAGGGCGCTCAAGAACGACACGGCCACGCTAGGGATCGCAGTCTCCGTCGTCGCACCGGGTATCACGCTCACGGATATCATCTCGGGTCGACAGCCCGGGGAGTCTCTCCAGGACTGGGCGAAGAGGATGCGCGCGGTCGGTGTGCCCATCAACGACCCGGCCGAGATCGCCGAGGCCGTAGTGTACCTTATGAGTCAGGGTATGGAGGCGAATGGGAAGGGGTTGCTGGTTCAAGCTGGGCGGGTGGCCGACCTCGAGAGAGGGATCGCGACGTCAAGAAAGATCTGGATGGGAGAGGAGATGCTGCGGTTGTTCCGGGGTGGGAGGAATGCACCGCTGTTCCCGAACAAGTTGTAGGTGTGGTCAGCAAAGGTAGATCTCCATTTCATTTTCTACTTGGGCCTATACATCAGGTGCATATCTTCGTGACGTCCTGACTTACTCGGTCGGCTACCCGAAGCTCGCCATCCACGACCTGTAAGGTATCATTTCGCAGGCTTCAGATATTGAATGATACCCCGGACTCAACGCCACAGCATCTCATCGAGGACACCCACCTGATTGACGTGAGATCAGAACTACAGTTCAGACCATCAGCATCTTGCATCCAAGCCCGCTGTTCCTGATACGGATCGAGACTGAAGGAAACCCATCCGCCCGAATCGTCGCCACAACGGCCACAGGCCAAGATTGCCCGTGAGTACTCCCGGTCGATTGTTGTGACGCTGTAGTCCTTCAGATCGATGAAGATATCTTTCCGCTGAAGAGATTTGTGTGTAAATTACACCTTCTGGTAGAGCTGAGCAAACTTGGATTCTTGTGCGAGCAAGACTCCCGGTTGGTCGTACTCGAGTAGTCTTCCATCCTCCAGGAGCGCAACCATGTCGTACCGCAAAATATGATCAAGCCGGTGCATGACTGCCAATACAGTGCAGGCCCGGAACTCGTTGTCGATAATGTCTTGTATCTTGGATTCAGTCTCGCTGTCGACGCTGCGAGTCTGGTTAGCCCGGTCTTGCCACTGCTCCAAAGCCGAGGATGACGCCCGACGCTCACCTGCTTGTGATCTCATCGAGGATCAATACTTTGCTTTGCCTCACCATGGCTCTGCAGAGGCAAAGCAGTTGTCTTTGACCCATGGACCAAGCGGCCACATCGATCGCAACATCCAGCCCCCCCTGCTCTCGGACCATGTCCCACAACCCAACTCGCATCAGAGACGCGACGATTGTGTCGTCCGAGGCAACCTGAAATGGGTCGATATTAGTCCGAAGGCTGCCTGGTAGAAGGAGAAGATCCTGCGGCACGACGTTCAGGCGGGACCGGAGGTCCTGAGGCGAAAGTTTCGACACATCGACTCCATCCACTATGATGTGACCTTCATGGACCACCATCATCTGCACGAGGCAAGACGCCAGAGACGTCTTACCGCTCCCGGTCCGTCCACAAATGGCGATATGCTGGCCGGGCCGAATCTCAAGTGAAATGTTGCGCAGCACTGCTTGTTCGGCGTTTCTAGAAACCCTTTCTCAGAGCCCGGGATCATGGAACTCTTCCCATGAGAGGAAACTCACCCTTGATAAGAAGCAACAATGCTCACAAATTCGACTGCCCCATTGGAAGGCCAATCGGGCGGCGTGCTGCCTAGTTGATCTCTTGGATCTTCGGGTTCCGTCTCTCTTACAAAACGCATCACGCGTGCAACGGCGCCCACGCTGGACTCCGCCTTCGTCAAATTCTGGATCAGGCGGGCAAGGATCTCATTGAAGCCGGTGACCATGATCAACCCAACGCCTACGCTCCCCGAACTGAATTTGTCATGCCATGTAACCACGGTTGCGACAAGAACGACGGCGAGGACAGTCACCAGAACATCCAGCACAAAATTCAGCCAGTGCTGGATACAGCTCTGCAGATAGGCAGGGGCTTGTGCAACGTCGATGTGGTGACAGCACTTCTTCTCGTATTGCGATTGCCATCCAAAAGCACGGATCGTCACGGCGCCGGCAACAGACTCGGTGAAATGCGTGTATAGGGGTGCTCGCGCTTCAATGCTGAGTAGCCGCATTTGGCGCGAGGTTTGGAGATAGAAGCGTTGCAAGAAATACACCAATACCGCCAGCAATGGTAGGCTGACTCCGAGGTATTTCGAAAAGATGGCGAGGATTATCAGACTAATGAAACAGGACACCGCAGCTAATGCACTGATTAAGCTCCTTGAGTGTTGCAAGGTTCAATCATGGGTACTCACTGGAGGTGTAATTCACCAAGACGATGGGCAGCTCCATGTCAATGAGCTCCATGTCGTGGCTGAATCTGGGCGGCAGAGAGAGTGATCAACGAGATGCTCTTCAGAACTGGGTGGTTTTTGCGGGATCGAGGTGCCGGCGCATTCGACTCACCTGTTCAGCAGCTGTCCATGATCAGTGGCGGCGAGCACTCGAAAAGAGGATCTGACAAGGTCTGCTTAGTAGGCGTTCTTCAATTCACAGGCAACGTCTTACCGGAAAGTCGTTTCAAGCAGGTCGGTATGAAAGCGAATAGCCGTATTGGATATGACGAAAACAAAGGCGACCCTGGTATCTCCGGTCAGGGCTTGCTTTTGGGGCTGCTTCATACACGCTCACCATGCCGATACGAAAATGCCCAAGGTCCCGAGCATGGCGAGCATGGCGTATAGGCCCATCCACAGCCCAACGTCATGATTTGGTTGCTTTTCGTTGGCCTCGGACCACCATTTGAGAAGGACCACTGAAGGCATAGAAGTCAGTGTGGATCCACCTTGTGGATGGTGCATTATTGGATCACACTTACCAGAGAAGTTGGTGCAAAACTCCAACAGCGTCACGAAGGTCAGGTACAAGGCTACGACGCCCGCACCTGCACTCTGGAAGTAGTATTGGTACACGCTGAGGTCCCCATTCTTGCGTCTCAGGTCGTGCTCTGTATCTACTGCCTCTTCCGAGGCCTCTTGCAGGCGGTGTGAGAACTCGTCTGGTGGCAACAGTTCGGACGGAGGCACTTCTTCGACAGTTTCACTGTCTTGGACAGACTTCCTTCCCAGCTTGTGAACATAGCTCGACTTTCCGAGGAGGCTGGAAGGAGTGCCGACCTCGGTAATCCTCCCGTCTTCCAATATCACGATGGCGTCGGCAAACGCCATTATATTCCCTGAACCTCAGAGGTCAGCGAGTCAGGTCGTGGGAGAGGTGGAAGGAGGAACCAACCAGTATAGGTAGCGATGATCACGGTGATATGGGGCTTCCGAAGCAGCCCATGCTTTCCAAACAGACGGTTGGACACGATGTTGGCGGTGCGCATGTCCATGCTGCTGAACACGTCATCGAGAAGGATGGTTTTGCGCCTCGAATACACTGCGCGAGCCAGAGCCTAGAGGAACGTTAGTCATAGACAGCTATACTGTCACGCAGAGCCCACTTACGACGCGTTGCTTCTGTCCTCCGCTCAAGCTGACTCCCTCACTTCCGATGCGAGTCTGGTCAGCATGCTGTAGGCTTTCAATATCCACGTCCAGCGCACACGCGGCCTTGACAGAAGAATACCACCGCTGGTCGTAGACAGACTGGCCGATTATGTTCTGAAAAATGGTCCCGTTTTCAAGCCATGGTTGCTGCGCGCAGTAGGCAGCCCCTTCGGACAAGATCTCATACTGCTTTGAGGTACTCTCCGGGCTCGCAGAGACCGGTATCAACTCGCCGAGGAGACTTTTCAAAAGTGCCGACTTCCCAGCCCCAACAGGACCTGCAATTACTGTGATGTTCCCACGGTGGATGGTGGCGTCTAGGCTCTTGAGCACAGGGGGCCGATCTTTACTCCAGCAAAAGCTCACACGGCTGAGTTCGATGGACTTCCTGCCCTGATCCGGCTCAGGACCGACGTCTACTGACTTTTCTGACACTCCAACGTAATCTGCTACCTGTGAGCACCTGTTCCCGTCATGCACACCCAAGTCGCCACTGCAGAATTCTTGGATGCGTTCAAACAGTCCAAGGCACTGGACAAAATTTGGTAGTGACTGAATGAAGATCACGACCGGCGATGTCAAAAGAGCGATAAGGGACACCGACGTAAACGCTTGCACCGTTAGCAAGGTTTCGTTTTTCCAAAACACAGCTATAACGGTGTACATGGAGAAGGTAAGAACAGGTGCAAGGTTCATCGGCGCGAGAGCTAACCACTTGTATTAGCGGAGTGCATCGACGGTAGGTGCAGGAAGCTTAGTTGAAGACGCACAGAGGAACACAGTTACCGTTAGGAGCTTTCGGTACACTGCAGAACTCTGGATCTCGCGGACACGCAGCCTCTGGATTGCTTCAGACACCACGCCGTCTAGTCCAGCCATCTTGACTGTTTTCACAACATTCAGAGTTGCGCCCGTGACTCGGAGACGCTCTTGAACCTGCTTGATCCATGCAACCTGCGCGTCCTTCGTCAAGATGGAGACCTTGGACGTGATGGCCACAAACGCTGCGTCCAGGCACAAGGGCTTAGCTTAGACAGGGTTTCGCCGGGTTTGAGATTCTGAGCTTACCCGTTACGAGGAGAACAGGCATGAGACAGGCAATTGACAATTGAAGCCCCAGTAGCCAGGATGCGACCGCGATGCTGACCAGTGAGGTCCACACTTCATGGAAGGATAGCATTCCATTCGCCAGACGCTCCACGTCGGTGCTCATCAAGGCCATTGCAGTGTGCTCGCCTGACTCGAAGGACCTCATGTGCAGACTTTGTCGATAAACCAAGGCGCTTAGTCCACCTCGAAGTCGAGTGGTGAAACGGACGTTCTGATACCAGTAGATCGATTTACAGACCTAGACCGGACGACTGTCTGTCAGTGATTTGGTCTTCACCAAGAGAGTAACAGACATACGGCTATCCCTAGGTACACTAGGGCCCAGCCAGCTATGATGCCCTTGCCACTGTGGGAATCCAGGTTCTGTTGATCGACAAACTTGACTGTGGTTGCTATGAGGAATGGTTGAGAGAAGGTGAATGCGGCGAGGCAGAGACGCGGAACTATCGGGCTCAGGAAAGAGAAGACGTAGGCGTGAATGCAAGCATAGAAGAGACTGTATCGACGCTTCTGATCATCTGTTGACACGAGGGTCAGCCATCTTCCTGGGAGACCATATCTTGACTTTTCCGTCTTACATCTCGCCCATGTTGAGCTCAATTCGTCTGCCAGTCGAATGCTCCTGAGCTTTTGATCAAGCGAAGGGAGATCATGAAGTGATATGATTTTGGAATGCCCCGTGCGAAGGAGGGGGACGATCCAAGCGAATATCGTCCGGCTCCAGATTCCACTGAGCTGCTCAGGCGCAAAAGGTTGATTGTCGGTCGAAGGCGGGATGTGTTTCTTCCGTGATTGTAGAAGCAGCGCCACCGAAGAGGACCCTAGAGCCACTGTTGAGGCCACAGGAACCGGGACTGGGGGGCTGATGAGCCATAGCGTCCGGGTTCTGACGACCCCAGAAAGAATCGAGGCGGTCAGGTACAGGCTCGGGGCGGTTGATGGACGGAGCGATCGTCGATGGTCCCAGAACAAGAAGACCTGGACGATGCCGGTGGCAACGAGAGATAGAATGTCTGCTGCTAGAGAGGCCCGGGTTCTGAATGCTGAGATCTGGATGCGAAGCACGAGCATCACCAAAAGTGCGGTGGTGTTGGCAAGCAACGCAGCCTGGATGTAGCATGTCAGGTCGGCTGGGAACGGGGCACGTACAAGTTCCCGACTTACTGACTGAGCAATGAATGATGGAGACCTGCATGAGGGCTTCAAGGGCGGTCTTCGGACCAGCATGAATACAGATGAAGGCGAAAGAAAGATGAAGAGGGCAGCTGGCAAGCACCCCAGGAAGACATCTTCAAAGAACAGCGTGAAATCCAGGCTTCGGCAGCTAGAAGGGACACGGGGGCCAAAGAACTGGTCACTGTCGCTGGGACAGCCTGCCATGACCGAAGTACTTGTATGTCGGTATAGAGAGAGTGGTGTTGGTGGCTGACATTGGAATTGTTCTCGTGCAATGCTAACATTCTTGAGGCACCCTTGGTACAAGGAAAACTACCTTGGTCCTGTCTTGGAGTCTCGTTCTCTTCAGCCCCAGAGTCGATAGAGGCAGCCGGCAGACGCGTAGGCAGACCTGGTGCCTACTGTATCACCATCATGCCCACTTGCCCCAAGTTTAGTCTCCAGGGGATTGATTCCATCGTGGCAAGTGGCTATCGATCTCCAAACCCCTATGACAACCCTTCGCCTATATCGGAGTCTGGGTTGTTACTCACCATAGAGGCACAAGTTTCGTGGTGTGCTACTCTGCTGTCGTCGCCCACGCCGCTGGGGGAAGGTATTCCGAAGCAACGTGACCAGAAAACCTGGACAGATGGCCTGCGCGAACAGTTCGATGAAAACACCAAAGCCCTCGGAACCACACAGCAAGTGAGTCCTCCCTGGTACGACCGTCCAAGAGCTACATGTAGAAGGTGGCCGGCGCCATGATGGTGAGAAGGATGTAGTACTCGGGGATGACGTGGTCAACAAAGCATCAACAGCCAAGAGGGTCAATGGCTTGGAACATCGATGAACAATATGCTTACCCCGGTTCAACGTACACCACACCAAGCGGTGCGTGATGGGTGCAGCCTATCTGAAATCGAGGCCGTCGAGAGGCAGGGTCAGTATTGCAGCGAAATCACACACAAGTGCGTGCAGGGCGTTGGAAGACTGGTCCAGTCATTCAGTGTGCTCTTCTGACCCTCTATCATCTTTGCCCGCCCCTCTAGATCACGGCTAGACGGCCTGCCAACGCATGAATCATGGACGTGCCTCGCGTAGCAGATCGTTCGAAATACAAGGTGCGATGCCTTTGAGGAGAGTCAGGATCAATCTGTCGATAAGAGGTACGACTCAAATCCCCTCACGCATTTGATCGGGTGCAACCCATCTGAAGTAGATGCGTCGGAGATGCAGGTATAGGCCAGAGCCTGTGACAGCCGAAGTCAAGAAGTCAAAGAACTTGCAACAGTCCTCGCACCAGCCGTGGCGCGAAGCCACCCTCATCCCGCTGGTACAAGTATACCCGGCTGACAGGATGGCTGCCACCGTGGCCCCGGCCCAGACAAACCACAAGGGCTGTTGCTTGGCTCAGTTGCGGCGGACCCAGGAGCGCCACCGGCCACTGCGTTGTGCGGGATACTGTTCCCTCGATCACGGCGCCCCGAGGAAGAAGAAGACGGCCATGCAGTTTGTGCATAGACCATCACTCGCGGCGTGGCACGTACGGTCAAAAGGCCACAATGCCAGCACTTGAGCTACCTATTTCATATGGCAAATAGGCTTCTGGGGTTTGACTTCTGAGTAATGTCTCCGTACCTGCGGAGTACAAGTAACGCACCTACAGTACCAAAACGGCCTGATGAAAAGCCACCTTTCGGACTTGTTCACTGGTGGGGATCTCACAACGGCGTCCGGGTACAGCATCTGCATCTCTCGGCTGGAAATCCAGTCACTCCAGGTCTGATATGAGTCCTGGTTCTGGAAGCAACCGATTGACCCTTGATCACGTTTTTGCGTAACGACGTGTACCTTGAAAGTCAAAAAGACTTATCAGCACTGCTGTCAAACACCTGTACGTGTGCGACCCGTGTCGTTCTGCTGCTTCTCTTCTCCGCCCTTATCTGTCGGTCCTGAGTCCTGCGCAGGAGCAGCAGCAGCGGGCCAAGCAAGACCAGCCTGACCTGTGACACCTGTCAGGGCGTCGGCCGGCGTCCAGTAGCGGCCAGCCACTGTACGTAAAGAAGTCCGAAGAAAGCCAGCGAAAGGTCGGAAGTACCTCAAACACGAGTCAAGCCCCAAACATTGACTTTGCTTTGTCCCGCATTCGACTTGCTTCCGCACATGCACATCCTGGACAGGGGACGCTTGAGTGGTCGGCATTATTTATATAATTTTACTGTACCTGTATGATGGGCCCCAAAAGGGGTGTATCTAACTATCTTTGGCAAGCTTGGTGCAATTGTACCCTCATTCTTTTCAGCTCAGCCTGGATACACCTTGCTCAACCCTCCTCAAAATACAGTACCTGGGACTTCGGCTCTCCTTGCCGGGGCGGGGGGTGGTGGGAGGAGGATCAAGAAAGACCAAACTAACACGTTTCCGACGATCAACAAACCTTTGTCTGTCTATCATCTTTCCAGCCCATGTCGTCAGTCCGAGACCAGCAAGGATCATCGCACTGCAGAGAACCTTCCCCCAATCAATCCACAACTCATGTCGACATGGTTCCTTTTTGTTTTGTGAACCCTGGTCGGCGGCCTGAGTCAGGCAAGGAGCGACATTCCTGGCGTACGCCCGCCTTTCAAACCAGCCCACCCCCGTTCTTGTGTGACCTGTGATGCACTCGTTGCTCTAGTACGAGGTACAACCTTTGCCCCTTCTGAGTTCTTGACTGACGCAGTTCCGGTCAACGGTCGGCGTACGGTGTACCTATTACGAGCACGACTCGTGCATGTAGTGTAAGGTGAACCACACCAACGGGCTAACCACACCTGTGTCAATAGTGTCAGATCGCTGATCTTTTGTGTCTCCCTGTACTCGTTCCAGGTTCCGCATGGGTGTGCCTGTGTCCGTGTCTGATGAGTGGGCTTCCCCCCTTCCCCCATCTGATGAACATGTGGGAGGCAAAAGAAGTTTGAACCGAGAGAAGAACGAGAAATGAGCCCAAACGGGTGCTGTGTGTGCTGTGTACTCCATATAACACTTGTCACCATGCCCAGGATCGACCATCTATGACCCAACCTCCTCCCTTCCCAAGACTTGGAAACTCAGTCCATCCAGGTTTGTTTATACTTGGTTGATGCTACAGCGGCTGACGAGGTTAAGTTTGGTGTCAATCGATGCATTCCTGTGAATTTACGGATAGCACATCGTCAAGGCCGACATGTTCTCTTCGTTGCCCTCGTGGCTAGACTGGTATCGAAAACCCTCCTATCGGGACCCTATCATTTTCTCGGCGTCAATCAGGGCAGATCTCGAGAATGGCCTCACTTCGAGACCGGGCTCGATCAGCTCACAGTCCGACTCTGCCATACCATCGAACTTGACCCTGGATCATGTTCTTAACAATGACACATGTACGTGTATACCTATGACAGGCACACACTCACAACGCCGGATGTTCATCGTTGACCTGATTCTTTTCACAGGCAGTCCTTTATCTCTGTACGACTTTTACATGTATCTAAAGCATATTGAGCGCTCACCAGAGAATCTGGAGTTTTATATCTGGTAGGGTATCCTAATGTGCTTTACTTGAGACCGGAGCTGTAAACCTCCTCTCTCTCTCTCTCTCCCTCTCTCGCCGCGTACAGCCTCTGCTCCACTCGCTCTGTGCTCGCACGGTACTGACTTTACTGACTCCTCTGCTCGCACAGGTTCAAAGACTACGAAGCACGCTACAACGAGAGCTCTCACACCAACTCCCCCACCCAAGAGACACCACTCCTCTTCTCTTCTAAAGATGAGAAATCTTCGTCTGCAGGCGGTGGCACCTACTGCTCTCTCGGATTCGGAGCGCCAGGAGACGCAACCGAATTGAGTACTCCTACTACTACCACCACCACCACCATCGCAGCCACCCAGCTCCCAGATCCAGGTGCGTCTATACCACACCTACATCTCACCTACACACGGACTTATACCTGCACATCCTACAACTTTGACACATGCCCCCCCCCTCCCCCCTCCCCCCGCGGTACCTCTGTCATCAGTGTCCTCCCCATTCCATCCCCCCATCACCGTCAACTTTCCAAGCGTCGTAATCTCACACATTGACGTTGTTTGACTGACTTGTTGTGGTGGTGGTTGGTGTAGCTTTCCAAACGTACATTGAAGACCTTGTGGTTTCTCAAGGATCCAGACGCTGCCGTCCGTTCTGGGACCGCAGCAACAACAACAACAACACCAACCCCAACAGCTCCGACAAGACGCTCGTGCACGCGCAGGCGCACACACACGGCGGGGGGCACGCGGCGGACTTGGCGACGAAGACGGCGACGACCATGTCCGCCTACCCCTACACGCGGCGCGAAGAGGTGTCGCACGTCGTCGCGCGGTACCTGACGGAGGACAGCCCGCGGGAGCTCAACGTGCCGCCGTCGATGCGGGCGCAGGTCCTCTCGGCGATGGCGCGGGGGGACCTGTCGCCGGGCCCGCTCCGGCCGGTGGCCGAGCACGTCTACTACCTCCTGCGCAACTGCTCGCACCGCAACTTCATCCGGCTGGGCGTCAAGAACGGCACCTTCGAGACGCTGTGCATGGTCACCGTCGTCGGCGTCCTCTTCACCGCCCTGGGCCTGCTGACCATGCTCCTGGTCGCGTTCGCGTCCCCGTCCGTCCGCCGCTCGTCGCGCTGGCGGGGCCTCGCGAGCGCCCCGTTCTGGGTCGTCGGCTTTTCGTTCCTCTTCGCCGGCTGGCGCGGCTCGTGCTTCCTGCTGCTGCTGTTCTCGCGCCGCCAGGAACTGCCCTGGGAGCGCCTGTCCGACGACGGGAGCACCAGGACCAGGAGGTCCTCCTCCTCCAACAACAACAACACCGCCACCACCTGGGGCCGGGGCCTGGTCAGGTTTGCGAAGAAGATGATGATCTTCGAACGCAAGATCCGCGTCAAGGACCGTGGCCTGCGGAAACTGCAGAGGAAAATCGTCGTCCAGAGCGTCGTCGGCGCCGTCCTCGCCACCGCCATCCTGGAGGTCGTCTTTCTGGTCTTGCCGATTTGGAAATGATACACTGGTTTTATCATTAGCTGTTCCCTCGTCATCAGTCCTTTGCTGTATTCACAGGGGAAAACGGCCGAGGTCCAAAAAGAGCTCACTGACGGAGAAAAAGACTATGGCCGGGAGTCCACCGCTGTAACAAACAAACAACGATATGTTTATTTCTATAATCTACCTGCTCTTGAATATCTGAAATGTACGCGCCATGTAATGAGACTATGCCTCCATCCATCCCTCCATCCCTCCATCCCTCCATCCAACCCTGTAACATCAAATTCATCAAACGATCTCGAGACCTAGGGACCTAGAGACCCAAAATCCTAACGACCCGAAAAGCCTAATTAGGATGCCTGATAAACCCGGAATGCGCCAAATTCCCAGTACGCATTCTCATAAGCACTGCCAGGCTGGTTGCTGACATAATCCACACACGTGCCAGGACACCCAGACTGGTCCGAGAAATACTGAGGTTGGCCGGCCCAGTCACCACAGAGATCGATGTTGGCGATGATGCTTTGGTTCCGGAAATGGCTCTCAATGTCACAATCCGTGCTAGGGAAGTCGGCCAGAGCTTCGGGCCAGGTCGAGGGGTCGGGGACGGTATTGGTAGAGTTCGATGTAGACGTCGTGATGTCGTTGGGAATATTGTCGCGGTCAAAGAACCACACTCGGATGCCAGCATCCCTCAGTTCCATGGCGTAGACTCCGCCACCGTTGTCGTTGAATTTCTCGCCAAACGTCGCCTTGGATCCCCGAACGCCACAGCCACTATCTCCGTCGGTCGAGTTCAGACAATTTGTATTCAACGACTTGCCAGTCTCTTTTCGTCTGACGTTCATCTTGCAGTCCTTCGTGGTGTGGAGGGTGACTTGGTTTCCATCGGGCGCAAGATTAGTGGCTTCTGCGACGTCAATTTCGCCGTTCATCGGCCAGTTGGAAGGGTCCGTCAGCCACAAGGCTGGCCAGGTCGAGCAGCCATACGGTGAATGCATCACGTCAAAGATGAAAAGCCCGTCGTTGTACGTGTTCTTTGACGTCACTCGCACTGATTTACGGCCAGTAGTCGTGTCAGTGTCGGAGAGGTCGACGCGCAAAATGGCCGACGTGGCGGTCGCAAAGGTCAAGTTCAGGGCGGCAGACCCTGGCCCATCGACGTAGCTGGCAGAATGTTATCAGCATATGCGATGGTTCACGCGAAATTGAGTACACTCACTGCACGAACCCCCCTGCAGGATCGTAACCGGTAAAATAGTCAAAGTTGTCGAAGAAGTTGTCTCCTGAAAAAGTGTCGACCAAGTTGTATTGGAGTTGGGAGTAGTTGGGATAGCGATTCTCTCGACTGACCACCACCGCCACGACAATGATTATGACGAGGACGATGAGAGTAATGACGGCCAAGATGATCCAGCACTTTCGAGACCAGTTCTTCGGGTTCCGTCTCGAGGTCGCCATGTCCCGGCCATAGAAGCCCGACGTTTGCTCTATCGGTGTCTTGGAAGCATAAGAAGATCTGGATGGCGGGTTGGACTGCATATATTGTGGAGGCTGATCTTGGGGATGCCCGAACCCTGATTGATACCCATGACCAGCATAGGGTCCGGATTGTGTGGCAGAAGACATGATCCGAGAATGATATTGCCAGCAAGATCAGGCGAGAGAGAGAGAGGGAGGCGCCTTAACAGCCAGGAGCGCAAGGTTGATACGATACTTTGGAGTGAGTGATTACAAGAACATGGCATAGAACTTGGAGTTTCTCATCAAGATGGAAACATTGACGACGCACGGAGGAGTCTCAGAAGAGTGGACATCATACTAGACTTACGAGTACATGTAACAGAAAATTGGAAATCTGTCGAGGAGGCGATGCAAGAGCATGTTGTAGTCGATCAGGGAAGAGGCACGGGCGACTCACGTTCCTGCAGCTTCATGCAAAACGTCGCAGTGGATTAAGGACGCGTAAGATACTTGAGACAGGAAGAGCGATCAATGGGATTTTTGCTCCGCTATAAATAGAGTGAACACATGTACGCATGTGATTTGGATCTTATCTCGCCCTATCTTATCCCAATCTTATCTCAATCTCATCTCCAAATCCTCGTACGCTGATGACACCCCTTACATCTCACCACACATTGACCAAGAACTCACTGGCTACAATATCACCCTCAGTACTATCCATTCCATCCGTCCCGACGTAAAGGCCACCACATCTCACAATTTAGAGGCTCCCTCAACTCCCGCAAACCATTTTCTCGTATTCTCCCCAAACATCTCCCCTCTCGGTCTCTCGTGCTTCGCGTCGGTGTCGATGCACCCAGTGTAAAGCACAACGAGGCCTTGGAACTCCGGGTTCGTCAGGTAGACGGGACTCCCGCAGTCACCGCAAAAGTAGCGGCTTAACTCGATGCCGCTTTTGGTATTGCTGTCCTTGTGACATTTGATTTTGTCCTCTCCGGAGAGTATGGTCAACTTCGACTTGAGGACACGCAGATTGTTCGCAAAAGCCGAGCCTGTGGTCTTCTGACAATTGCTACAGTGGCAGAGGACGGTTCCTCGAGGTGAGCCACTGACGGTGTACTTGACTGCCTGACACAGACACGAGCCGGTGACTGTCGTCGGAGGTGATGATGGCTTCTGAGACATGGTGGATCTCCGATGAATGATACTCTCGGTTATGGATATTCGTGATGATCGCTGTTGTTCTGGCTGGGAGTGAGTGTCCTTCGAGGGCCGCAGTGTACCTTACATTTGGCTATTGTTGCAAGCTTCTTTGCTTCGTAGGCTTTGATGGGTTGCTCCTCATCTGTGATACCTCGGCACTAATACGAGGCTAACCCAAACAGGGTAACAGAGTCGGCTTTCCAGCCCCCAGTACAAAGATAACCACAATAACGACCGCTTACAATCACTGCATTATCAAGAAGTATTCCCCAGTTTTAAGAGACGTATCTTATGAACGAGACACAAGTAACTTGTAACAGAATGGGTCTGTAAAGGGGAATGAAGATCTTGTTAGTTGCCCAAGCACATCGGGGGCGGAGGCGGGGGTTGGGACCTTTAGAGGTCCCTAATTTACCTTGATAGGTACTCACGTCTCAACTTTAGGCGGGCTTATAGGGTTCAATAGCCTAAACCTGTACCTACAATGCAGGCACATGAGGACCATTCTACGTTAGGCATGTTACCCGAATGCGTGCCTTTAAAGGGGTCGCGGCTGTGTTTACCCTTCGGCCTGCTCTCGAGACGGGGGTGGCTAGATAGTAATGTTACACAGCCAAGACGTGTTGTGAGCGATGAAAAGCTGAAAAGAGGAAGCGAGACTACCTGTTACGGACAGATGCCTCAGGTAGACTGCTATTTGAGTTACTTGACACGGCTGGTCGCTTGCCAATTCGCCGACGGTTGACGCGCTCATTTACTCGGAGTACTCGGTCGCATCTGCAAGAGATTACTAGAACCCTTGAAGAGGGTCTTGTACAGATGGTCTCTGGGATCTTGACGACAGGAAACGACGCAAGGTAAGGCAGGGGTCAGAATATTGCAAAAAGACGAGGACCAGATACAATATTGAGTTTTGGTACCTCCGGATATACGAGACGAAGAGGGACGTTCTCGCACTCTATAGAATTCAAAGCGGCGAGGTTGCCCCTGACATGCACTATGCCTGATACGGAGGAAACCACATTCTCGTGAACACGCCAACAGGACGCGGATATGACAGATCGACTTCGGATTGCCGAACGTAGGTACGGAGTACTGTACAGTACACACAGTGAGGCGCCAACACGGATAACACCCACTCCGTACCAAGTCGCACCCAGGGGTGCCATGATTATCATTTGCGAGGGAGTTAGAGCACTACTGCACTGGAGTGAGAATTTCTCAAGATGATGGACGCAAGGATGCCCAACGGTGGCCAGCGACAGTACCAGACCGTGTGATGAGGCATGGATTTGTTGGCAAGAGGCCGGCTTCGCTGGCGCTCCCCAAGCACTAGTAGCCACATTGTTGAGCTCGGACGAGGCGAAAGCCAAACGACGGCCCCAGCGGTCTGGACCACTGTTGGGCAAATGTAATGCTAATAATGAGGCCCTTGGAGTATCATCTTGGGCGTCTCACCATCAAAAGGATGGCCGGCCGCTAATGGCAGAACTCCATCAAGGCGACGCGACCATGGTTGTGGCCTGGACAGCAAACACACTTGCCGGTAAGTTGGTCCCTACCTAGAGCACCGTAGGCACGTACCCGTACTGTAGGTGCTCAACAAACGAGGTGTGCAGGAGTTGTTTGCTGGATGATGGAGAGGTTTCAAAACACTCTGGCCTCGTACGGGTAGTAGCGACAAAGATTGAGTTTCGACTGAGTGATGTATCGCGGGATGTTGGATCGGGCGGGCAGACGACGTGGCACAACAGATGGATGGCACATGGTATCGTAGAGTATCGTACGTACTGGCAGGTATGTGATGCATGCAAGCAAACAGCCCAATGCGGCTTCACCCTGCCTGAGGTTTCCTGTTTGTTAGCGCTGCGGATGAGACGGGAGAGGCCCTGCCTACGAGGTACCTGGAGGCGGTAAGCTGTAAGCCCTTCCGTGGTCCTGTAACCGCCTGGACGGTCTCGGCCTCTGCGCTTATTGACCTGAGCGGCAGTTGAGCACAAGGCAAATAGGGCCGTGTGTCCGGAGGTTACGGAGCCTGCACAGACGCTGAGGCAAGGGATCTGCTCGTGTAAGCCACGAGAGCAGCACCGAGAAGTAAGTTAGAGGTCGCTCGCTGCCGACAGTACAGTTCTATTTCTCATCACTTACTTCTTGTATCGACGACCGTGTTCCATCTGGTGGAGTCGCCGCCCATTTCGCCTCCAGCGCCTGCTTGGGACCTTGTATGGTCTGGATTCGGACTTGGGTCGGGCGTCTAATACAAAACCGTGCGTGCTCACTCCATCCATCGCCTGCAGGGTCGCCGACTCCTCCCACTATCTATCGCGCCGCCTGCTGGATCCCCCGTCATCGGGTCATCTGTCCATCTGGTCAGTTACGAGTTACCGCTCTAGCTTGGTCCGCCTCATCCTGCTCCAGTCCGTCCTCAGCCACCCTGTCACAATCTCCCTCGCAGGAACCTCCAGTCCCCCGATAACACACACATGACACATCTGCGCTTCCTCACCATCACCTCCGACTCTCTTCCCTTTCGTCTCTGACTCCTACCACCACCTACTACTCAACCACGGCCACCACGCAAACAATACATTCACAATCCGACTTGAAGCAAACAACTCACACCCTTGCGCGCTCCTTCCAGCACTTACCATATTACTCCGCACTGCTTCCCGATCCCGTCATCAGTCACGAGCCTGTTGAGGACCTACTAGCTTCTTATCTTGCCTACCATTCTTCCCCCCAACTCACTTCCATAACTTCTCATTTCTGAAGACATACAAGTCCACAACACATCATGTCTCGCTCTCGCTCCAACTCCTCAACCTCCAACCTCTCCAGCAAGGAGCTTCCTGCCGACAGTATGGCGATCCAGGTCTCCATCAACGGTGGCAAGAGTACGTTTGCCCTAAGCAGAATCAGCCAGATATTGCCTCAGATGACTAACACGTTTTGTCGCAGCCATAAAACTGAACGTCCGACCTGTTCACACCATCTCCAATGTCCTTGAATTCCTCTCAGCCTCTACAAACCTGCCTACAGACAGCCAGCTTATGCTAGACGGCAAACCTCTCGAACCATCCACCACCGTTGCAGACCTCAAGTTAGACGAGTCGTCGACCCTACAGCTCTCATCTCCCTCACGGAGCACAACTCCTACACAACCCGCGCCAGCAACCGACGTGGTCACGCAAAAGCCATCGACCTCAGGTACTTCGACCCCCACAACATCCGGAACTGCAACCCCGACCAAGAAGAAGTCCAACCGACCTCGATGTTCAAAGGACGGATGCAAAGCACCTGCTCAGCCTATTGTCGGAGACTGCGGTTTCTGCCAAAAGCGCTTCTGTGGCAAACACCGCATGCTGGAGTCTCATAACTGCGAAGGACTCGAAGACGCTCGACGCGCAGACAAGGATAGGAATGCGGCCAAGTTGGAGGGCGAGCGTACTGTCATGCTTCGCGGCTTATAAGACATGCGCAGGCACGATTTGTTCGTCCCGGATGTGACTTGATGATGACAGGTGCATCCCGGGGATTTTTGTCATTTTGTCTCTTGCCTTTTGCGTTTTCAGTACTGCATCGGCGTCAGCGGTATGTTACAGGGCGGTAATACAGAGCCCATATGGAACTAAGGATAGGGTTGACTGTAATGGGTGTTCCCCTTGACACATACGGAACGACTTTGAATTTTTTTAGGGCCTTGCATTGGCCGAGGGATGGTATTCAAGCGGCGGAATTGAGGGCCAAATGCAAGGGATGTTCCCAGACTCTGACCTTGAGGACACGCTCTGGCCTGGAGATGCTGGAGATTCTTGCCATTATAGCTGCAAGACAAAGCATTGATATTGTCCATACCGACCAAGGTATTCAGATATTGCAGACACTTGATATACTTGGTCTGACAGATTCAATGCAACGTCATATTCTAGATGATCCTTCTTCTATTCGGTTTTGTTTTTCATTTTCCGAAGACTTGAGACACTTCGTCCTACACGTATAGACTTCGATTTCCGACGAGGTTGAGTGATTGAACTTTCTCGCAAGTCTGTGTAGTCCCAAGCGGTCCAAATCATGATCCGTAAACACATGCACATGGAGTTGGCACATAGAGTTCTTTCTTGGTTCACTCGGTTCTGGGGTCTGTAGAGTAAATGAGTTGATCTGTCGGGTCGACCAATCCATTCGCCATGCGGTCAAGGAGCTGGCACGCCCTCTACGTACAGGCGGGTACGAGTGTCCGTGTCCGTATCCGTATCACAGTCCGTACGAGGACTCCCCAGGGGTAAGGCGGAAAGGTCAGGTGTGAAGAAATGGCGGCGGCTTTACCCCGTACACCCTCCATTATCCAGCCAACCGGGCCGGTGTGGTGATGATGAGGAGGAATCCACAACAAGAACAACAGATTACTGGACTTGGCGGCGAGATGTTGTTGTCTGGGTCCATTTTCCTTGGTTTGGGCGTTGTCCTGGGGCTCTCGTGCCGAAAGTTCCAAAGTACTGTACATTTGACGTACAACCGCATGATACGGTAAGGAAGCGTGTCGTTCCTAGTCGTAGTACGCGGTAGTACTTAGGTACGGGCATGTCGGCACTGAAGGTATTCGAGGTACTCAGTGTGAGTGTCGCTGTTGTTGCTGAAGATGAGTTCGATGATGTCGTTGCTCCTGATGCTGCTCCTGATGCTGCTCCTGATGCTGCTCCTGATGCTGCTCCTGATGCTACTGATGACGACCATGATGATCTAGAGTTTTCTTGAATCAACTCTTTCCAAACCTCCTCATGGCGTCGTTTCTCTGTTCTCCCAAAAGTTAAAGGTACTAATCATTTCAGGATTCCACCTGTTGTTCGCGTCACCACCACCACGACGGTTGCCATTGTTGTCCAGCCTGAACCGGCCGGCGTCGCGTTTGCGCTTGCAGTATTTCCTCGCGCACGTCTCGACGGCACTCCAGTCCTCGGGCTTCAGGTAACTCTTGACAGACTTGCCGTCGTCGAGCAGCTTGACAAACGCCTCGCGGACCCACGTGAGACAGTTGAAGGCCGAGTCGTCCTCTCGAAGCACCATGTCGCGCAGCAGGCCTTGCAGGCGCCGTTGGTCCGTGACTTTGGCGATGGCGACGCGGACCAGGCCGCTTTGGGCCCCGACGTTGGACGGGATGTCTTGCTCTTCGTAGATGAACTTTCGCGCGTCGCCGTCGTCGAGGACGTGCGCGATGTGGTACCGCACGCCGGGATCCTTTCTGTCGGCTGTCTGCGGACCGACGATGATGGACCAGTGGTACGAGTCGCAGTCAAAGGTGCTGCGGAAGGTCGAGAGCGTCGACGATCCCCCGCGCGGATAGAGCGCAATGTACAGCCGAGGTTTGTCTTTGGTGGAACTAGACGATATCGACCGGATGAATTGCGGTCTCGACGAGCTCGACGCTGACGAGGTCATGGCTGCTGGAAGAGTCGCATATGGGGGTAGCGTCCACAGCTTCAGAACAGGACCTGTTTTGATTGATCCTAATTCCGACGCGCCTTGAGGGAAGTCGATAATTCTTTTCAGATGGCGAGAGCTGTTGTTGGCATCGTAGAAATTGGACACGTTCGGTTTATTTTTCGTTCGAAACGTCGTCGTCGTCGTCGTCGTCGTCGACGACGACGATGACAGCGAAGCTACTAAGCCACCCTAACAAACTGCTCGTTACGCTGAATACGATTTCAAAAATGGTCTCCACGATCGGGACTCGGAAGAACGATCGAACCAAGAAAAGCTGTGTTTGGCGGAGTTTGTCGTTCGGCTGCTTGAGCGCATTTATTTTGCTTCGCCAATAACGCATTTCTGATTAGCAAAGAATGCCAGTTTCAAAGTGTCTGGATTTGCTTATTGCTGAGGGAAATGCATTTTGCTTATGTGGTCTGATCCAAACCAATCACCGAGTTGTCGGACGCACCTCTCGTCAAAAAGTTCACGCAAACCCGAGCCTCCGTTCCCATTCAAGACAGGTATTGTTCTCCAGGGAACTCATATGTGCCTAGGTAATCGACGCGCCACGGAATCTCCGGTCTACGGCGAGAGGAACATCTGGAGAATCACGTGATCTGTTCTTTGCTCAAAGACATCAGGGACAAGGATCGGACGGGGTCACGCCCAACAAGAACAAGTCCTCGTACTCTGGATGTTCTCCGAGAACAAGAAATTCTTGTCGATCGCGCACTCGTATGAGGTCAACCTCAGCCTAGCGAGCCGAGTAGAGGGGAGTTGTGCTCTGTTGTAATGGTGCCTTGGTGACTGCGCCACAATTGAACAGCCTGGTGAGGCGGAAAGTGTCGAATGAACTGCTCCCGAAGAACGCAGACATATCACCAGCCACAATGATCCCGCCGGTGCCATGCCATGGGATGACGACGCAGAAAGCTTGAGGCGGTAAGGGCAAGATTGATTCGTTCTAGTGTGGCCGAACTGTGGCGCACGACAAGGCCCGATGGAGATCAGGGCAAGAGCCATGACGAGAAGCAGCAAAAGCAAGGCACAAGTGCGTCATGCATTGTGTCATGGCTGGAGGCGGAAGAGCAGCTGGGGAGCTAGCGAGGCCCTGACGAGCGCCTGGAGAGCAAACAGTCAACTAACAATCTGACCTACAGTAGGCACCTAGGGGCTAGTACTAGGCACTTGGTACAGGGCAGGGACGCCCGGGCGTGTACGGAGACATCATCGAGTGCTTGTGGCCGTCTGTACCAAGGCAGCTAGTGAGGTGAAGGAGCGCCTATTCATAGCCTGGCTGATGCCACTAATGACAGCCCCAGGACCTGGATAATCACAACTTGAAAGTCAATCAATAATCCATCCAAGCAGCAGCCCAGCCACAGCATTCTTTTAATAAGATCCCTCTCTGCTCCTGCTCACGTCCCGTTTCTGAGCGCAATCACTTCCACCCATCACAAATCTCTCTCACAATCCATTCCCGATCGCCCTGTCGACCTTGCTCTCATCTTTGTCTACTCGTTTCATCACATAGACACTCAACATCGCCGCCATGCCTTTCACCGCATCGTGAGTATTGCTCTATCCGCCAGCTTCCGCGCTGCTTCCCCTCTCCTGCGAGACGGACGCCGAGCTGACCTGACCGTTCTTTATCTAGTGACATCTGCAAGATCATCCTTGCCATCATCCTCCCACCTCTCGGTGTTTTCCTCGAGAGAGGATGCAATGCTGATTTCTTCATCAACATCCTGTTGACCATCCTGGGTTACATTCCGGGTATCATCCACGCGCTGTACGTTCAGACCTCACCAAATCTGCTGCAACACGCACGACGTAGTAGAGGAAGCTAACCTGCGCAACAGCTACATCATTCTCAAGTACTAAGCGGAAGTCGAGCACCGTTTTCTCCTCTCCCGACCGACCGACCATCCGTCCTGCGAGGAGCGCCACCACCTCGTATTCTATGCTTGATATCCCATTCCGCCTTTGATTTCGCGAGTATTGTACACCAACCTTTTGCACAACGCTATCAAACATTTGCGCTCCGCATAACCCCGGTCTGATTGATTGGTCGACGGATACAGGGCCAGGCAAGGATAGAACAGGCAGCCATGCCAACTGATGATGGATGATCACGTTCGTCCATTACTCAATTTACTGGAGGGATAATGCAGCTCCGTTCGACATTCGGGGCACAACGACCCGGACTGGTGCGCGTGGGCACGGATGTGTAAACAGCTTGATAGCAGCATAATGGAGACTACTATTTACCTTGAGCTTGAGCTTTTGGAATTCTGACCGATCCGCCTTTCCCCGTGCCGTGCTTTGGCCCAACAAAGATCTAATCTCCTGACAGTTGTCTGGCCTGAGATCTCATTTTAGAGGACCTGCCTCAGTCTTGGTGAAACGAGCACTCCAGGCCGGAATCTGGTCTTCCGAAACCGTTAGATTTGCATTATTACGTCTAGGTGTATGAGAAGTTGCCCACCCCGGCAACCCTCCCGATCGCGGATGTAGACGACGACGGACGCTATCTAGGCCGGAGCTTTGGAGTGTGGAAACACGTGGTGTTGGGAAAATGGGAATAACATCTAGGTACTCCGTATGGATAGCCTCCTACAATGGTCTGAGAGCTGGCCGGTATAGCAGAGGCCAATCTCACTTTAAGGAGATCGTGACACTGGATCAAGCGAAGCAAGCTGTCTGTGATGAATCTGCACACAACACCTCGCGTCAACAGGAGGCTCTCCCAACTTCTCTTCAATTCGAGAAATGTCCCCTGATCAACTGCGAGCCTACCAACAGTATATCAGCAATCTCGTCGCAAGCGCCCGTTCGCGGCCAAGTTGTTTTCAGAGCGCCATTGGAGGGATCTGGCGGATCACGTGTGCGGCCTGGGCCCCTCCAGGACTGAGGGTTTCGATCCCTTAGCGCCCTCATGCTGAATCTTTGCCAGTTTCACGATATACAACCGACCGTTGGAAGCGGAGGTCGATGTTTCGCGCGCGCCTGGGATGCTATATGGCGTGTCCGGATGTCAAGCCTCCATCGTCATCACTTGCCGCAGGAAAAAATGTCATCTTACTATCCCTCGTCGAGGGGCCAGGTGAGTCAGTCGACAGTTTTGATGTTAGAAACCCCTTGAACCGGTATATCTGTTTCCGGCCGCCCTGGAGTTTCGACTTTGAGATCTCTGTTCGCTTCTGGTGAGCTCCCTTCCTGGCGTGCAGAACATGAAAGCATCATTCGCAGGCCACATGCCGCAAACGGTTGAGCCAGCCTCGAGATAACCTACGACGATGACAAAGAGAGAACGTCCGTCATGCATTATCCGCCCTGGACCGCCCTCCTTCCGGCAGCAGTCGTCCCCGATGGCGTCCTGCTACGCTCTCGGGCAGCCTCGACGTCTACTACATGTTTACCTTCGTCCCTCCTCTCGCTCGTACCTCAGTGTGCCGTTGCCTGCATACAATTGTTCGCGGAATCCAAATATCCAGGAGCTACCTGCTCTGCCACTTCAGACCTTGAGTTTCTTTGCACCGAAGACAACACGTCGGATCTTACGATCGGAGAAGCCGGTTTACAGTGCGTGGTGTCGTTCTGCACTGGCCAAAATCAGCTCCAAATCGGGGTGTACAACGTCTGCGCTGGTATCGCCGGAGCACAACCAGAGACGGCCCGAACAATAACAGCAACTCTGTTTGGAACCTCGACAACGGCGGTCTTCTCGACTACATCGCCCTCCAAGGCCTCGTCCTCGCTGACATCGCTCACAGTGGCATCGTCCACGATGGAGAGCCTTCCACCTTCGGTGACCCCTCCTACCTCTACGGAACAACTAAGCATGATTGTCATGGCTCCCCCCTCCACGACGACAGATTCTGCAGCTCCTGTGACATTCTCTTCGGGAGTCGATTCTTCTTCCTTATTGAGCCCGTCCCCCGCTACAACCTCAACCCCGCAGACCACCTCTTTGAGTAGTGACACTTCGGGGAGAGAAGCTTCGAAACCTGTACTCAGCACTGCGCAGATCGCTGGCATTGCAGTCGGTGGTGTTGCCATTGCATTGGCTGTATTTGCTTTACTCATGCTTATGTGCTGGATGCGTCGAAGGCGTCAAGCTAGACGACGGAGCCAACGACGATCTCGGCTGGTCGAGGCAGCTCCCCCATCGGAATATCAGAGCCCGCCAAAGCAGGGCACTCCAACAACTTTCAGTAACGTCAGCTCGACCTTGAACGTTCCAACAACAGGCGCACGATTCTATGCCCCACAGCAGCCATCAGAGGAAAAGCGGCGAAGCTTTTGGAGGCGGAGCATCCGCCCTGAAGAGATAGGTGTGGCAGTGTCTCCAAAGGCTCCTGGCCCGGATTCTCCGATGAGCGCGAGTTCGCAGCAGAGCCTGACTCGACTTTTGCCAACAGCACCAAAACGCGCACTATGGCCTGCCCCTCTCAATGTGGAAGCCATGAGGGAACGCCGGACGTACTCTCAAAGACCACCAAGCGATGCCACCTTGCTTGATGAAGAAGTGGAGTCCAAAGTCGATCGGACTGAAGCGATCATGGTTGACAACCAGCCATTCATCCTCGAAAAGCCACCTCTGGCAAAAAGACAAAGGACCGTCCCAGCGCCTCTGAAGCTACCGGTCGTGCCTGAGGACCGAACCCAAACTCCCACTCAAGCTGTGCGTATCCCACTTACGCCGACTTACGATAACGGAAACGTCGATTTGATATCACCACCACGAGGTTTTGCAACTCCCCCACCGAGAAATGCGAACGTGGCAGAGGAGCGGCAAAGAACGACGACTTCGGTTTCGATTCCGGAGCGGAAACTAGCCCCCTCTTCAGCTCATGCGAGCAGAGACGCCCGTAAATCGCCTCCCGCCGGCTTTTTCCCTCCTTCAGGCGAAATCGGCGTCTGGCAGTCTCCAAGAGAGGAACCGTACGTAAGAGCTTCGCGGCTCACACCAGCCGTAGCCAGTCCAATTGAAAGGCACAGCTCGATCAGCTCTGATTTTACCGAAATTGACGAGGATACCACCCCAGAGGAGGTGAACAAACAACTTGGACTGACAGCAAACCCGCCAACGCCGTCGGTTGTTACAACAAGAGTAACTGATTCACAACCTGCTCAGGCGAGCCCGATTAAAGACTTGAGATACCCTTCTATTCCTCGATCTGCAGCCATTTCTCGGCAAGCTGAAACCCTTGCAAAGCCTGCCCAGCTTCGAAACCCGCCTGTAAGATTTGCCGGCCCTGCCTCGCAGAGGGATCGGCTTGTCCGAGCTGAAGCTAGCTTTGTCCAGACAGATACGACTTCGTCTGATGGTTATCTGTCCGACGATACCATCGAATGGCCTGTGCCGCCTTTGTCCAACTCAGATTCACGGCGGACTAATATGACCGCAAGCAATCTAAGGCCAAGCCTCGCCCATGGTAGAGGCACTGCGCCGAACCGCGGACGACGACCACTTTCTCAGATGATGAGTCCATCGTTGAATGAGATGGTCGTCTCAGAGGCCATGTCGACGAAGCTTACTGTTCCTCAAAGATCTCCCTCGAGCAAGGCACGGCTTACACCAAGCAAATCGAAGAGCGGGGATCTCTATCTCACGGTCGATCTGTAGTAGCACATAAGGCCGGAAGAACCACTGGTGTGGCGATTGATTGACTCGCAACTGGAAAACATGTATTAGTAGCTTAGACGCGACCACGGTTGATATTTTCTTTACGATGACTACCCTGTACGACATACTACAGAAAAGAAAGACACCAGACCTGGAGAACAGTTATTCAGACATATAGGCCAGGGCAGATTGACGAAATAGCGATGCAATGACCATGAGGCATTCAATCCTGTGACACTGCAGGTCCAACATCGTACCTACACAAATTTTCGCTGGCCATGATTGAAACGCGCACGCTCTAACAAACCCCCTCTTGGATGAAAAATCATCAGAAAGGATGTTGGTTTGCGTGTGTACACACGTTGTGCTGGGGGCCCAATCAAGACGAGGCTGCGGCTGAGTAAAAGTGGTTTTGGGAAAATAACTTCTGTCCCATTATTTAGGAGAAACTACCTCAGCTTGCATTCCCATGGCCAATATATATTTCTACTGTCGCCAGATCACCCTGCAATTTGATATGGAATAGCTCCACAGCGTCAACTCTCTCCCTTCAAACATCTCAATGACCACCGTTGCATGTATGTTGGTTTACTCTGCTCAGGCGTGCCAGTCTATGTGCTTGGAGCGCTCTAAATTGTGATCGAGGGAAGCTCTCTAGCCTGATCACTGTTTCGAACTGGTTTTCGCTCCCCTTCCATCCAGCGGCAGCACAGCATCTCATGTCTGTTCCTGGTCGATCAGCCGTACGGCTGGTTGCCTCGAGAAGGAGCGGTGCTCAGATGGAGACTACAGATCTCCCGCCCGCACGGAGGAGCTTTCATCCCAGCGCAAAGATCAAGTCTTTGTCACAGCGGAAACCTTTGAATCGGGATGTATCGACGCGAACTGCCTCGATACGCAATCCAAAGCTCCGTGCAGGTCAACCCTCACGACGGACCACCGAACCAACGCGCCAGGAAAGTCTAAAGCCATCTCGTCCACGCGTCGAGTCGATCGCGAATCATGTGGCTATGACTTGGCTAACAGAATCTCCTCAACTCTTGGTATGCAGCCATGAATGCCGGGAATACAAAAAGCCTTACTGATATCTTATACGCTCAGAAACCAGAGAAGCTGTTGCCACAAGTTCTGGAGTCCTCCTACGAAATCCCAGCCTACAAGTCTATCGTGCTGTTGGTTACTCCAGGTCTGGCACATTTCATGGACCGTGAGCTCTTCCTTCGACCTCTTCTCGAGACTTTGCACGGCAGACTTCTATCTGGACCCCGGATGCGGACAGTCAGAACAATCGCTGCTGTGGTCGATGCTCTACCAGCGCCACAAAACAGGGGATTGAAACCAGATGTACTGCCCGCAGAGGGTGTAGCATTGCTCCTTACGAGACATCTCTTCAACAATTACAGGATATTGCGCGGCCAGGATACCACCAAGAAGGAGGCCAGCCCTCCAGCCGCATTCAGTTTCCTATCCACATTGTCTCACGGTTTTCTCTCGCCGTTGTGGCACAGCAGGTACAGGCTGACTCTCCCCATCGCCAATACCTTATTCCTGAATGGACAACAACACACGATGGTCAGTGATCAATGGGCAGTTCCTGTTGGATATGTGGAGACCAAGCCACTGGTTCAAAGCACGGAAAAGTTGAGTCACGTTGTTGTGAACCTGAGCTACGGACCCGAAACGTTGCTTGACGGCCACATCCCTCTTCAACCCTTGACGCTAGAGCGCGAGATTACCCAATGTATGGGCAATATATTGACCAAGATTGAGGTCAATGGAGCGTCCGTCCCTGCGTCTCAAGAGCTTGAGTCGGCCGTGGCAAAATTTGTGGCCTCCCGTCCGGATCATGGGTCGGTGGCTGTCTATGCCTTGATTCGACCTCCCCATATCGACGAAGAGTCCAAAGCCGTCCAGCAGCTGGCGGATGACGGGAAAATCTCGCTGGTCACTTCAGCACTTTTGCGTGGAGCAAAGCTCCACAAGGTAACTGGCGGCGGTGGTGGCTGGGGCGAGAAAGCAGGGCTCTTATCACTAGAAGCCGCTGACACTCTGTGGCCTGTTACGCAACCAACAATGCAATTTCCTGCTTTGGAGGATGATGGCTCGACGACCAGCATGCCGAAGCCTTATGAGATCATTGAGAAAGGAAGCACCGTTGAGTTCTTTGTGCACACAGGGACAGACCCATCGGAGAAGACGGCATGTCTTGCTGAGCCCGAAGAGGCCGCCGTGCAGCAAGGTCGGTCCACCACTTGGGCTCTTGGCACAACGTCTGGCCCAGAGGTTCTCACTCGGCCGGTAGATTTGGAAGTCAATGCCGATCACTCCCCTGGTGTCAGGTTCTTGCCAGACTACTTTGGAATGTTGACTTATGGTAATTTGGCACTTAAGGGTACCAAATTGCCGAGAAAGGAGAAAACTTCTCTTGAGGACATGACTCTGAAAAAGTGGAGGACTCGAATCGACGTGCCTGGTTCGCACTTCATCTTGGAGGCCAGGCCTGAATACTATCGTCAAGCAATGGCCCGTAAGGAGGCCGCCAGAAGTCGAGGGCGGACGAGGAGATTTTCTCAAGACCATTGACCGCGGAAGGTATCGTGGCAACGCTTATTCATGCCACTAGCACCGGGCGCAGTCGAGCGACTCCATGTATCGACAAGTAACCCTGATCAGTATCGAATGATGCCCAGTAACTCATAAGACAAGCGAGGACACTTGGGACGACGCCTACTTGGACACAAAAGGGCGTCTGCGTCGGGTTGCGATAAAACCAACCGCTGCTGCGAAACCCCTGGCCGGACAAGCAGTCGAAGCAGAGCAATCGGAAATGCCAATCTGCAGTACTCTGTCTCAGTCTGTCTCAGTCTTGATGACAACGGGTTCTACCTTAGACAAGGGTTCGGGCTTGTCAGAGAGTATGATCCAATTGGTCAATGCCGTAGGTGCGAATTACCGAGTGGGTGGCTGGATCAATATATAGAGAGGACTCAGATTTCAAAAGGCAATCATGGAATGCGAAAAACCGAAACAGACATGCTTGGTCTCAGGTAATTGAAGATCTCATTCCAGATACATCCACATCATCTAGTTCTTCCATAACTTGTAATACCACCCCAAGTGATTCCATGAAGCCGTTCACGGCGACTCGAAGCATGCGGTTGGTGGTCGCATTGTATTCAGTGCGCAGAATGGTGCCACTCTCATTCTCATTCTCGGAGGGAGGGTTACCCTTGGAGTCTACCAAGGAATAACTCCGTTGGACAGACGAAGAAGGCTCTTGATCAACTTTGAGGGAACGCATGGCAGTGGAGGCAAGACGGTGGTCCGGAAAGGGGACATCGATCACACTGGCAGATGGTCGTCAGTACCATTCCACTTCATGATTGGGGCAGGACAGGATCGGGCGCTACGTACAGCGAGCAAGGAAATTCGCTTGCTGCCATGGTTGAGAGCGGTTCACCGTGTGTACCGCAAGGACTGCGATTGAGCACGCAGGGCAGAGCGAGGAGGGTTGATTCACTGCTCTGTGCCAGGGACAAGGGTCTGGGTCGCCAGGGACAGCCCAAAGTCTCGGAGTGGGCTGTGATTAGGCTGCGTTGACTGCAAATCGGTGACGAGAGTGGCTGTCGCTGTGGTTGTGGTGGTGGCCGTCGTCTTCGGCAAAATCTGATACACGGCCAAATTGGGGTGTTGGTGGTTGCTTAGCAACGTGGCGCCCACAACAACATCTGGGCATCTTGCTTGTTGGTTCCGCATTCTCGACCCAAATACTCGTCCGCACCTCGATCCTCGACCACCTTTGGCCTCTCCACGATCCCATCTTTACTCTTTACTACTTACCCTCAGTCTTATCACTTGTTCTCCTTCGTGTGCGACTTTTGCGACATGCAATAGCAGTAAACGACGCCGCCAGTGCAGATTCTGTGGGTTTTGACTCTCCGCCGAGGTCCCAAGATCCCAGTACACACAAACACCCACCCTCGTCGACAGTCCGTTGCGCTGTGCTGGGCCCTGCTTTTCCATCCTAAGCTTGCTTTCGCAGCCCTATCGAGTATTCGACAACGATGGCGCCCACCATGGCCCATCCTGTCAGTTATGGACAGGTCATTGAATACATCCAAGGTATGAAACAAAACAATGCCCCTTCTATGACAACACATCTAAGCCTCGCTTCTTCGCAGATCGCCTATACCTAGCATCCTACGCCCAAGCTCCCAACGAGAGCACTCCTTTCCCATATCCTGCTCAAGCCAAGCGGTCTCCGCACAAGAAATCGTCCAGGTCGCAAGCAGGTCCAACCAGCGCTACCCTGCGACCCCCGCCGGTCTACTTCACGATTGACGACACCCTTCTCTACAATGCTTTCCACGCCGACTTCGGTCCGCTGCATATTGGTCATCTGTACAGATTTGCTGTCCAATTCCACGAGATCCTAGGAGATCCGGCAAACAATGACAAGGCTGTGGTGTTTTGGAGTCGAGCAGACTCCCGGAGTCGGGCCAACGCCGCATGTCTGGTGGCGTGCTACATGGTCCTGATACAAGCATGGCCTCCTCACCTTGCCCTTGCGCCAATTGCACAAGCAGATCCTCCCTACATGCCCTTCCGAGACGCAGGTTACAGCCAAGCCGATTTTATCCTCAACATTCAGGATGTCGTTTACGGTGTGTGGAAAGCAAAGGAAGAAAATCTATGCCAACTTAAGGAGTTCAATTTAGAAGAGTATGTTGTTCTAGTACTTCATATCTGCTGCCACACTAACGCATCAAATAGATACGAACGATATGAAAGAGTAGATATGGGAGACTTCAACTGGGTTTCACCACAGTTCGTCGCCTTTGCTTCACCCCAGTCAGAGCCTACGGCCCCAATACCAATCTCATTTCCAGCTTACGCAACTCTGCCAACTTGCGTCCCAGAAATTCCAAGCGCGAGAATATCGCAGCCCTTCAAGAACGTCCTCACTCATTTCGTCCAGCGGGATGTTGGTCTCGTGGTCCGATTGAACTCGGAGTTGTACTGCCCGACATACTTTACTGCTCTTGGTATTGAACACGTTGACATGATCTTTGAAGACGGCACGTGTCCTACGCTGCCCATTGTTCGGAAATTCATCAAGCTAGCTCATGACATGATTGCCAAGAACAAATCCATCGCTGTTCATTGCAAAGCCGGCCTTGGAAGAACGGGATGCTTGATTGGAGCTTATCTGATCTATCGCCATGGCTTCACTGCCAACGAGGTCATTGCATTCATGCGATTCATGCGACCTGGGATGGTTGTAGGTCCACAGCAGCATTGGCTACACCTCAACCAAGGAAAATTCCGAGAGTGGTATCTGGAAGATCAATGGAAGGCAAAGATGGAACTCGCAAAGCCTGCTACGCCTCGCACCATGTCAACGAAGACACCTATGCGCATCGCTAGCGGTGGTGTGCAACAATCAACGCCTGATCGATCAGGTGCACGGCGATCTGCCCTTGGTGAAATCGATGGTAACGACGTCACCAAATCAGAGCCTTACCAGGATGAGAACCTGCCAGCACCGACACCTGGGCAGCCAAGGAAATATGCTCGTATGGATTCGAGAAACCATCCCTATGCACGATCTACCTCGGGCGCCGTCCGTGTCAACGGTGCCAAGTCAGAGAGTGACGCTTCTTTCCGACGCAGTGTGAATGGAGCGGATAGCGAAGAAGAACTGATTCTTCAGAGAGCTGCATCTCGAAGAAGCCAAAGCAAGAGCCCGATGGGAAGCAAGGGCAAGTCCCGCAGTGTCTCGTACACAACCACCACTACAACCGTGACAAAATCATTCGATATCGGAGATGAAATGAACATCTACGAGGATGAAGGTGATGCCAACTTTCAACTCGAAGACACCAACGCAATCTGGGACGAGCTTGCTCAGGAACAAGAAAACCTCAAGCTCAGCACCGTGAGTGAGAAGGGATCCCGACCAAAGACGCCGAGAGCTGCCAGTGGTATGGGTGCCATGAGCGTTTCAAAGACTAGATCTTTGAGAGAATCTCCTCGTCGAAGTGGTGGTGAAGACAAGACCAAGGTGCGCAAGACCAGTGGCCGAGTGGGAAGTGCGAGCCATGGTCCAATTGGCGTGAAGCGGTGATCATGATGGAACTTTCTTTGGCTCTATTGACGATCTCTTGCTGGACGTTGTCTGGTTTGCACTCGTACCGCTCTGTTGTTTCTTCCGTGCTCGAGTATGCCCCTAAGAATGGAGAGAATCCGCGACGGATGCCACCACGCACGCACCTCAAGCACTGACAGACGCCACACTACTGGATTAAAGTAAGGATATTTGGAAGATTATGATGACGAACACGACGACGATGACAAACGACTATCATTGTGGAGCCAGCTGGCAGTCATCAAAGTCTTTTGATGCTTCTCTACGTCTATTACTTTCCTTCTCTTCCGAATTGAATCGCCTTGTCTCGACAAAATCTTGGTCTCCTGATCTGTTTAGATGGTGGATGAAAAATGTGTGTCTTCATGTATGAAGCCTCTCTCTCTGTGTGTGTGTCTGCCTCATACTTGAATTTGGAACGAATCTTTCCCGACGACAAGCAACTGTTTATTCCGTAAGGAGCTCCGGGGTATCAATGGGTTGCACAGGGACATTGGCACGGCATTCAACACTCGTTCTCTCGTTTTCTTAACGATGGCATGGTATGGCACGGCGCTCCTGGACTCAGGGGAGACGAGGGAGGTTCGGAGTCTGTGACTTTTGGGGAGGGACTACAGTGATATTGTTGTTGACTCTCATTAACATATGTATCTGTGGCTTTGCGAGACCCTGATACGTACATATGTACACGAAAGTGCAGGGCCATAGGGCATCGGCATAAACATAAACGAATTACATTCACAGAACACTATCTTGTTGTTTAGATGCCAAACTTTCTTCCAATGGCATGAAGTTTGGTTCGTGTATGGACCGATCAAGATCAGGCTTCCGTTCCTCCGACTCCGTGTAAAGGCTGTAATCAGTCAAGGAGAGCATCGATGAGGTATTAGCGCTTGATTGATACAAGGGGGTTGCATGAACGAGCCGGCACATCCCCCATCCCCTCCTGGGCCAACTCCCGTTGTTTACGATGTTCTTCTGCAAACACTTTCACAGATAACTTTCACTGTACGTGAGCGCATACACCTATTGAGCAGTAGAGTCGTATTGTCCAGGTAGTCTGAACTGGGAAAAAAAATTGGGCAATGGTAGCGATGTCAACGAACAAAATATTATAGACTTGTATGAGGGGAGTACAACTTTCATATGGCCTCGTGCGCCGAGCGCATTTGGGGGTCCAGGAGTTCCGCTTCTTCTAGCTGTGCGGTAGTGTAGCCCCCTTTTCTTCCTATCTGAGTCCGTACTACTTGGCAACCTTTCCATTCTTTCGTACTCGAGCGTATCCTGGACCACACTGTACAATCATCACCATGCACGGAACACCTAGTAGTCTCTTCCATTATGTTGAAGCTTTCAGCCATCTCAGACCTTGAGTTGTTCGACTCCCAACCGCCAAGGTCCTGCTACAGTAATGGCTCTCTGATGTCCCTCCACCACGTTTCAAGTTGGTAGAGATGCCTGCCCCAATGCTACACGAAGGGGTTTGGCCGGCACAAAGCTGTCGAATGACCCCAGTCGGGTGCATGCTGCCGGGTACATTCACCACATTCACGATTGCGCCTTTCCGGGATCTCCACCCTCAGATGGCTTATTTGCAATCTCAAGGTACTTTTGACCAAATTATGGACCGGCTAAAGCAGAATCCGGGTTCCCCGGTTTCAGCTATCCGAGTCTGGCTGTTGCATTGCCACGCACACGCGCCCGGTTCATCTGCCTAAGGCTGCGCTTTCGTCTACACAGACACTATAAGAGTCGGAGTCCGGCTGGTCGTTGCTCCCAACCTTTCGAAACAATGTATCGTGACTGCGATGGCGGCCGCTGCTAAGGATGCAGGAACACGCCGGCTACTGAGAAAATATAATGTGTCTTTCCACGTCGACAAACCCGAGGGCCCCCTGGACGACGACCCTGAAGCCTACTTCAAAGATATCAAGCGTCTTGGAGGCTACAGCATTGATCGTTATGAATTCAACCCGACCGTCGACTCGAGACAAATGCCGTGGAGAGAGAAAACTGTCGAACGCGCAAAATCAATCAGCGCAAAGGCTCGGCGATGCGCTGAAGAGGAGAAGAACGAATCCGGCTGGCGTCTGAACCTTGAAACAGAGATCCTGGCCCGCTTCAGCATCGAGGTAGCATGGTAAGCGGCAAGACCACCGCGAAAGCCACTCAAGATGCTGACCAAAGTCTCGTCCTGAGTGCCGCCGGCGACTCTGGAAATCCGAAGTCGAAGTCGCCGTCACCACAGCCGATGGCAGATTGAAAAAGTTGGTGGACAGGCAAAGAGCGAGGAAATTCTGTAACTGCCCGCCCAGGAAACGTGGGAAAGACATGTGAGTCCCAAGACAATAGGGCACGCTGGACCATCCATTCTAATACCACTTGAGAGCGGATGACGGCTTGATCGATATCTTCGACGACCGCACAGACGAAACGATTCAGTACGAGGATGAAATTAAACAAGTCCTCGATCGAGGCAAAAGACCCGACCGAGTCTTCGGTCTCAGACTCACTAAGCGGTTAGAAAGAATCCTGGACTTTACTGAAGGTCCGGACGGGAAGCTCGTTAGGGAGTTGATCACCACAACGCCCTTCCAAGACAGCTCCAGACCGCTACTATTTCCATTCCTGTATCTTGAAGCCAAGTCGGAGAAGAGTCGGGATTCTTTCTCAAAAATAGACCTACAGTCTGGCTTTGCACTTCGCAACTTGCTTCAACTGCAGCACAACCTAATGCACGCTGCCATCGAAAACGGAGAAGCACATATGGTCCCCCTTGTATGGTACTTGGCATACCGAGGCCAACACTGGCACCTTGCAGCCGCCTACGTGGAAGAAGGAACAAAGGATGGCGAACCAAACTATGTGAGTAAGTCCTTGGCCCGCTGATCAGCGAGGCTAATCTTTGCCGATACAGCACATCCTGCAGTTGTGGGATGGAGAGATCACATTTGCTGATCGTGCACTTCAACTACTGTTGATGCTCGACTACATATTCGACTGGGCTCGTGATGTCTACAGAAAAGACATCATCAGCGCCTTACTGTCCTTTGTACCAAATGCTTCATCGAGTTTGCTTGAGAGTACTGATATCGGCAGCACTTACAATGACCCTCCTTTCTCTTTCGATGGTGATGTTCAAGAGCCCGTCATGGATTATGACATCGACCCTCCAGAGAGCTTTGGAATTCCTCACATGCTTGAGTTCTTTGATGATGGAAAGCTCGCGATTCGCGACGCTAGCTATGTGACGCACAGAGTCCTGGCTCTCCATGTTACCTTGGAAAATCTTGGCCAATTTTTGGGTAAAATGAACAGCAAGTACAAAGCGAGTACCCTTGCGAGGCAGTTATGGATGTCCATGCAGGGAGATGCGACCTGGCTTGTGACCGCAGACTGCCTCAATGCCATTGAGAGAGTTTGGACAGGCCACGATCGAGAGTCAGATACTTTTCAAAATCCGCAGCAGGTCTTTCTTGCCTCTTTTTCAGTCACCTCAAAACTCGCTGGTAAATACGGAAAATTAACTGATAGCAAACCGTGGAACCAAATTCATGCACTCTCGTATATTGCCATTGCTAAGAGTGCGCTACAAGAACTACAGAAGAGAACAGAATATGGGCCCCGACGCCTCATGATCTCTTTGACAGGGATGCCGGACGTCTCTACGGAGCGCGCAACGGAAATTTTTAGTAAGCTGCGCTTTGCGCCAGTCCGACAACTTTTCGCAGCTGCCATTGCACGATCTGAGCTCCTTTCGACCTGTAAGGAAAGCTACAGGGCGGGGACGGGCCCCGGTGACAGCCTAATGGGTTTTCGGTCCTATGTTCGTACTCCATGCTTCACATCCGCGCTAAAATCGCCAGAAACTGTCGGTCCAGCAGAGCTATGTGAAAGTATTTACACTCTTTTGAATAGCGGCATGTCCGAGCTGACGGAAAGCTTTCTTCGCATATCTCACCAGTCATCTAAACACGATATTGGCCTCGAAGATAGGGATGACAGTTCGATACCAAAGTGCTGGAGGAAACTGCCAGTGGACAAACTCCAGACCTCAGTCGCAGTGTTGGTGGATTCAGGAGGCTGTAGGTCTTGTTATTGCCTTTTCGTCTTTGGGTTGGATACTTTTCATTCTCGATCGGAAGACGGCGACGAGAAAAACGCACAAGATACGTCTGAAAGGGTCGAAACGCATCGAATTTATCCGGGCATTGTGCGTACATTTTACAGAGGGTCTCGAAGGCGTTACAAGTTCTATGACCGCTCCTGCTCTGCAGACACGGAAGATTTTCCACAGATCAGCGAGATCTTGCGCCATGTGTCTAATCAGTATGAGCGAATTCTATCAACTGATACAACAAGTCGCTTTGACAGTGGCCATGCAGACTGGTTTCGAAGACGATGCAGATTTCTCGAAGGCCCAGGAACCGGATGGCCGTTCGACTTTTTCGAGACGGTTGATAACATCAAACAGATTGGTGGCACATCTCGCTTTGGCTTCATTCTCGACCGACTTTTGTCTCTATACGACACTGCCATGAGTCTTAACCCACCCGGGGAACCAGAAGAAGGCGAAGCAGAAGACTAAGGGGAAGAAGCGCAAGGCGTCGCCGCTCAAGGAATCGCCGCTCAAGGAAGAAGGAACCGAGGTTTCGATGCTCGACGATGTTGATCAAGATGAAATGGAGCTATCGCCGGCTTCTCCTGTGACCATTCCCAGGACTCGGACCCGGACTCGGACTCGAATAGGGGCAGTATTTCCGAAGTCAACAGTGCGCGGAAGTACGTGGCTATCGCAAGTCGTAAACGAAAGCGCGCCTTCTAAGATGACGGACAATAAGGTGCGTTGATAACAGGACGTTGCCGGGATGAGCCATCCATCAGCCTTTGATAGCGAGCGGTTTTCACTTCTTGAACGCCACTGAAACATATCTACAATCAGCTCCAAAGGGCCGCGAAGGACGTCGAGACTTTGTACATGGACATTCATTCGTATCAGTTTATAGGGGAAGCTAAGTAAAGATTGCCATCTCACACCATCCAACCCACTATTTTACGCCGAGGACCGAGGGATGCTACGCATTTATCTAGACCGCTGCGAAATGCTTTGCGCTCTTCGCCCTTCGGTTTTGTCTATCATTCATCTCCTATCTCCATGGTACAGACGCGGAGTGCCTTTTTGGAACCGCAACCCCTTTGACTTTTCTACCAACCTTTCATGGCTCGTGTTCCCCCCCGTCCTGTCCTATCCTGACATTACGCTACATTTCATTGAAAACTCCCTTTGACGATCGTGCCGACATAGTCGGCCGAGTTTTGTGAAAAAAGACGTAGTCAGAATCGCCGCCACGAAAGTCGTGGTTAGCTTAGACGTTACGAAATCAGTCTCAGTTAGCAACCTCGAGGTCAATGTGTAGTAACGACTGCAAAGAGCGTGCACGTACACGAACCCAATCCGAGGGAAGGGGAGACAGAGACAGAGACAGAGGGGGGGGGAGAGAGAGAGAACGCGATAACAGTACGAGTGCACTCAGACGCCTATTTTACGCGCACATGGTTGGACCAGGAAAAAACAGCTATCAATGTGGGATAAAATATATCTTTCATACACCCTAGGTATCATCCTCCAGGGACATCGAGGTAGTACAATCTGATCAACAAAAACAGATTGATCGAGGATGCCATGAAGTCCTGAAGAAAATACTACCCTTGAGCGGTGTACGTACAAAAGTACGTATGGGCTGACTCATGTGTAAGTAACATGTACAAGGCAAAAGAATTTCTTCCCTAAGCCCGCCCACCATCAGACTGACCAGACTTGAGAACGAGAAGCCAGGTCGGCTTGACAACCGTTGTCACGAAAACATCCCTCAATTCATTCTCACGGGTTCCCTGTCTCCTTCCAAAATCACCAAGCTCATTCCATCAACCCTAGCTTTATGTAGCTCAGCGTGAGTCATACATATGAACATAGTCAAGTCTTCATGTCCAGCGAAAGGAAGGTAAAATGATTCTTAATCAGTCACACAAACATTGATTTGTTTCTTTTCTGTTGATTTTGTTGCTGTCAAAGATCTTGTCGCAAAAGGTAGCCTAGTCGAAAATTCCGAGTGCCCGACACCGCAGTTCTGTGCGTCAAAAAATTACCAAAGACAGACCCCAATTGTCGCTAAAATGTATTCGAGCCCAAGAGGGTATGTAGAAGACATTGTGTGCCTGTTTCGAAAGGGCATGAGTGCAGTCTGTTCAACGAGTAATTCTCCGTAGAAGAAAAAAAGGTCGAAGGGGTGCTTCGGTCGAGACTCGTACGTCCCAGACCTCCCCAATCGTGAAGGTGTCGTAAAAAAGTGCGTCCATGAAAATGCCATTCAAGTCGTGAGAGCTTCAAAAACTCTTCGCTACGCTCTGTTCGTAATGCCGTAAGTAAGGATTGCCATTCTTGATCAACCTTGTTCTTGAGAACAATCATTTCTCAGGTTTGTCTTTTGATCGCCAGAAATTCACCAGTTTACTGATCCTGTTGTTCTTCTTCCGAACCTTGACGTCACCCACGAGCGGATCAGGCACAGTCTCGAACTTGAGTTTGCTGCCGTTCGAAGAACTTGGAATCAGACGATTGAGACTGGCCAAGCTCGCTCGCTTCCATGCCTGCTGGCTGTGTGATCTTGAAGTCGATGGGTCTATCATGGAGTGAGAACGTTGATCCGTTGAAGAACGAGTGCCTGCGCTACTGGAAAATCTCGGCAAGACTCCGCTTGACAGGCTGTCACTCAGAGATGGCAGGTCATCAATGGAAGCCCGTAGCACAAAGTCCGGGCTTGCTTCTCCAACTGTCCGGTTTGGCCGGGCCATCGTTTCGAAAGAAATGTGATCTGCATCTGGGGATGAAATCATTGAGGCAGATGTCGTGCGTCCTTCTGTGGAGGAAGCATAGTAAGACTGAGGCGCCGGATATGCCAAAACCATTGGAGAAGTAGACGGCTTTTGCGTTTCAAAGTCTGGGAAAACAGGAGCTTCAATGGTAGAGTTGGATGATCGAGCTTCGGCGCGAGCAACATCTTCCTCGAGATCGGCAATGATGACGCCGTCAGCGCGATTCTTGCCCAAGGACAGACCAAGACCTTCCGTTGGCTTCAGAGAGGGACCATTGAATCTTGCAGGCGGCGACGTACCAAGGGCGTCGATGGACATGGGGTCACTCTGATTATCTGCAGGCAAGTGACTCTGGGATTCAATGTTCTCTCCAGCCAGAAAATTGTCCTCTTCCTCTTCGTCGAAAACATCTTCAGTGAGTGACGAATTGCTCCCCATACGGTGAACGCCAAAGGTGGTTCGGTTGACAGCTGGCATGGTGGGTGCTGATTCGGTCCTCCTATGAACACTGCCAAAAGCATCCACATTGCCTCTCCGCTCGCTGCTGTGAAGTTTCGCCATGCGATCCAATGGGTTGTTTCTGCCGGGACTAAGCTTCTCTTCACTTCCGAAAGGGCCCAATGCTGCGTCTAAATCAAGCACAGGACTCGTGATGTGTTCTGCAGGCTCGTCAGGAATGGATGCCTGAGCGGGTACTGGGTGGGGCATCGGAGGTCGCACTCTCGTCGCAACTGGGGAAGGTTCACGCAGGATGATTGTATCATCAGCATCGAAGATGTCCTTGAGTCGATCACTTGGTCGTCTAACCAGAGCAGGTACTGGTGGTACTTCCGTCTCTTTAGCTTTGCTGGAGCGTTTGCTGTCGGTTTTCCTCGAGAATATGCCAGAAGTCCAGGTATGGTATTTCCGCTTCCTCGATGACGAGGAGCCTGGCTCTCCAGCAGACGTTTTAGGTCGACCTTGATCAGCGAAGGCTCTTAACACGGATGGTTGAGGACACATATCGGAGGAAAAAACGTCCATAGGATCACTGTGTTCAGTCCGGGGTGTGGTCGACGGAGAGCTCATTGTTGACTGATTGAACCAGAAATACTTCTTCTTACTAGGAGGGCTGCTGCAGCTCAGAGTTCCAGGGGATCCAGAAGCTGAAAGCGGTCGTTTTGGCAGATTGATCAAAGAAATCGGTTGAGTTGCTGAAGCCATACCAGGCGATAGAGTTGACTGCGCATCAGCTGTTTGTGGCCGCTCGGGCGAACTCCATATTTCGCCGGACGTGATGACTACGGCGGGACGTGGAGTGGGGCTTGCGATGGAATTGATGCTGCCTGACAACGAGTGGCATCCTCGAATGGTTGAATTACTGCCCTCAGTTTCGGATGAGATCAAGGACAGTGGTCGGGGAATGACATCCACTTGGTCAGAGAATCCCACACGCGGACGAACACCTGGCGCGCTGTCTCTACGTCGAGGAGATGACGGCGGAGTTCGAACAATGTTTGACATTGACTGCCGCAATGAAGGCCCAGCACGGGGGTAAGAGAACGCCAGTGCACTCTCCGACGGGGAGGTTGGTGGAGGACCGGCCCGTGCTTTGGACAAAGCGTTCGCCTTGATCAACTCAGACGTGTCAATGTCGGAGATGGACACGGCTTGAGACCGGCGATGCGCATGTCCCCTAGTTGCTGTGACGGGAGGATGTGGGCGATACTCTGGCTTTTCCGGACTCGTACTGACCAATTGAGGGCCGTTGTTTCCACCCCCGACGAATTCACTCACCCCTCTCCGATGACCAGAACGATGCGACGGAGGCTGGACATGACCCGGGCTCAATTTGGTTGGGCTTGGTGACGCCTGTGCCGGGTGTGCGCTTGGGTTGAAGGTGAATGCGGGCAACGGAGCAGGTCTGGCAGATCGAACAGCACGTTGTTGATTCAAGGCCATCTCTTGTAGGACCGGGTGAGTCGGACTCGGGCTCCTCTCAGGAGGTAAATCGGCTCCTGGATTGAACTTGAAATCCGGTAACGCTGGCCTAGAAGGACGCTGGCCGGCCTCCACTGTTGCAATGCCTCCTCGCAAATTCCGTCTCCCCATTTCTCCTGCATTCATGGTATCATCTGCACCAGGATTGAAGGAAAAGCTCGGCAATTGTGCAGCATTTGGATTGCGTGACGGGCGTCTCCTGTGCGCAGCGGGGGATCGAGTTGGACTTTCAGGTTCAGGGCCAAACAGGGACAAGCCAGGTACCGTAGGAGGCAGCGAAATCGAAGTCATAGTTCAACAATTGCAGCCAGCCGAAGTTTAGTATCGGTGGCTGTTCTGACCAGCAGGCAGGTGCATTAGATATTGTTCAGAAAGGTGTTCCTGCACCTGGCCGAGGGAAGTTCTTTGTGAAGCTTTTTCACGACGGAACCACCGCAACCATTACAGGTTGAGACGGCGAGATTGCGCTGCAATGTCTTGGTAAGGAGGGACTAGTATGGCGTTCTGGAGGCGTGTCAGCATGCACCTCGTCGACGACTCACAGCGAGTAGTACCTATAGGCAAGACTCTCGAGTGAAGCTGCGATGACTGGAGGCCGGGTAAGGCGGAAAGAGTGATCGTGGTCTGAATGGTTGAGCGAGGTGGTTTTGAAGGAGTGGACAGCAACCTGGAAGAAAGACCGACTGTGAGTCTTTCTTCGATCAGGAGCCAGAGGCTTGTCAGGCCGTGAGGTGTGAGAGGGACGGGATTACAGGTGGTGGAGAGGCAGGAGTGTGTGAGAAGGATGGTGTGTGGTTTGAACGGGAAAAAGGTGAAGAAAGACGGAGGTCGCAGGAAGGCCAGGAAGCCCCAGGCCAGAGGCGCAGCGCAGGTGCAGCTTGCAGGGAACCGAGCAGCAGCGACTCCACTGCACCTGGCAACCACAAGCTTGATCTTCCCGGGTGCAGGTCACAGGGTGCAGCTGCAGGCGCAGTTTACCCATTAGGCATCGCCCAGCCCGGTTAGGCGCCATTCTGCGGGCGAGGGGCAGCGCCTTTAGGCGTCGTTAGCGGCACCTGCGGCGTTGCCCCCAATCCTCTTTCGGCGCATGTAGATGGCTCGAGTTGGCACAATGCCTGCTGCTCCTCAGTCCAATCCAAGCAACTCCGTCTGCAAGACGACGATGACGAACACAGACGAGAGTGTGCACTTGACGATTACGGTACAGGTACCGAGTACGGAGTACCACTACTTCGACAACCTCCACCAGGACGACCCGTCCGGAGCAATTCGATTGAAGATTGCCATCAGAGCCAACGTCCGGCCTGCGCGTTGACGTGCGCCTTAAACACTGCTTCATCGTCCCGTCTTAACCCTGTATGCGACTTTTCTCCATGTACAATGGAAAAGTTCCCCCAAAGGAGGCGCCAGGGCCTGAGGGTTGCTGATTGACGCTGTCAATCAACGCAGTCTGACCCAAGGACGGCCGGTTGATGTGTTGGCAGGCAAAATCGAGCAAGGAGATGACCATCCTAGCCAGGTGGCCTCCCAATCTCCATCGTCCTGAATTCCACTTTCCCTGTCTACCCACCGGGCCGCAGTGTTATCTACAGTCGGACTGCTTTGTGCCACCTCATTGTCCGCGTGTGCTTCGCATTCCTGACTGGCAGCCTGGCTTTGACGAGAAACTGCGACCACAGTACATGTCTATCGGTGGCCTCTGGCGGGAAACCTCACTCTATTTGCCCTGTTGGCGGGAAAGCCCTGGACCTTGCAGCTCAGCTTCTTAGCGTTCGCGGGTGGCCCTCTCTGTAAGCTGCGCTTATGCAGGAACTGCAGGCCTGAAGAACCAACAGGCGACTGATACGAGGCACTTGGTCCCGTGTGCAGAAATCTCCTTTGGGGGCTCATCCAAGCCGTAATTTGGCTGCAACTGGTCCTTGTGGCTTCAGGTCAGAGCGACATCTAGTTCGTTGTCTCGTACGGATACAGCCGTTGCTGCCGATCTGCTCCCTCCTGGTTTACGATTGAGAATCTCAGGTTCTCAAACAAGCCACAGATCCAACGACTTCAGACATAAGACTCTGGTGAAACTCGCTTCTTGCTGGTTCCCTTGACAACTATGGTCTAAGAAATCTCGGTTACATGGAACCCTGTCTGTTTGCCACACCTCACCCACGCTTTTCCCCGAATCCTTTCATCGACAAGGCCGCCGATTATTGCTGGACTAGTTTGGGAGACTGACCGCCTCCAGCTGAACTTGAGCGGATCCTGCAGACCAATACCACTTGGAGTTTGACACTCATCACGTCAAGAAGCTCGCTTCACACCAACATCCTCTACTTGGGTGGTCTTTGAAGACTTTGGTTCGCCCATATGCAAACCACGCATTAGTGCATGCACGTTCCTCGTGAAGAGAGGGCCAACGCAAGGGGAGGCACACCTTTGCGCCCGATAAGAAAAATTCTCCTGGTGGTGTAACCCTTTTGTGATAGACGAGCTTGGCTGCAGATAGCTAACCTCAACACCCGTCTCGAATCCAACCAAAGCGAAAACATTTGTGAGCTAGTCGAGAATTCGATTTGCACCGGAACGATCACGACGTGGTCATCAGCACACATCTCCGCCCCCTGCGGCATCAGGCCGACGGGACAGACGGCGCTATCGTCCCTTGCAGAAGAAAGACGCACGGCACGCGGCTACGCCTCTTCTCGCATGACATGTTTACTGGGGGACAGCAGGCGGCTAATTTTTCGGATTTCATCTTTGACTTGTACAACTGTCCGGGTGTTTTTGTACCACGCCTTCGCCGTCAGGCTGAGACGCTGACCAGCCTCTCGACCTTGTGACATTTCCGTCATTGAGAGCAATGGCGCCTCCAGGAAGGAAGCAGAAGGGCTCGAGTGGCACCAAACCCACGCATATCTCCCGCGAGCCTGTCAACGACATCATTGCACAAAAACGCCCCGAAGCCGCGGCTCTGCCGGTAGAACTACAGCAAATGATTCTGGACGTGTTTCGCCGGGCCTTTCCTCTCCACGACCAAGGAGAGGTCAAGACCGTGATTCAAGAGGTCAAGGGACATCTCTTCCAGCGGGACTTTGCGAGTGCGTTCGCCAAGCAAGAATATCTGGATGCTTACGCACTGAGGTGGAGTGCCGCTCGCTCCCTTGGATATACCGACATCTTCTTGCACCGCGACTTGCAGCCAGTGTGGGTGGGCGGAACTGACCCGTGTCTGGATATGAATTCTTCCCCAAGCTCCATGAGAGTCGCATGCATTGGAGGTGGCGGAGGGGCGGAAGTGGCTGCATGTGCGGCCGCTGTTGCCCAGACACATTCTCTCTCGAGTCTGGAAGTGCACGCCATCGACATCGCAGACTGGTCTGGCTGTCTCGACAAGCTAGCACACCACTTGTGCACTCCACCTCCCCTCTCGGCGTATGCGAGTGAGAGCGCGAAGTCAGCCAATGGGCCCTTGGTCGCAAGTGGTCAGTTTTCACATTGCTTCTCTCAATGCGACATACTCGCCGTCGACGAAGGGAGGCTGCGTGATTTACTCGCCCCCGTTCGACTATGCACCGTCATGTTCACACTGAACGAGTTGTTTTCGAGCTCGATATCACGGACGACTGCATTCCTGTTGGCGATTAGCGACATGATGCAGCCTGGCTCGTGGTTTCTCGTCGTCGACAGTCCCGGCTCTTACTCAGAGGTCAAACTGGGCCAAGGTCAGACCAAGAAATACCCAATGAAATGGCTACTTGATCACGCGTTACAGGATGTCGCACAGGGTAAGTGGAAAAAACAAGTCTCTGATGATTCACGCTGGTTCAGATTGAACTCGTCACTGAAGTACCCCGTGGAGTTGGAGAACATGAGATATCAGATTCATCTCTACCAGAGAATATGAGAAATGGCGCGTATGACACACGTCCGAACGGTGAGAGAAATGGTTTCCTCGCCGAGTGTATTGTTCATTGTCATCAAAACTTTTCTTCTAATTTTGGTATCTGCAGCGGTAATGCAATATCATGTCAATCAAGTGAATGATCACATGACAAGGCCGTCCCATCCACCGTATCGTAAGACTGAACCTTTTGATATCCCTTGTTGTGCGTGTTTGATGGTCTACTCATCATCCTCGTCGCCCTCGTCGTTGACGACGTTGAAGAATCTCAACTCGTAGACACCGTTGCTAGTTGACACGACACGGAGCCAGTCACGGAGTTGCTGCTTCTTGAGGAACTTCTTGGTCCTGGATTTGGCAAGTACTTTATTAGCCTAGTTCTCATTTTGTTTCGCACGGGTTTGTGTGTGTGTGGGAGTTCTTTCTGCCTGGATTTCCAAGGGGTGTATTGGGTATGGTGTACGGTACGAGGACGATGTATATCAGGTGTAAATACGTACAGGTACTTCAAGTAGCGACCGGAGAAAGGAATGTGGGTGACGACCTCGATCTTGCCGTCGCCGACCTGGGAGATCTGCACATTGTCGCCGAGGTTGCTGGTGCGGCCCTCGACCTTGATGCGGTCGTGCAGGAACTTCTCGAACGCCGACAGATCGAAGATCTTGTCGCTGACAGGCTGGCTGCAGTTGATGGTGTACTAATGTCATCCGAAAAGGAAAAAAGGTCAGCTCAACGAGTTACCTCTCTGCGCGAGCGGCGGGTGAATGCAATCGGACTTGAGGAGAGACAATGATGTGATGCGACGCGATCTGATCTGATCGAGGGGAAGGAAAACACTTTGGGGACAACAGATGTAGAACATACCTTCTTGGTAACCTTTGCGTTCTTCGCGGTCTTGCCACCACGGCCAGATGCCTATATTCAACACAAAACGAAAAAAACCTTAGCCTACTGCCTTTTTCTCATGTCTTTTGTTTTACAAGGGGTCCGGATCCTCATCCTTTCCGCATTCGCGTGCACATGAGCACGCGCGATATGAGAATCTCTCAAGGACCACACAGGTCGACATGGCAGCAAAGCGGTTCGGTTCGGGTTCCGTCCGGTGACAGAAACATGTACACTTGAAGAAGTTCTTACCTTGGGTGCGACGGTGCGTGAAGGACCCATCTTTGAACGAGCGAAGAGTGGGTGATGGGGGGTTTGTACGGGTTGGGAAAGACGGTCGCAAAGAGGTCGATATCCTGCGCCTTTTCGTGGTGTGGTGGTGGTGTTGGTGGTGGTTGAGGAGGAGTAGAAGTGAAATTCAAGAGGAACTGCGCTTCTCTTCCTCACACTTGCCGGGGAACTTTTTTGAGTTTAGCGCGCAGTCAATGCCCTTTTTTCGCGATTGTGGGAAGGGCCGCCAGTGCCAAGACTTGAGTCATGTGACTTTGGACTCAGCTTCGTTCAGCGAGGCTGCGCTTGCAAGGCTGTCAATACTTGTGCAATGCGGATACCACCAGGCGGGTCACAGCGGGTCAACGCGGGTCACCATTGCGCAAAGGACAACCTAAATGACTCCGCAAGGTGAACGACTTCATGGCACGGGCCTTATCGTTCATTGCTTTCTTTGTTTAATCCATGGATAATACATACATAGCTGTTCCAGCTTTCGCGTCTCCTCTGTCACTGACCCTTACTTGTCAAAGGCAGAAAAAAACATCCCTCTTTGCTCCCTCATACTCACAAAAGATGAGTTTCTGTCCTCTCTGTCACCGAACCTAAGTTGTCAAAGACAGAAAAACCCCTCTAGGCTCTTTGCTTGCACATACTCCTGATGGATTGTTTCTCATACCCTTTTGCCACCGAACCTAGTTGTCAAAGGCAGAGAAAACATCCCTCTTTGCTTCCTCATACTCACGATAGATGGTGTCTTCTCTCTTCACCGATCGACACTTGGCGTCCAATGCATATGGCTTTGCACACACGAGGAATCCTTCGCTGTAACCAGTTCGAGGGTCGATGTCTGGGTAAACAACGCTTCCCTCTTCATTCGTTCCTGGTCCAAACTCGAATGCCCACAGCAGTTTGGCGATGGCCAGAAACAAGTTTCTTTCGGCGAGATGGATTCCAGGACAGAGACGTCTTCCTGACCCGTATCCGTAGTGGTCTCTGTCATCAGGGTTGGAAGACTGAGCCAGCTCCGAAGCCAGCGCGGTCACGCCCTTGTAGTGATCAGGATCAAAGACGTCCGGGTTAGGGAACTTCTTTTCATCGTGGTGCATGCCCCAAGCGTTGATGAAGACCACCGAGCCTTTCGGGATCTTGTACCCGTCGATCCAGTCATCTGAGTCGAAGTCAATCACTTATGGTCCTGTCTTGGGCGTGTTCTTGACTTACCTTCGTCTACTGCGTGTGGGAAAGCCAGAGGTACCACTATGATTTATTAGCAAGGATCATATTACCAGACTCGACCTGATCAGAGCCGAACAGAGAGGGGCATACCTGGTCGCCAACGCATGGCCTCTTTCACTGTCGCCGCCACGTATGGCAAACTCGGATAATCAGACCAGACAGGGCTTCTGTCCTCCCCCATGACGCTGTCAATCTCCTCCTGTGCCTTGTGCATGACTTCGGGCCACTTGACAAACGCCTGAATGGCAGCTAGTATGATGCTGGAAGACGTGTCACTGGCACCCTCCATCATCGTGCCACCAAGGAAGTACAACTGATGTCTGTTCAGGTCGAGCTTGTCTTTCTGGTCCAGGACCCTGTCCATGAAGCTGTACTTTGGTCCGACAGTTTCACGTCTCTTCTCCAATCCAGTGAGCATGTCGTTGTATAAATCGTTCATCGCTTTCCCGACATGCCTGGCTCTGGTCCGCCAGTTACCAAAGACGGCCTCTGGAACGTAATGCAACGCTGGGAAGATATCGACCGGTGGTGTATTGCCTGGCTCCATCACGACAGACCAGTCCTCCATCAAGCGGTACAAGCGCAACATATGCTCAGTGTCAATGGTCGGGCTGCGTACACCCCAGATGGTCCCGCAAGCAATGCTGTTCGTGAACCGCTTTGGATGCCACATGTGTTGATCAGGCCGGACGACGAAGTCATGCAATAGTTGGCTGGCTTCAGCTTGCTGCAAAGGAAGATGGTCTTTCATCACGATGCTTTCCATGAAGTGTTGGTGAATGACTTTGCGGTAACGTTGCCACACTTTGCTATAGTGGGCAATCAGGACGTGGTCACCACCGGTGATGAGGTTATGCGAGACGTAGCTGTGAGGGCGGTTACTGTAGATGCTGGACTTCTTGTCTATGAGCTGTTTGACGAGTCGACGGTCGGTGAGGACGATTGCTGTCGCAGAGCCGAGTTTGAGGGAGAAGATTCCGCCGTAAGTCTGGCCAACGAGTCAATTCCAAGACGGTAAGACAATAAATCGGGAAGGAGTACCTTTGCCCATTCTGTGAACCTGTGGAATCAAATGTCAGGCCTCGCTCTTCATACAGGACGGCCTGCGGGGGGTGGGACAGGCTTGACTCACATGAGATATGATCCTTTCGTGGGTATTTGGTGCACGTTTCCTATGATGGCTGTGGTAGGAGGTCCTGGAGTGCAACATATCAGTCGGCATTTTCAGCATGTCCTTTACAGGCTGACCTGGGAGATAGTAGACAAGGTGGCTTACCAGGAGGGAGTCCTCTCTCTCGGTGTCCCACGAAGGCGTATGCATAGGAAACGAGGGCAGACAGCAAAAGGAATGCGATGGAAAGAATAACGGTCTGTGCCATTTTGATCTCTACTCTTGTACCATTTGCGTTGGAATAGAGAGATAATGAAGCAGGTGAAAAGATGATGAAGTAGGTGAAAGGTGTGGTTGGCAGACGCGAAGGAGAGTGTCGAGATCTATATAATCTCTGGTCGGTCGGTGATTGGCGACTTCTTCACAAGGAATAGTCATGGAGAAATCAAGTGCAGATCATACAAGAAACCTGGGGTATTCCCAGTTAATACTCTTCCCCGCCAACAATCAGGGCAGATTGATATTCTGACCCCGCGAGACGATGCAACAGCAAATATTCCCACATAAGGAGAAGTCGTGGAGATTGTCCCTGGACTTTTGACTCGTCCCACAACGTGGGATTCCTTCCCTACGGACTAGGACATCGCAGATTACATGGTTGCTGACAATTACCGGGTGAACCCCAGGGAAACCTTAGGTTGATCCTTGTCGAAGATGGTCGTACAAAGCTACAAGCCGATAATATGACCCCTTTTATGGAGGAAGTCCTATCAGGCCTCCTCTGCGACGCAGTCTAGCTGTTCAGGATTAAATGCTTGACTATCCGCGACTGTAGCTAGTCCTACTAATCGTGGCGCAGTGGACGGACTGGCTGAGAAGGTAGGAGTGTCTGACTAGCATCCTGCTGCATCCTGGAAAACAAGGGGAACGAAGCCACACGAAGACTATCGCAGATGTGTGGGTGCATTAACTCTCCTGCTCTCCCCATGAGGGGTGTTGGTCTTGGACTTCATGCCGACTCGGTCTCTTATGTGCTCTCGTCGTCGTCCTCGCTGTTTTCTTCGCTCAAAACATCCGCCGGCGTATTGACTGATCGCTTCTGCTCCAGTTGACTCATCATTTGAGCGCGGATAGCCTCCAGAGGTGTCTTTAGCGAGGGATTATTGGACTGGCCGATCCGTAGACCGAGCTCCTTGATCTTGTCTTCGAGGTCTTTAAGCTCATCCGTGCCGGCATCCTCGTTCTCATCAGATGTGTGATCTTGACCAAGCGCCAGCCTCTCGACCTGGAGCCCATTGCCAAAATGCTTTGCAAAGTCCGCCGCCAGCCTCTCTTCTTTGATCGCAAACACGATCTCTTTTAAATTGCCCCAGTGTTTTGTCTTGCTGTCTCGGCCGTCACCCAGAATGACTTTGTTGAATGCGTTGGCAATCTCCATGACAGGATTGCCGTATGCACCACACCCCCACGCACCGAGGACGCACTTCTCGACCCCCTTTGCTTGTAAAATGTCCATGAGGCACTTGATTTGCCTACCAGCAGTGTCTCGATCTTTCTGACTGGCGTATTTCTTGTCCTCGTCTGTCGTGTCCTCGACGTCCGGAAAGCGGAGCATGGCTGCGCTGATAACATCAACCCACCACCGATCGCCTTTGCCCAAATCTTGGCCAGTGTGGTCCCGAAACACCAGGACATCTTCCGTCCATATGGCGCCGACTTCGGGCAAGCGATAAAACTCATCTTTCAACGCCGGATAAAGCGTTGTTCGATTGCAAAGGCTTTCCTCTTGCGCAGTTGCACCGTTGAGAAACCCTCCTCCGGGCACCAGAGGACTAGCCATGTTCAGCACTGCCACGTTCCTCTTGGGCCTGGCCGATTTCTCCTCGCCAAAACCCCCTGCAGAGGCCTGACTTAGTGCTCTTGCAACAACAAGAGTATCATCCGCAACTACACGAATCTTGACGTTCGCTCTCCCATCATCCCCGTGGCCTCTGCTCCCCAGACCTCTCATGCTGCTTCGAACGTCGACTGCAGATGCGTCCAAGATAAGCTCGCTGCTTTCTACGCCCTTCCTTACCCTCGCACTACTGGCCAAGAGCCCTGGAATGGTCTTGTGTGCCGTAAATCTAGCAGCTTTGGCGCGTGCATCCTTGCGCCGAGAAGGAGGGGCAAGGCCAAGCGAAGGCTGCGATCTTCCCATGGAAGAAAAGAAGATGTATCAGACGGTGCGTTGTTGAAACCGCCTGGTTGTGGTGACAAGAGGCTTAGGTTGATCAAAGTGGCAAGAGATGCACCAAGTAGAAATTGAGGACCAGGTAAGAACACGTCATCGAACAGCTGTTACTAACTCACCCTACCGTCGTCTCTTCGGTAGCCCAGACGTAGCCATTCCAGGAAATCGAGAAACCGGCCATCTGAAGACTCTTGGGGACTTCAAACTCGTCTTTTTTGGCGGCGATGTCGTGAACATCATCTTCAGACAATTAGAGGGAAAAGACCCATGTCAGCTACTTTCTCTGCCTGGGTACCTGACTTTAGCTCCACGGGTATGTGCCCAGCAACCCCACATGAGTGATCATACCGTGGGAAGATTAATGCTGTGAATCTTCTTGCCCCTCCGTCCTTTCGAGGCTCCTACGGTAGTTCGTCAAAGTTCAAAGGTTTGCACGCAAAATGCCTGGTGGCACCACCGCAGACAAGATATCTCGCAATGCAGTACAGAGTTTTGTCTGTGAAGTGCCGAAGTGCGAGGCCATGTACAAGTGCAAGCGACGGCCGTCTTTTCTGATACTGATACGTTCTGCTTTACGATGCAATTTGGTCCAGGTCTCCCTTGCCACAAAACCTGTTCAATTGAGTAGTCCTTTCCCTCGTGTGCTTTGTGGTTTCCCGATTCCTCAGGAAGATATCCACACTCCAAGCGAGGGGTCTTCGCCGATCCTTCTCAGCGGCATAGTCAACTTCATTGTCAGAATCGCAGCAGATAGTGTGGTGAACCTCAAAAGCCACACCGGGGAGTGGTCAGACACAGGTGAAGCCCGTCCTTAGAGTCACCAACCGTTGAAGGTCGGTAGGCCGGGTTGGCTCAGGAACAGAACAGGCTTTGATGTTGCTATTGGAGATAAAAGACTTCTTGTCCACGTTCTCTTCCTCGCAGTGATCGGGCGCTCCGCATGGCGAAACAGAGCGAATCCTCTGTAATCCCGGTGCATGCACGGGACGAGAGAATCTCTGCAACCGCCACTGTTTCTCGAGCCTGCTGGGACAGCATCGCCCATCACCCTGGCGCGACCAGCCTCAAGTCGTGAAACGCGATCATAGGTCACTGGCTTGAAACGGGAGTCCAAAGAGTTAGGACAAGGGCCAAAGGACCTTGATCAAAGACTCACTTCCTTTGGCATTCACTTCTCGGGGAAAGCCAGTGTCCTAAGTCCACGATGAGGTTGGCCGCTGCATGCATAATCGAGAAACAAAACACGTTGGGGACTTGAGGACAAAACATCTGCTGCTTTATATGGGGAGCGTCACACCAGCCACCATAGCCACAAATTATCCCATTTAGGCGTCCCATTTGGCTTCGGATATCATCTCGCTACCAAAGACCGTAGGGATACCCTCAAGGATTCAATTGAGCTTCCGTGTGTTCACAGCTGTCGAGCTATCATAGTTGACATAGTTCCACCTACAAGTATACCCGAAGGCATCATCCGATAAGTCGAAAGTAGGAGATGGCGGGACTGCTCCCACCTTCACCGGGGCTTCTCCCATACTACTTACTCTTTGTAAGTAAGCCCTTACCCCACCCCCTTCTTCCCTTTGTCATCTGCGATACGGCAGGTTTCCCTCATACCAGTATCAGGTCATGGCTGATAGCCTGATCGAACGTATAGACAGCCTCCATGGGTCTGTTACACACTGTCGTGTGCTACATCAATCCCTTGGGCTCCATGCGTCAGTTTTCAGGGCCTCGGGCACCTCCGCCCACGTCGGTGTTGGCTCATGTGTATGGCATGCAGAACCTCTACACTGGGTTCATTCGGATTCTAGCCGCCTATAATATCGACAATGCCCCTCTGTATCACCTTGCGATCTTGACCTACGTTGGAACGATCTTCCTGAACGGCTCCGAAACATTGATCTGGAAAACTGCGAGGTTTTATGAGACAAAATATGCTTACCTGCCTGCCTTGATTGGCCTTGTTTGGCTGGTCGCCCAAAGGGATTGGTATCTGCCTTGAGTCCACGACCCCTCCAGCACATGATGCTTTAGTGTCGTGGGTTTGCTCTCTTTTAGTAGATAGGGAGAAGGAATAACTGTGGTGCGGACTTTGGCCCCTCGAGTGACATCAAATAGACTCGCACTCAATCGGTTGTACGCTTTGGAAAGTGCAACGCAGTCGACGTCCAAGGGCGAGGGAGGCAGCAACAAAAGCGGGGATTCATTGCGAAGCTAACCCAGCCAATGATCAAGTGATATAGATTGAAGAGCAGCATTGCTTTGCATAGGAAGAACGTACCAGAATGTGCCACGAGCCCAGCTAGCATTCATGATGGAACAGTGTTGAATAGCATCCTTGTAAATAGATGCTGTTTCCAAGAGAGTAACCGAGAACGCATCCATGACTTCTTCACAAAATCCGATATAGGTATCGACGTCCGTTTCGTCCACAGCTGGGGCATCAGCTACGGTGATGTCTCATAAATTCCTTGGGAAGTCTAGCAGTCCATCAAGGTCAATGTAACACGTAACGTTCCAGTCACGGTCAATGTTTAGGTTGTGACAATTCATATCTGTCAGGAGCATAACAAATGGCCCAGCGCCGAGATCCCGTAGAACAAAGTCTGCGCAGACGGTGCCAGTGTAGCAAGTGCAGCCATTTGAGAGCCGACATCACACATTTCATATATAGATTCGGGTTGGTGTCGCAATCAATTGTCGTGACAATGAAGAGAGCATCGACCTTTCCTCCAGTTGTGCGGTAAGTCAGGTTCCTGGGAATATCCAGCGGATGCTCTCGCTTTCAAGATCTTGGAGCTCCAGTGTAAGAGGACGATTCAGCAGGCGAAGCTAGTCATCGTCGTCAAGGATCAGGGCTCGGATGCGAGAAAAGAGACACGGGCCGTCCCTAATGTATTCTCCGCCATCCCACGGAACAAGTTATGTCGCGATTGAGGCTTCATCCTGCTCGCTGTCCACGTTTCGGACAATGTCCAATCAGAATGAAGGCACCAATCCCTTCCAAGGACCCCCCTGACGTTGACCAACACCTGAAGGAATAGAACGACCGAATCAAGAAAAGAAATGATATTTGACGAAGTGGAAAAGACGGGCAAAAACAGACTTCCGTCCAATCGGAGTAACTGTTGAGATAACATCAGCAAGTGACATTAGCTACTCTCTAAGCCAAAGTATCAACGGTGTGTTAGGGTTTCGTTTTCCAGTACTAGAAGGCAGTCTCGAGAATGCAGTCCCTTTGCAAGAGAGGTTGTGCTCCGGCCTTTCAAAGGATGAAAGGAAAAATGCGTCATGACGTCGTGTGTCCCGTTGACTTCGGAGAAGCAGGAAGCCATTAGATGCAATATCAAGAGATGTTCTCCAACCGTGGAGTTTCTCGAGTTTGGTGATCTACCTATTATGTATTGATCTCAGCCATCATGGCGCCCAACGACTATGCCTCGGTTGGGTCCGGTAAGCTCAAACTGAAAGGAGTGAAAGACGCCAAAATCGACAAGAAGAAGAAAAAGAAGTCCAGCAGTAAGCCGAGTGACGGGACCGCCGACCGTGGCGAGGACAATACTTTTCACGACAAATCCGTCATGCTAAGGAAGCTGGAAGACGAAGATGCTCAGCTCGCGAAGGAGGAACGTCGCAATTTAGCCGCTGTTGATGGAGAGGAAGTCGGCCCGGGCGCCGGCATCAAGGACGACGAGGAAAGGCAGGTTGTCAAGACTGAAGCAGAGAAACGGTACGAGGAGCAAAGACGGAAGAGAGTATGTGTTTGTTGTTTCTGTTACTATCTCAATGACTATCGCTGACAAGTCTGCCACAGCTCGAGGATCGATTAAAGCGAGAAGGTGTCAAGACGCACAAAGAACGAGTCGAAGAGTTAAACCGCTATCTCAGCAGTCTCAGCGAACATCACGACATGCCTAGAATTGGGCCAGGCTAACACTTGTGGATTTCCCAGCTGGGGTTTTCTTTTCGAATGGCTTCTGTGGTGACGGACTCACTCAGTAGATCATCACTACTTCAGCCTCGCAGAGCGGCTGAAGACAATTCTGGACCTAGCATCCGAGGCATCACGGTATCTCCATTGGCACGAAGGTTATTGCATAGTCAGAAGCTTGCAGTCTAGAGCCACGACAGACGTTGATCTTGAAAATTCTTTTTGTATTTGAATTCACTGATCCCGCTTATGTACAATATCATTCAAAGACGCATCATCGTGTGTCCATCTCCTACTCCTCTTCTTCTGCGGCTTCAAGACGTCCAGGCTTTGAGTTCAGGTAGTGGTTTCTGCATAAACGTCAGTGTCCACTTCTAGCAGCGTATCTCGGCTAGATTTTACTTCTCTGTAGCCCATGACATGAGCACGTATCCGAGAACCATGGGAGGAAGCCAGTACAGGATCTGGTGGTATGTGCGGCGGTAGACGTTGAAGATGGCGTTCTTGTAGGCTCCGGCCATGGGGTCTTGTCTGTTCGGCGACAAAACATATGTGACGATTCCCTTTTGTTTTGGGGAGCCTGTTCACGCATATTGTGTTAGCTCCATATTCTTCGGTAATGATCATCCACCTCGTCTTCACGTGCGGCGGAGAGCGTTCTTCGAGACCGGAAGGAAGGTATGCAATATCTTCGAGGAGGGAGTCCGTACCCAAGTCACCCCACCATCCCATGTATCTGTTTACATCAAGTTGTTAGTTGCCCGCGATCGAGGCGACTTCGATACGATGTGGCTGTACGTACACTCCGTTCTTTGGGTCTGGGTGACCGGCCGAGCGCAGGGCCTTGGTGGCCTGCATCATGAGACGAGGTGATGGACGCATCTTGACCGAAATGCTAGTCGTTGAGGTTGCAGATGTACACTTAGACTGAGAGCATCAAAGAAATCATTGATCGCAGGAGCTTCCCGGAGCTACCGTCGCAGACTTGGCTGCTGACATAAGGCAGATTAGACCGACGAATTTCAGCTTGTCCCATTGGATCACGGATTCCGTAGGGCACGCACATGTGCTGTTATGATCCGTCGTATGAATTCCGGCGCACCATAATGCCCCTTCTCCGCAGCTTGGCAACTAGCGAGGTTACTCCAAGCTGCATTACGGAAGCGAGTGCGTCGAAAAGTCCATTACGCTTATAGCTTTCCACCTGGACGACTGCGGCAGCATCTAGGAATCGCTTCATCGCCGGTCGGCCTCGTGCTCATTATACCTCCCCTCGCAGGCCGTCATGTCGGCACCCAACATCCTCAACGCCATTTCTCGGTGGGCTGTACCGGTCTTCATTGCCGCATCTTTCGGCCAGGCGGCGATCTATGATGTGAAGGGCGGAACAAGAGCGGTCATCTTCGACAGATTGTCTGGTGTCCAAGAGAAAGTCGTCAATGAAGGCACACACTTCCTGATCCCGTGGTTGCAAAAGGCCATCATCTACGATGTACGAACGAAGCCGAGAAACATCAGCACGACGACTGGAAGCAAGGATCTGCAGATGGTCAGTCTGACGCTGAGAGTTCTGCATAGACCCGAGGTGCAGAGATTACCCAAGATCTACCAGGTATGTCACATTCGGTCCATCCGCAACTGCACTCATTGCTGAGCTCTGACTCTCCCTCGATAGTCGCTCGGTCAAGATTATGACGAAAGAGTCCTTCCCTCGATCGGAAACGAAGTCCTGAAAGCCATCGTGGCGCAATTCGATGCCGCAGAGCTCATCACACAGAGAGAAGCCGTCTCGAATAGAATCCGAACCGACCTGTTGCGCCGAGCGCAGGAATTCAACATTGCGCTTGAAGACGTCTCCATCACCCACATGACCTTTGGTCGAGAGTTCACCCGGGCCGTCGAACAGAAGCAGATCGCACAGCAAGACGCCGAACGAGCACGATTCATCGTCGAGAAGGCCGAACAAGAGCGACAGGCCAACGTCATCCGCGCCGAAGGAGAAGCCGAGTCTGCGGACATTATCAGCAAGGCTGTGGCCAAGGCAGGCGACGGTCTCATCCAGATCCGACGAATCGAAGCCAGCAAGGACATTGCACAGACGCTGGCGTCGAACCCCAACGTGACGTACCTTCCAGGTGGCGGCGAAGGCGAAGGTGGAAGCAGCAAGGGCACCGGTCTTTTGCTCGGGCTGAGGACCTAGTTCAGGAGCCTTTCCTGATCCTGTCCGAGGGGGGCAACCCGGAGACTGTGTACAGCTATTGATTCCCAGAATGACTCGCCCTTGACCTTTGAGCCTCTGTGTTCCCCAGTGTAGCATTACGTATGTAGCGAGTGGAAAAAAATGGAAAAGGAAATTCTCAACTTTTATCCGCTTTGTTTGACGTTTCGTCTGTGTGAGGTATATCTCGTAGTTGAATCTACGTATACGTCGACCTTCAGGTATTAACGTCCGATTGTCTGTGTATATGTCGTCCTTCACGGACCGTCTGCATACCCAGGTAGTTGAACAAACAAATCTTGAGAGTCCACAACCGGGGAGGATCTCGGAGCGTACGCTGTGTGACCCCGGTATGGAGCCAGGTGGTACTCCCTCCACGTTTGCTGATTCTGCCGGCGACGGATCTCAAACATTGTAACATCGGTAAGCAGTAACTACTTCGCCACCTGAGGTACACGTTGCAGAGAAAGGTAAACAAACGTACACTCTACACTACCGTCGGCGAAGCAGAGTAGAGTCATCATCCCTGATGAGAAAAGGTACCTGATGACAATGGCTGGCCAAAGAGAGAATGTATATGAGAGAGAGAGATTGGAATTTGTGCATGCTAAAAAATGGTACAGTTGTAGTTACAGTAGTACTACACTGTAGTACCCCTGTATTTGAGAGCCAGCGCGCGGCCGAGGCCGTGACTTGGACTCTGTGAAAAAGTTATGCATGGTCCTCAAGGTAGGCTGTAGGTTGCAGCTGCTACACGTGCTGAGTCTGCAAAATATGTCCTTGGGGGATTGAAGTGAAATGTTAAGTCAGTAAAGAAAAGCGAGCAAAAGAAGAAGAAGAAGAAGAAGAAGAAACAAAGAACCCGGGTCCCCAACCACTCACTGCCACTGCCCACCGCCCGTCCCCCTTTTTGATTCCCACAATGAAACCCCCCGGTTAAATGAATACAGTACTCGTACATGATGTCGGCATATCAATCCAAAAACACCCCTCTACCTCATGCCATACACACACTCGCACACTCACTTCATACACCACGCAAACACATTCGCTTTCTCCGTTGCACAGCTCTCGCAATGGAATAAGTAGAGGAAGGGGAAAGTCCCTCGAGACATCTCTTTTCACGGCTGATACTTCTCAGGACATCTCCCTTCGTAGCTGATGTTTCCTCAGGTGGCTGGCATGTCTCTTGACCGCGGCGCTGGCTCTCTTGGTAGTTGTTGTCTTCTTGTTCCATACGCTCAACGCGCCGGGACCGCCGCACACTTGGTCCGCGGCGCCCGTGCAGGCCATGTTGCACTTGTCTTCGGTCAACTGGGGCGTGGGGGTGCTGGTGCCGCAGAAACACTGCCCTGCGTATTCGGTGCCGGCGACCGGGAAGCCTGCCTTGTCGCAGTAGGAGATGCAGGCGTCGTTCGTCATGGTCGGCCCATTGAAGTTGGACCACTCCGGCAGTGAGCGCGGGAAGACAGTGTCTGTGAAGCAGCCCGAGTACGACCATGATGGGTTTGAGGAGACGGGCGTAGTAGAAGTTGGCGATGCGATCGCCGTCGAGGACGAGGATGAAGTCGTCAAAGTCGTCAAAGTCTGTAAGTGGAGAAAAAAAGGGCCCATTGTTAGTTTTGATTTGATCTTGATCTTGACTGTGAACAATGGAATATGCATCACTTGGGAATTGGGGACGTGTGTGATGAGGTATGATGATTCTCGGTTGAATGGATGCTAGACATGAAATCAAACAGGATGTGCAGAGTGTAAGTGGTGTGAAACCGGGACTGGAGTGGAAGGGTAGATGGAAGTGAGAACGTTGGCGTGTATAGGATGGGATATTGATTCCTGGACATAGCAGATCACGGGAATGATGCTGCAACTGTATCCATCTTGCAGCCACTGGTTCACCGGGCATGGTGCCCGATGGACTGGTGACTGAGTTGTCAATCTGTTGTGTAAATCTAGGAGTTGAGGTTGCGATCAAACGAAATAGTTCTCTTAATTACCGAAGTTGTTGAAGAGACTGGCTCGACTACCGCTGATGAGAGCGTGGTGGGTTGGACAACAGCCTGAGATGACGATGAGGGCGGAGCGGAGGTGGCCACTGCAGAGGATGAAGAAGCACGGGCAGAACTTGTACTCGACGACGACGACGACGACGACGGTGGAGCAGCGGCTGAGCTGGAAGTAGGAGAGGTAGTTGTCGACACTGGAGCAGAGGAACTGGTCGAGATGACCTGGCTCGAGCCGCCAGCACCGCCGCCAGCACCACCAGTGTTGACGCACTCGCTGCCAGTGCATTTCTGGTAAAGCGAGATGAGCCCTGCACCGCCGCAGAATTCGCTATCGTCGCCCGAGCACTTCATCTGGCAATTGCCAACGACACCGGGGACGGGCATTCCACTCGTTGGGATAGAATTGCCGCCTATACAAACACGTTAGCATGCATGTCTTACTCATGGGTGGGAAGGAGAGACGTACAATAGCACTCCGATGAATATTCGGTTCCGGCGACCGAGAATCCTTTGCTGTCGCAGAATGCAACACAAGCTTCATTGGTCATTTGACCATTCGACTCACTGGTGCCAGTAAGGATACGGTTGTAGTAGTTGTCGGTGCCGCAACCGGTATAAGACCATCCTTTGCTGGTGAGATCGGTAAAGAAGGTCGCGTTGCCTGCGCCTACGGTTGTAGGAGCACCGCAGTCGGTCTGCGGCTTGGCTGGTTCAGGGCCCTGTTGAACAGCATTGCAACCAGGCAGAGCATCGAGGAGACCACTGACAGGCTCGTCGACCTTTGATGCGATTCGGCAGCCTTCCGCTTGCGAGTCGGGGATCAATTTGAACTCGGGGCAGTCCTCCACACGTCCACTATCATTGGTGCAGGTGTCGACAGCTCGCTGGAGGAGATCTGGATCCCACCCCATGATGAAATCTCCATGGCCACCATAGCCTGTAGGGTCGCCCATGGACCAGACGAAGGGTTGACTATCTCCATACCACTGGTCGGCAAATTTGCCAGTATCCCAGATCACCTCGTAGAAGATGGAGATCAGATGCACTGGGAAGTCCGGAGGGCATGCACCAGAGTTGTACGAGTTTGCTGGGTACGACATGTGAGACTTGTGGTCTGGGGTATCGAGGTCTTTACCGTTCCAGCACGACGGAAAGAAGACTTGAGCACGAAGGCCATCCGGGCAATTGTAGTTTGGAAACATTCCAGTTTCTGGCTTGGCCGGACCATTGTAGTTGAGACAGTTGTAACTGACCGCTTGTGAAGCAAAATCATCTCCACCACTGCGTTTGAACGGATCTCCTGCGAGCATGCGGAAGCCAGGCGGGAAAGCCTTCAGGGTCTCTCCATCGCCCTTGCGTTGTAGATAGTATACAGTTGCACCTCCAACTTGTTTGACGCTTTCAAAGGTCCCGTTCTGATGCTGGAAGAACAAGGTTGGGGTCCAATAGTTGCTGTCATCCCCAATCACAGTACATGACGAGCATGTGGACGAACGAGTGGTGTTGTCGTCCATGGTGAAGTCGAAGGCGTTTCCTCCCATGATAGTGTGTAGATGGGAAGCGACCTTGCCAGGACTGACTATAGGATCGGCCCGTTCGACGACGATGGGGGATTTGCATGGTAGTCGCCAGAATGCTGAGACTGGTGATGCAGCCAAGGCCGTAATCAGGCCGGCTGTAAGAAGAGCAGACATTTTTGGTATGCTGTGAAAGCAACGTGGGTGTCGGACGCGAGGTTGGAGGAACGAGTGTTCCCGAACGAGTGACTGAAGTTATAAAGAGGGACTGGGACAAAGAATGGATGTACGATACAATCGCACCTGAAATAAAGAACGAACGACAGAGGTCACCGACCTCGACTTAGAAAGGGAACGTGGGAGGGGAAAGCACAAAGAAAGCTGTACGACTGAACAACAGAAAGGGTCAGGGAAGGGAATATAGGACGATGAAGCAAGATATACCAACCTTGGAGAACTCAACACGGCCGACATGCTGACCTCTTGAGATGACATGGTTGAAATTGCAGGTATAGAATGGTATGCGGGTATGGCCCTCTTTGAAGAAGGGCCAAGGCTCCCCCGTCAGCGCCGGACTGTGTGCAGTGCTGCGAGATTCTCGATGAACGCGAGATGCCTAGCATCGGCGTGGCATATCACAGATCTCGCCCCAGACTATGGAGCTTTTCGTGGTGTTTTGCAGGAGCCGTACAAAAGGTCAGTGGGAACAAGGCGTCATTAGCTGTTAAAGATCCTGGCCGGTTTCCTCTCATAGGCCAGGCAAAGAGACGGAAGGACTCGGTTCTCCGCCATGAATATCTTGGGCGGGAAGCGTTGCGAGGTCGAACCCGAAGAAAGGAATGTATACGAGGCTAGTGAAGTTACGAGTGGGAATGTCAAAAGCATCGGTCTGTTTCAAGTAGCCACGGCCCACGAGGCTCAGATGAGAGGCGGGAGAAATCTTGTTCAAGGGGAGACTTTGGTTTCAGCTTCACGCCACAGTTGTCAAGACAAAGAAGACGTGAGCGTCCATTGCTATCAACAACCGCGGCGAATGTGAAATGCCAGGCATCCAGGGTTGAGTTGTCAAGTCTCGGACTGAAGCACTTGTTGATCTGACAGACGGCGATATTCTCGTGTCGCAGCAGATTCTGGATGTCCAGAGAGAAGGATTGCTGGGAGCCTGATTTCCCAAGAGTGGCTAGTTCAAGATGAATCTGGATTCTGCCCCTAAAGTGATTCACCTCGGTTGCGCGGAGTCGCGGAAATATTCATTTCAGGGGCCAGCGGCGTATCTCACCCACTACAACCTCCCACCATTTCAGGATTCTGATTACAAAAGCGCCGAGGTCGTGCGCTAGGGCAAGGATGTAAGAAGAGGAAATACAGTACTTCGCACTGTACGGAGTGCCTAGATGATGTTACTAGGACCGACAGAGAAGCAGATGGCCAAGGGGCGAGTCCACATCAGATGGAAGATGAAGAGGCGTGCCAAATGTCAAAGTTACAGAATAGTCCGCATCGACCGCCCTAGGATCTCAGGACTGAGAAGGGATACCGCAATCACATCCTGGAATTCATGATTACCCATTGCTTACTTGCAGCCGCGCCCTTAACTCGCCTCAAGTTCGTTGAAGCAGTCTTCGCCCAGACATAAAGACCAAACGACCATGTGGTTCCGAATACCCAATCATCGATTGATTTCGGACAATAGAGCTGTGCTTGAAGTATGGGTAGCTTGATCCTTCGGGCCCCAAGGCGCCGCACAGCACGGCAACGGAAAAGATCACTCCTTCGAATGCGACAGCTGCACGAACCTCTCCTCAAGCCATTCTTTCGCCGTGTATACTTTCTCGTCGATACCGTCCGAGAACTTTCCGCCCACTTTGACTCGACTGCCTCCACTGTCGAATTTTCCCACAGGCTTCATGAGGCTGTGGTGTGTTGGCCGCACAAAGTATACGACGCTCACCCTCTCAATACCGGCCTGTGCTCCAGGAGACTCCACCACGCGGTGTTTCGCGCTCTTCAGTGCACCGTTCGAGAACGAGACCATGGCATCTCCAAGGTTGATGATCGCCTTCCCGGGCACGGGCTTGACGTATTCCCACTCCCCAATGCGTCCGGGAGTCCGGGACTCAATCTGAAGCCCGCCGAGCCAGTTGAACAAGATAGTAACACTGCCAAAATCTGTGTGAGACGGAAGTCCAATCTCAGACTTTTTCTCGTCGGACGGACGCTTGAGTGTGAGGCGGATGTGGTCCCCTGATGACTCCTCGAAACGATTGAGGTTGACAAAGATCTCTTCGTCCTCGTCTGCCGCGCGAGCAAGCGTGCGGAGGATCTCCATAGCCATCTCATGAGCACCCTTGCAGAAGTCTCGCAGTAAGGGCCTCGCATTCTGGATGATGTCGGGATAGGGGTTGCTCGGTGCAACATCAAAGAGACAGTCTTTACCGACGTTGAAAAACTCGGTGGTGTCGGGCCGCTGGCTTGTATCTGTTTTCTTGACACTCCCTGATGGTTTGTACCCGAAGAAGGATTTCCTCCGGCGAAAGTCGTATTTGTCCTTCTCCTGAAAGGGAAGAGCAAATGTTTCCTTGCTGAGGCCATAGAGCTGTTCGGCGTCTGCGACCAGTTTGCAGCCTTGGTCGGAATCGGTCATGTCAAGGTAGAAGAAGCCATAGGTCTGGCATGCCTTCCAGACAGCTGCTGTGGTCTCAAGATCTTTAGCCAGAAGCTTCCGGGAGGAGATCTCGGCAATTGGCGCATGGCTGAGAGTCTCTGGAAAAGGAGGAAGTGTCCCATGCTGCTGCATCGTAAGGCTCGTCGTTGCTGTGGCCATGGGGAAAAAACGATGGATGTCCGGCAGATAGAGGTTGAACGTAACTGCAGAACTCGGAAGAATTGTCAGAATGGCTGGTAGAACCCTCTGTATCAATCTTCTGGATTAATAGAGTACCAGCACTTCCTAGGGTCGGTGCCGATCTGTTCTTCTCGGGGACCTTTGATCGTAATGTCGGTCATCATACGACTGGTCGTTTACTCCCCGGTCAGACTGTCACTCCCCCACCCATTTCCCTCCGCATGTATGCGAGTGGGTTTCAAATGCTTCCGTCGTAGCCCAATCATGATCCATGGCCTGCGAGGGAAAGTCTTGTTCAAAAAGCTTCACGACGGGTGGCCAGTGGGTGAGGAGGTTAGCAGGATAGCTACGGTTAAGCGTCAGAAATCTATCGTCAATCGAGACCATCAGCTGAGCGTCGACGGATCGATTCCGTCATTAACCATTCTCATGTGTGTGCACTGTGTTACACGAGAGAGAAGTCTCTCATCCTTTTAGCACAACTCACTCGAGAAAGGATATACGCCACTGGGTTGTCCCGTTGATGGACGCGGCAGACCAACCTGACTTATATAACATATACGACCTCTATGTCTTGTTCTTACCCTAGATGTTGCTCCAGAAACTTCACAACATTCTTCAAAGCTCGGACTTGCGATGCACTACTATCGTCACCGCCATCCGGAAGTGCATCCAAATTACTCGCTCCCTCTAAACGATCGTCGAAGCCGTGCTCCGCATCTTCGATAAATTCCGTCTGGACCTTGACTCCTGCTTTTTTCAAGGCATGGGCCGCAGCCTCACTTGCTGTAAACGGCACCGCGCTATCGTTTCGCCCATGCAGGACCAGAAATGATGGCAAGTCACTCGGCAATCCGAAAGCGACGGGGAACAAGCGCCTGTGTTCTGGAGGAATGGCTTCGATTCCTTTCTCCACAATCGCCCGACGCATACCCGGTACACCTGTGACGTAGTCCGGGAAGAGTCGCTCGCCTTGTAATGCGAGGATGTATTCGAATCGTGGTACCGCATTTGGGTCCACGGTGACCGGAACTTCCGAGCTGGAAATGACCTTTGGCCGCTCTTGTTGGCGGAGATCCTCAAGTTTCCTCAAGGTCGCGCTTGAGTCGATGGGTGGCATTCCGAATATGAGTGAGCTATCATTCAGATATCGATTGTCGCTAAAGTCGAGCATGCCGTAGATGGTCACGACAGCTTGTGGTTTTGGAGAGACGAGGCATGATGTGCCTAGAGCCAGCTGCAAAAGGGGCAGCAATGCCAGGTCAGTCACCACGACACGAGGACCGATTGAATACAGGTCTCATTGGAAGGTAGAGTGTGACCTGGAAAAGACTTACGTAGCCACCTGCGCTGCTCCCAGCGATTATCACCTTGCCAATATCCAACCCGATCTCCGGGCCCAGCTTGGTCAAAACCCAGTTGTATGCATCGACCGCGTCGTCGAGACAAGAATGCGCAGTGGTCTCCGGAATGAGCCTATAATCAGGAGTGACGAAGATCCAACCTCTCGACACACATGAGCCGATGAGCCACGACGGCAGGAAGCTGAATCGATTCCCTATGATCTTATATGCGTCCCTCACATGTCAGTATAAGTTCACATATGCCATAGCTTGCTTCCTTTCGCATCGGAGAGAAACTTCAAAAGGGCCACAAGGGATGGAAAGAGATGAGGACGCAGGGGAGCCGCACCAAAAATCCACCATGATAATGAAGCAATACTGGCACCGGACCCGAGGTCTTTGTGGTTTCTGGCCAAGCAACTTCCGTTTTTATCTCGAGACCGTCTATGGTCTTATATATAAACGTTCTGGACGTGTAGCCGTCATGATGTGGAATCTGAGTGATGCCGGCCATTGTTAATTTGTTGAAGGTCGTTTTGTCTTCTGAGAAGTGTGGGAAAGTTTAGCTGTCTAGCCGAAGCTTCTCTTCGCTCTTCGGGAAAGACTTGTTTGGAGAGGCTCGACTTTTTTGTACCGAGAGTACACCTGCTCGCAGAATCAAGGAACACTGAGGATCAGGACAGACGTGGTGATCAGCACAATATGAGATGTCCGCGGTGCTTCAGGCCGTTCTCCACGCCAAAAGTTGTGGGGGTGACGGATGGGACCAAATAGGTAAGACGGCCTATACTTGCCCTCTGGTTTCAAATCAAGGGTATGGTGTCATCGGCACACACCCTGTTTTCTCTCTGGTGGCCTGAAACTTAGTAATAGAACAAGATGACCCTAGGACACTCCGGTGTTGACTACTCTGTGGCTAGAGTATGACAGCGGTGACGGCTCTTTGAGTTGGTGAGACAACGACGAGTCAGCGCATCATGGACGATTCAGATACAAGAAGCTGAAAGTCGTAGGTATTCCGTTAGGTGTATTGGTATGAGTACTTAGCAATCCAAATTGGAACGACACAAAGATGGGAGAGGCAACCAATCCGCAATTCGAACACGAGGGCTGCAAAGTACAGCCTGTGCGAGGAACGTGGTGTCTACCCTAGGGAGTACCTTAGCTGGTCAACGCGTCGAAGGCAATTGAACAGCCTCGGAACCAAAAAGACGATACCGAGCTGCCTGATGATACTTTCCTAGTGTTTTGTTTATACTATAGCGTGTGAGGATTGTACACGTCAGAACTGTGAACAGTGGATCGCTAGATAGGACCACTGTGATGAACTCGCGTTGATTCTTGGAAGTGACAGAGAAGAACATTTGGACCATATCATCTGTCTTTGTGCTGTAGAATCTAGCAACCCAAGGCCATCACTGTACTGTCCATAGCCTGGACGTGGCATGTGCAAAACAAGCTCCCCGCTTTTTAACCCTTCAGATAGAGGAAGAAAGAAAAGAAAAAGGATATACATCGCCACCCTGGCACTTTTGGTGGCATCTCGTTTGGTGTCGAAGGGAGCATAAGGCACCCGGAGGTTTGTACAAAGACTTGCTGCAGCCAAAAACCCACCACCACTTCATCCTTCACACACACATGCCTCACAGTTCGACCAGCTGTTCAAATGTCGTGCTGAGATGGTCGAAACAGGGAGGAGGTAAATCGTGGCATCGCAGACTCTAGACATGGAAGGTGTCGTTCGCTGAACATCGCCCAAAAAAATCGGACGCTTCCTAAAAATAAACTGGGAAAGAAATAAAGCCTAGCCCTAACACCCGTGGTATATGCAGTCGTGGATCAATCAAGGATTTTGAGAAAAGGAAACGCCGAACGTTGTCATGGGTATTCATCAGATGAGACCGCACATGCGCAGGTTTTCCTGGATGATGATATCTGCAAGTAGTCGGGTCAGGCCTGATGCATGCCATTGTTGAGGGACAGGGGTTCTGGAACTTACCATTGACAGCACCCATGACAAACCGAATCTGAGTGGTGTCGGTGGCGCAGGTGAAGTGGGTGTAGATTTGTTTCGTTTCGGCCTGGTTAAGTGACACGAATCTGTTCAAGATGTAGTCGCATGCCGCAGCATAATCGGGACCTCCTAGAAAAGTGGTCAGCATTGGGTCCTCTTCTGTAGAAATCCGTCCATACCTTCGTAGTCTGGAAAGTAGTTTTGCATGGGGCTCACAGGGAGCTTCTCCTTGAACCTGTCAATCTTGTTCAAGAACAAGATTATGCTGGTCTTGATGAACCATCTCGAGTTGCAAATGCTGTCGAAGAGGGTCAATGCTTCTTGCATTCTGTTGACAGTCTCATCTTCAAAGAGTAATTGATCATATTCGGAGATGGCGACCAAGAATAGGATGGTTGTCACATTTTCGAAACAATGAATCCACTTCTTTCGCTCGGATCGTTGTCCTCCCACATCGAACATGCGGTATGTCAGGTCTTGAATGATGAAGGTCGTCTCAGTGATACCGGTGGTCTTGACGCGAGATCGAAGAACGTCTTGATCGTTCGGCAGGTAATCATGTGCGGCAATACGGTCGATCGAGTCAAAGTAGCTTAGGTAGAAAGTCAGTAAGAGCTGCCTGTTCATAAGGGGCGGTGAGATGCTTACTATCGTGCAGAATCGTTGAGTTGGTATTCTCTCGACCGCTTGAAGCATTCTTGAACGCCGGCATCATGCCACAGAGCTTTGATCGCTGCGCCGACCTCCGGGGGAAGGCTCTCGCCTTCTATCTGCGGCGGCTGCATGAAAATTGTTTGGACATGGTATTCGGCTCGTTGATCGTCGAGAGGTAGCTCGAGGGACTCCATAGCCTCTAGGATGACTCGCATCGACTGAACGGTATTGGAAAAGATGATTTCCTTGAACGACTCCCGTTCGTCGCGCGAGTATCCTCCCTCGTGAATGAGTTTCATTTGCTTGAGGATGGTGGATTTCCCTGATTCACCAGCACCTGCAACGGGTCAACATCACACTCATGACAGGCTATTCGATGTGAGCTTACCCAGCAACAGCATCTTGATCTCATTACGCTGCGCCATCTTATCTCGTTTCAGCTGGTTGTCAATTTCATCGTTCCTCGCCTTTCCGGCCGTATCTTCCTTGCTTGCACCACACCCCATCTTGACGATAGCTTCGGAGGTTCGCTCGAGGGGTATAGAAACGGTAATGCGAAGGTCGAGCCAATTGCTACTACGATTAGAAGTCAGCTGGGCACACTTGAAGGTCCTGGAATTGCGCTGCGGTCTCTGGGTAGAAAGAGTGGACGACGCGGCGCAGGTGAAGTACAACTCAGAGATTGCATGTACTCACCTTGCAATGATCTCGACTGGGGGTACAATTCAGTATGCCCTCCTGCCACAAGATAATGTACAGCAGAGCGATGGAAAAGGTGGTGGATGGGAATGATTAAGAAGTCCGAAGTGGGATCGACGCGGGTGACGGCAACAAGTGGAAATTTTGGCGTCGATCCGTAACTAAGCTGAGCGACACAACTGATAGACCCGGAGCCAGAGGAAAGTCAGTAGCGTCGCGAGAGGGAGCAGAGAAGTGTGTCAAGGTGTTTGCAGGCCGGCTCTGCTGTCGAGGTGCAGGTGATGGATATACAAGAAGGCGGTTATTAGTCAAGTCGCTGGAATGAAGGGCACGAAACAAAATAAGACCAGGGACGCAGCCGTGATGTTCGGTAATGTACAGGGGCGCAAGGGAAACGAAGAACAGGACGGTGGTTGATCAGATCGGACGGATTCAGAGCGACGGTGGATGGATGGACCGCCAATTTGACACACGGGATTGGATATGAGGCCGGGCACGCAAGCGAGAGTAGGAGGAAAAATCGCGATGGCCAGCACGGGCGGGGAGCTCTCTGTAATAGCGGCAGGACGTGCCTAACCGGGCACCCTGCTGGTCCCTAGCTGGCCACCTAATGAGCTCCTGTACCCGCAAGAGGAGGCCCCGGGGGCATCAATCCAGTTAAGTTCCGGCTAGGATGGCTAGCGTCCCAGCGGTGGCTCTACCTAAAGGCCCCAAGCTGCGACTTTGCCTCAGGGACAGACTTTTTGGCTCGTCGGTGGCTGCTGGCCACGTCCCGTCTTGCTCCCGCCGCTGAAGCCTCCAACCAATGCGTCTTTATGACACTCAGGAAGCTCCATGTCACATCTCAACCGCCTGTCAGAGCCGACGACTGCCCTCGTTAGGGCTCTTGAAGCCCCCATATGAGCTCGACACGCTCTCACTGATTTGTCTATCTAGTCCAATACCTTATTCTTTACACGTACTGTACGGAGTGTCATCATGGCAGCCAGCACTAACCAGGACGGAGTTCGAGTAGCACTATTCCCAGCCCCATCGCGCTCCTGGGCCACTCCCGCACCTCTTTACCCCCTGGCCCTTGCTGGTGACCTATAGCTTGGCTGACATTCGAGGGTTGCCCCTTAGGTCGCGCCAGCGAATCTGTTTTGGATCACTGATGCAGGGCCAGTCTTTGGGCAGGCCGCAGGCGCAACGTCCACTAGTACGGAGTGCAAAATGCGTCGCATTGGTATCCAGATGCAACAGACGAGAAATTGCTTTGACAGCTCGCTGCAGCGTGCAGACGGGGAGCACCACGTCGATCAGTGTTTGGCAGCTATCGGGACCAATATAGCATCTGGGAGGACTCTCAATTGATATCGATATCGCTCGCATAGCGGGACGACAGGTTCAGCATCTAGACTCGTCAGCTTTTCAGCTGCGCTCCGGAGTGTCCCTGATATGAATACCGACCTTACGACCCAGACGGAGAAGGTGTACTACGTGTACTCCGTACAAGCAAATTGATCTAGTGTGTTCCACGACCCCTTTTCGCAGTGATCCCAAAACTCATGGGTCACGGTCCCAGAAAGCCGACACCAAGCGCAAATAGTGTCCCTTAAGCGAGGAATGGCGAAACACTGTTAAAGCCAACAGATGTTTGAACCATGCCTGAAGCAGTGAACGACCAGGGCCATTGTCAATCAGCTGATGGGACAGCCCGTCCAATTTACGGGGAACCTGTTTCTCGAACATTGCGATAGCTCGACCTACTTACTGGACATACTGTATGCATCCCTGGCTTTCCCAGCTGATGTTCCATTTCCGCAAAGGGTGTCTAATGACTTTTGCATTTCTTCGGCCGCCGCAGCACGTACTCCACTTGGATCGACCGGCAAAGCAGCAGGTACCAGTCCTCGTACTGCACAGAGTTGCACCGTGCTCGGATCTCAAGGTTTGTTAAGCCAGACCCTTTTGGTTCCTGCCTGGGGCGACTGGTGGCTCGATCTCTCTTGAGCCTTCGTCGTCGGGTGCAGTTTCTTGACAGGTCATTTATTACCGATACCGCTGTTACCAAGTCCTGTGCTCTGCGCGGTACGAGGGCTCGTATCGGGTTGATCAATGAATTCTGAATCCCAGGCTCACGGAAATAGTTTCGTGACAGCCGACGGCACCGTCGATCTAGTTCCGTTCTGTTCTTGCGGGCCGTCAGCATAACAATCCTCCGTGAACGTGCGGCACGAACACAGCATTCGGTTCGGATGTCTGTAACGTTCAACGGAGGACTCATAGTCACATAGACTCACAGTATGGAGCACCTCCGTAGGACTTGCAGACACAGTGGTGGAGTTGATGTCAAGGAGGGTGTCAAACTGGAAATCCATCCGCCACTGACTGGACGCAGTTTATGGTGTCTTTAGGGCAACCGAGCAGCTTGTCGACTTTAGTTATTCGTCCAGCGTCGTTAGCTTGGACGGTGTTTTCCATTGGCGATCGACGCCACAGCGACGGTCTCAAGAGTCGTCGCCGAATGAAACACGACAGGAGCACCTTCTTCTCGCCTGGTCCGCTCAGACTTAACTTCCGATGGGTATATCCCAGCCAGCCATAGCACATTATTTTATTTTGTCCAGTTTGCGGGACGGACTCCCGAGTACCAGTCACACACCTGTCAGTGTGTCTCGAATCAGGCAATGATCACCTCCCGCTGACTGACGGGCCGGTGGCCTTCACGAAAACAGACAGTATGGTATCTATATATCTAGGCCCAAATGGGCAGTGGTGGCACTGGTGGGTGCATGGGCGTCTGAGAGTCTGGCCTCCCCGGGTACCTGACTTTATGTGCGACTCAAGGTTTCTCGAGTAACACAACCTATCGATAATGAAACGTATCGGCTACCTGCTCTCGCGTCTCATCATTTAGATTCGCGTATGGTACCACCAACAGCCACTTACTGCATCCTGGCCGGGTTTCCAGGCTGGATGTGTATTTGCTAACTTTATTCGGAATGAGCAATTTGCCGAAACACGGTACAGCACCTCGATTAGGTCTGCCACTATTCACAGAACATGGTGTCAGGACAGAGTACTCGTAAGATGTGACTGAAGGCCATGTTGATCTTGTCACGAAGCTTTCGGAGCGCAGCAGTACGGATACATGGAAGGCAAAGGCCGTCTCGGTCGCACCCGCAACGTCTTGCTAACGGTATGTCCTTTTGTTGGTGAGCAGTTGCCACATTTTGTCGAGCAAGATTTTGGCAAACATGTCGCAATGCGTTCCGGGAGTCATTTACGCAAGGACAAAAATGGAACACATCAGAAATTTGTGGGTATTTGCTCCTGTCAGTCATCGTCGTTTTGCTGAAACTCAGACCATCTCGTTATCGCCGTTTCTGTAATTGAGATGGCAGTGGATGCGATCCATGGAACGTACCAGGCCACCAAACTCGGCACCAGGATGTATCCAAGTTGGCATATCATGCGGCGATACCAAAATTTGGCCATAAACCACCACATGACTACTGGCTACTCTGGGTAATAAAGAACCTACTTACTCACACATCGTTGACAGCTAGGCAAGGTCTTTTTCACACTTGAGAAAAGCCTTGTTCTTGGCATTTTGGGCCATGATTCCAAGGTCGGGTCAACGAAATTATAAGAACACTTGGGAGCAAAGTGGCCATGTTGCGGAAGCTGTGGCCCAAAGATAACCTGAGCAAATACAAGGACCTCCAACGCCTGGCAAACATGGTTATATTTTATACCGTGTCCTATCCACGTTCTGGCGATGCCGAACTGAGGACGCACCGAGTTCTCCGCACAGATTCAAAATCCAGGAAAAGCACAACATCTTGATACCGGTAAGTATTGTGGCATAGCCGCGAAGTGGTGACAGAGTCGTTCTATCCAGTTGGAAATCGTACATGTTTAAACATACAGTATCTCAAGAAACACGGAGCGGCCAGCCAAATCCCTCCTCATAGGAGAGGTCACCAGCACAACTCTGACCCTGTTCATAAGTCAATGTTTGAATGCACAATGTGAGCCTTGCAGCCCCACGACAGCCCCGTCTCCCACTTTCTCCGACAGCCACTTGGTGTTTGGTGTTGCTGGCGCAGGCCTCGAGGCAGCTGGTAACAAAGCCAGAATGAGTAGGAAGGAAGAGGCCCCGCATTCACTGTTTTGGGACAAAGTGGGGGATTGTCCAGACTGCGCTGCCCAGCAAGTCCAGCCCAACAACGTCTTCCCCCAAAAGGGGATCGAATGAATCTCCAGATTTATGCAGTGCAGCCAAATGTGTCTGGGGTAAGATCTCTCACCGGGAGCCCTTAATGACAGTCGATATCTCAGAAATGTTCTCGGTAGGTCACTAAGTTGAAGCCGTTGGGTGAGTGTAATCAGGCTCAATCACCGCTGGTCATGGCATTCGCAGCTGCTTTCTTCGGTGTCTGCCTCGTCTTTATACTCGTATACAGTGCTCTTCAACGCAAGAAACCTCCCAAGAGCCTTCGTCTCGTCCCAGGACCAAGGGGACTCCCCATCCTTGGCAATCTACATCAGCTTCCGCCTTACCCGCAACAATCACTGCAGAGATGGGCACGAGAATATGGCGACATGTTTCAAATCCGAATGGGCTGGGAGAACTGGATCTTCCTGAATGATCCTGCGGTCGTCAAGGAGCTCTTGGACAAGCAGTCCGCCGTCACTTCGGGCCGGGCACCGTCACCCGTCGCCTCGGACATCATCTCAGGCGGCAAGCGATTCCTCTTCATGTCCTATACGCCCGAATGGCGGAAACTCCGGACCATTGTGCACAAGCTCCTGACCCCCAAGGCATCGGCATTGTTCAAACCCAGCCAGGAACTGGAAGCGAGGCAACTCATCTACGACATCCACGAGGACCAAGCGAGGAACGATCAGGAGAGCTTTTACATGCATTGCAGGAGATACTCAACGTCGGTAATCATGACATCGACATATGGGAGACGAGTTCCACAATGGGTGAGTGGCCTGCAAAAGTCTGCGGAAGAGACATGCCTTCCCTGCCCCTGGGGTGAAGAACGTTTACCGACAAAGTTGACTAACGTGCAAATCAACCACCGCCTCTCAGGATTGCGAAGACGTCAGAGAAGTCTACACTGTCATGAACGAGTTCTCCGAACACGCCGCACCGGGAGCATACCTGGCGGAGATGATCCCACCTTTAGCGAAGATCCCCGTGCCGCTGCAATGGTGGCGTGGCCGCGCCTTGAAATGCTACCATCGTCAACTCAACATCTGGTGGAAGTACTGGACGACGCTGAAGCAGCAAATCGCTGACAAGACCGCGCCAGAGTGCTTCGTGAAACAATACGTGGCCACAGAGTACGAAAAGGAAGGCATAGATGAAGAACAATCGGCATTCCTAGCTGGATGTAAGTTTGACCTCCTTCCACACTGCCACAATCATCCATCATGCTCAGCGCCACCACCACCACCACCACCACCACACCACCGCCGCCTTCATCATCATCATGATTGCATTTTTGTTTGATTGCACGACCCCACAAAAGTTCTTATCACGAAGTACAATCCGAAAAAGATGGTCATTTTGATAGCTAATTTCCAAACCCAACCTCGTCACAGCAATGATCGAAGCAGGGTCCGAAACCACCAGCTCCGCCCTCAACAGCGCCATCAAATACCTCGCGGCGTTTCCGGGAGCACAGGCCCGCGCCCACGAAGAAATCACCCGCGTCGTAGGTGACAGCCGCTCCCCGGGCTTCGACGACGAGGACAACCTTCCCTTCCTCCGCGCCACGGTCAAGGAAGTCCTACGCATCCGGCCCGTGACCAACATCGGCACGCCGCACTACACGACGGCCGACATCGTGTACAAGGACTTCTTCATCCCCAAGAACACGGTGCTCTCCATCAACCAGTACGCCATCCACTTTGACCAGCGGCGCTACGACGAGCCCGAAAAGTTCAAGCCCGAGCGGTACCTGGACCACCCGCTCAAGGCCGGCGCGTACATTGCCCACCCGGACCCGTACGCGAGGGACCATTTCGGCTTTGGCGCCGGCCGCCGCGGCTGTCCCGGCCTGCACCTGGCCGAGAACAGCCTGTTCATCACGCTGGCAAAGATCCTGTGGGCCTTTGAGATCAAGCCCGCCCTAGGCCCGGACGGGAAGGAGGAGGTCGTCGATGTCTCCGATGCCGCGTATGAGGACGGATCGAACACGGTGCCGAGGAAGTACAAGGTGCGGTTTGTCATGAGGAATGAGAAGCGCGAGATGGTGTTGAAGGAGGAGTGGGACGAGACGTTGAGGGCCCTGAAGAGTCCGAGTTCTGTGTCGACATGAGTTCACGTGTTGACGAAGCAAAAGGAGAGAGAGAGTGAGAGAGAGTCAATAATGAGGAAGAGACACCTAGGCACGTAGAGAGCCAGAAACATCGTTTAACGATGAGATGACGCCGTACGTATTGGCTCCCTTTCAACGTACTGTACCAAAGTCCAACCCACAAAACAAGGATAACGATATTCTAATGGCCGTCCTTCCTCCGACTGTTGATACATATACACTTCATCTTGGCAGCCGTTGAAGAACTACTTTGTGTTTCAATTATAGGAAGCAATGATGGAAAGTTTTGTTTCTTAGGGTTTCGATCCTTCATCCACGTTCTCTCATCCTTGGCTGTGATATCCTTCTTCCTTCAAAGCTACTAAAAGCAGGAGACGGTGTATGTCTGATGGCGAGAGGGTGTTCGATGCACGTGGCCGTTCACGTCATCTGGTGAGGGTCATGATGACAAGTAAACCCAGTCTGCGTCTTGCCCTGCCGGGTAGTCGCTCTCGTCAACCTCATGGTCCTCGACGCCATTTGGCAGGTGCCATTGGGTAAGTTCTGAGTCGGCATCTCTCATCCAAGGGGTGTCAATTACGGTGATGCTGTATTCAGCCTGGCCACCAGTTTGCGGTTCTCGTCTGCCGTGCACAATGACACCTCGCCCTGCCCCAAGCTGTGTCAGGGCACGAATCGGAGAACTTGACGTCGCAGGTGCCGCGGTTAGTGTGAGGGCCGGGACAGGTTGTGCTCCATGCAGCGTTTCAGAGCTGTTGCCGTTCCATTCTTCATGGACGCTCGCAGTGCTGGCTTCATCTGCCTGTTGATCACCGTTTATGCCGGGGTTGACTGAGTTCTCTGTTTGATCGAGAGGTGATTGTAGAGGAGTTGGCGGAGGAGTTGGAATCTGATCGGCAACAGAATGGTCGATTGCGTGCAGTTCAAACCTTTCGAGGAGACGGTCTGCATAAAAGTCATCCTCCTCAGCTTCAGCCACGTTTCCCCAGGAAGTGTATGCGCTAAAGCTATTGATCATTTGCGTTTGTGCAGATAGTGCCTCATTAGAACGAATCTGTCGAGATCTCTCTACCTCCTCCTTATCATCCATTTCTTCCGATTCTTCCATGGGTCCTCAAAGAAGACCAAAGAAAGGGTGTGAGAGTTTACGTTGATAGGCTCGCAAAAGTGAAAGTCGTCTCTCTCGTCCGGTGGTGCCGAGGTGAGAACAAGGCTGGTTGAGCCAGGGTATCGGTGGCATGCGCAGAAAGGGTGCTGGTGTCAGGATGGTTACCGGACGTCCTAAAGGTACTGCTAGTGCCCGTACAAGCGTTGATGATATATCGTAACAGATACTGTGCGGTATCCTTGCTGCTGCGGTGCTGGTCCGAGAACTGAAGGAGTCGAGATCCCTTCTCCGTCGTTGGGAGAAAGAGACTCAGACTGGATCCAGAACTGGAAGGAGGCATCACAGCAAAAACCGAAGCAGGAACAACATGAGAACATGAAAGGTCGTGACCACCCTAGGGAGAGGCCTGTGTTCGCGTTCCGGGTCTGCTCTATCCTCATGGCTGCTCTGTCCTCATAGTAGGTATACTTCTGTCAGCATCTTGCAGCCTGGAAGGAGAATAGATACGACCTCAACTACTAGTAGTCCCGAGTTTGACTTTAACTCTGAAACTCATCACACAGTCACCGAGACTCCGAGATCGAGGCACGTACCGAGGACCCCTTAGATCCCGAAAGGAGGCGTCATGGCCGATCACTGGCATGTCAAGCAGATAGCAAGGCCTTTGCAGGGAGAGCGCTAAAGACTCCAGCAAGGGTACAGATCTAGAATTCAACGTACGGTAGAGAGTAATGGGCGGAATCCGGTGTGCATGAAGGAAGAAGCTGCAAGGACATGGTTTCATGCAGCCAATGACGCTGCTTTGTCGAGGCAATTCATCTCTTCTGTTCTCGGTTCTCTCCTCTCCCTTTGACTGCCAGTCGATCTGGCCAACTCTCCTGCTCCCTGTCTTTCTACACAATCATGGATCAGCCTCACGCTGCCGAGCTCATCGCCTGCAGTTGAATAGAGCATTCTAGGGTTCGGTTGTTGTGGTCCATCTAGGACTAGCGTCTTTCTCTCAGACCGCCGCCGAGAATCCCTGTCTGGGGATGTGGGACAGTCTACACACCGGTTGGGCTGCTGATTGACATGGTTTACAAATCCTGATTATGATATCGGGCATATATAGTCCCCATATGGCGTTCCTCGGATGCAGCGCACCGAATCCCTGAAGTACGGAGTACGCCTCGACGTCTGTCTCTGGGCCCACCGCTGCCTGGACATCGATGGCTCGCTCGATGAGAGCTCGGTCAAAGGGCCACTGTTCTCTCACGTCTGGCGGAAAATTCCCCCCAGCAAGTCGCTTCACTTTCATAGGCGTACTTGAGTGGCCGGGCCATCGAATGTCGCCTGCAACCCGCATCCAGAGCTGCATCATGAGTGCATGAGTCTGGCTTGGTAGGAGCGCCACTCAAGAGCAGCCTGGCCTCAGAAATTGACCGAGCCACCTGCAGTCTCCAGGCTCTAGTTGAAATGAGATTCAGCCTGACTGTATCCCGTCCACGACCGACACCTGCCCCCAAAAGCTGAGGGCAATGATTTCCACCAATTACTCGAGGCATGTGAGGTCTCAGGTTGTGTCCTAGCTGCATCCCCGAACCCTCCTCACGATATCAGACTATCGCCAGGAAGGTCTAGAGTAGGCAGATCCCGCATAATGTCCCTCGCACACCCTTGTATTCACCTCGGAAACAGTGCATTTTCTTCGAAGTATCCCTGTTCATGAATCATGACGGGAGGCCGGCCAGTGTTGGGGAATGAGAATGTGCGGCATGCAGAGCAGAATACGGGATACCCAATACTCTCGCAAGTCACACCGACTCAGATGCAGCCGCTCGCCGAGTCACAGCTGAGTGCAGGATCCCATTGCCGCCGATAGACAAAGCTGTCTCGAGACACAAGAAGCGAGTTCAGCGTTTTCCCATCATTCCTGAGTTGACTTTCTACCGGTTCCGCAGTCAGGTTGAGAATAGTGTGTCACATTCAGGATGAGATCCGAAAAGACCTTGATTCGCATTCGAGGCAACGAGATAGATCTCGCCAATTCTGCAGACGGGATCCTTCCTCTGGATGCTGACAACAGCGATTATGTCTTGGTCGTGCTGAACCGAGAAATGGACCAGGACACGATTGAAGCATTGAAGGAGTATGAGGCCGACGTGATCAAGCGAATGGTGGGCAACACCTGGCTGGTGCATTACCCTCCCTCAGATCTTCGAATCTTAGAGAGGGTTCCGGCGGTCAATCATGCACTGGTCTATTTGAACTGTTTCAAGATCCATAAGGATCTGCAAAAACAACTCGTGGAAGGTAAGTACGATTCACCTTCACCACCAACAGCAGTGGCACTGATAGTTGTTCACCATTACAGCTGATAGGGGAGAGGTCCATGAGGTTTCGATCATGATGCATGAAGTTCCATGTCCAAATGTTGAAGCAATTCTTGCCATGATCTATCGTATCGATCCTGACGTCAAGCTACTCAACTCAAGTAATGGGATCTTGCACATAGCCATCATACCCGACGACGTTGTACACGTTATTGCAGAGCTGGATAGTGTGCAGGCTATTGAAGCCATCACCCCAGCCATACCTTATAATGACAAGGCCAAGACCGTTTCCGGGCTCGACCATATCAATTCTTCGTTGGAGGAGAGCGGTGAAGACCCATTGACTGGAGAAGGCCAGATCGTCTGTGTTGCGGATTCTGGAGTCGATGCCACTCATCCAGCACTCCGAGATCAGATCGTGGACGCATTCTATGTCTCCGGCGACGACAGGGACGAGCAAGGTCATGGCACCCATGTGGCTGGCACCATAGTTGGTCGTAACATGACAAACTTTCGTATGGAGAAGATTCGCCTTTACGAATATAAGTCATGCGCCGCATTCCATGGCTTTGACAATACGATCTTTGATCAGAAGGACTGTTTAGGCATGGCACCCAAAGCTCGCCTCTACGTGCAAGGCGGCCTGTTCAGGGACATGCCGCCAGAACGGCGACTGCAAGCATCCCAACTCCTCGAAATGGCATATAATCTGCCCGGGCACAGTTGCAGGATCCACAACAATTCCTGGGGTGCCACCTGGAGTGACTTCCACAAGTTCCAGAAGTTGCCCAAATCCCCCCAACTTGCATACACCGTTGACGATGCAGAGCCAGTGGACCGCTTTGCCTTGGAACACCCTGATCTGTTGATTCTCTTCGCAGCAGGGAACGATGCGGACATGCCAACGGACACATCAGCCCATGTCGGTGGGTGGGCGGCCGCTAAGAACGTCTTGACTGTTGGCGCCTCCCACAACAATCGTCCAATGACGGATGTCTGGACCGTCGACTATTCTCTGCGTATCCAGAAGAAGTTCACCAAGGGCGAGACCATGCATAATCGCAACAGCAGGATCGCCAAGTTCAGCAGTCACGGGCCGTGCAGAAACACTCTGCGGACCAAACCTGACGTCCTCGCACCGGGAGCCGGCATCCTCTCTGCACGCAGTGGCGACAAAAACTGGGCTTTCGGCGAGACACATTACGGATTTCCCCTTGAGATGGACGTCGGTGAGGGAACTGTCATGATGAGCGGCACGTCGATGGCCACCGCGGTCGTATCTGGCTGTGCCGCTCTGATGCGGGAAGCACTGGTCAGATGGCAAGACATTTCTAATCCCTCTGCGCCACTCATGAAGGCTCTCTTCGTCAACGGTGCTGATATGCTCGAAAACACTCCTGTCGAGGTTCAAGGGTTCGGCGAGATCAACATGGTCAAGGCGATGCGCCCGGTGCGCGTTCCATTGGCCGATATTGAGGCAGGCACGGCCCCTTCTGGCTGGATTCAAGACGTGGCGACCACCGACACGATCAGGACTGTACAAGTTATCGTCCCTCCATCTGCCAAAGGGGACGATGTCGTTATCAAGGCTACCTTGGTTTACCATGATCGTGCGGGCGACCACATTCAGAATCGGATGAATCTATTCATTCTGAATTCTGGCAATGAAAGAGCAGACTCACTTCACAGGCATCCGGATGATAACGTGCATCAACTCATCATCGGACCTCTCACGCCAGGCGAGAAGTTGACGCTCGGTGTCGAAACGAAATTGTTCATCGGGGGAGGAGGAGGTCAAGGGTTGCCTCTTCAGGGTACCATTCCATGGGCTCTCGTTTGGAGCTGCATGAACGACTTGCGTACACGTATAGAGGTTCCTGTGCCAGACACTGACAGACCCTTTGATTTGGCTCTAGCATTGGAAAGTCTTAGTTGAAAGTCTCGAATCCCCATGAGAGGTAAAGACTGAAGGAAAGATAAGGAAGATACGCCGAGTACTCTGCTTGGACTCGTCCTCTTGGACGGATATGAGTAAATCGTGAGCTGTTCCAGGATGCTCTCTTAGTCATGACCGTATGTACGAATGTTTGCTTTCGGGGGCGGGTTTCGGGATGTTAGGTGGAAGTCCTTGTATCCCGTAGGCAGCTTAGCTTGCGTGTTGTACAGGTGGCCTCGTATTTACTAACTTAGTTACAGGCTCGGCCGCGTTTGATTCTTTAAGGCCGGGTATCTGGGTAAGGTAGGTACCTGGCTACCTAATAAATGGTACCTACTCGGAGGCATGAAAATTTCGTCTTGGCGGCTACACAGGGCCTGTTCCTCTCTGACATGCTCCAAAAGCCGTCGAGGCTCGTCAGTGGCCAGTGATCCCAGACACGACGAATCAATGAGCATCATCTGGGTGCTTATCACTCCTATCTCGCGTATCTAACCGCCCGGAACTCTGTGGTTACCCTACGTGACGTACCCCTGGGTAAGGGCTCCTGGTTCAAATCCCAACTGACCCTTGCGTAGACTGCGCGACGCGCTCTGAGCGACTGTAGTCGTCCAATCCGGAGAGCAAAACCAACAAAAGAGACAACAATGATCTCGTTATACTTCCGGGCAGCTCTGAAAAAAGATACCCCAGGGTAATGTACAGATTGATTGCTGTCCAATGGCGACATGGGATATCGTGCAGTCCGCTACGTGAAACGCCAAATGTGTCGTGTATCTTGTAGCACGAACACCAGAAAACTTCGCTAAATTCCAATCCTTCAGATTCGGAAAGGACATCACTGACGGTAACGAAACTGAGTCCGAAATGCATGGCAGTCATGCAAAGACTGTTGCCAGAAGAATACATTGCCCATCACTCACACTCCGTCCGCGTCGTCTCCAGATAGACGGCCAATGAGACACATGTTCAAGATTCGAATACTGGCCTTGAGAAGCTATAAGTTTGTCCCGTTTCCATGTTGAGATCCGGAATGCATCCACGGTCCCTCTACCTCCCTGGAAGTACTGCTTCTTTCATTTCTCATTCGGCACGCAGGTCGTGCATTGTCTGTCGTGATTTAGTCGAAGCTTGAGCTGTACATTCCCTGGATTTGTTGCTCCATAACTATTTACTTGAACAGGACTTCAAGGAGCCACAACTCTAAACACTCTCCAGCATACCGAGCCCAACACTCATGCATTTCGCCCTCTCTCAGATCGTCACTCTCACACTACCACCGCTTTTGGTCCTCGCCCAGAGGCATCATGGCGGAGGAGATGGCGGCGGCGCTAATCGAACCGGAGGTGACTTTCGAGGAGGTAATGCTGGTGGCAGCGCAGTTGCAACAACATTCGTCACCATGACCTTCACCTCGACCATTACCGCAGCTACGTCGACAGAAACTGTGTCCGCTGGCGGAAATGGGGTCGCCACAGTCGATGGCGCATCGTGCCCTACCTTCAATATCACTGCAAACATCAAGGCCAACGACGGGACTGCCAACTGCGTAGGGGACAATGGAGCGCTCATTCCGTAGGCCAAACGAAATGATATGGCTTGCGCTTATTAACTTCCACACAGGTGCGACTGCCCGCCGAGCTTGAACATCTTCACCCCATTCCTGGCCACGGTGGTACAAGCTGGCTCGGCATTTCCAGCCGGTGAGTCCCTCACTGCCTATCTGTATATCGAGTCGACATGCTCACCTCTATCACAGGCAATTCAATAGCAGACCAGCTCACCCGGTTAGACACATGTACCGTGGCGTTGCAGAACTTCAGAGGAGGCCTTGGAAGTGGTAATGGCTGTCCTATTGTAGCTACAAAGTGGAAAGAGCTCCGGACAATGTTGCAGTCGGGAGGATAAGGAGAGGTGGCGGTCGGTTGCATGTAATGTTAGACCTGTTGAAGGCAACGGTGAGGAACTGGGAGCTGCTCTAACTCAGACATTCTTGGACCAATTTGCATACTAGGTCCACGGAATAACAAGAGTGAGGGAGTAGCTCACGCTGGAAAGTTCGCTGTGTGTTCATTTTCCTGGCGTTCTGCGGATCTTTAGACTTGATACCTGGCTCTCTCGTAATGCCTTTTGGTCTCACTGCTGGCAAAAGCATCCGGGGGTGCAGGTTACACAGAGATCGCACTTGGCAACAAGGGTATCTTGCAGCCGAATGTTGCCTTCCTGGGAGACAAGGTGGGATCATGTCCAGCGTTAGACAGCTTCCATCATCTCGTCGAGACTTCAACAATGGATGGCGACGGGACTGATTGAGCCCGAAGGTTCCTAGAGGACGCTGCTTTGTTACGGCGACCAGAGCGAGCGTCTGGCTTTAAAAGCGGCAGCTAAGCATGTGGGCGCTTCTGGACACCACTGAGGGCGGTCTATGGCTATGCCCTTGATTGCGACTATGTAGTTATCAACCCGGCGTTGGTGGTAGGAGAGCCAACTACTCGTACGCCGGAGCATACCCTCGCACGCCCCTCTGCCATGTCCACGACCGAGACAGTCGAGACCAAGTTCCTCGAGCCAGAAGAGTTCCGACGCATGCATGGCGGAGGAAACCCTAGACAGCGAACACCGCGCGACCAATTGCAGAGACGAGAGCGAGCAGAGATGATTCTGAACCATTATCAATTGCTCTGGAAATATGCGGATGCAAATGACAAAGTCAGTGCGATTTCCAACATTGCTATGCAGCCATTCACTTGATTAACCAGTAGCACAGTCGGTACCACAGACCCGTTCGTACTTTCACAAGGTGGCTTTGGGCCTCAAAACAGAGCCAATCATCGAGAATTGGCTTCACGATGATGATGAATGACTGATGGTTCACTGGGAGGCTCACTAGGTGCTCACTCCCAGATTGCATTTCTCGTTGATTATCGGTACTGCCGAGTCCTTCATACCGGCATGAGATTACGGTGGGCTTGGTAACACGGGCTACTCGGTGCACAAAACTATGCGGCGCTTTCAGAATCGATCAACGCGTCAATATATGTAAATTCTGATCCTGATGAGCTCAAGATCATATGATTGAGTTACGTGATATCTTCACCGACATGCTGCTCCTCCAGCCTGGGTCATTGAGCCGGGGGCGACAGTCCGCCTTGACAGCCCGACGGCGTTGGTGCCGCCTCCGTAAAGTCAATCCCCGACTCAACTCCGTCCAAGCATCGCGTCCCCGGTTAATCGGTGCTTCGTTATCGAAAACTCCATCGTCCACGATGTGATTGGGCTTTTGTTGACACTCAGGACACATGTTGGGCAAAATTTGCATGGAGACGTGTTTGTCGGTCTCAGGCCACAGCTCTCTGTCCGCGGAGGACGTGGGCGATTGTTGACCTCCATGGCGACGTTATCATCGCCTCCGGCTCCTCCATCTGGGGAGATTGTGGATTAAAGTTGCATCCGGCAACAGACCCCGATCCACCACCACACGCCGAGTCGAGTCATGAAGAATACCCCCTGGGGTGGCTAAAGCTGTGACCAGAAGCTGGATAAATACATATATGAGTGCTGCGCAGATGTGCCAGGCCTGGGGTGTTCCTACTTGACTTGCTCCAGAGATCCGCCTCCTGCTCTTCCGCATTTAATCCCGTTCCCTCTCCAGACAAAAACGGCCCGGTCAAGTTTTGTCGACAACGCCCCGTGGCAACCAAAATGGGTAATCAACCTGATTTTCCAGACCACGTCTCGAGAACCATGTCCAACGATGACCTGGACAAACCCCAAGCCGTGAATGTCGAGCTACAGCAAGAGGCCCCGGACTACATCAAGTCCCTCAGCCCAGAGGAACGAGCCGCCAAAGAGAAGGCACTTGTCCGCAAGATCGACCTTCGTCTCATCCCTACCATCGTCATCATCTACATCATGAACTACCTGGACAGAAATAATATTGCTGCCGCCCGACTCGCCGGCCTCGAGGATGATCTCAAGCTCCATGGCACGCAATACCAGACCGCCGTGTCAATCCTGTTTGTGGGTTATCTCTTGATGCAGGTTCCGTCCAATCTTTTCATGAACAAATTCGGAAAACCATCCATCTATCTATCCACAGCAATGGTCGTCTGGGGTGCGATATCGATGGCCACCGCCGGGGTACAGAACTTTGGAGGTCTTATCGCTGTTCGATTCTTCCTCGGTTTCGTCGAGGCGGTGTACTTCCCTGGCTGCGTGTTCTTCCTCAGCTCTTGGTATACTCGTAAAGAGTTGGGGTTCCGAACTGCGATGCTCTACTCGGGATCTCTCTTATCGGGAGCGTTTTCCGGGTTGATTGCGGCTGGCATTACAGATGGAATGGATGGCCTCCATGGTTTAAGAGCTTGGAGATGGCTGTTTATCGTCGAGGGAGGCATCACTATCGGGATTGCCATTGGTGCATATTTCATCCTACCAGACTTCCCAAGTACGACGGCTTGGTTGACCCAAGAAGAGAAGACTTTGGCCATTTGGAGACTGCAGGAAGACATTGGAGAAGCAGATCGTGCAGAAGATGGTCAGGACTCGTTGCTCTATGGAGCCAAGTTGGCATTCAAAGACCTTAAGATGTGGATTTTGGTAAGCATGAAATCAGACGCAGATCTGGGCCGGTCCTGGTGCTAACAAGTTTGTCAGATGGTGATCCTCTTCTGCATCGTCTTTTCCGGCTCCGTCACAAATTTCTTCCCGAGTGTCGTAGAGACGTTGGGCTACTCCAGGATCAACTCACTGCTTCTGACATGCCCACCCTATGTCCTGGGTGTTATTACCGCTTTCATCAACGCATGGCACGCTGACCGGACTGGAGAACGCTACTTTCACATTACCACACCGCTCTATTTTGCCATCCTAGCTTTTATCTTGGCGGCAGCCACCACCGCTACAGCTCCGAGATATGTCGCCATGATGCTGATGATCCCTGGCGTCTACACGGGCTACGTTGTCTGTCTAGGCTGGATCTCCAACACCCTCCCTCGCCCGGCTCCGAAACGAGCCGCAGCCATTGCAGCGATCAATGCCGTTTCGAACACCAGCAGCATCTTCGCTAGCTACATGTTTCCCTCCTCAGCTGCTCCGCGATACGTTGTAGCAATGTCGGTATGCTGTGCAATGGCTGGGACGGCGATCATTTTTGCCACTATCCTTCGCTTCATCTTGGTCAGGCTGAACCAGAAGCTCGACCGCGGGGAGTTTGTCGAAGGGGCCATCAATGCACCTGCAGGCGAGAGAAGGACGAGTCTGATTACAGCTGGTGGAGCTGTCCCAAGTGAGGCTGCCACTAAAGGTTTCAGATTCCTGGTGTAGGCGCCACGAGGGCCCAACAAAATGAGGACGCCCGATCGTGGATGCAATCCCCACGAATAGACAACGGGAAGCCTGTACTTTCTCCGATAGATGAAGCAATCGATAAAGTAGAGATAGAGAATATAGATATCATGCACCCCGAGAATGGGCACTGCTCGTGGACTTCAGCAGTTGGGTTGTTCTCGCAACTTAATCGTAACCAATGTGTGCCGAATATACGAAGTACGACGAGGGCTATCTGGATTCTGGCCAGTGTATAACATAACTCTTACACGAGTGGGAGTTTGAGCTGATCCAATATTACCAGACTCACTTGCTCAAGCGTCGGTGGCGTTGCTGACTGAGGCTGCATTGCATCTGCAATTCTCTGGTACCGGACAGGATTTCTTCCCTGTCACTGGTATGAAGTAGTCACTGGCAGCCCTTGCGTCGCCCAGAGCCGCTACGGGGATATACCTGGGCAGCCCAACCACAGAGTAAGAGGCGGGGTAGAGAGCGGCCCACTGACTAGCGGATGGTGTGTAGACACCAGAGGCGATCGATTCACGCCGGAGCTGCAGGCCGTGATGCGGCCTGGCACGCCAACAATCAAAAAGACACCATGGTCCAGGTTCGCCCTGCTGCTGATTGGAGAACCAAAGTCAATGAGGACGACAAGGGATAAAATGGCAGATGCAGTCGAACACTCGAAGGGCCCCCAGACAGCACGCAACTTCTCTAACCTCGCCCTTCTGCCAAAAAAATCCTGCATAAAATTTCACCGTCAACCATCACTACTACACCAGAAAGTCTTCTCTGAACGCACAACCTCGGCCTCTCCGCGCAAGACGGAGACGGAGACAGACTGCTTTTGTCCTTGTCATTGATTCAGCCTAACCATCTTGTCACCGCTCCAAGCTGGGAGCGCTTTCTCATCCCTGTGGTTCAGCCTGATCCTTGCCACCTTATCTTCTTCCCCGCCAACCCGAATCTATCGAGCAGAACAAATCATCCCTCATCATGAGCGACATCAACGAGCTCCCCAACTTGCTGATGCCTGTGTCTGCCAGGAGGAAGCGTTCGGCCTCGCCGCACCCTGGGACCGTAGGGCGGCCGATGAAACGCACAGCGGAACTGAGACCTACGCCCAGAGAACGTGCGCACAGGGTTCAACTCGTCCACGGGCATGCCGAATTGCACATGGTCGCCGAACGACGCAGGGCCGGGTTGTCTGCACTTGAGTCAATGCCTCCTGAGATCATCCAAGACATCTTTTTCAAGTGCATGGAAGTCAACATGCCACGAGCCTCCCGTTACTTGGGCGCTGTGTTGGCACATGAACGCATCTTTCGATCCACCATCCTCATGGCATATTTCGACGACGACCTGGAAAGTCCCATCGTATATGAACACTTCAAGCCAGCGGTGTACTTTCCCCTCAGCCTGGAGCACAAGATCCGTCTCCAGCGGCAGATTTTGGCGTGTAAATGGTTCTCGCTCAAGCTTCTATGGAAATCCCTCCCCGAGCTCGTCCACCTGAATGTTGTCCAGGCCCGAGCACGCGAGCTCAGAGACCAGAAGGCGTTGGGCCTTTCGGATGACGCAATTGCGCACCCGTACTATCAGAACACAAGACAGTCTCTCTTGGGAACCGTCCCAGCTGAGGACGACGAAGAGGCGTTGATGGCACACTATCGAGCCCCAGTCAACTTTCTCCATATGCCAGAGGAGGGGTGTTCTCACTGTGAACAACACCACCACCATTATCACTACCCGGTACAAGAGGAAAAAGACGAGGAGGAAGAAGAGGAAGAGGAAGAAGGGGAAGAAGGGCCTGAACTGGAAGTTCAGCCCGAGCCCAATGATGCTGACTCGGAATCTGCCTCCGATATTTCAGACGATGACGCCCTGGAACAGGCCTGGCCTCCCAACCCCCGGATCTGTGTGTGGAGATGCTGGGCCGACCAGCAGGGCAGACTACACAAGGAGATGGAACGAGGGATCAGCGTCTTAGCTGTGCGCGCTCTACCAGACTGCGTTATCGACGTGCCACGATGGACAGCAGAGCGGATCGACCTCCTCAAGTTTCTTCGCCAAGGTATGAGATATCTGCACCACGATCAAGTTCTAGAGATCTCCGCCGAGGCCCTTTTCCGAGGATTAAGGACTGCACTGAGACAACGCAATGAAGACGCCACACTAGTCTTGCTGGAGCTGCACTACGCTACCATGAGAGCTCATCTAGCACCACCCCAGATTCCGGAACGGGAACCGATTTCAGAGGAACCGCGCTTTGACAACCTCGTCGGCCCTTTTGTGCATCCTCTGCCGCAGGCTTTGATTCTCGACGCTGTTCCAGCAGAGAATAGCAGGCGCGAATTTAACCCCATGACCCTGCGACTGTTGTCGTACATGCTCTGCGAGGGGGTCGACTCGCTAGAGCCCAGGAATCCTCGTCTGTCGCGTTGGGCCATCAATGCCAGCAGCAGACTTGACAATCCAAACAAAGTCAAGATGATGGGCCTCTGGGTCATGGGCCAGATGTTCCGAACCGCTCGTTACATGCTCAGGGACGGAGAACCGCTCTTCGTCAATGGGAAGCCGACGTACGATGAGGACCACGCCACGCCTTGGCCGTGGGAGGGTATGACTTTTACCCAAAAACTCCGTTACGACACTGATGGTGAAGTGCCCATGTTGCCCACCGCTCCCGACGGTAGACCTTGTGGCGGTACCCGAGTTCCTCTGGAATGGGATCATGACCCTAACGAGGACTTCATACAAGACGATTCCAAGGATGATGTGGACATCTTTCCCATTTCCCGTTATCGCGCTTGCTGACGACTTCACCCTAAATCGGAATGAAGATTATGTCCCAAAAAGGAAAAGAGAGCTTTATAAACATACAAGGACGACCGGGGAGTATTCGTCGCTGTTCTCGTCTCACAGCATACTGGACGATACACGTAGCGGGCTTGATGGCGGTGGGTCAAGTCAGTCGGGGTGCCTGTCGACGCGACGCGACTTGGCTTATCGCCACCACCGCCTCGCCGTCTCGATTGACTCATCGTCTATCCTTCTTCATACTTCAGATCCTGTTGCAGTTGTATCTACAACAAGAAGACCATCTCCAACGCTCATCAAGGCCAGCGCAGGATATGTCACGATGTCACGACGTCACGAAAATAACGATCAAGGTTAGGCTTAGGACGAGAAAGGAACAAAACCAGCATGAAGCAGAAGAAGAATCAAGGAGTAAATGCGGAAAAGCAGGACTGAACGAAAATGCAAATGACGACTGTTATGGCAAACTGTTTACGAGATTACCCACTTGTTTTCGTAGGTTGTGTTGCCTTTTATTTTTCCCTTTTTTCTTGTTTCTCTTTGCGTTGCTCTTCGGGTCTTTGGAGTCAAATGGCGCGTCAATGGTTGATTGGCGGTGGTAGTGACGATGTCCTCGGTGTGAGGGCCTGAGGGGGAGTTGGTGGTGACAGTGGACGATTGCTCTCCGAGGCTGAGAGGGGTACGGACCAAGAAGGTAGATGGCCTCGTGGTCGGTGGGCTAGTTGGTTGGTGTGTGGGTGGGTTGTTTCTGCCGTTACCTCGATATCGCAGAGTCCAAAACATGATGCAACCCAAAACGAGTCTCGTTCGTACCGTTCTTTGACCATGTGCAAAGTCTATGACTGTAGAGTACATCACACCCGCTCTTCCGTGACGAGTTGGCGCGGTCTCAAAAAGACGGGGAAAAAAGGATAGAAATGGGTTCTTTTAGTTATTAATCCTTCTCACATTCAAATCTTTATGGCGCCGCCGTCGGCGTCGATAATCACCGTTCACTCTGAGTGGACGACGACGACGACGACGACGACGACAAGGCAGACGAAGACGAAAAACGAGGCAAGACGGAAAAAAGTGTACTCGTTGAGATGACGCACATATCATTTCGCTGCGAAGACTACCTGACCCGTCCATCCACGCTGGAACTTTTTTCGTCGGACGTGCAAACTAATGTACAACGTTGATTGCAACCGCGGATGAATACCAGATCTCTCCCGTCAACACAGTACTCTCGATTCCTTCATCAAGACAAGAAAGATGGAGAGCCACACTCGCAGTGCATGTATGTTTTGACCTGGTAACAACCAGTTCCAGTTTGAACATACGTCCCACTCCCTGAAAACTCATCCGGCTCCTTGAAAGGTAGATTCGAATGTTTCGTTTTCGGGGTTCTTTCTTTTCTCCCCCCTTGTTGCCCACTCCTTGTGGTGAGCACCGTACGTGTACAGAGAGACACCCGAGATGGGCCCAGAATCGGTCGGCTCGAGGAGTAATAGATCGCATATCAGTCAAAGAGCAGTAGCAGTGGTAACAAATTAGTGGCGCCAGTCGATCGACGCTTAAATTCTTAATGTACAAAAGGCCGAGGATAGTGGGGGCCGAAAAAGGAGGTACTTTTGCTTTTCCCGCGCCGTGTGTGCCGTGAGGACTCAAAGTTGTCAGTTGCTTCGTGTTTCAGTGTGCCTTTGTTGTTGTTGTTGTTGTTGTTGTTGTAGAATTCTTCCCCGATTCTCTCTTCCTCAGCATGTCCAGGGCGAACTCTCACACTCACGGCTGATTGTACAGGTCGATGATGCTTCTCTCTTCCCGTTCTCTATCCGGATCCAAGATGAATCTGACTGTGCCTTCACGGCCTCTCTCTCCCATTCGTTGCCTGATGGCCGCTCCCGTTGGTGTTGTGCTCGCTCCTGCAGGAAGCGGTCCACTCGTGGGCGCCGTACTTATGCTGCTGGCGTTCGTGCTGGGGCTAGCGACGTCCTTTGGACTTACGTTCTTGCTCGACCCACGGCTTCGATTGTGAGGGTAGTCTCCATTTGCAGTCGCTCCGTTCGAGGTATTGGCACTGCCGCGGTTCTGCGTTCCTCCTTCGAACCACGCCGTGTATCGCGGGATGGCCTTCTCCTCGCACTCCAAGTTAAGAGGGATTCTGACTTCAAGGAAAATCTCCACGGGAAAATCCGGTCCAACCGCCGTCGAGGTACGGTGGTGTGTGTACAGCTCTAACAAATCAAGCAATGTTTCCATGACCTCGCCACGACCGATCTTGAACGATGGGTAGTCGTCGCCACGCCAGATCGCACGGTGTTCGATGCCGTGCAGGCGTCCCGCGAGTTCGAGGCATGAAAAGGCCAACGTGGCATTGGTTTGCTTAAGAGGAGCAAACGTGCGGTAGAGGTCAAGTGATATGCTATAAGCGGTGCGTACGACGGGAGATGATTTGTCGAACTCGTACATTTTTGCGAGCTTGACCATCAATGGCTGAGGATGTGAACTGCGGAAATCGAATCCCGATGCTTCGAGCATAAGTCTTTCGAGGCCGATTATGGTTCGCGATTGGTGTTCGAAGGCCTATCAAGATACACAGAATTAATGTCAAGTCCTGAGTCTGGGTTAAAGTACCAGTCTTGCATATGACATGCTTTGGCATTTAGGCTCAACCAAAAGGTGGAGGAGGCAGAAGGGTCGTTTAATGAATGAAAACCAGAGACTGGAGTGGGATACACATACCGGATTGTCAGGAGATAGGTGTTCTTGACGCGGGACTTTGGAGTTGTGAGCGGCACAGAGAATATCGCGCGACTTCTTGAGGGTATCTTCGATTTTGCAGGCTGTGAAAAGTGCTGCGGCAGCGGCATCCTGAGGTGTGGTCGACACAGTCAGCCATTTGGGTTCATCAAAACGCGACCAAACACCCCAGAAGGCGAGAAAGACCCAACATACCACGAAGCTGTATTCTCCATCGGAGTGCTGAAGGCGGAATTTATGGAAGTAAACGACTGCTGTGTTGAATGTCTTGACTGGACTAGAAGAATCGTTAGTCTGACCTCTTCTTCGGGGCAATTTGTTTTTGGCCTCGGATCTCTTTCGCAGTCATAGGCATCGGGTGGAAAGCCCGCCTAGATGGAACCTGCCGTATGAATCGCCTCGAGATTGGTTTGATGGCAAAAGACTTGTCGTCATTCGTGGAAGAGAAAAGGAATAAAGGATGCAAACTCACAGTTTCAAAGCTCTTCGGACATTGTCAATCCACAACACTCCAGCAAGTCTGATACTGTCTTCTCTGGCCTGGCTGACTCCAGTGTCGTGCAGAGCCTTCTGGATCTGTTGTTCAAAGACATAGGCTTTGGCAACCTGGACATGGTTGGACATGGGGCCACCACCACCACCGCTGGACCGCGAGGGTCTAGAGGAGTGGTGGTCACCGTTGCTGGGACGCATTTGTACGCCGTGCTCTTGTGATTGACCTGAATGTGAGGGCCTATCACATCCGTGGCCACGTTGACAAGAGCAGCTCCGCCTCCAGGGATAATGCTGGTGGTCAAAGTTGGAACAAAGGTCGACTGTGTTGGTATTGGTATTGGTGCTTGTGGTTACTGGAGACGTATCGGAGTCGGTGTCAGTGTCATGACTGTAGATACCGGCCTCATTATCCTGCAATGGCGTTGTCAACGAACTGGTACTAGCCGTCGTCCTTTCAGTCCCAGTCGTACTCGTGGGCGCATGGCGTGTTGAATGGAAGCACAAGGCGAAGTTCGGAGATGCGCTTGGCATGGCCGTGCCTGCCGTCAACCTGAGCCTTAAAGTGTCGAGTCACGTGTCGGACTCACTGTCCTGTGAGCTCGGGTGAACTTCGGAATATTTTCTGCTCAGTGGGTGGACTGGGCAGCATGAAGCAATCACACTGAATACACCACAAGCTCGGATGAAATTTGAGGGTAATGCGGATCGAGTAAAATTCAAGCAAGACAGCGAGAGACGAATTGTTCCTATAGGCTTTGCGCCGGGCAGAAATGCAGGCTTGGCGAGCAGACACATGTACGTGTGGCTAGAGGTAGATACCTAAGATAGTAGTATCTAGGTGACTGCTTCAATTTGACTACAACGTACAACGCCTTCTAGAGTCACGATGCCGCTTTGCAAATTGCGCCGAGAACGACTACCAATGTAAGTACATAGAGGTATCATGTAGCTTTTTGCTCCGTAGCAACCTCATCAATAACAGCAAGATCGTGGTATTCTCCATGCAAACCAGACCGCCCATCTAAATTCCTGTCACAGCATTGCCAGGCAGGCAGTACACCAGTATCGAGACCACGCCGGGAACAGCCCTTTCGTAGTGGACTCGGATTTCGAAGTGGCTCAATGAGCACCGTCAGAAGTCAGTCGACGTATGCTGAGCGATTCGACCCATCGGTGAAAGCAGCAAGCATTTGAAAGAAGTTAGTAGAACGAACTTCCTCCTGGACACTCCTATACTCCCAATGCTTCACACCGATGATACAGGATTGTATCAAGACGCAGGAGCAGAGACTTCTTCAGACTTTGAGGTCAACTTTCTTTGACTCTGGTCCGGCCTCGCCGTCTTCTTCTCTGGCGCGCTTCTTGCCCGTAGACTCCTCAGCACTACCATTCTGTTGCTCAGCTGATTTTCCCTGCTCCTTCTTCGTCTCTTCCTCGACGGCTGCTCGGGCCTTGGCCAGTGCATCATCGCGACCAGAGTCCTTGGGCCCAGCAGAAGACTTGACGGTGGGTATTCCCCTGCGTACAGGTCAGTATTGCGTGCCCAGGCACACCGACGTGCATTTTTACTTACTTCTCATCTGTCTTGTTCTCATACGACCGACCACCTCTGTTTCCACGATCACCACGTCTCTTATCATCCCGGAAACCACGCTTCTTGTCCTCGTCTCTGCGAGTTCTCCAGTCTCGGGTATCTTCTTCGTCTCTCTTTCTCTTGTGATCTCGGCCATTGCGGTCATCTCTTCTGCCTGAACGAAACTTGGACTGGTTCGGTACGATCTTGCCGGATTTGATGTCCTCCGCCTTCTTCGCGGTGTACTCTCGCTTACTCATGATCTGAAGTTCGTTGCCCTTGTACTGCGGCTTGGGATCCAAGGCGAGGAATGCTTTGGCCAACTCTTCTGTCTTGAACTCGACAAAAACACTTCCCTTGAACAGCTTGTCATTGGCACGTCGCAGACGGACTGCGTTTACGGGACCATAGGGCTCGAAAAAAGCTTCAATATCGAATTGTGTACTCGCAACTTCGTCTCCAAAGCCTTTGACATAGACGCTGCGTGGCGTGGCAGCATTTTCTTGTACGGTGATTCTGTTCGGATCGTCCCAGTCCTCTGGCAGATCCTTTCGTCGAACGCGAGTCTCATTGTCGGTCAACTCTACAAACGTGGAATCCCGTAGAGCTTCTAAGACAGCTTCAAAGGGCTGGAAGCGTTGCATACGTCTGAATTTGTGGATCGTTATCAGATCGACGGACTGATTCTCGCTGTCTTTGATCGAGTTGCGGATAAATGTATCGGTGAGCAGATTCGAGTCGGAGAAGTAGAACTCAACCTAGGGAGGGAAAAGTTAGCATGTACCGCACGGCTGAGGCTGTGTTGATGCTGTAGACATACCTGCTTCCGAATAGCAACAGGGTCATTGGTCACTTCTTGAGAGGTCGGGTCGAATTTGCTATTGTTACGGTTGTTGCGGGAGCCATATCCTCCTCTGCGATCGCCCCGGCCGCCTCGACCACCACGTGAGTTATGTGCCCGGTCGTCGCGGTGTTCGCGATCTTTACCACCCGTCTCTTTCTTGTCTGAAGCATCGGTCTCAGCCTTGTCGACGGTTGCAGTTTCACCAAGTTCTTGCTTCTGCTCGGCGTCGCCCTGCAGTTCTGCTAGGAGCTTCTTGGCGTCTTCAGCGGCCGCAGCATTGTGATCAACAGGAGTTTGTAGAGCATCGGTCACCGTCTCTTCCGCCATGGTGTACTCTGGTAGTTGGTGGTAGTGATGCGGGGAGAAATAAGTCGACTGAGTGATAGAGGGAGGCAGTCACAGTTTCGGGTGGTGGAAAGATCAGCTCTGTCCCAGAGGGGTCGACTCTGATCCTTGCAAAGCCCGAAGAATGAACGTGGGACAAGGTATCGCTGTGCCGGTGAGAGAAAGTGTGCTCAACGCTGTTATGGAGGATGTAGGTCCTCTTTCTTTGGAAGCCGCAGTCCAAAATTTTTGGACTGCAATAGACTTTGTCTCTTAAGTTTTGCGGGGCAGCGGCTTGGCGCATCAGCAGGGACTCGTATCCGCTGGTAAGCTGGCCTACAATTCATGATTACCTGACACTACCTCCACCTCCTATCTAGATGTCGGCCTCTGACATGGGTGTCCAGTGTATGATACGAGGGCATACACTGCTCACTGCAAGTACTCTTACTTTCCTAGCCTGCGCAAATGGTCTGACGGCAGAGTGCCCAGTATTCGCACTAATAACCGTGCGACAACGAAGTGGGTGGCTCTCTTGTGGCCGCCGGTAAGTCCAACGAAGCTCTCCTCTCCCAACCAAATTAGCAGGCTGCTGCAGGCAGCGGGTAGGGTACATGAAGTATCAGTAAACCCCCGGTGTGGAGGGTAGTGTCGCCCCATGGGTGAGGATCTTGTTGGACCAACGTCGCTGTTCTGTTTCACCAAGGGCCAGCGATTCAGCGCAAAGGACCACACGCGAGATGTACACTAACAAGGTCACAGTCGGGTCTGATTTATAGCAGAACTAAAGATCCATACAAGACACCTCTGAGACCGGTCAAGAGGTTGTCGAATCGGGGTATCCGGAAAAAATATGGTAGCTGAAAGCTGTACTGGTAACAGGAAATAAAAATACCGCCACCCAGAAATAATATCGCGAGAACGTAACGTCGTGTGTTCGTATAGCCCATCGAGTCCGTCATCAACCGTCAAGTCATTCATAACTTCTGCGCCGTCTGCCATCGCCGTGACTTGACCGTTCTCGGTCCTGGTCACGGCCACGATTTCTAAACTTCTTCTCCCATCTCTCTTGTTCTCGGTCCAGCTTCTCTTCTCGCAACTTGCGATGCTTGCCATAGTCCTTGCCACCTACCCATCCAGCCAAGGCTCCTCCTATCGTGCCCAGACCTGGGAATATGAGGTCGCCAATCAAGCCGCCACCGGCCGCACCGAGGAAGGCATCTGCATTTGTGGATCGTGAATTGTCTGATACCCGCCTCGGTCGGCTCTTGTGCGTGCGCCGCTGGTATTCTGGGTCAGATGAATACCCTCCACGGTCGCGTATGTCGCTAGCCGAGTGACTGGGACGAGGATGTTGGTGAGACGGTGGTGGATAGTAGGTTTGTTGATGTTGGTATTCTGGCGGTACGTAATGATTATGTGGATATGGAGAGAAATGCTGTGCTGGATGGACTTGGTAATTTGGTCGGTGCATGTCTGTGGCGTAGGGCAGAGGCTGGGAAGACGGCTTGGGTCGCTCGCCAGGTGCAAGCGTCGGCGCAAAGTGTACGGAATGTTGAAAATTCTGTCCATTGTTCACAGGTTGATATGGCGGAGGAGGGTACTGCGCCGGTTGTGGTTGGACATGTGGGTTTGGGCGACCCTGTGGCATGGACTCTCGTCCGAATGCTGGCTGAGAAGAGCTCGATCTTCGTGGCCCAGGCGGAGCATTTAAGCTGTTGTGTTGTTCAAACGGCGGTCTCGCGTCTGACTGGAAAAAGTCAGCCGCGGCCATTAGGAGTATCTATGAGATCCGAAGTGATGTAGACAAAGGTATCTGGCAGGGTGGGAAATTGATAAGTCCAGATGACATGGGCCAGGCGGGCTTTTAACAGGAAAGGAGGCCACATGTCCGGAAGTAGAGCCCGCAAGGCGTAGCTGAGTGCAAGAGATTGAGTGCCTGGCAAGGCTAATCGTCCGGCAGCTGTCGTCCGGGTTGCGAAGGATGATGGTGATGGGCGAGTCACAAGTTGAAGTCATGCCCCCAGTCGGGCAACCAAGCTGTGGGGGACGATTCGAAACGAACCCAAGGGCTGGCGAGGCCAGGCCCCTGTACACTGATCTAGCAGGCATCCAGGGATCTTCTGTCACGGACACGATTGGCGGGGGCAGTGCGAACCATTCCGTGGCGCATGGTCAGACCGTCGTCGGGAGACTTTTGTCGATCATAAAGTTCCCCAATCTCATTCGAAGGGTCGCCGTTTTCAGCCTGCGGAACGCCCGAAGAAGTCGTCAGTCGGCCTCCTGCTCTTCCCTCCCCGTTCAAGAATCGCCAAGAGGATCGACTTCAGCTATAGCACGAAAAGTGTGTCATCGCTGCTCCGGGTGGCGGAGAGGGCGAGGAGGACGGCACGACGTGAGAACATAATAGACGGAGGAAGAGGAATGTGCCGAGCCCCAGCGACGTCATGCTCCGCCCTGCCATGCAGTCACGTGTGTAGCGGACCATTGGCCGACACCGACGAACCCATCACAGCGACCAAAGTTCCCGAGAGCAGATGATCTTGAATAATTTGTTCCATGATGATTTCTAGACTGTACAAGGACCCCAAACATTCGAAAGATGAGGATCCCCGCGAAGAGTCTAAATGTACCTAGTCAGGCATCCAGCTACTCGGGGAAGGCACACAGCAGCAGTCCCGGATGGCCGGCCCCCATGGGCTCAGACGAAGGATTTGCCGCTTTCCCGTCAACGCCAATAGCTCGGACTCTGTGTACGAGAGGATGATAGTACTATACATGCTCGGCGTCGATGACTCAACGCCCATCTGCCTTTCCTGAGTTAGCGTCCTCAGTTTCCCGCAACTCCTGGTAATTACAGTGCTTGTGACAAGGACTCCACGCCCATCGAGGCATAGTCGGTAAAAGTACACCACATTGGTCCATGTTGGTACTCGTATTTGCAACAAGGTCGCAGTCGACTCAATTGGCGATTTCGCCTGCATCAATCAAAACCGGGGTCCATGCTTTAGCTCCAGGTTCTTCCATCTCGCTAGGCAACCGAACTTCTGTCGGACTGTAGAGATACCAGCCTTTCATTGCTGCAACTGCTGCACGTGTTCGAGCTTCGATGAGGCTGGCACCGGCCCCTTCTCCAAGCTTCTCACTGCCGGAATATATGCCGACAACAAAGACCGGGGTTCGACTCTTGCGACCGGTTTCACTGAGGATCTTGGCCACGGGGGCCTGGAAGCCTTCTCGGGCACACAGTCGGCTCAAATCCCTAGTAGGATTCTTGAACTGGAAAAGGCTGGCCATGTTGACTTGCCGAGAAGCAATGTGGTCATTGTAAAACTGTTTCGCGGCCGCTCTTCCAGCATGTAGGTATACCGCGCCAAACACCGCCCGAACAAAGTTTGTCGAGGCTCTTTCGAGGGTGACGCCTTTCTGCGTGACTTCTTGGGAGGCCGGGCGCTCTCCAAACTGATCGTCATAGACTGTTCTCGAGTTCATTGTCCGCCGAAACTTCTCGCCGTCTTGATAAGCCTCAATTACTTGCAGTGATGGTCGTTGGGGTTTAGGTTCAGGAGGTAATCGTTTGAATTGAAGTAACCCTGGGTCAACTTCACCACCAGGTTCTGCCGCAGACTCGACGCCCCATTCTCTAGCCAGAGAAGACAGGGTCGCCGGACCATGATAGGCGTACATGGCCGCGAAGACCACTGCCATTGGTAATCTCGGGTACTGAGCCAAAATATTCTCTGAGGTATAGTATCCGAGTAAATCATTGCCGAGCACAGCAAAAGGTTTATTATTGAATCTTATTGAAGGATCGGCCGAATCATCCACAAGGGTTCTCGCCAGAGTCTCGAGGGGAAGCCGTGTAGGAAGTGCAAGCCGGGCATGTAGTGCCGCGAGTTTTGCGGAGGTCTTCGCAGCTGTGACCGGAGGCGAAGGGAGTTTGACGAGGACATCTTCGGAGAATATAGGGGCCCCTTCGAGGTAATCCCCGGGCCCTGAGATGTCAGTGACCGTCGTTTGACATCGTCGAAAATGGCAAATGTGAGAATGGAGAGGTTCGGGTCTCGTCCGGGGTGAAAGTACACTACCGCTCCATCGCAGGAGCCGCAGCCTCTTCATTAGAGCTATATGAGCTCGATGGTAGAGGGAATGGTGTGCTTCGTTTGACCAGACCGTTCGAAAGGGCCGCGAAACACAAACAAATGGCAGATGGATGCAAGACCTTTCAGTAGGACTTTCCGTATGGCAACACGAGACCGCGCGAGAAAATCTGCGGGAGCGGGAAGCTGCGTCCCATCGCTCCTGCCAAGATTTGATGTCACGTGCAAGCTCGCAGCCGAGCGACCAATGACTGAGCAGCAATACAGACTGCGTGAACTGCGACACCACGAACCTCTGAGCACCTTCATCTCAAGGGCCCTGCTTCGCCAACCTGACCACAACCTCCTACCTACAATCATACCCTGAACTTCGACACCCGCAAACATGGGTGGCGGCGGCAAAGTACCATATCCGAAGCACGTCTGGTCACCCGCTGGTGGTTGGTACGCGCAACCTCACAACTGGAAGTCGAACACTGTAATCTTCGGCGCCGCCATTGCAGCGGTTGTATTTGTTGCCTTTAGTGCATCAGCAAACAGGGAACACAGGAATAAGATGCCAGAGAAGACCGGCTTCTTTCCCAGCAGAAAGTATGTGCATGTGTCATTCCAGACGATAGCTTGGATCAGGCGGATGAAATACCAGTTCTTCGATCAGCCTGGCCATGTTTTGAACCGAGACTGACTGTGTTTCAAGTTGGAGCAAGCAGATAATCGAGCACGACAAAGCGACATAAAGGGCGGCTTCGACGAACAGAATGACTTTTACCAATAAGATATACCAACTTCGGAGGACCCAGAAAACATTTGTACATACGCGATCCTGTTCTATCGAGCGATGTTGAATCAGGACGAGGGAAAGACCGGGTTCAACGTGAATAAAACGAGTTCTAAGGCGAGATTACCTGCAGGGCTCGACAGTTATGTTAGGTTACCGGAGTCCACTTCGCCGTGAGCGATCAAGTTAGAAAACACAAGCCTCACCAGAGTCAACTGGAGAAGAGCCATTGATGACATGCTCAAAATCAAAGAAATCTACCAAACACCAGTTTAACGACAAGATTTCTTTCAGGGCTCTGTTGGTTTCCAGTGTTTAAGCTGGTCAACTATATATGATTTCTCGCGTGCAAGATAAGACATGAATCGATCTTGGTATGTATCACCGTTCCAAGAATCCTGTTGCACATCTGTGAGAACAGGCATCCCGACCTGCTCGATCGCATAACCAGCTGCTACTGTGGCATGCAGGAGAGCAAGGAGCATCCGCCCCGTCCGAGAATCTTCGACGTGTACAGCCTCGACCAGAGGCTGCTCTGAAGGGAGGACCCGGCCCGTCAGAGCAACGGCCAGGGCACCCAAGAATGTGTTTCCGCCACCCGTAGGATCTACCACAAATTCTGCGTTTTGATGAGAAGCCTTCAAATGTAGCGCTCGCGAGCCGTGATATGTAGTGCAGCCCTGTGCTCCTTCGCGGATCACAAGCAGGGCATCCGATGACTTCTCTCTGTTTAGCCCCAAGAGCTTCTCCACCATCGTCTTTCTCGAGCCTTGTTCAGAACTGCCCGTGAACAAAGCCGCAAACTCTTCTGCGTTAGGACTGATGACGTCGACATGTTCAACTGCGTGTAGGACTTTCTCAAGCTCACTCGGAGTACACTGATCCGGCACTGGCTCCCAGACAAACACCGGTCTCGGCTCGGTGGGAGCAATCTTCAGTCGACGGGCCAGAACGCCTTTCACGATCGACATGCACCGCTCAGGTGAACACACCATGTGGAAAGACTCTGCCAGAGACTGTTCATCAGACAGGGAGTCTTGGTCAAGTCGTAATTTTGGTGTCAAATACTTGAAGGCTTCGTCAAGTGGTGAGCGATGATCAGCTTCAACTGCGGCTTAAAAAGGGAACAAGGGAACGAATACTCCCTGTGCACATACCCCGGAATTCATTCGGTCCGTACCCATTCCACGCAGTGGTGCTCAATCGGCCCAGGTCTAACCTGAATGTGCAGCTCGTCTGCCACGTTTCGATCAAAGCACGGAATTCAGGCGGGAAATCTGACCCCATGTCCACTATCCAGGACACGGCATGAGAATTTGCTCTTCCTGCGGCAAGCCTGGCTCCCAGAGCTGCGTATGTACCTGCCCCACCGAGTATCTTCTGCGCCGGCGCTCGACTAGTATTCAAGTACTCGATCTGGTCTACGAGAAAGTCAGGTCTGTATGCTGATGACTATGGCATCTCTCTAAGGATGGTGTCATACCGATGATAAACATGCCAAAGGTACAGAAGGCTATGCGCTCCTGCATTGTTGCCATGGTGTAGATCTATGAGCACTCAAGTTGATCGTACGAGCCACCTGGTCTCAATCCTTCACCAATAGACAGGATGTATCAAGTCAAGGATATGGGATCGTTCTTTGAAAGGTTGGGAGCCTCACAAGACTTTCAGCCTGACATGTGACTGGGCCCGGCAGACTTTCCCCACGAGTATAAAGCTATGGAGGGCTGCTATATCTTCCCTCCGTCCCTGGCTCCTGCTACTCCTCCATATCCTGATCAGCGAGCAATCCTCAGGTGGTCCTTTTCACATAGCCTAGTTGACATTTTGCATGATTGAACTTGGTGGGTGCAAAATCGTTGAGGCAGACGAAGTGAGGTCAGGTAGGGCCCGTGGACGGAGGCGGTACAGGCACTCTGGTCGAGTCCTCCAAGAATAATCAAAGCCAGAAAGCCAGGTCTGAGAGGAACTGAAAAGACTAATAAATGCCAAACCTCATTATCCTTGCGAGATGCATACACGCCACATAACGTAGCAACTTGTCTGGCTTCAATTGGTTTGGTGTTTGAACCGGCTTTTCCCCCCACGTCTCGATGATCTCAGCATGCAGGCGAGAGATGGTGTGAATGAGGTCCTGTACCTAGCCACTCCCTTGCCGTGGGAGACAGCAGCAACGGGTTCGAGTCTGGGAGACGTTGGATGCAGCAACTCTGAAAGGCCTCAGCCCCGGCGACAGATCTATGTATGTACCTCATTACAACGCTCGGTTGGCATGGGCTCGGCGATGTCCGGACATGGTACAACAAGTCGACAGGGCGCACGAGGCTGGATGACTAATTCACCAATTCTCCCGCGTACTTCGTGTCGCTCGCTTTGTCCCGCATAAACGTTTGTCTTCCCTCGAACCGCATTCGAAGAAAGATTTTCTTAGACCTTGGACGTCCCACGCCAGTCATTCAGCTGTTTACTTGTTGATCTCGACACTCACTCGGACTACTTCCATCTGCTCAATTCGGGTCCTGCCCCTCTTTATCCGCAATTCGTCTACATCTAGCACTTTGCTGCCATCTGAAGCACGACAAATTTTCCGGAGAAACGTCACCGTAGGGCAGAATTTCCACGGCCCATTATCAGCTCCATTACATCAGGACAAGACTCGGCAGTCTCAGAATTCCTTGTCCGTGGAACAAGCCGACATGAGCATGCCATGCTAAGCGTGGGCATACACTGTCATCTCGCGAATTCGTGTGCTGCCCGCATCCAGGCCAACTCTGCGTCTAATGGTGTCGCTTCCCACGCCCGCATAATTCCGGTCGTTCATCACGATTTCTTTCACGCCAACGGCATCAGTAATTTTCTTCGACCATGGGTCTTTTGTATGTTCAGAAACAGTTCTTATATCTTCATGCCTCCTGACAAGGGCACAGACAGTTAGGGACGCCCTTGGACTGGCCTGGAGCCAAGAAGGCAGCAAATCAAGTCCGGGAGTGGGGCATCGAGGTATGGGTCAAGCTGGGAGGAGACGGCACTTGACGGTATCTTACTTACGTCTGACTAGCAACTACTCACGATATGGCGAAAAGCCAAAGGCAAGGAACGAGATGCCCTTCTCTGGGGCGACGAGGTATACTTTCTCGGATGCACTGAAGATCTCCTCGTCCCTAACTATGCTCCAGATCGAATATCTCGTCGTAGCAATGGATGATGAACACAAAAAGGTCCGGCTCTCACTGTGCCAGGCCGATGTACTGGAAGCTCTCGCAAAGGACCAAGAATTGGCTCGGCAGGACACGATGGTACCTGATATCCAGGAAGGGAACATGTAAGTCGAACAGCTAGCAGGCCCCATCAATCACCACTAACGACAGTTCAGTAAAAGCGGCACCTTGCCAACATTCCACCCTGAGTTCGGCCGCTTCATGCTCGAAGCAACGCCAGGCAAACCCTGGGGGATTGGCTTCAAAGATCTCCTCGATGTCGAATCAGATATGCGTAACCGCCGAGTCATCGCCAAACAACACATGGACCCCGACCAGTACCCTATCACCCTAACCACATTTCCCCGTCTCGGAACAAAAGACGACTTCATAACTCCATACTACCCACCCTCTGGACCGGCGTTACGCTCACAATTCGTCCCGGACGAGATCGCAAACCCGCACATCCGTTTCCCTACACTAGCAGCTAACATCCGCTCGCGACGGGGCCGCAAGGTGGAACTCAACGTTCCTGTCTTCAAAGACAAGAAGACGCCGTCCCCTTTCCACGATCCCACCGTGGACTACGACCTTCACAACTGGCCAGAAGATGACGACGTGCGCAACGGAGCCGCGAAGCCGGACTGCGTCTACATGGACGCAATGGCCTTTGGTATGGGCAGTTGCTGTCTCCAAATTACATTCCAGGCCAAGAACATCCGCGAAGGACGGAAGCTGTACGACCAACTTTCGCCGTTGGGCCCTGTCCTTCTTGCGCTTACGGCCGCGACACCCATATACAAAGGATTCCTCGTGGATACGGATGTGCGCTGGAACCAAATCTCTCGCGCCGTCGACGACCGCACGCCCGAAGAACTGGGGGAGAAACCCCTGCACGATTCGCGGTGGCGCATCCCGAAATCCCGTTACGCCAGCAACAGCACCTACATCGCGCAAGACCCTCGATTGCGCAGTGAGTACATGGACCCGAACCTGATTGTGGATGAACGGCTCAAGGAGAAGCTGGTGGCCGGTGGCATGGACGATCTGCTCGCGACGCACTTTGCCCATCTCTTCATCCGTGACCCTCTGGTGGTGTTCTCCGAAGACCTCCAGTCGCTCGATCCCGAGGGCAGCAACCACTTTGAGAACATCCAATCGACGAACTGGCAGCACATGCGCTTCAAGCCGCCACCCCCAGATGCCGACATAGGCTGGCGTGTCGAGTTCCGCAGCATGGAGATCCAAGTCACCGATTTCGAGAACGCGGCGTTCAGCATCTTCATCGTGCTCGTGACGCGGGCAATTCTCAGCTTTGACCTGAACTTCTACATCCCAATTCCCCGAACGACGGAGAACATGGAGACGGCGCACGCACGGGACGCGGTGATGAAGGAAAAGCTCTGGTTCCGCAAAGACCCTTTCCCCCGACGCAGTCCGCGCGCGAGTCCGTTGCTCAACGGCGCCGATGCTGCCGGGGTCAATGGCGAAGCGAAGCCCAAAAACCTTGGCCCTGTGGAAGACGAGTACAGGCTCATGACCATCGACGAGATCATCAACGGGACGCACTCGTCATCCGCCGCTGTCGACCTGGGCGCGGGCGGCGGCGACGGCGGCGACGGCGGCGACTACTTCCCCGGCCTCATCCCGCTGGTCGAATCGTACCTCGACAGTGTCAACATTGACGTCAGCACCCGCTGCGAGCTCGCTCGATATCTGGACTTGATCCGCAAGAGGGCCGACGGCACATTGTGGACTGGCGCCAAGTGGCTGCGTGAATTCGTCCGGAGCCACCCGGACTACAAGTTTGACAGTGAAGTCAGCGAAAGAATCACCTATGATCTGTTCAAGGCGGTTGAGGAGGTGGGCAAGAGCGAGGGAAAGAGCGGAGCCGTCGGATGGGAGATGTTGACTGCAAAAGAGCGGGTACAGGGCTTGGATGACCCCTGCCGGTCTTGACGCACCGAGTACGAGGTCAGAAGAGCTTTCTTGAATACGAGCGTTATGGGAGCGCGATAGAGACATACAGTGACGAGAGAGTGACTGCTTAGATACAATGATTTAGCGTTGACATGGGTGTTTTTCGATCTCGATCGCTCCAAAGTCAACTCGTCACCCGTATAATTCATAGTGCAGACACGGGTTTGTGCTGGGTATTGTATCACACGTCCCTGTGGTCTTTGGACCTGTATGCAACGACGTGGTCAGAGTATCAATGTAGACCTTCTACCACTTCCGTACCTGGACTTGTGATTGCTCTTGGAAGACCCAGCATTGAGGCGGGCGACTCACACAATAGTGTTCCGTGTGACGTCCAACACTTCGTACTGCCCATTCCTGTCCAAGCAACGCCAGTGAGAGCAAGAGCAGCACCCGCGTACATATACACGTGTCTGCTCAATGCGTTCGCTTTACTTCCAATTATCATTCTCATCTATAAGATTCAGACCTCGATGAACACTAGCCTCTCGTCACGTCTCTATACACAATCTTCTGGTCATCTTCATCCTCGTCACTTTGTCGCAGCTCAACCTCATCCGCTCCAACGCTCCGCTCTTCATCATACCCTTCTGCATCCGTATACACAACACTGAACTGCCGATCGGCCTCGTCGGTCTTTTCGCACCAAACCTCACTCGTGGCGGGGACCGGCCACGCAGTACAAAGGAGATAGTAGACGACGCCGGCGACTATGAAGCCCGCGAAGAAGTTGAAGCGGTAGATGTACACGGCACCCATGGGAACCTTGCCGCCGACGGCACCCACGAATCCGACAATGTTGATCGCGATACCGCAGATGTACGCCGCGTAGCCTCTCCATGACCAGCCGAAGAAGTAAAAGTACGGTCCGTCTCTGTGGGCAGAGTACATTTCACGGAGCGAATAGTAGCCCTTCCTGACGGCATAGTAGTCACAGATAATCACGCCAGCGATGCTGGACAGGAAGACGCTATACGCCGACAGGTACGTGGTGAAGTTGTTGCTCGACTTCAAGAGGTTCCAAGGACACATGCACAGTCCAACAATGGCGCAGATGTACCCGCCTCGTCGGATGTTGATGTACTGGGGCAGTAAGGCAGTCATGTCTGTGCCTGCCGACACAGAGTTTGCAGCAATGTTGGTACCGAGCTGAGCCAGGACGAAGGCCGCGGCGATGATAAATACGCCAAACCGCTCGGCGGACGAGGCGTCATCTAGAAGGAATTGCGAGAGAAGGTCGAGTGGGTTCCAGATAGTAGTGCCGTATATGACTTTGCTGGATGACGAGACTATGATGCCGATGAAGGACGTCACGGCGAAGCCGAGAGGGATGGTGAAGAGTTGAGACCAGAGTGCGTCTTTGGGCTTGCCCGCGAAACGGGAGAAGTCGCTATGATAGGCAAGTATAGTGTCAGCAAACCATGGTCCCAAAGGTCAAGAGGAGGAGTAGAGCCGAGGGCTACCAAAACACAGGAGGACATACGCGTCGTTGACGATGAGCGTTGCGAAGTTTGCAATAGAGCTCATGATACCCGCAATCCAACCCCATGCGAGTTCCGAGCCATGCGATGCTGCGGGTTGGTGGACGACTAGATTATCTTGTTAGAACATCGCCGCCAATGAGGTTGAGACTATGGTATATGGCGGTGCTGGGGCAGCTAAGGGTGCCGGGTTTCAGTTTCCAGGAAGAACTTACTTGGACCAATGCCATGGGCTCTCCCGATCGCCCAGCCGAAGAGCGCAATTCCAGCGACCGGAACGAAGTACGCCTTTACGGTGAAGAGATGACGGATCTTGTGCACTGGAAACCATATGGCAGGAAGCGAGCCAAGCCAGAAAAGAAAGAAGCCGACAAAGTCTCGAGTATTCGTGCCGGAGCCCGGTATGCCGTTATGGAGGGTGTAGAACGACGGCCACTTGAGACCATGTCAGCGTCATGTTTCCCGGGACGAAGGTAAGCGTAACGTTGCGAGACTCACTATGGCTCTGATCATCAACGTGACACATTCTCCGCCGATCCAGGACTGAACACCGTACCATACACACGCCATTGCTATCCCGGTTAGCATGAAAAGTCTAGCCACGTAAAGAGATCCTGGGTTGTCTACCTGCGCGGTTGAACACCGGCCATAAAGATCCCCAGATGCCAAAGGACGCCCGGCTGAGGACGGGAAACGAAATGTGATATGTCGCTCCGATGCGACCGGTCAAGCACACGAAGACAGCGGCTATGAAGTATCCGATCCAGACACATCTGATGGGCAGTGTCAGCAATCATCCAGCTTTCGCAAGACCCAAGACGCACAGCCACGCATGCCACCATGCCAGACCGCCGCTGGTGATCATGGAGCTAGCAATCATCCAAGTATTGATGTTGAAAGAGTCGGCGACCCAGAAGCCTGAATGGACAGCATGAATTAGTTGCTATAGCGGGATGCAAGGAAACAAACATCACGGCCCAAGAGCCTTATCTTAAACGTACCGACAAAGTTCCAAGGGCCCCATTGCCGCCTCTCGAGCTCGACAGGCTTCAGGTCATCGTTGGTGAGCATCAGTTGGGCATTTGTCAGACCCGGTTCGGAGTCGGTTGCCAGCTTCCCTAGCAGCGAGGCTACCTTTGAATTCCTGTACCGCCCCATTGTAAGGATTGCCCGTTGTTGGTAAGGCTGCGGCAGGAGCGAGAAGACCCAACGTGACGCAATGCCGCTCAGGCTGTCCTCGGAGCTACTTCTGTCGAATCCTGAGGATGAGTTATTCAACGGTGAAGAGGAAATCAGAGGCCTGGACTCCTCTTCGACAACTGGACGTGTTGAAGACGAAGATGGTATGACGTCCAGATCTCCATCTCCATCTGGAACCATCGACGAGGACAACATGCAGGGCGGCCTTTTATGTAAGAGGCTGCCTGCCACAAGCCAAGGACAGTCGCATGCTTGGATTGTGAATTTTCTATGTGGACCAGGATTGATATCACCGACGCTCTCTTTTTTTTACACTGGAAACTAGTGATGGATGCTGGGAGATAGAGGAGAGCTAATTGTTGCATATATTCTCCACCTACGCCTCACCAGCCTTGGCAAGTGTGGATAGTATTATATGTAGGTAGAAGTGCGAGTAGAAAGGATGGGAAGCATGGTCCATAGCACATCCACCTGTTGAGTGGCCTGACGGTACGAGACCGAGGAGAAACAAGCAAGCAAGCAATGAAACTGGGAGGGGAGTGAAATTCTTCCGTGAGAGCAAATAACATCAACATTCTCCATACAGTATGCTGAAAGAAATTTGCCCGTCTGGGTACTTGTACTCGCACTCGCACTAACTAGTATGGGTTGTTGGATTTCCCGTTGTACTCGGACCTTCATTTTGGTGTCAAAAACTCTCGTACATGTACTCCGTACTCCGTACTCGCAAAGTCGTAGATCCTGGCGGCGTCATTCTTCTTCTTAAACCCACCAGTGCCATCACTGTGTGGTCTCGGACAGGGCATGGTGGCAACTACTATCCAATAGGCTATGAGTACCCGCGGAGTGGGCAAGGGTCCAGGTGCCCCGATGAGGTATCTACCTGTTACCCCCTTGTGAACACTTCTGAAGGTGTAGGCTTCGGATGAGGCTAGTTGGTATGGATCACTTGGCAAGGCTAGATGTTCAAGTAAGCCCGAGGTTGCCAGGATCCCCATCTGTGTTTATGTTGTATCAATACCTGTAGCATGAGGATAGCACGCGAGCTTCACCAGCTTCCACCGGTCCAGGCTAGGGTACAAAGCTCCTATAGTCTGAACACGGATCCTGATTCCTTGAAAATGCGAGTCCGAACTTCAGGCACTTCGGAAGTGCCTTTTTCAATGCCCATGCGACAAGCCCGAGGACCATGGAGAGCTCTTGACTTCATTGGCCTTTGGAGAGCACATCCTTCTTGACCGTCTATGAGTGGTAGGCCGACTGCGTCCGAACTCCGCTTCAGCCTGAATGTGTGCCAGTCAATCATCTGCTCTGTCAAAGCGCGAGTCATCCAACTTGCTGTTGTTGTCCACTTATGCCGGTACGTGAAGAGAGTGGTGTACCGGCACCGTTCCGGCTGGCCAATGAACAGAATGCGCCTTAGGGGTATTGGACATTGGATAGACTGTATAGTCCAGATTCGCCCCAGTGTTCCAATCGGACAATTCCTGTCACGCGTGCTATTCAGATGGTCCTTCTCTGTCACCATGAATATGAACTTGCTTGAAAGCGGCAACGGGAGCTGCTTTGTTGTGGTTTTTACTGTGGTTGTTGGTATTGTCATAGCCAGCATCTGTACAAGTATATACCTATCTGAGGTAAGTACTGGGCCTATTGCTTGTTTCTTATCTCATGCTCGAAGTTTCGGAGCTTCCACCGCGGATGCTAGGTAGTTGAGAAAGAGTGTCATTAGGTCATGTCAAGCTGCGTGTCATCTGGATCTTGGATTGAGGTGCTCCTTCACAATGCAACATCGACATTGTAGCTGCAAGATATGGTCACGGTTTGCAAAGCAATCTGCCAGATGGCGGAGGCGGAGGCTTCTTAATCACCGTGGTGCCAATGGCGGAAGAGCATATGGATCGTACGGTTCCGTGTCAGGTGTCTGCATGTCAGTGACAGAGCATGCGCAGCAACTTGTTGATGATTCTGGGTAAGAATTTCTTGACAACCTTTTCGATTTCGTCTTGTTGTCCTTGGCCGCCATGCTGCTGCTGCTGCTGTTGGTGATGGTACTGCTGCTGATGTTGAGGCTGATATCCGTGACTCTGTTGAGCTTGCCCACCAGGGTATGATTGTTGATAGCCACCCCAGTTACTTGCCTGCTGCATGTCGACGGCACCGCCAGTCAGATTGACATAGATGCGCCCCTCGTTGGGTTCGGTGTGGTATTGCAAGCCCAATTCTCTGCACACCTGTTCGACACGAGGCTTGATCTTCTGCACATGGTTTGCGCTGTGGTTGCCTTTGCCGACTATCACATGAAGATGGTTTTCTCCATGCGACTGAGCATATCTTATTCTTTGTTCCAAGATGTCTTCTGCTTCTTCGACAAACTGCCCGTGCAGATCTATCGTGTCTGGAGGGACTCTTCCATCGGCATTATTTTCGCGAAAGATGAAGTCAGAGGCCTGCTTGTTGTATTGTTCCATCTTGGCACCATGATCCTTTCCTTCTTGTGATAGTGCGTGAGCCGCAGCTCCATCGCCGTTGCTGTATGCTTGTTGTGACTTTGCGAAGCATTCCGAGCGCTTCTGTGCCTCACGGCGGGCAAGATCTCGTAGGCGATCATATTCTTCTTCGGCAGCTTGGGACTGATTATGATTGAAGGCTGGAGGCGCCTATTAGTTCCAATTCACAGAGTTTGCCCTTTGTTACGGAGGGGGAGAGCCTCACGTCTTGCGCCGACCCTAGTAGTGTGTTGTGTTGACATTTCATAAGACATGATTGCAAATGTGGTGCGAAATGTCGACTGCTATGAGTAGTGAGCTGAGTAGGTAGTCAGAGGTGTTTCTGTGAGATCAGAATTGCTCAAGGATAGACTGTTGCTCCTGAAAATGGCAGGGGATCTTGTATGCGACAATGGAGAGAAACAACAAGAATGCAACAGAGATGGAGAGTGCTAACTAGTTCACCGAGGCTTGTGCAGGCTAGTGAGGCTTTAGGTTTAGGCTTTGGCTTGGGGCTGCACAGGTACGATCTCAAGATAGGTACCTAATAGGTACAAGTACAGACGAAATCTCTTCAGGCCACCCGGGGCAGCTCCCTGGGGAAGCTTGAGAGTGAGGACACCACAGGCGGACCCAGGCAGATGAGTCAGCGTAAAGGCACCCCTGAAGCCCCTGGCCCTGCTTGAGCCCGCCTGGTCCGCTTAACGAGGACGCCTACGATCCCAGAGCATCAGCGACCTCTTGTCACTCAGGTATCATCAGTGCCTGAGAAGACCAGACATGACTTCGACAATATCACAAGTACTCCTCGCTGAGTGTGCTTTCCACTTCTTAATCCTCCTGTTCAGTACAAGGCTCCCTGGAACCCTACACAAGGGAAAATGTCTGCCGGGTCATACCTCCTCTTCACTTCAGCAAATCTTTGCTCGGCATATGGTGTCATGACTCTGCTTTGCCGTTGTTGATGATCGAAATCAGCAATATACATCCCACAACCGACCTCCTCAGCCTCGCCGAAGACCGACGACAGCCACGCTCTCAGAGCCTTTTCTTTCTGCTCTCCGGCCTCCTTCCAACCGACAAACGAGGCAATGTAATATTTCTGCGGTAAGGAACAACACTGCTCTTTTTCATTCGGAGTCGCTTGACTGATGTATAGGCAACCTACAGACAATCGTGTAGGGAGATCGCACAGCGCTCTTTTGATCTTCGTGATCAACTGTCATCAGATCAGTAAAGGGCTTTGCATTCGGTTCCGCAAAATGATAAAGCATACCTCATCATCTTCAATCTGTGGGTGACTCAAGATACTGTCACACAGCCACCTCTCTCCATGTCCGTATGGCACCAGACTATCCTGGAAAGCGAACAACTCGTCCCAGTTTGTGGCTCTGGCTGGGTCGTCTTGCACCAGGCTTGCTGCCAAAGAGTCCGGCACATCTGACCATACGCTCAGTAATGCCTCTGCGTCTTTCAGGCCGTCGCAAAACGCAATGATCTCAACGGCGAGCAACAAATTATCCGGCCCGACCTCATCTTCTTCTCGGTTCTCATACCTCGTTGGAAAGAATGTACACAGCGCAACCTCGACCCCCCATTTCGGCGATTTCCCTTCTCTCTCGAATACAAACCTCATCAAGTCCTCGTATGCCTCACCGACTCGAAAGGTCAATGTTCTGTGCCACAGCCTCTTCCTCATCACAGTGCGGCCCCAAACCCTCGTCACAATGCCAGGGAACCACTGCCCGCTTCCCCTTGCTGCCCAAAAAAGATCACTATTCTCCTCTTTACTTGCAACAACCACATTGCCATCGGCCGTTACGATCTCCATCTTAACGATCCACTGCTCACTTGTGACTCCCCATCCACGCATGAACCAGCCCTGACCTCCGTTGAGCACGAACCCGCCCATGCCTACGCTCTGCAATCCACGTCAGATGGATGTCTAGTTCGAACAGTGGCGCAGAAAAGAAACTGGGCCAGTGCCTGAAACACTGGATATGAAGACACACAGACACGAGAAAGGGAAGACCCACCGGTGCATGCCCGGTCGGAAAGAATCGTCCGAGCCTGCTCAGTTCATCCATGACCTCCTTGACCCTCACGCCAGGCCCGAAGTCGACATGTCCTGAATGCGGATTGTACAAGACCCGCCTGTGCACATTCTTCATGTCGATCAATATCCCATTCTCAACAAGTGAGCTACACGGGAATGAATGGCCTCCTGAACGAACGCCAACTCTGACACCCAGCATCCTAGCACGTCTCACGGCGGCAACAACGTCCCTGGTGTTTGAGGGCACGTGGATCTCCAGAGGGAACCGGGAGGGCACGTTCCTCGTTATGAAGCTGGTCCGGTGGTACTCGTACTCTGGTGCGCTTGTATCGCGGCGGTAGACCTGAGAAGCCGGTGCTGGTGGTACCCCTGATCCTCCTGCTGTCTGTGGCACAGTGCTGCTTCCCAGTCCCGGTTCCATCATTTGCTTCACACCGGAACGGTATGCTGTTTCCGTTTTGGTGCTTGGTCGGTCTTAGAAATGCCTACGTTCCTGTGCAAAGCTGAATTTACGGGCCCAACTCTCCAGCGTCAAGGACTCGAAGAGCAGCGTTCTTCCAGACTTTACACGTCTCCTTTCAACGATTCAATGGTGGGGTCAAGATGCTCTGTAAGCTCCACAACAAGGAGAGCAAAAGGCGGAGGCGGAGGCGGAGGCGGAGACGAGGGGCTAGTTCGACGGCCGTCCACGAGAATCCTATTGAGGAAAGTTGGAGTTTCTTTCCAGAACGGACGCGCCCACATGCTCTATGAGAGAAACGGTGACTCTCCACACCAACAACATGTAGGGCCTCCCCCCTCGTTACTCCTGAACGGGAGTGAAAGGGGAGAAGTGATAGATAGAGACGAATACCAAGTCTAGATACGACTTTATCAACCATCACTTGGACACAGAGTACTCGTACGAATGCTACTTGTCCTTTTGGTGATACAAGGTTCTTCCTGTAGAGAACGTGTCCGCACTCTCCACGCGCGAGGTTGGAATCATATTTGTCGTTGAATAGAGTTGGTGATGCTGCTCCAACAACGATCACATCGCCCGCGTCGAATACGATTCCTCGATCGAGGGCTGACGCTCTCGAGCCGGTCTTACAATTCATTACGAGTGCACGTTTGCTCGAGGCTGGTCGGGCGGTGAGCGGCCGTGACCTGGAAAAAGTCATCGTTGATTCAGGATTAGATCGTGGTACTACTATCTTCTCGAGAGAAAGCGAGGTGATCGACTAACTCCGAGGTGTGTTCGTCTCATAGATGCTCGCCAACTCCCTGAGAGTGAAGCCCATCCGTGGCGTGACGCCCCAGACCCAGGTGTCGTCATAAAACTTTGCCCAGTACATGGTCAGCTTGGCCGCCACGGTCTTGAAGACTATGTCGCCCGTGGCGTTCTCGAACTCGAACTCGGACGTCAGGTTACGGATGGTGGCCATGGTCTGCTCCTCCAGCTCGGTGATGACGCCACCCGCCTGGGAGGTCTCGATCTCGATGACGTGCACCCACTTGGTCACGAGCAGGGCGGCGTCCCAACCGGCGAGGGCGTGTTCGATGGCCCACGTCAGCGCGGCGGTCTTCTGGATGAGCGGCGTGCCCATCTTGTAAGGGATCAACATGCCCTCGAACGCACGGCTGACCGCCCGCGTGATCATGTCGCTGCGCTCCTGCGGCGCGGCCACGAAATCCTCGATGGACTCCAGAAGGTCATCCTGGGTGGATTTGAAGAGGATCGTCGAGTCGGCGCTGCCGGTGCCCGCGAAGGTGCGGCAGTAGGTTACGCGCAACAGCGCGAGGCAGTTGAACAGCAGCGGTCCCTCGGCGTCGGTCCAGGCATAATCCGCGTCGGTGCGTGCCTGAGTGATGAGGGAGCGGCACCGGGTGAGCGCCGCTTCGGCTTGTATCAGATTCTGGGATTTCAAGGCGTCCTGCGGCTTGCCCATGCTGGACAGCTCGCCGAGGAAGTACGATCCCTGAGAGATGTGCCAGAGCTGGATCGAGACGGCGTTGATGACGGCGCTGACCGCGAATGGAGACCATGACCAGCAGTGCGCCGGGACTGGTTTCGGGATGTTTTCGTACATGAGCGTAGAGACGGCGTCTCGCAGCGAGAGCGGCGAACTCTTGCCCCTGACGCTCGCGATGGAGGCCCACTGCTCCGCTGTCTGCGCATCCCACAGACTTTGGTCGCATGGCATCTCGATGTAGCCGTCCGACACGACAGAATAGCCTGGGGCTATGCCGTACGTCATGGTGACAAGATTGCCGTACAGGATGTGTCCGTATAGAAGCCTATTGCGGAAAATCAGTCAGCCTACACATCAAAATGGGGACAGGGTTGTCCAGAGACCGACCTTTTGATGCTCTCTCTGTGGACCCATTCTTCCCATGTGAGGTTCTCCTGGTTTCCCTTGCCCGCTTTTACCATGGGGGCTAGCAGACGGAAATCCTGGAATTGCAATCGTCAGCGAGATGAGACTTTGGGATCCTTGACAACTTGGCAACTTACAATGAGGAAGTCACCCAACTCACTGAGGGCCTCCGTGACGACGGTGATGACTCCGCAGAACGTCGCAAACATCTTGATAAGCAGGCGTGCTTGACTTCTCCATAGGAGCTCGGGATCAACTTTCGCTTCCTGGGATGGTGGAGGAATCCAGTCATCCGACATACTCGGCCGATTGGCTTGTTCTTTGCTCTCCTTCGACCTCACGGCAAGAAGTTGGTATGCTTTCTGATAGAGTTGTTCTGCGATCTTTCTCTCCAATCGATAGAGCGCACCGATGGCACAGATGATCAGAACAAGCGGCGAGGGGGCCGATGTAAAGTTCATAGTCTGCAGGTGCAAGATGGGCATGTGAACGTGGAAACTGTCGATGGCGGTCCGGATACACTTTTGCAATGCGGATGCACTGGGGAGCGTGAATCTCGTCAACTCCTTCGATGTGAGCCGCTCTTTGATTTCGTTCAGCAGGTTGGTGCGCATCTGCTCTGTAAAGATTGGAGCAGGAGGCTTCGTGAACGGTGTGCGAGCCAGCGTCGGCTTGGAGATCTTGTCGAGCTCATCGATTGGGGGAAGCGTCACCACTGGGGACGGCGCTGGGAAAGTGTTCAGGGGCGTCGACACATTTTCATTGAATTGTTCGTCGCCTGGCAGAGGCAGAGATGCGAAGTCGGCTTCGTGAGGATTGCCCGTCGTAAATCCCGTCGACACTTGTATGGCCGGTGCAAGTGGGCGAAGGGTCTGGAGTGGCTGGAGGAAGCCGTAGTCCTGCATCGATGTCTGACTGGAAGAGGAGAAATGCTCCAAGGGCGACCAGCTGTCTGAATCTCTCCGTACTGGCGGAATGGCAAAATTGCCCATGAGCTTGGGTTCCATACCCAGGAAGGGATCAAAGAAGTCGAGAAACTCGAGATCCCCGTCCAGGTCCGGTAACGGTACCGAAGTGGGAAATGTGCGCATCTGCTCGAGTTCCGGCATGTCCATAGAGTAATTGGGCATATTGATTCCCACGATTACCGGCTCCGGCATGGTCATGACTGGCTCTTGCACCGCTGGACTGGTAATGTTGAACATTATGTCTGTGATGGAGGAAGGGTCTGACGGACTTTGGGACAAGGATTGGTGTTGGCTGAACTGTGACCGGTCATGAATCGTGGTGTCGGATGGCGAGTCTCCCGTCACCAACAAGTTTGCAATGGTTGGTGCTTTCGATGGTGACGTGCCCTCCTCATGCATGGTTATGGGACCAAGAGTATTGTTATCCTGTGGCAAAAGCGACTGGCCGTTGCCAACATCGGAGGACGGATTGAGCGCAGGCGTCGCTCCAGCTGGATCAAGTTAGTTGTCGTCAATGAGAATCAACGGACAGACCCTACAGAACAGTGGCGGAGGAGGAGCATGATTACCTCGTCGTCTCCTGGCCGGTGGCGGCTCCTGACCTGGCTGATCGGTGGCATTGGCCAGTTGTGCTGGGGTGTGAAGGGTCCTCTCGTGGCGGACCAAGAGATCTCTGCAATCATGGTCAACGAAGTGTCCAGCGACGATGGGAGCGAGACCCTGGATGAATACCTTCGACTGTACCGTCGACGACATACTCGACAACTGAAGGGTTTCTCTTGCGTGTCTGTGTTTGTTTAGCACATTGACTACCGTTCGATATATGGTGAGAAATAGCAAGGCGAGGTAAGAGCGACGTTGGCAGGGGACTTACGGCCTCTTTGATGTCGGATGCAATGTTCGCTACGTTTGAAGGCCCTGGAACAGACCTTGCATACGTGCGGTCGTTTGGTTTTCTGCAGTGCGTCTTTGGCTGGATCAAGCTTTGGGAAAACAATAACAGAGGCTCCTGTCAGAGCCATGGAGGGCTAAAGAGGGTGCGATTGCCCGCTCGAGTACCGTGAACAGAGAGAGTAGGCTTGTGTAGAGGGAATCTCGAGACTACTGATGGAAAAGAGACGAGTGCGAGATTGAGATTCACGAAACACGAAAAACTGGAGATTCACCGATAGAGAGCAGGGACCTTCAAAAGGACCCGTTAATTCATTGCTTCGATGTGCAACGGCAGACAAGGATCCGGAGTAGCAGGGAAGACTCGAATCGGGGGCGCCACTGCGAGTAAACTGGTACGGGTACGAGAAGCGTCCTGTAAAAGTGCCGCAGGACATATAATGTACCGCTGACCAGTGACAGAGCCTGGTCATGGCCACTAACAAGGTCTCCCCGGGGTGTCAAACCAGCCCAGACCTGCGGGGAAAAGAGCATGTGGCTCACTAGGCGACAAGGGGAGGGTGGACGTCGATTCGGGACAGCTTGTCAAGTGACAGCCATCCAGCCTGATTTGTCGATTCTACAATAGCTTTTGGTTTGCTTGGGGAAAATGACCCAGTCGTCGACGGTGGGTAAGGTTCAAGGCGTGTGTGGGTGGAGGAGGGAGTTGGGGAAATCTGGGAGAGGGAGAAGCAGAGGAACATGAGGAGATGGAGAAACAGATGGAGACGGAAGATGGAGACGGAAGCGGGAGCTGGAGATGTGGATGGCAGATGGCAGATGGTTGTCACAGAGAAAAAGAGAGACGGAGACACGGAGCCGGATGAGGGAGGTTGCCGACAGGTACGAACAATGTGGGAGGACTAACTTATTAGGACTCCTTAGCCGATTGACCATCGACCCTGCGACATTCTTGTTCCCGGGAGTCTATATTGTATGTTTTCCGGACTTGAATTTGACTCGTTCCGTTGATTGGGAGGGGGACCCTGGTCGGTCGAAGATGCTGGCGTACAGGAGGCTGATTCTATGCGTCTCTCGAGTACTCAGTCAATGCTGAGACCGTCTTTATTAGAATTCGATCTGGCGAAGAAGCGGAAAAGTGACCCCTCTCGAACATAGTATACGCCAACCCAAGGCTTCCGATCCGAAGCAAGCTCCATATGCCCTCAAAATAACCGTCACATATTGGTTTCGCTAAAGCACCAGGCCTTGACGTGAGATAGAAGGAGTAGTACTTGTAGTCTAAGTAAGAAGGTCACTGACTAACCAGGGACGAGTACTGTAAAAGTAGGAGTCTAGTAACTACGACTATATACCGATGGGTGTCTATTACGCAAGAATCCGGAGTACCTTTTTCACTTATGGATTTCTCCATAGAGCACCTACAACTATAGGGACTGAACGGCTATAAGCTCGTCCTAAAACCATGTAGGTAGGCATCACCAACTACCTAAAGATTGGGGAACATTACAGGCCTCTCTACCTCTTTCTTCTTCTTACTATGGTAGTACCCGTAGGGGGTGCCTAAGACGTGTGAAGACAGGTGTGAGTGGAGATCGAGGTAAACCGGGAGGCGTTGAGATGAGATTGAAATGACCGAGAGGCTGGTTATGATCACAAGGAAAGCCTCTGTGTAAGTAGGTAGGCATGTACGGTAGGCACAGTAGTAGTGGTAGCCTTGGGTACAGCAGGTAAAGCTATTTGAGTCACCAGTCGTGACATAGCAGTCGAGTGAAAAGAGGTAAGTGTGTGTGCTATTCTGCGGGTGTTAATAGTTCCTGTGGATATAAAGTGTGGGACAGAGTGTGAGTGTGAGTGTGAGTGTGAGTCTCGATTCTGAGAAACAGGACCAACCAAACCAATGAGTTGGGTGAAGCCCCTGACAACCGTAGACTTGTATGTAGGTCAGGTGAGTGTGTGACCGACATATCTAACCAAAGTTTCACAGCGTACGGCGTTACCTAGATATTCACAGGCTACTCGTAGGTAGGTCTGGGAATGCCTAGTAAGTGCTAGTGATGCCTCTCACTGCACGTACGGAGTCACTCGCACAAGGAGGAGGTGGATTGACAGGGGTCTGGTATTGAATCTAGGGTTTGACTTCTTGAGCGCATGGAAAGATTGTGACGTGATGATCCGGGCCGTCATCACTGATCAGGTACCTTGGGCTAGGGCAAGGCTAGATAGGCTAACGAGAACAGGATGGAGGTGTACCTTGGTTAGGCGCATGCCACCCCTTTAGATACAATAAGGCATCTACATAGTTAGACACGGAGGAAGGGCCTAAGCGAAGGAGGGGGAAAGGGAGAGACAATAGGTGGATAAGTGGATAGATAGCCAAGGTATCTAGATAGATCCCGGGGGCCCGGAGATGAAGCTTTCAAAGAAAAGCCCACTCAAGGTCATCGGAAAGTCCAATATCAAAAGATGCCTGTAACATTTGCACCTACCTGAGGCAAGGCAGATGAAAGACGCATCCTTCCGTATTACTTCGTATTTCAGAGACTCTGTGCTCCGAGCCAAGAGGATGAGGGCGGTAAGTTCAAAAATGACAGACTGGGAGTCTGCTGTCCTGTCCCGCTTACCGCCATCCGCCGGCAGCCAGTCGGTCTGATACTCATCGTCGAATAGGCGACGCGGAATCGGTGTGATGAGAATTGATTTGCATTGCATTGCATTGTCTCGAATCCTGGACCCTGATTTCGTAGAGCGAGCTGGTTCCGGTCGATTTTGTAGGGCGAAGTGATGCTGGTTCAGTAGGGCGACGATCCTGGTCGGTGGCTTTGTAAAGGTGATCGATCCCTGTTGTCTCAGCTCTCGTATCACTCATTCACTAGTTATCACCACTTCATGCACGGGTTAGAAGTGTGTGTGACACAGTGCCAACTGCATACATGCCTCCTGACTCCCGAGACCTCACGCCGTTGGACAGCCATGAATGGTACACCTGCAAATGCTAGCTAGCGTACGGACTTGTATGCACAATGTTTGCTTCAAGCCAACCTACTTCTCAGTCTTCCCCCCTCTTTGTCTCTTGCTCGTCCGTCTCTTTTCACGGCTCACAGCTCTTGGGCATCAGACGAGTCGAGTGGTGTCCACAGGAAGCGTCGGGGGGGGGTTTACAAGAAACCTGCTTTCACCTCAATTACACATCTGAAATAGTAAATAATGTTACTTGATGCAGCATCACTGGATTCCGTCGTAACAAGGGTTGATTACTACGCATCATACATGGACAAAAAGCCAAGCTGGCGCAGAGCCATGCATTTCACACCTGTGGCTCATGTTGGTACGGTCCTTGATTGGACAAGACACCCGGACTGGAAGCAAAACCTGGCAGAGTCCCCTGGCCTCGCTCATGGTGGTCACCACGATTTCCAACTGATCTTAAGAAGAGCCATTCACGCCCGATCTGACGCCTGACGGAAGACGAAACCTCATGGCATCTTACCTTGTCCTCCGTAGGCGCCCAAATAAAAATGTGCACCATCAGTATGGTTGACGTGGGCATCTCAGCTTGCGAGTATGACTATGTCGTCGTCGGTGGAGGCCTGTGTGGTGTCGCGCTGGCGGCCGAGCTATCAAAGAAGAATCCCACAAAGAGAGTGATCTTGCTTGAAGCGGGCATCACTTTGACATACCATAGCCTGACTCACGCTCCCTTGGATTGCTTTCGAGCACACTATTCTACCATGGATTGGGCCTATCACACAAGCACACAACACCATCTCAACAACCGCGTACTGTACCAGGGAGCCGGCAAGGGCCTGGGTGGCGGCAGTGCAATCAATTACGGCATGTGGACCAAAGGGAGCAAACATGACTACGACCTTTGGTCCAAGGTGGTAGACGACCCGAAATGGGGTTATGACGAGTTCTCGCCTTACCTGAATGGTGTTGAGTGCTGGCTGAGCAAAGCATGTCAATCCCCTTGGCTGGCAAACGGCAAAATCGTGACTGCCTCAGTGTCCGAAAGTAGTGACCGACGGCGGTATCCGCTTCGAGAGAAGATGCTGGAGGCATGGGAGGCACTGGACAACAACCACATCACGGACCCCCATGACGACGAATCGTGCGGGATCAGGGAAATGGTGGAGAACTGGGATGACGGCCAACGCCAGATTGCCAACTGCGTCTTCGACCTCTCAGAAGTGACAGTCGAGACCAGCTGTATGGTGCAAAAGATCTTCCTGGAGGGCCACCCAGGAAATCTACATGCGACAGGCGTTCTGACGGAGGATGGAAGAACCTTCTTCGCTTTGAACGAGGTCATCCTCGCCGCCGGTGCCTATCGCACACCACAGATCATGATGCTGAGCGGCATTGGACCGGAGGCTGCTCTGCGAGGACACGGCATCTCCCCGCTAGTCAACTTGCCCGGTGTCGGCCAGAACCTCCATGACCACCTGGTGATGAGCATGTGTTTCAAGCTTAAGGACGCGAATGCCGGCTATGCTATGGGAGGCAGTGCTGGGCCTTGGGCAGATCCCGCATACGCTCTAGGTCTTCCGTGCGACTGGATTGTGAACGAGCGAGTTCCCCTCCCGATAATCGAAGAGGGCATTCGAAAGGACCTTGAAGTAGAGACCTCGAGTAGCAGCGATCTTGATCAACATGCACTGGAGCTTCTTGCTCCATCAGCCTCGCATCTCGAGATGTTTTTCGTCTATAGACCAGCCGGGAGACCGCTGGCCAACAACCACGTCCCGGCGGACGGGTCTCACATTGGTGCTCTGGTCAGCAACTTCCGGCCAGCGTCGCGAGGCAGCATCGGTATCTCGTCAGACAACATCTCTCACCCGCCGGTCGTCGACCCCAATTACAACGCCACGCATGTCGACAGAGACATGCTTCGCCATGGTGTGCGACGTGTGTTGAAACTCGTCGCCGACTCGCTGTCTGACGTGGTCGAGGCGGAGCTTCCACCAGAAAGGTCTTCGGAGTTGACATGCGAGTCATCCGACGAGGACATTGATGCGCGCATCCGTGATCAAGGAAGGAGTTTCTTTAATGCAGGCGGTACGGCGAGTATGGGTCGTGTGGTGGACACCAACTTGTTGGTCAAGGGCGTGAATGGTTTGCGGATTGTCGATGCTAGCGTCATCCCTGTGCCGCTCGCTGCGCATTACCAGGTCGTTTGTTATGCCCTGGCCACGAAGGCGGCAGACCTGATTTCGACTTTTCATGCCACAGTAAATTGAGCTGTTGGAACGGGAATGGGATGGAAAACGGCGTTTGTGGCGTCGTCTTGAAGGGAGAGACAGAGGGTCCTCGGAAGCCCGTCCATCGATTGATTCGTCCAGGAAACGAGTGATGGAGACGTGGCTGATGAAATACGACCAGTACTTTTGTCTTTAGCATCGGACAAGGCCAGGGCCGATGATGGTGACTCAGTTTTGGAAGGGTGCGTGGCTGTACTTTCAATCATAAATTTCCCATTACGCCAAAAATGAGAGCGTGCATGTTGTCTCCAGATCGTTCTGCTCAAGTCCAAATTATTGTGGACATTTGGGTGACGGTTTTCGCATTTGTTAGCTAACGTTGACTCTGGCTACGTAGAGTAGGTAGTGACAGCACAAAGCACTGGGCACTTCGGAGAAACTGCCAGTCATGCGAGAAGGCTACCGGCAAAGGGCCAGCTCAGACCCTGACTTTGACCCTGAACCCGGCGGAAAAGACGCCCACCCATGGGTCGGTCTCTTTCTCTCCAGCGTCTAGCCAAGGGTCGCCTGAATACTGCAATGATCCGACACGCTACACTACCCAAGCACTTCCTTCCCAACTTTTGCTCCTCTTTGTGTTGAATGTGTGACGAACCACGACCCCGAGATTCAGTACCCCGAAGATCTTTGTCTTTTTAGCTTGAGGCCTGCGTTGGAGATCTTTCGCCTAACTCGCCCGCCTGCCTCTTATGATTCCGTACAAGTACGAGTATGCCCGTGACATGGTGTCAAGAGACACAGGGTCTGGCAAGCAGTACGAGGACTCGCATCGGCTAGTCTTTCCAGAACCAATGTGAATGGTCCCTGTACACGTCCAGGTAAGAGCCAGCGCCTTGCTTGGGCAACCTGGCCAACCATGCTCGAAACTTGGGGCTGGCGTCCAACGCGAGGCCGAGGTGAGCGATAGCCATGTACATGATCAGCATGGCCACCTGCGGAGGGAAGACATGTCGACAAGCAGGGCAGGTGCCGGTGTCACCGTGGTCGGTGCTCAGCCTCTCGTAGGCAAACCAGCGCGCCAGGCAGCGTGGGTGGACGGCCTTCCCACAGCAATCAGTGCAGGTGGCGACACCGTTCTTCCGAAATACTCGCCGAGTGTTTGTGGTGCTGGTGCAAGGTTCGTGGCAGACGAGGCACTCTCCATGCTGCTCTTGGCGCAGCTGTGGTATCTCCTGCGTCCACACCCCGCGCCCGCCTGTACGTTTCTCCACGGGCTTGACGGGCTCGGGATTCTCCTTCAGGAGACCTGGAATGGACAAGGGCACCCGTTCCCAGACGTCGGGGTATTGCAGGTTTCGCACGACCGAGGCCAAGGCAGCCAAGTTCTCGACGGCAAGGAGGCATTTGGCGCCAGTTCGAAAGGGCAACGGATGGACTTTGGCTTGGTAGCCCTTGTTGTAGACGAGGTGGTGGACGCGGAACAAGCGGATGAGAACGTTGGCCAGCTGCGCTTGCCTCTTTCTCATGACTCTTGTGGCGTCTCCGTCCAGCGGGAAGGCTTCGTTCTCGACGAGAGCCTTGAGAGAAGCTTGGGCTTGACTGAAATACAGCTGGATCGAGTGGATGGTGGCTCTGTACTCGGCGACTTCATCCTTATTGAAGCGCTCCCATTCGACGATTGGGTCCATCTTGCGAACGAACTGCTGGCCGGCTTCGATCAAGAGCAACATGTCGTCAACCTGGATGAGTCTCGGATGGCGACGGATGCGGCGGTACTCGATGATGTCGTTGTCTTTCATTTCCAGCATCATGGGAGTGTCACGGGCACGTAGCTTGATTCCCTTGTACAGGAAGGCCGCCGGGTGAGGTGGTTGACAAGTCAATTCCCAGAAGCTGAACATGAGCTCTGACAGTTTGGCATTCTTGTCAAAGTCCATGGTGACAACTCCTCTACCATTGCCTTTGATTGTAAGCTGGATCCAATCGTCCTCGACAGACCCGGCGATAGCCTTTGGCATCTTGCACTTGAGAGCCTCTGGTAAGATTCTTTGGACTCTGCGAGTCGAACGCCTCAAGGTCCTTGTGAGGAGGTGAGGAGGTACGTCAGTCATGGTTGAGTTGTGGGTGCCAGCCATGGCCATTCTATGAGGACACTGAAGGTGAGGACCTGTGAAGCGAAGGAGGAGGATGGTCAGTTCTCATATGTAAGTCGAGGAGAGATTGTAATGGCTGGAGGCGAGTTGCAACATGTTCCTCCTTGTGTACATGGCTCGTGAGTTGTGAAACTCACAATGAATCAGTCCTGCAGGCACTGTCGCGCAGGCGATGCACCTTTGGTTGTTTCTCTGGCAGTCCTTTGAAATCGGCGTCGCACAAGATTGCAATGATGTTTACCAATGGTTGCGGCGAGCGTTGGGCCAGACCACCCTTTGTACCGATGTTGGTTCGAACCAAGACGCGACTGTCAGGCACAACGTGGTTCCGGGAAGGAATGCTGAGAAGGTAGAAGAGAGAGATGACTCTGAACCCAAGGACAGTAACGGTGTCCTTCTCCAGGTACCTAGTGAATGAAAGAGTCACAACCGGCGAGGCTGGACCTCTTGGGTGGCGGCCCAGATGGCGTTGCAGTTTTCCCTTCACTGACATATCCGTAGCGTGTTCAGTTGTGGTCCCGATGCAAGACAAGAGACCTTTTTCTTTGCTTGTCAACCTTGCACTGCTGCTGCATCGCTGCAGGTGCAGGCGTTTTAGATTAGGCTTTGCACAACTCCTCTTTCGCACATCCGTGGGTGCAGAAGCTCACCAGTTACATTTTGAAATCCCTGGTCGTACCAGGGATAAGAGACGCAGCAGGAAAACCGAGCCCCTGCGCTGCTTCACCTTTGGTCATCATGTCATCATCGCCACGATGAAACAATTCGGAGTCTTGTGCTGATTTCGACGAGTTACCCGCAAAGAAAGATCAAGCTGCGGAAGTACGGATGACGAGATTGACTTTTAGCCACGATGAACTCTCCGGTCAGCATAGCAGATCTCCTAGCCGTTAGCTTGAAAATTCCATCTTTGTATCAGGAGTGGCAGCATGATATAGCAAGCGAGTTGGATCTGGGTGGGTCAGGCTGAACGTACAATATGGAGGCCCCTATCTGAGCCCGATCTAGGCCCGATCGCTTTGCCTCTAGGCTCTCCGTCCAGGCTCTAGTTAGTTAGTTGAGGCAGGCAACTCAAAATACAGCCCATGTCAAAGGCCTAAGTTAGTCAGCCCATTCACCTGCCCCTGGTGTACCGACCCAACCACCCCCAACCAGTATCTGCACGACCAGTCGTTAGTTGCTTGCCACGGCCGCCCAAACCTCTCATGTCCAATCCCAACCGCCTCGCGATGGCACGACTAATAGGAAAGCATGGTACTGACGGGTCAAACAACGCCCAAATAACATGAGGAATTGATGTTAGATGGGTTTAGAGTTATTTACTAAGTTGTAGTCCTAGATAGACTTTGGTAGCGCTCCCGACTCACGACTCCTAGTTAGTTAACGACTGTGCAAGTGTATCAACTTCCAGCGCTAAGGATCTGTAAGAAGCTTCCACGATAGTGAGAGTCTGTCATCTCGCTGTGTTGAACGAAAGCTGAAACCTGCGATCACACTCCCGATGGGCTACTGGTACCTGCCGGCCTGCACCACTGCCCAGACTCACATGATCAAACTCCCGCCACAGAAAGCTCCTCCCTTTGCCGTGAAAAATCATGGCGTTGGATCAATTCCAGAACACTTCTCCCCATTTCACAGAAGGGCTTTGATTATGCCCCCAATTCATTACTTTCGAGGATATCGGTTCTTCTCATGGCTAGAAGAGGACCGCCCTGCACTCTTCTCGACATGGAGACGCGGCTTGGATACACAATTAGCTCGCTCAACTACCCTCACGATGCCTCGAACCGACTATACAGCGATCTCACAATAGTTCCAGAGAGCGCGTATGAGAGAGCCCAAAAGGAAATCGAACAGCTTGAATCCGGGGATCGCCATGACTTCCAATCTTTGTTGGGCGAGAAATTTCCCGCACTTGATGTTCCTCAGGTATGCCCTCTTGCCAGTAGACATGCAATAAATGAAGACATGCTGACGGTATCCTAGACAATTATGTGGCGTGGGGATATGGTGACATTTCGTCGCAGGAGCCATGTTGGCTTCTACGTCTTCACAGGCGATGTCCATTATAAGTTTGGGCTTGACGTCCATTTCCTGTTAACTAACGCGGAAGTTTTCGAGAGTATGATGTCCTACAAGGTAACAAACCCCATTATGAATTGTCTTACAACAGCAGACTGAGACTGATCAACAGTGCACCCCCCCTTCAACTATCGATCCAGGCCCGATTCTCGCTAGACTGCCTCCAGAGATACTCGAAAGAATATTATCACTTTCAATGCCTAAGGGTAGGTGGAATGCTGCCGACGTGGAAGATACCAAATCAGACTTGCTTCCTCTGGGGAATTTGAGTGGCTTTCATTTCCCGTTGAGCAGTCTGCCGATTCTCAAGGTTAGTAAAAGCATTCACAGCCGCGCGCTGCCCTTGGTGTATCGTGCAACCGAGTTCCAATTGGAAGATATGGATACAGTCATCAGACTTCTTATGGCCATCGGCAGCATTGAACGAGACAACATCGAATCACTTGAATTTTCCTGGCAAAGCAGAAGCGACTTTCAACTTTGGCCGCCCGGATCCTCGAAACCACCGATCGCCCATGGAAATTACCAGAGCTCCATGTGACCAAATGTATTCAGCTCCTGAAGCAATGCAAAAACCTCAAGCACCTGCGAATCTTCTTTGATACCGATCTCATCCTAGAAAACTGCCCCGAGTCGTACAACACAGATGCTGGGATCTGTGGTCTACGTTCGATACGCGGACTTGCAAGGCTCGAAGTCTATAGTTTGGAGCTCGAACCATTGGGTCAAACTAGCTTTGCTAAATGGCTCCGAGAAGCTATGCAGACTTGATATAATCATTCCGATGACCTTACAATCTTCTGTTCAACGATCTATCGAGACCTGACACGCAAGGCGATGAAAGCTCTTGGCCATTGTCGGTACATCTGGTGGAAGTTCTCGCCCCGAACCTTCCCGCGATCACGGCCGTTAGATGTCTTGGGGTCTCCATCACTTATTCGGAATCCCGCTTCTGTTTTGTGGAACGCAATGGAGGAAACTCTGTCGAACCCACTACCATTCGAACTGGGGAACAGCTCCTCCGCAACGTGACGGCAGTCACTGTGTCGCTCCTTATCTCTTCTGGCGTCTGGAGAAAAAGGAACAGATAGAGCTGCCTACACCAGGGTCTGGGGGCTCGACACAACACGTTCATCCCAAAAGATGTTTTACTGGTGGAGGTTCTAGTGAGTACTGAGGTGGCGTTCCCTTCAGACCCTTGACAGCGACATTGCTATCCACAATCATTCTACGACTCGGGAGAGATACAGGACATAATCTGTTCCGATGGAGCAAATCGAAATATTCAGTGGTGCCGGCATAAGATCAATTCTGTCAGGATGTAGCTCTGGGATAAGACTATCCAAACCTCAGCCAGACGATTATCGACCCGTTCCTCCGCCGCAACGACGGTGGCTTTCCTAGCGAGCTGAACCAGCAGCCCGACGGGTACAAACTAGGAGAACTGTAGGTACTCCTCATGCTCCAGAGTGTCCTTGTCCAGATGTTCCAACCAGCTCGCACTCAATACAGTCCTATCGTGATATCGCCGCGAACCCTCGCCGTGAGATGGACTTCAGCCTCGAGATCTAGCTTAAGACCAAGCATCAACGCAGCAGGCTTGAGGTTTCCATTCTCATCCGTCGCACCCTTGAGGAGACTCCCTATAACCGGCAACTGTCAGTAAAGGAGCAGCATGCGAAGGGGCATGGACAAGGCGTCACATACCTGCAGGCTGGCTGAGAGAATCTGATGTGGGTGGAAGAGGTAATGCCGCACCTGATCCACTGGTGGTGGCCAGCGCCTTTCGCTGACCAGCAGCTTGTCCATCATCGCTGCCGCTCGAGTATCCAATGTCAGCATTCTTGCCGTATGCGGGACTATGCCATGGTCAACAACCCAGACACCTCGAGCAGTACTGGGAGGAGTGTTTACTTACGTTGCAGCAGACATTGTGATATGGTATGTTGTGTGTGGCGGTCGTGCGTGTAATGAGGTGAGTCGGTTTGCAGTTTACGTGGTTGAACCGAGGCGATATTAATCGTTTGCCCTGAGTGGTATTAAATTGGCCTGACAGTGATTGTGTTTGTTCTTCGGCACGTTCCAGACGATTCGAAGATTTCTTGGTGGAAGGTATTGTAGTTGCTGTTCTTGTTGTTGAGTTGAAGAACGCAAGACAGATTTTCTGAAGAGATGTATCCTGCTTCTTTTATGTTTGTATCTGCCTTCGGTTGCACAGACCGACAGCCATTGAACACAGATCTTAAACAGTTCAGGAGAAGACAGATACATGCAAGCGGAGACGGGGTGCTCAGTCTGGAACGTCGCTTCATGAACGTCTAGTATCCGATCAAGCCCCTTTTCCTATCCAGAAAGGTAAAATACCTCTACCTCACAGGCTTTACCAGGCGTTGGGCGGTAGGTACGCCGTGCAGCATTACAAATACGGGGTATATGTCTGCTGATGTTCAGAGGCGTCGATGCCGACTACTAGTTAGTATCAAAGACCCCGCAAGGCTGAGGCTGCAACGGGTTCGCCTGCGCAAGGCTAGCGGAACTTCCTCCCCAGCATGAAACAAGTGGCCGAACGTTCCACAACCCCAGCCGTTGTTTCAGAGTGCAGACGAGATCTCACCACCTTTTGTGTATGAGTGACGAACATGGCGTGACCCGTATATATTCTGATTCAAGGAGTGCCTCATCCACGGTACAATACTTCATGTGCCGGTGTTGAATTTCCAAACGGAAGATGATGCAGATCCGGGGCAGACTGATCTGCTACCGGGAGCGCACCCGAGCCGCCGGGTAAAGTTCCTGGCGTGGACCCCGATTGACACCTTCCTTCATGGCACATGGCAGTGTGTGGCGTGACTTACACGGGCTCGAAACATCGAACGGTGTTCCAGTCACGGTACGGGGTACAAGAGAACTATGGGTGCCAGATGGGTTGGCTCTAGGGAGTAGCGACAGACAGACCACCGACAGCACACTCGCGCTGGGACGTCCATGCGAGAGAGGAAAAAGGGGCCAGCCCAGCCTCGCCGTCCCCTATCAGTCAATTACTTCGGCACGACTTACCCTTTACTTCGCAACCGATAGAGGGCTAGAATCCAATAAGCCGAATGCTAGTCGTACTAGGCAGAAAGTACCTGACCCAAAACATAGCGGCACCTGTTGCACCAAAAATGGTGTTGTCGATGGTTGTTGCGCTGGTGACGTGTCCTGCCATGCTGGCGACCGCCGAAGCAGTACGACAAGGACAGAGCAAAGACAAGAGAGAAGAGCACCGAGCACGAAGATGCAACCTTGTCGCGACATGCGTCAAGGCATCGAGCAGGTCTCGCGAGATTGACGGTCGCAGAGTGGTCCTGCGGAATAACAAGGTGAGCGTTCTTGGTCTGCATCGCCTCCAAAGTCTCTCACGACCCACCAACATCGGGAACTTCACTGACCTTGGAGTTCTGTCGAGTAATATCCAGGTCTATATTGACACAGTCCCCGATGACGACCAAGATCAGAACAACCATGACGAAGGATACATTGACGGCGAAGACCAGGACGAGGACGAGGAACCCTCCCATAGTACTGGTCGTGGAAACAGCCACCCCTTCGCCGGCTACTATCTCCCGTATCCGGACTCGGGCTATGAAGGTCTCGTATCGACTATATCCGACAACCCGCCCATGTTGAACTGGATATACGTCGACAAGAAGACCTACGAAGTCAAGTACGGCCTGAGAGTGGATGCGCAGCCGAACATCACGGGCCCCTTCGATTGCACGCGGCAGGACAGGAGGATGACGTTGCAAGGGTGGGAAGGATTTGTCGCCGTAGAGGAACAAGAATCGCCCGGCGTCTGGGCCCTGTACTTTGACGGTGACGATGACGGGCTGAAGAGCAAGGTCCCTCGAGGTACACGAGTGCTGGAGATCGAGTTGTGGAGGAGAGAAAAGAGGTGGAAGAAGGATCCAGTTGTCCGACAGCAGGAGCAGGCACAAGCGAAGACCACGGCCTAGACTGAAGCGATACCTAATGGACCACCGGATGACTTGGGATAGTTGCGGAGAGGCAACCGATAGCGTGTGCATGTGTTCCATTGGGGCGCTTCCCCTGGATTCTGTGGCAGTCTCTATCATAGCTCTCGTGAATTGCGTCGGTCTCACGCTACCAAAGTAGGTGTTGGCACATGATGAGTTGAAGTCTGAATGACTACCTAGGTATGAAAAAGGCGCTGAGGCCAGCCGTACGTTCTGTACGAGCCCGCAATATCCCGTAGGCAATGTCTCGGTGCACTCTAGCACCCTATCCTTTTCTCCCGCTTCTTTTCAGTCTGACTTCGTTCGGTAATACATCAAGTTTGGCATCGACACAGGCTCTGGGTTCTGCGTCACGCCTGTTTTTTGGTTGCGGTACAGTTGCGGGGGACGCTGACTTAGATGCCTTCCCCTCCAGTTCCCATTCGATGTAGATATTCGGCCTCCTCAAGGTACTCGCAGAGACGCTTGACGGGGTTGAAGCGAGAGAGAGACCTGGTAAAGACCATCGGACGTTCCAGGCGGCCTAGGAAAAGCGAGATCCTCCAGCGAGAGACGCAGAGCTCCCTCATCTCGGTTTCTCTCGCCATCCGCGCCGCGCATTTCCACAATATCGCGTACAGTTCCATGGACTGTTCCCCCGTCGTCGTGTCTATGACTCCGTGTCAGCATTGAGCTCGTCTTCGATCTCTGGCAAAGAGGTCACGTACCCCAGACTGTGGACATCGAACTCATTTTTCATAACACGCGCTTCAAAATCTTGAGAGTCTTGAGGACTGAAGGGGGAATCCTGGCCACTCCACTGGTGTGGGATCAACTCCTGTCCTTGAATGAACTGACCTCGTCGATGACATGTGAGAGTTCGGGTGAAATGTCTTCCAGTGCAGTTGGCGGCGGTGACAAGTGGCGCATGACTGGTGACTTCGATGACCCGTCACGGATCAAGCTAGACTCTTGCGTGGAGTCTTGCGAGGAGGATTTCATTGTCCCCTCAGAGCCTGAGGCGCGACTTTTGTCTTTGGTCGGAGAACTCATGGTGTAAGACGTGCTGACTGGCGAGGTGGTGGGTTTGGGTCTTGTTGTCACATTGAACACGACAGTAGTAGTGTACGCGAGCGAGAACATGTACATATCTATCGCCAAATTCACAATGGCGAGTGGCGGATATGCATAATTCACTGACAGACTCGGTGAATGCGGCCACGTGGTCCGCAATTCTGGTGGGCCGATCGACTGTGAAGTACCTAGTACCTATATGTTAAGTAGGTTTGACATCTCTTTGTGTATGGCCGTTCAGCAAGGCAAAGCACTTTCAAAAGGAGGCATTATGTGATGAGGATATGGCGCCTTGAAGTGATTTGTCTTGAAGTTTTTTGAGGTCTGAACCTTCCACAGAGCATGCCAAGAGACAAGTTACTGATACATGCCTCCTCCAACATCGATCCTCGAGGTTGTCCCTCGAATCAACGAATCTCCGAGCCTGTACTGACTCTCCCTGAAATATCGATTCATGGCTCCCATGTATATTGGGTTCCTCAAATACGTCGACGACGATGACGTTGTCGACGTGCTCGAGTACCCGGTGATGGCTGAATCGATTGTCCGCGACGACATATCGGAAAACATCGAGATTGAGCTATCGCGGGATCTCGATGTCGATTGTGAGACTTCGGCGTTGTGCACGTCATTGTCAATTTGTGGGTGCTGGTGGAAGCACCCGCACGTCCCAGGCATAGTCGACGTGTCGGAGGTAGCACACTCATGTGTCTCCTCCTGCTCCTTGATGATCGGCTCCGTCTGGACGCAGGCATTGGTATACAATGGCCGTCTACGGATTGGCGACTGAACAAGTTCGCCCGACTCGACTACTGATTGAGCTTGGACCTCTGGCCACGTCGTCAGTTGTCTCCCAGATGTGCTATCGTGGCTCCTGTGCCGATCGTGAGAGCTCCTAAAAGACAAGATGCCTGTGGTTGCAATACTGCGTGGCCTCACCTTTTTGCGGGCCTGCTGCAGCTGTCTCCGCTGCGTGGGAAGATTGAGGTCGTCGTTATCTGTCACCGTCGCGTTTTCAAAGTGTGAAAAGGAGAAGGTATGTGACTTTCTGCGCAGTCTTCCTCTTGCCACTGCCGAGGCCGGGGTTGCGATTTCGTCTGAGTAGCTGCTTAGGCCCGCGCCTATGGAGTGAAGGGTGTCCCGAAGTTCGGTATTGATATGGGAGATCCGATCGTACTTGTCAAAGGCGAAGAACTCGTCATTGTGGCCCAGAGATACCTGCAGAGTCTCCAGGTGTCTTGTGGTCCCGTCGAAGGGGAAAAGCCAGCGTTCGAGGGCTAGTGGGAGACCGTGTCTTTCTGGTAACCCGCACAAAATGCAACATGTAAGTAGATGCAGAGTGCACAAGGCGGAACCTAGGGAGGAAAGAGGGTGGGAGGTAGAAAACATAGAAGAAGGACCGGCATGGGTCAATGGGTGTTGGTTACTGTACCTTGTCGGTATTGGCCTTGCTTGTCTTGCCAGCAGATGTAGTATCTGTCAAAGGCGCCGAATGCGTACACTAGGATCTTGCCCTCGCTTTCTAATTGTGCTAGGAGATGGTGCAGTCTTATATCCGACTCGACACTTGCGGGCCTAGGAGAGAGCTTGGTCGTAAATCTGCCATCGTAGGACCGGGTTAGCACTGAGTTCTGTGTCTTGTCTCATTCTACCTTGCCTGCCAAACCTTTTGCGAAAGAGTAAGGCTTGCCGAATCTCAGCGGCAGAGGGAATGCATACGACTAAGAATCATGATCCTCGGAGGTATTGTGGTTGAGCGGCACGTACCTTTCGTCATATCCGGGATCCGGGCTCGGTGAGGGGGTTGGATAAGTTGATATCATTGCCGTCGACATGTGTAGGTAGTTACTGTCAGAGCATTTGCGTTATAAACCTCTTGCAGTTGTCGGTACTCGGGTCCGGGTATGGTCAGAAACACTGAGAGAAACAATGTCGGAGGCAACATGAATATCTCTCTGTCGCTCTGGGGTTGCGAATCACAGATGCAAGATTGAAGCTTCATACATAAGCCCCGAGCAATGGCAGAGACGTAACTATGCCAGGAGTGGATGTTCTCGATTCTTGTGTTTGTTGTGGGCCATTGCTCTGCGGTTACAAAGTACCCCTGCTTTCTCGGGTCAGGCCACTCGACATATGACGGGTTGTTATGAAGCATCGGACGTTGCAGATTGATCCCGACAGAGAAATCACCTACGCCCAACACATAAGCCCAGGATTCTTCTCGAAACTCGTGCAGCTTCGAGAACAATGTGCGTTTGTAAGATGGGAACTAACCAAGTAGTTGGTATCGTCGAAGGGTGAACGATCCCTGACTTGTTATACGCATTTACTGTACGCTAATACTGCTTGCTAGTGGCTTAGGCGCAAGCCGAGGTCTGACTGGGACAGTATTCTGAATACATGACGGGCTCCTGTCTATTAGAATCCCTTAGAATGCGTGTGAGCATCTGCTGACAGCTCCGGGCTCGCCTTCATACATCATATAGTGATGCTCAAGTCGTACTGACAGGTGTTCTGACTTCTTGAAGTCGCCATTTTCTGACATGGTGAGATACCTTCCTTAGCGGCAGCAGCAGCAGCAACAAGAACAACAACAGCCGCACGATTGTTCCCCTAATTGCTGGAACCAGGGCCATCGCCTCATCATCTCATGTACATACCAGGACCTCTGCTCTGGTAGGGGTACTCGTACTGTTCCAACGCATCTTCGTTCTCGTAATAATCAATCATAAATCTGCTCATGTCATGATGCTTCCACCAGCCCATACGAAACTTCATTGCTTCAAAAATGCCGATTGTCTTCAACTCCTTGTCTCTCCACCACTCGCTACCAGGCGGCATGGCTTCGAGGATGCGGCTACCCGCCAAGAGACTTGCCACAGCGGCAATGCTGTACGGATTCTTCGGCATAACCTTGTGTGTATCGACAAACAGCATGCTAGACAGGGCGCAGACGACCATGGTTGCGAAAATTGCCTCGAGGACGCGTGTGGCAATCATGTTCTGCTTGATTCGCGGTTGCGTGGGGTTGAGCAATATTGCCGCCACCGGTGCCTGCCCAGGATCGTCCCCAGACGGCTTTGTATTGACCTCGGTTGCGTACGTATTGATTAGCTGTGGCACAACGATGCCGTACAGACGAGACATTTCCCTGCTGAGAGTTGACGCATCCATTAATTCGGCAGTGGACAAATGCGTCAGGTTTGAAAGCTTGGGGAGCCAGTCGAAGCCACCTTGTTGACTGAGAAGGATCACCTGGAACTCTTCAATGCCGGGAAAGACATCGCCGCCCCGGGTTGAGTTGAAGTAGCCATCGTACAAAACCGTCTCGGAACCAGGCACTGCCTGTGGTGGACTGTTCACGTCGAATTGCCACGAAGGATAGTCTAGCAGGACATCAACGTCGAGAAGTTCGATGCGCGGCCGGCATTGTAGTACAGTTGCTTTGGTGCTGTTGCCACTATCAATCTCTGCCAGCATGAAGACAATGGTTGGACAGTCCGGCCTTGACGTAAGGTCCACTGTACCCACGCTGGCGTTATTCCCCGTCTGATTGTAGAATTCAAAGTCATACGATGGCCGCTGTCTGTCGTAGTTCTGGAACGACAAAGCTTCCGGATATCCACAATTATCCTCCTGAGAACCGAACTGGAAACCATCGAAAGAAAACACATCATTAGCAAAGGAGGAGGTACCAGACGTGTGGTTGCAGTTCAGGTTACCTTGCAACGCCGGAACACGACTTCGGACCTGTCTCTTGGTCAAATTCGCTGTGACTTTTGTGCCGGATTGCAAATCAAAGTGAGGAAACACAAAGCGCTCATACGTCCACTGTGGATACGAGAGATTGAAGTTTTCAATGAGGCCGCCAGTCAGAGCCTGCTGCCCAGCGTAGAGGTTGATGCCCAAAAGGCTGTCTCTGATCTCGATCCCAGGGTACCAGTCTGGGGTGTAGTATATGCCACTGGATGGGTCGCTGATGTTCCAGCGGCTTTGTTGCACCAGATTGACCGATTGAGTCGTCGTTGTGTCGAAGGATGTGAACAAGCTAGACACTGTAATGGATAGCACCGGCGCTATGAGAACTGCAAAAGTGGACGATATGACGGCCCAATGTTTACGTTTGAGCGCGGAAAGAAACGCCAGAATCGGGATTCGTCGATGATGGTTTTGAAAGATGCTTCCTTCTGCATCGGCGTTCCCTCTAGCCAGGAGGTGGTACTGTTGAGCGGTGCGAGCGGTGAAGTCCAGCATGTCATAGATGGTCCGGACCACAAACACAAGGAGCGCTGGCACGTAGATGAAAGTGTAGTACATGACGCTTTCTGTGCTTGTGCTTGCCAGGCCGTCATTTTTGGCTGAAACCTGATAAAGGAGTTCCAGGCCGCCGATGAATATGATGGGAGCCAGGATTGTAAGAGCGCGTAGTGGCCATCTCGCCGTTACTGGTCGCCACCAAGCGACATCGCGCTGCCCGCAAAGCAACGCTGTGCTGTGTGGCTCAACTGCCGTAGCCTCGCATTCGATAGAAAAGCGGGTTCCAGTTTGCGTCTCGGTTCGGAACCAGTGGCCACTTAGCAGTTTCTCAAGCTGCTCGACCGAGTACGCGCCAGAGTCGCGAAGGAGAGTATTCAAATTTGTGCTCGGAGCCAGGATCGTGCTGAGCCCGGCAATTGTTACCGGATCCCGAGGACAGACATCGCGGATATCGGACCAAATCAGACAACCTGAGATAAAGCACAGAAGTACCAATGTGACTTGAGTTGCAATGAACGACAGTGTCCGGATGGAGAGTCGTGATTGTCGCGATGAAACACTGCCTTCAGCGACTGAATCAGATGGCGTCAGGATGTTGTCCTTTGCCACCTGGGCCATCATTACCGGTAATGTGTTCTGAGCCTGCTGGGCAAGATAGTCTGGGTCAAAGAATAAGGAATGATCTCCATCCCACCCAGGATCGATCAAGTAGGCCGTGTCTAACTGGCCTCCGTTCCCGTTGTAGAAAGCCTTGTAAGCCCGCAGGAACAACCTTTGGGCAATATTGTTATCTATTGTCGTGATGTTGGTGGGATCCCCGAGCTCGGTCTGCGCCGGAGGCGCAGACGCATCCAATCCTGGCTGGAAGACCACTCTTCCCTGGTGAAGCATGTGTGAAGGTTTGCATATGAGCGGTTGGAAATCGACAGTATCAAATGTTGGGTTGATCAGAACAGTACGGTCACCTCCGGGTTTACGATTACCACCGTACATCATGAGTCGCCAGTCGTAGGAATATCGATTGGAGATGGTGCTCGCCTCCAGGAGAGCCACTGCACCCTGGTCACGGCAAGAACAGCACCCTGGGCTGTTCCAGAGGAAGTAGCCATCACCCTCTTGGGTGAAATTCATGTTCGTCCACCAGCTGGCATTCTTGCAGGTGGCACTTTCAATTTGCATGGTGTCATTCCAGGTATTTCCGGGGCTGCTAGGGTCGTATGGCAACAATTTCGCAGATTCGCAGGTCATCGTTAGCGACAACACCTTCACGTCGACTGTAGACGTCACGTTGGTAGAGTTGTCGACATTCACCGTTTCATATACAAGGTTGTTTAGGGTCCCGACGGGGCTCGAGAGGTTCTGGGAGACGATACCTACGCTGACGAAATACGAATCGGCAGGCGCAGTCTGCTGGAAGGCGTCGGTGAAGGATGAGTCGTCGAGAGTAGAGGCCAGGGTGAAGGTCGCCGAGCTCTCAGTTATGATGTCCTGTTTCACGAAGAGACCTGTGGATAGCACAATGAGCACTTTGACTAGAAGTGTTCCCAGAACCACAATCGAGACGACCCAGTGCTTTCGCTTGGCTGCTGTAAACATGGCTGCGACATTCCACATGGAAACATAATCGAGTAGGACACTTTCGTGGGCTGATGCGTGACCTTTGGCCATGATTATCCATGGCATCATTTGCATCGTTCGAAATTCGACCTGGGTCCAAAAGGCTGCAATGGCGATGAAAACAATCGTCGGGCCAAATACCCACAGGTAAGATAGATCCTCTCGAACCTCGACTATACCATTGTCCTTCTTTGCGACGTAGAAGAGCACCGCAAGCGCGACAGCCACGAGGAGAAATGCCGACAAGAACAGCGACAGAATGGATCGTCGGAGGAAAAGAGGTGTCCATCGCCGCGGGGCCCATGGCGGAGATTCTCGTCGCCGGACTGTAGGAATTCGTAGTTCGTCGTCGATATTATCGTGCGAGGTCAACTTGGTGTGTTCGAAGACGGCGGGGTTCTTCCCCGTGAGCCGCGATAGGAGCGACATCTCGATTTGAAGATCTGAATTCTCGCTCTTGTTGTTCTTCGGAGCTCAGGGAGACTCTCCTGAGTGCTCTCTCGATCTCTGCCTCAGGCGCCAAAGTGCCGCGCCCCCAACGGCCCAGGAAGTCTTAGGTTGAGAAAATGTCATTGCGCGTAGTCGAGGGTTCTTTCGTGGTATAATGCAACGAGAGGCCATATTGTCAGCCCCCAGAGACAGCACAGGCCGCGGAAGAAGATGAAACTCGTGCCGCCTTCGTACGTTTCAGACTGCGGCCACCGCTGACCAGGGAGATTGTCTGAGGCGGCTGAACTCTGGCTTATAGTGAGGGTGAGCCTACTGGCGGATGGTTTGCGGCCCCCAGTTCAGCACCAAGTTGATGCCACACCGACTGCGGCTTTTTGGATAAATGTACCATGCCACCCAGGTTTGCCTCACTAAGCACTCCTCCACCAATCACACTTGAAGTAAGTCACTCCCCAAAAAGGTATAGTGTCCCAATACCTTCCCGGCGAGGAGCACCCTCGTCTGAGCTCTCACCTCAAGCCAACCTATGTCTGGAACATCCTGTCGCCCCTGAGTACTCTGCAAGCTCCGACAGGGCTATCCACGACGTCTTCCATCATGTCAACGACGCTGCCGTGGAAAGCACTGGATCAGCATCAGAATTGACTGTTCCACAGTCTGGAAAGCACACAGAGATCCAGTCAATTCAGGAGGGCTACAATCCCCGCCAGGTCGGCCGTGTCGAGATCGACACGTTGAACGCCATTCACGCCAGGTCTATCGAATGCGAAATTGGCGTGTCCAGTGTTCTCATCGGTGCCTCCGCCCGCTTATTCGCCTGGGATCAACCCATACGCCACTCTGTCCGTCGGCATGGCTGTTGACAACTTGGTGTCAAAAGAACCATGTGCCGACCTATTCCGCTCGACATCCCTCGAAACCTACAGGCACTTGTGGTCAAGGCACGAGTAAAGCTGAGCCGTTATGGCTGCCTCCAATGCAACCCCTTTTGCTGGTCTCGCTTTGTGGAGCAGCATCCTGGGGACTCTTCCGATAGACACACTCTCCCAGCGACATTAGCTGACGACTTATTTGGCAGACTTGACGAAGTGGGCCATGGGTCAACTGCAGCTGTCATGGTCGACTTCTGCAATCCATGTCTGGTATCCCGGTTCTCCAATGAAGCGCCATCAAACCGTTGTCCTGCGGCAGAGGCCAATATTCATGTGAGCAGTTTTAGTATGACCATGGTTTCATGAGTCGCGAAGCGAAACCACGAGACCTTTCTTAACAACCACCTCGTTGGGAGCAGACAAACACTCGGCAGATTGTAAGTCTTTCTTGTAAACTCCTTTGGAATGGCATTTTGTTTGTGACCATACCTGCGTTTCGCCTCGATCTGAGAGGTTTTTAGACGGATTGCAGGAACGGTCACTATTCCAGACCAAATAGGATGAGCGGGTGAGTCTGACTTGGACAGCTGTGAAGTAACAAGGATTGAAAAACTTCGCCACGAATTGAAGCTTTTCTCGGCGTAGCACGAGGTCCTTAACCCTTTTCCTTGAGCGAGTGCGCGGCGTCTTCTCAGATAGACCAGATAGATTGGAGAGAGACAGGACCGTCAGAGGACTTCTAGAGGCTAGTAAAGGCTGTGACGTTTGTGGAGGAGGGGAGTAATAGGACTCGTGAAGTACTCCGCAGAGGCGGGAACTCGAGCCGCCAACAGAAGAATATCTTCCCTCATCATGATTATCGACAGTATACCCCCTGAGCGACGAGAGGTCGACCTACTAGATGGAGATATCTTATTATATTTCTGAACCCCGAATGGCCGAATTGACGAGTCGACCGAGTGCGCCATCATTCAATCAACCATGAATGAAACCGCACGAGTACGAGGACTGTAAAGGTTGAACGATGGTTTCGAATTGGATACGGGGGTATTGTCAATTGAGAGAGGAGGATAGCGATTACCCTGCCCATATCCCCCTGAAGCGCTCACTCCGAGATGTCTGCAGGCAGCTCGCCGACTACCGGTTACAGGTACACGATGTACATCAACCGTCCAGTATCGTAGGTCCATTACACAACAGCGAGGACATATTGTACGAGTGTTTGTGGTTAGGTTGTTACCTGGTAAGTATTGTACGCGGAAGCCCGGCCCAATCACAGCTCGGGTCTACTTCGGCAAAAGAAAGGCGGTGAGACAAGATTCTGCCGGACCAAAAAATAATTCCATGCGCACTCGAAGTTTTGCCCGAGAGCGAAAGAAGACGCAACTTGCCTCGCAGGCAGCACAACCGTCACCATGTCTTTGGAGGAGAAGTTACTGAAAATCAAGTCGCCGAATCTTCAGAGTCAACACCATGTCAGTCCAACCAACCCGAGGACCAGAAACGAGTGATGCTAACAGGCGTAGACTGCGGTAGTCCTTTCGTCCATCGAAGAAACGCTGTCGGAGCAGAAGACCAAATTTACACCCACAGCATATTTTGCTGCCCTTCTCGCACTCTTGAAGCAGTCTCCTTCGGGAGCGTCTCAGGACAACAACAATGACATCCTTGCTTCCACCGTCTATCTCCTCGACCTGGTAACTTCCTATGTGTCGGCGAGTCTGCTACGCAACCAGTTCAATACCATCATATCCCTCCTTGCGCCCTCCCTAAGCCCCTCGACTGCGAATGCATCCCTCCTCCGATCCGCAATTGGGTGTCTGGAATCTCTTTTGGCGGCACAAGACTCGGCCGCATGGAAGTTGCCACAAACCGAGGCCAGCCCGCGACAGGCTGTGCTGGTTCTCCTCACACTGGCGATCGATCCCCGACCCAAGATTAGAAAGAGAGCTGGCGAAGCGTTGACGAAAGTGTTGAAGAACCCCCCTCCAGGCCCTGCAATCGATCACCCAGCCGCAGAACTGTGCGCGGTAGCGGCACAAAACAACCTGAAAAATGCAGTCGAGTCAGCGGATCAAACCAAACGCCAAAAAGGGAAAGCGGATGACAGCAATGAGCCTGCCGTCATACATGCGCTTCAACTGACCAAGTTGGTTGCTGTGGCTTCGGGTGGGTGGCCAAGTAAGAAGATCGAGTCTCTATGCGAACTGTTGCTGGCAATCTCTCGCTCGAGAAACGACTTCCTCGTCATGGGCGCATTTGAAGTGTTCGAAATCATTTTTGATGGTATGCAGGACGAGGTTTCATCATCCAAATTGCCCCGCCTATTGGATGCAATTATCGCATTAAAGCCGGCTCAGAACGACTCGCAGTTGATCCCCCCGTGGATAGCCATTGTATCTCGCGGGTTCGGCGCAGCGGCAGCGGTCGAACCCGAAGACATGTTTGCCAGATTACCCGAACTTTTCGACATGATTGCTGCTTTCTTGACAAGTCCTGCGCATAACATCAGAATTTCCGCCTCGGAATGTTTGATTTCTTTCTTCGCCAACTGTGGGCCTGGCAGTAGGCTCTCGGGCCCGTCGAGACACGAAGGAGAGTTGATGGACCAAATTGCTCAAAAGGCTCTTGGTCTGCTGGCTGTCAGATATCAAAGTGCGTGGTTGGAAGTCTTCAATGTGCTGACAGCACTGTTTGATTCTCTCCGATGGCGTGGCGACCTATCTCTTCTTCCCATTGTGGGGGCCATTGGCGAGTTGAGAAGCAATGAAGCGTTTCAAGGCAAGAAGGAGGCAGACGAGGTTCTCGGCCACGCGATCCGGAACCTCGGTCCTGGCACTGTTCTCAGCATTCTTCCACACAATCTGATCAAGCCCAAGCCAGGCCAGCCTGGTCGAGCATGGCTTCTTCCACTGCTCCGAGACTACGTATCCAACACGGAACTTGCCCACTTCAAGTCAGAAATGGTTCCACTCAGTGAAGCCATGTATCAACGAATCCTCGATCATGGAAACGCCGAGAAGACAGTGGATATCAAGATTTTCGAAACGATTGTACAGCAGATATGGGCGACCTTTCCAGGCTATTGCGATCTGCCAGTGGATCTAGAATCAGCTGTGGATCAGCCGTTTGCCGAAATGGTCTCTAATCTGTTGTATCAGCAAACGGACCTTCGAGTCGATATCTGTAGAGGACTACAAAACTTGGTCGAGTCAAACCAGGCGCTTCTCGCATCAGATCTGAATCATGACGAGATGTTTTCGGAACGGGGTATGAACAAGGGCGATGCCGAATCTAACATTCAGCATCTCGCCGCGCTTGCCAACAACCTGCTTGCGGTTCTTTTCAACGTGTATAGCCAAACACTTCCTCAGTCGCGAGCCTACATCTTGCAGTGCATAAACGCATACCTCAGTATTACCCCGGAGAAGGATCTGATCGACACTTTCGAGCGTGTGTCAACAATGCTCGAAGATGCACTTCCTAGACCCGATCAACCCGCTCCCAAGAAAGAACCCAGCCAGGCATCAACTACCAAGTTACCACCGACGTCCCACACTCTTCTCGACCTTGTTATAGCACTCTCTGTCCATCTCCCCCGTTCGACGTTCGCGTCACTCTTCTCCATATCTTCAAACATCCTTACGAACCCTGCGATCTTGAAGTCGGATCCTCAGCTCATCAAGAAGGCTTACAAGCTCATCCCGCGCTTGTCCACTTCAGCAATTGGTGTTGAGGCCCTGACATCGCGGAACGCGGAGCTCCAATCCCTGATCTTACGGACCTCCGAAATGACTCCCGTGCCTGCGCGCAGGGACCGAATCCTTGCCATCCAAACTCTCATCTCTTTCCTCCCCCTTTCAGATTTGCACTTCATACCCAGCATTCTGAGCGAAGTTGTGCTCGCGTGCAAGGACTCAAATGAAAGAGCTCGAACCGCAGGATTTGACCTCCTCATCGCAGTCACCAACAAGATCTCCGATCCCGCTAATCCATCGGGGACAGTCATACGAAATAGCCTTGTTGCACATATGCCAGATGATTCTCCAGATGCTCCGGCCACGTTAGAGGAAGTTTTCACCATGGTAAGCGCGGGTCTCGCAGGAGTTGCACCCCACATGGTCGCTGCAAGTATTATTGCTTTGAGCAGACTACTATGGGAGTATCACGCGAGGCTGGGAGACCAGACGAAAGAAGAGCTCGTCGACACGGTGACCATGTTCCTGCAAAGCAACAACCGAGAGATTGTGCGTGCTGTGTTGGGGTTTGTCAAAGTCATGGTCGTTGTGTTACCAGTGCCGATGCTCGAGCCTCGCATGCCGAGCATAGTCCCCGGACTAATGGTCTGGAGTAAAGAGAACAAGGGCAGACTGAGAGCGAAGGTAAAAGGGATCTTGGATCGGTGTATGAGACGCTTCGACTCTAGCAAAGTCGAGAGTTGGGTCGGTGGCGACGATAGAAAGATGGTGGTCAACATCCGGAAACGACGCGAGCGGGCACAAAAGAAGAACAAGAAGCGCGATGATGGCGACGAGGAGGCGGAGGCCGACGAAGGACGGGAGAGGTATGATAACGAATTTGATGAGGCCGTCTATGGATCCGAGGACGATGACTCGGAGATCGAAGGCGGTGATGATCAGAGCGACGATGATGACGATACGATGGCCAATGGCGTGCCATTCAAGAAGACAAAGGGTAAATCGCGGTCTCAGCAATTCATAAGACAGGACGACGAGGATGACGAGCCCCTGGACTTGCTTGATCCGAAGAGCATGGCCAACATTTCGAGTAAGAAACTAGGTCGACTTCGGGATGGTCAGCCTGGCTCAAGAAAGACAAAGGCCAAATTCAACGAAGACGGAAAGCTCGTGCTCGGGGGCGACAACGATGACGATGACGACGACATTGACATGGCCAATACCGACGGCCAGGGCCAGGACACTTCGATCAATGCCTACCTGGATGCCGTTTCTGGTGTGGATGCGGTCCGACGGGGACAAAAGGGAAGACTGAAGGTTAAGAGTGGCATGCAAAAGAAGGCCAAACAAGAGACCAGGGATAGGGACGGTGAGATGGACCTTGACGTTGACGAGGCACGGGAAGTGGCGAGAAAGATCATGCAAGGCTCCGGCGGAAGTCCACGAAGCCCAGGGGCAGGAAGTGCCAGAAACGATCCCAAGCATCAGCGGCGAGGACTCGGTGTGGAGAAGAAGAAGATGACGAGCAAGGGGCCATCATCGACACAGAAGCAAAAGTTCCGAGGGGGACACGGTGTCGGAAAGAGAGGAAGGGGTACTAGTCATGCCAGATGATAAGAAGAATGGTTCCTTTCAGGAAATCAAATACAAGAGATGCTTTGATTGAATTACAGCCATGTGTTCAAAGTCGAATCTTCATCCAGGATGCCCTCGATCCCGTCCCGTTTTACATGGTGTACAGAAGTAAACATTGCTGTACATTTAGCTAGTGGAAGTGCGAGGTCACCAACCTAGTAAGGTAAATCATGATGGTGTGCGTCGAGACATACGAGGGACGTACTGTGAGGTACCTAGGTGGGTAGGTACGGTACATTTTCTGCTGGGTCAGCAGCAGCTTCTGGGGGGATCCTGGAATGATCGTGTTGAGTGGAATGGAGGGAGGTAGGGGTGGGAGCCAGGGGGGAGAGGGAGGTACCGTAGGGAGGGAGTAGAACCTCAATGACCGATTGGCCGTGGCCCTCCCCTCCCTCCCACCAAAGCTTTTCCTGTACGCGTTTGAGAAAACGACGGATAACTTTTGAGACATCCGATGCTGATTTTGGATCAGGAGGGAGGGGGGGGGGATGTGCGTGTGTGTGTGTGTGTGTGATGTGCGCGCGTGTGCGTGCGTACGGGGTACAAGTACCAGGTATATCCCACCACCCAACGACAACGACGACGTGACGCGCGACACGAGCCGACACACACACACACACACACACACCTCTGGTCTCGTCGTCCTTTTCTTTTGAAAGTCTTTTCTTTTCTTTTTGTTCACCTTTTCTTTCGTTCCGTTTCGCCTTACCTTTCTACTTTTATCAGATGATACAATCTGTATCATCTCGAACACTGATTGGTCATACTAGTTAGTAGAGGTGGTTCTTTTCTGTTCGACCTCCAATACTGAGTGTTACCCTAGTTAGTATTGGAGACAGACATGCCCCTTTCCCAGGCATCTTCTGGTCACTACTACAACAACAACACAGACAAGTGAGTATCATACACGCTGATAATGTCCATCCCGTTTAAACCCTCTGTGGGCACAATACATTGTCATTGTTGTGAGTATTGTGTTTTACAGCAACTGGGGCTCAATCACCGGGATACCAGCCATCCATTCAGAGGTCGCGCGAACCAAGAACTTAACCTACAATCGAGATTCCCAGGGTCAGTGCCGAAAGAACTCTGCATCGATATCGAAGCATCATCAGAAGGATACTCCCTGACCGACATGGAACTACCCTTTTTGAAACTATTCGGACCCAACTGGTTTCGCAGTCCCATTAATGTACTAAATAAATGCCCCGGGACGCTACCCGAGGTAGTACCTGAGTAAGTATACGGTACAAGAAGCAAGAATGAAGACAATGATGAGGCCGTCGTATCATGCAATGCAGCCCAAACAATCTCTTCGACTTCCTCCCGAGTTATTACTCGACCGAGCCAACAACAACCCAGTCCGATGTCTCACTTGGTAACTGCATGCATTTCGCATTCATGCAGACCCTGAGGGGCCCAGCTTTACCTTGCACAAATCAATCTCAAGTCATTTCATTCATAAAGCCCAATCCTATGCGGTGAGAAAGGTGCTCCACAGTTAACGCCTTCGCAAATAGCACGACATGGAATGGTAAGTCGACCGATCATATATGGAAAATGGCACCAAAGAAATCAGTGCTCGCTTGCTGAAAACAAACATCTTCGGGTCTTTTCGAAAGCCCACCGTGCTCTCTCCAGATCAGCGAGAGTAACTTTGAGCACGACCCATGGTTCGAGTGGCGTCGAGTCGACGTCTCTCAGCCCTCCTCCCAGCGTTCACCGTGAATGCCTCGTTCTGATAACCCGCTGACCGGGTAACGTATGCCCTGACCGCGGGTGGCGGCGAGGCTGAAGGTGCCTGAGGTATGTCGGGAAGATACATGAACTGCCTTCTCGGTCTCACGCCCCCAGGAATCTGGAAGGGCACCGGACCCATCTGTGTTCGCTTGTACTGTATCTCATTGATGATCTTTTTGCAGAACATCCACTTCATGAGAACGAAGTCCGGCCTTACCGTGGCAAGTTGCTGACCCTTTCGGAAATGGTCATGAACCATGTGCGACAGCATGTTGTTCCAGGCGAGCGCCGGGTCGTCCTCTTGCCTCTGGAAATATTTATTGTCGCAGAGGAAACATGCTGCAAACGTGGGCAGCTCGTGTCCTCGGAAGTGTGAGAAAACGTGCATCTTGAAGGGGACTATGTCTGCAAAGACTTCGGAACAGTCAAGGATCTGAAAAGGACAAAACAAATCCGCATCCTCCTGGTATCGGCGGGGCAGTGTCAAGGTCCCGTCCTGGGACTCCTCCAGCAGATATCCGTCGCCCAGGATGCTGCTGGCCATACTGGTATCTAGACTAGCGTCCGACGAAGAAGAGGCCGAAGATGCCGGACGGGTCAGTGGTGGCACCGGGTCGCTGGCGCTCGTCGAGGCTGCAGATAGGGCATCGTCGTGGTCTGCAACTGACACCGCCGAGGGTGATCTAATGGCCGTTTTTCTTGAGGACATGGAGGTTTCGCGACAGGGTTCTGCGTGGAAGGTTTTTATTATCAACTCTACGAATGCCCATCAATCCGCCGAGGTCGCTTTCAGACTGTCATCGGGATTCGTTGGACTTGGAATTGGGATCGGACGACAGGAGGCATGTGGTGTGGCCATTACTGCTTGTATGTCAATTCCAATAACCCTCAAACGAAAACGATCAAAGGGAGGCAACACGCACAGGTCACATAATCATTTGAGAGGTGGCGAGTATCTCGGTCGTCGATTCTGGTGAAACTTTCTTTATCTCTCGGACCGATAAGGGAAGATTTTGGCGAAGCCCGAAGATGCGGGGTCTGGCTTCAGTCGTTCAACTGCCTCGTTCAAGTTCCGATGGTGTTTCTTACTCCCGTCCAGCCCTGAATGTCGCCCAAGGCACGATATCTGGGAGATAATTGCGGATGGTGTCCAGAATGTCGCTCTTCCCTGCGACCTTTGTTGAAAATGTGCGCAGGCGACGGCTGACTGTCGCCATCTGCTGCTCCACGAGCCCGGAGCCTCACAATGGGTCTGGTGCAATTTGGGAGCTGCAGTAGAGACTCCCCCGCTGGAGAGATATGCACCTGTCAGATGCTGCCAACGCATCCAGCCTGCATAACCGATAGCCGGAATTGACTGGCGCATGAACATGTGTCATGTTCATGAACAACGGACGGCACATGTGGCTGGTGATTCGCCACGGGTTCAACAGCAGCAAGTCAATGATATTGCTGCATGCAAAACGAAAAGCAGTCGTTCTACTCCGCCGCTATCAGCCTGCACCCGTGGTGAGGTGAGAGTCCAAAGAACTCAACATGTTCAACAGGTGTACGGGTGCCGCAAAGGCAACCTCGCTCAGCGACCGAGACAGATTTCATCACTGTAGCATGATAGGATGATTTTCTATCTAGTCGAAAATGTGAGGTGTGGAATAACGTATACCAAGTTCCCCTGGCAGTGCGCCGTGGCAGGCGCATACATCTGGCTGGCAAGTGCAACACGACCAGTCGGGCAGGCTTCCGTCTCAATCAGCACTGGTCAGTATGCACTCTGTAACTAGGACAGCTTTTGATATTCTAATGGCTCGACAAAATGGACAACTCGGTGACTGGTGGATAAAGGTGCAATCTCAAGCCAGAAACACCTTGGTGCTTTCGTCTGCTTCCAGCATGACCTGGCTTACTTCAGCCCACACCTTCTCTCCAAACTCCGTCGCCTGTTGACTTGACAGCATCGGGCCGTCTTCGTACACACGATCGTCCTTCCACATCCGGCCGTGGCCATCGTCGCCCACAGACAGTGCCGTCGTGTATGAATTGGCCCCCTGCTCGGCTGTACGACCAAGGAACCTATACATGAACCACGCTATGATCTTAACAATTGCGCCATCCCCTAATTGTCGCCCTAAATCGCTCTTGCACATGCCTGGACAGACTGTGTTAACGATCACTCGAGGCCCTTGTCCGTTTGGATTTTTCAGAGCGGCTGAAGCTGCAAGATGTCGCGCGGCATACTCGAGGATGAGTTTCGACCGATTGTACTGAGCACTCGCGCCCGCAAGGCCGGGCGGGAAAAATTTCGGGCTTAGATCTCGGAGAGGCGTTTCGCTTGAGATGACCTCTGCCATCTTTTCTGGGTTCATGTGGTGAACATTTCCCGACGACACAAACGTCAAATGTGGTTTGTTCTTGCTGTTGCGTGATTTCCCGTCTTCTGTCGATGTCCCCGGGGCTAGCCCGGAAGAAAGGAGCAGAGGTAAGAGGAGGACGCCGAGTAGGAACGTGCTGAGAGCGTTGACCTGTATAGTATCTTCCCACCCGTCGGAACTAGAGGAGTGTTTGCTCATCAAGACACCTGCATTCAGAATGGCGCTATCGATCGAATGGAAGCGAGTGCTTAGAGCATCGACGAAAGATTTGACTGCCGCAAAAGAGGACATGTCGAGTATTAAGGGAATGATCTCTGTCGCAGCCGAAGCCGAAACACTGCTGGTAGTGGTGGCATCGGAGCTAGCAGCGAGGAATTCTTCAATCTCGCGCTTCGCCGCTTGTCCTTTGGCTTCAGTGCGTGCTGTTATAAGCAAACGGGAGACACGGAGCGCGGCCAGCTTCTTAGCCGCTTCGAGGCCCAAGCCTGACGTTGCACCCGTGACGAGGACTGTGAGGCCGGCAAAGGACTCGGTAGAGGGCCTGGGAGGATTGTGCTTTTGCTGGAGCAGGCGAATGATGAAAGACATTCTCAACACGGAAGGGTCCAGTAGATGATGCTTGGAGGACACCACACGAAGAAATTGTGACTTACCTCGCCACCGACTTCGAAGTGGACTTTATATTGCAAACTTAACCTACTAAATATGAGTGATTGACCGCTGGATCTCTGGTCTGCGAAAGTCGTCTGTATTATCAATCATGCAACCTACTCATCCTGTCGTCTCGAACTCAACGAAATTTCGTGGGGTTCTCGACCGGTATCTGAACCAATTGTCTGCTGAAGTTCGTCTGGGAGGCAAGGCTAGCCTCACAAACGGGAGTTTCGAATGAAGCCATCTTCCACCTTGAGCCGTGTTGGTTGCAAGATGCAGACAGCGATGTGGTGCAAAAGGCACCGGGAAGACTATTTTCCGGGCCTCGGATCTGGAGAATCTTGGCTTCCGAGACGGGGCGTTCGGCTACAAAAGCACAAAGCTTTCCGTGCTCGGGTCACGGCAGAAGGACGAGTTGACCGCCCTATCTAAAACTCAACCGACGACGTTGGACGAGACTCCGTACGCATGCAGGAACTGTCCTCATGATATGTATTCACCAAACCTGCCGCAGTTTCCCTCCATGACAGTCGTCCTCTTGCCATGCCATGCGAGAGGGATTAGATACAAAGGGGCCGGGTACAGGTACTACGGATAAACAAATAAACGAAGACCAATAATCCCTACAAGTACCCCGTCCATTTGGCATCACTTTCGCCCTTACACGATGCAATTTTGATCGGATGAAAGCAGCTGTGCAAGTCTCGAGCAGTCTCTGACCAAGCGTCCCTCTACTGCTCTTCTTCCGCCCCTGGCTCTGCAGGCTCCTGCTCAAGGGCGACTAGGGCCTAAGGTACTACCACATGCCCTTGAGACCTCTTCTCCTCTGGGGTCCAGCATCGTCCTCACCACACGAATGCTTTCACGTCACAACGGATTACTACCATGGCCTCAAGCCGGTAGATGAGCGTGCTGCAGAATACCAGGCACGTGGCGGGCGACCACCGTGACGTTGTTGACGGTCCTCCCTCTGCTCTGCAACTACATCGACAGCCAGTTCTCCATCAGTGAATTCTATTCAGTCTTGATTATCTTTACATCAGCTGGTCAGTCTAGCTGGATGTTTCAGCCATGGCCTGGACGCTTCGCTTTGCTGGTCATGAAATTCTTGAGCGCTTCACTGTAACTACAAGCATCAAGCTCACGTCCTGACCGTCGTTCGCAAGGTCATCAATAATGTCGCCGACGGGCTTCAGGTTGCTTGCCTTAGCTCGCATGTGCGTACAATCAAACACGTACTTCTTCCGGGCTATACTCGTTGCTCTAAGGGAGGGAAACCAGGCAATCTGGGCTGGGCCCACAGGAGAACTGAGACCCAATTTGATCGGGCTTTATCAGAGCACAAATCAGTTCTCACACCAACACAATCACGCGCCAGGAATCGCGTCGACCTACAACAAAGCCCTCTCTCTCTCCCCCTTGAGTCCTTGGCCTCCACGCCATGCAACGGAAATATCTAAGCAAGTTACTACCTTGCCTCGCACATCTCAGATGGCTATTAGGTCTGGCCTTTTTTTCTCTTCGATGTCTCCCTGCGACGTTAGTGTCTCTGCATTCGAAACCGCGATTGCATAGTCTCCCATGCAATTTGCCCAATATGCACAGTACTACGTGCAGGAGAGCTGGCTTCGGTAGTGTTCAAAGTTTGGGTACAAGGCACGATGGTTAGACGATTAAAGTAGACACCATCTACGTAGACCGAGTTGGTCCAAGGAAATAAGACTGAATCGCCCTCCGAGGAGACAGGATGCTCTGATGGGAAGAGCGACATTGTGTCTTCAACTTCACCAAAAGCCTAAAGACAGCTTTCCCAAAGGATGGACGAGCACATTGGTATTCTGTTTCTGCGTGTTGCGCCCGTTGATGAAGCCCAGATGAGGCTTCAGAAAAGTGTGATTCTAGTGGTACGGATCGGAGATACTTCTTTCCGGCTGCTGCCACCGCAAAAGACAATAGGCACGTGATCCGGGCTGCGGCGAGGCAGGAACGCTAGACGGCGATCTGAAGCTCTCATTGTCGGCGGCCATTGTACCGCTGTAGTCGCACCTCTTTCGACATCTGTAGAGATCTTCACCACACAACTGGTTGCTTGTCGGCTGTGAAGCACATCTGTCGCCATGACAGTCATTGAGAGTGTCAAAGACGCCATCGGCTTGGGTGGCGACGCTGGTATGCAATCTGACCCTCGTCTTTGTTCTTCAGCGAGCACCTGGACGACCGCGAGCTGACCTCTTACGTCCCATTCTACACAGCCCCAGCGTCGAGAGAGGCCATGTCCGAAGCGCGATTACCCCTGCAATACCGAGATAGCTGTGCGAACCTCCTCATCCCTCTAAACAAATGCCGACACGAGAATGCATGGATGCCGTGGAAATGTGAAGTGAGTTTTGTGCACCACAGCTTCCCTCACCGAGAGGTCTTGCCTGTGCTGTGGATAGTCTGCTGACATTGGAATCTGCTGCGGATAGCATGAACGACACAGCTACGAGAAGTGCCAGTACGAGGAGTTCAAGAAGCGAGTTGCCAAGATGGAGGCTCTTCGTGCAGCCAAATCTGCAGAAGCCAGCAGCTGAGACTTCGTTCAAGGGGATTTGATCGACTCAAAAAACGAACTTTATTGTACATATATCTCCATGGCTACGGTTCTCCAAACGACGAGAAGAAGTCTAGGCAGCTTTGGACTGTTGAACCTCCGCAACGCAAGAGCAGCAATGAAGGTGGATAGCTCTGCAGCTTCCTCCTACCCACTTCTATTCAATAAATGGCTGGGGGTGGTATACCCGCCGGGGAATGGCGAGGTGAGGACATAGCAAAACAAAAATAAATACAAGACAAATATGCGGAGCACAAACTATATGATGGTGAATTGAAAAGGATCTTGCGTCAAGCCTTGTCCAATTGTTGCTGTTGATGCTCCGCCAACAAAGGCTCCGCCAGCATGTGAGTTTGTTGTATGTGAAGAGAGCCGTGGTGTGTCAAGTCAACCGTGAATCCGGTCCCCCAAGTCTGTCAGCTCCAAAGCGAGAACAAGCAAATAGGCAGATTATCTGGCAGACAGTTGGCACAACACACCAGGCCCGAAGCACAGAGCGGTATCAGGAGCCTCGTCCTCGTAGAAAACTACCCTGTACAGTGTAGTACTGTCTTATGGACCAACATGCAGGCTTATGACCTCCATACTATAGACTACTTGGTTGACTTCGGCGTTGCTAGATCACAGGGTTGACTGCTCTGCAGGCTACGATGTTTCTCAGCAACGTACAAAGGGGTGTTGCATGGCTCTGTAGGACAGAGTATTCTTCACAGAACGATTGAATATTGTTGGCGTCAAAGGCAAGGTCTCTCAACCTCAATCCTCGCTCAGCTCTTGGTCAGAGGCAATCTCAAGGAATCAATCTTTGCTTCGCACTTGCTTCTATACCTGACCAGATCAGACATTCAATCGCAATGGCACACCTCGCATCAGCAGCGTTGCATAGGATCATAGCTGCCCAAGCTGCCTGCTTCTCGTGTATGATTCGTTCCAAGTCCCCGGTGTTATCGAAAGGCAAGGAAAGACATGAACTGTGGCATCATGTTGATTCTGGTGACACACGTGTAGAATCCCACGATCGGGCAGCAAGAGGAGAGATACTGTAGTTGTCGAAGGGTTGTGAGGCTACGAGAGCCGACGCGATTCGGCAACCCATTACGCCACATTTCATTTGATAAGTGGCGGTGCTACGAGCAACTTTCCCACGCGTTATGACGACAACGTAAACCAAGTTGTCCTTTCAAGGCGACGACTTTCTCAATTCATTTCATTTCCTTCCATTCCATTAGTTCACCCAGCGGACATTGGGCATCTTTTGGCTTCGTTCATTGATTTCCTTGACATTGCTCTTGCTTCTGCGAAACTGCAGTCGCGTTTGGTGTACCTTTCTTGGATTATCATCTTCGCTCCGATCGCCGTCGTTGGCATCTTCCCCCATGTTGCTGCTACCGGGGCCCAGGTAATCATAACCCCTCTATCCCACAAATAAACCCGACCTGGGTGACGGTCACCATCCGCCAACATGTTGGAAGGTCTCGTCGCCAACCTTCTCAACCGCTTCTTGGGCATGTACGTCAAAAATTTCGACCCAAAGCAACTCAACGTCGGGATCTGGTCTGGTGACGTCAAACTGCGAAACCTCGAACTTCGACGCGAAGCTCTGGACCAGCTGCATCTGCCCATCAACGTGGTAGAAGGTCGGTTGGGGGAACTGACCATATCCATTCCGTGGTCGAATCTTCGTGGAAAGCCCGTCAGAGTCAACATTGAGGATGTGTTCTTACTTTCAGCCCCGAAATCCGAGGACGATTACGATGCAGAAGAGGAAGAGAAACGCGCCGTCGCCGTCAAGCTGGAGAAACTCGAGAGTGCCGAGCTACTGAAAGAACGCAATACCGAGGCTATGAGCCCGGAGGAGCAGCAAAAGAACCAGAGCTTCACCCAGAGTTTAGTAACGGCTATCGTCGACAATCTGCAGGTTAGCATCAAGAACATTCACATACGATATGAAGATTCAATAGCCACGCCGGGCCATCCATTCGCCGTTGGTGTGACCCTCAAGGAGATGAGCGCCGTGAGCACCGATTCCGAATGGCGACCAACTTTCATCCAATCCACGTCAGACACCACACACAAGCTGGCTGTGTTGAACTCTCTGGCCGTCTACTGGAACAGCGATGCGGATCTGTTTGGAACCGGCAGGGGAGGTGATGTCGGCGCCGATGCACAAGAAATTGACAAGCAAGATCTGCTACGCCGCTTCAAAGAAGGCATAGAGGACACGGGCAATTCTCAATACCTGCTGAAGCCAGTGAGCGGGCGCGCGGGTATTGAAATGGATAAGACAGGCCGAACTGACCGACCAAAACTCAAAGCACGTCTCTTATTCCAAGAACTGGGCTTCATTCTGGATGAGGACCAATACCGGGACGCCTTGATGCTGGTTGATCTGATGCATTACTTCATTCGTCACCATCAGTACAAGAGAGTGCAGCCTGAGAAAAGTCCCAAAGACGATCCACGAGCCTGGCTGAAATTCGCAGGCTCTGCCGTGCTAGACAAGATCCACGATCGCAACCGAAAGTGGACCTGGGATTACTTCAAAGAACGCCGAGACATGCGCCTTCAGTATATTGACCTATTCAAGAAGAAGAAAAAGGACCAGAAATTGACGGAACAAGAAACAAAAGATCTCAACGATCTCGAGTACAAGTTGAGCTATGAAGACTTACGTTTCTGGAGATCTTTGGCCCATTCCCAGCTGCGGAAGGAGAATGTTGGCGTCAAGAAGCCTGCGCCAAAGCAGACTTGGGGCCAATGGATGTGGGGCTCAAAACCAGCTGAAACAGACAAGGACGACGACTCTGCCATGACAGACGAACAGCGCAAGGAGCTCTACAACGCCATTGACTGGGATGAAAAGAAAGCTATTGCAGAAAGTGTCGATCTGCCACGAGAGACTGTGAAGCTACAGTTGGAGACGAGTCTACGAACTGGAAGTTTCACTCTGAAGCGCGACCCTCATGGTCAAGGTACAGAGGTTCTCAAATTGGTTTTTGATAATTTTAGAGCCAAGGCACTGCAACGACCGGATTCCCTGCTGGCCGATGTGGCACTTGGCGGTTTCCGCGTCTACGACGGTACCACTGAAGGAAGCTTGTTTCCCCAGATCGTCAAGGTCAAAGGAGTCGAGGACCAGCCCAAAGACGAACAAAGATCGGAAGATGGCGATTCTCTCGAAGGCAGCCAAGAGACGGACGAAAAGGCCTCAAATGGTGAAAACGTCGAAGACAGCCTGTTCCACCTGGTTTTAGAGAACCATCCTCTGGATGAAAGTGCCGACACGAAAATCATGTTGAAGTTGAAGAGTCTCGAGTTCATCCACAACCCCAAGTTTGTCGTGGAAATAGCTAAATTCTTCAAGCCTCCTGAGCGGCACATGGAGTCCATTGGTGCCTTGCTTGAAACAGCTGGGGCAACGGTTGAGGAGATTCGACAGCAGACGAGAGCAGGGCTCGAATTTGCCCTGGAAGAGCACAGGACCATCAACGCAAACCTCGACATCCAAGCGCCCATCTTTATTATCCCAGAAAGCATCACGGAAGAAAGTACACTTTGCATGATTCTGGATGCCGGTCACGTCAGCTTGAACAGCGAACTCGTTGACAAGGACACGATGAACGACATCCGCTCGAAACAGAAGCAACAGTATACCGAGCAAGACTTCAAACAACTCGAAGGCTTGATGTATGACAAGTTCCATCTAAAGCTCGAATCAACGCAGGTCCTCATAGGACCTGGTATTGAAGCAACGAGGGCAGAACTTGAAGCCTCGGACGACTCGAAACAGATGCATATCATCGATCGCATCAGCATGGGTTTCCTCCTAGAGAACTCCATCGTTCCGAAGGCACCTGATATCACCAAGACACGGATATCGGGAACATTGCCTGTTCTGCACGCGTCGCTATCGGACAAGAAATACAAAAATTTGATGAGACTGCTGGAAGTCGCCGTGCCCAAATTCGATTCTGCACCCGATGCCAGTGGCACTGACAAAGTCAATGAAGCGAACAGACAAGAGGATAATGTCCGATCGAAAAGGAAATCGGTACAATTATTGGAGACCAAGGACGTGCCAATCATCGACCCAGACTCCGATTCTGAAGATGCCTCCACTCAAGTGGTTGCCAAAGCCGAAGCACATGAAGCGCCGGCAAACATACACCAGCGCAACTTCGAAATTAATTTCACCGTTGAAAAGCTGCAAGCATCACTGTACAAGGCTGACCCCGAGGGCAAAAAGCCGGATCAGCTCTTGGTCGAGCTTGTGGCCGAACATTTCTTTTTCGACTTCTACCTCCGCCCATATGACATGGTTGCTGAAGTTCTCCTGCGCTCCGTAACGGTGGACGATCACATCGAGGAGGAACCTTTGCCCGAATTTAAGCAGATAATATCATCAAAGGGTTTCGAGGCTGAAGAAGGGAAAGACCTGCTAAATGTGAAGTTTGTCAAAGTCAATCCAGAATCGCCAGAGTTCCAATCTACGTATGAAGGCATCGCGACGAACCTCGATGTGTCAGTCTCTACAATCAATGTCATCGTGACCAGGAGAACGTTGTTGACACTTCTGGACTTTGTCCTGACAACATTTGCCGGCGCCCCAAAGCAGAACCAAGCACAGCTTGATCAAGGCAGTGACACGAGCGAAGTCCAAGATTCGCCCGACACATCGCCAGCCAAACAGCAGCAAGACAAGATCAGGATCAAGGCTGCGTTAACCAGCATCGCGCTTATCTTGAACAACGACGGCGTGCGTCTTGCGACGCTCTCATTGAACTCGGGTGATGTTGGGATTTTTCTCGATGCCGGAACTATGCAGGTCAAGGCAAGATTAGGTAGCTTATCATTAGTCGACGATGTCAATCAAGGCGCACCTGAAAACTCGCCTCTGCGTCGACTGATCGCAATTGAGGGCGACGATCTGGCCGATTTCAAATACCAGACTTTCAATTCGGCGCGAAGCGACTATCCCGGGTATGATTCTGGCATCTTCTTACGGTCTGGTTCCATCAAGGTGAACTTCTTGGAGGAGCCATTTCGAAAGATCATGGAATTTGGTGTCAAGTTCGGCAAGATGCAAGCCATCTTCAATGCTGCGAGGCAAGCCGCTGCAGAACAAGCAACTCAGGTTCAAGAAAGCGCCCAGAAGATGCATTTCGACATTGTCATCAAGACTCCGATCGTGGTGTTCCCGAGAGCAATGGTGGATGACCGACCACGTGACCTGCTGACTGCCTATTTAGGTGAGATCTATGCCAGCAACAAGTTCGTGGGCGTTCAGGGCCAGAAGGGCGGTCCCCTGGTGAACAAATTGTCGACTGGAATCAGACATATTCGCCTGACCACTGAGTTCCACTATGAAGACGGACAGTCACAAGAACTTGAAATGATTGACCAGGTTGACTTGGATTTCAAGATTAGATACCTGGAACACCAAGCAGGATTGGAACGGCCCGATCTTGAGATCGACGGATCAATGTCTCCTATCAACTTGCGGGCGTCTCAGGCACAATTCAAGTTCTTAATGGAGCTCTCAAAAACAATACCTGCCGCGTTTGCTACCGAGAACGAGTCTGACGAGGACATCGCCGAAGAATTACCGGCCGAGACTGCTAAAGCCATTCAGAACGAGGAGCCGTCCACAGAAGAGAGCGCTGTTGGCACCTATCAAGGCCCTGAGCTTGGCTCGAGCGACGAGACGTGGACCAAGTTGAATTTCGTGTTCAAGGCACCCACCATCAGTCTTGAGCTCTTCCTCGCCGAGGAAGAGCACCCAACCGAGAACTTTGACGCTGCCAGTATCTCCAAGTTTGCTCTGAATGAGACAAACGTAAAGCTCCGCATGATCAGCGATGGGGCCATGGAAGCCGAGCTATTGGTTCACTCCTTCACTATCCGTGACAGTCGCAAGCAGGAAACTAACAAGTTCCGAAAGATCATGTCTTTGATCAACACTGATGTTCAGCAACAGTTTATGGCCAGTGTGTCGATCACGGGTGGGAAAGAGAGACATATGATCGTCATGTTAACCATCGACAGCCCTCGTATCATCGTTGCTCTCGACTACGTATTTGCACTTCAGGCATTCGCAAACGCAGCATTACAGTCTGACGAACCACCTCCAATTGCGGACCTGGACGACTCTACTGATGGTGGCAGCCTGAAGAGTCCCTCGGAGGAACGTGGCGACATACTCGCCGAAGATCAAGGAGGTACAGCTAGCGAGTCGTCTTCGATGACCATGTCTTTCCGAGTCAACGTTGTTGATGCTCAGGTCATCCTCATTGCAAATCCTGCTATATCGAACACCGAGGCAATTGTGCTCGGTACAAAGGAGGTCCTAGTTGGAAAACAAAATGCAACAACCCTGCAAATATCAAAGGTTGGCATGTTCTTATGTCGAATGGATAAATTCGAGACGAGCCGCCTGAGAATTTTGGATGACTTCAGTGTCTCCATGTCGATGGACAGTCGAAGCCAAGGTGCGGACTCTTCTCTGACTTCAATCAGCATAGAGGTAGAGCCTCTTGTTCTCCGCCTGTCACTACGCGATATCTTGCTTGCCATGCAGATTGTTCAAAAGGCCTCTTCGACGATGGCGCAGCCCAAGATGCAGCAAGATTCGGAACCAAAGAAGATCAAAGACGTTAAAAGCTCTTCTACGGCGGCATCGACAAAACGCAAGTCTGTGGCGGGACAAACCATCAGCACAACGAAGAGATCAAAGCGATCAAAGTCGATCTCGAAACCCGCTGCAAAGCAGCCTCCCAAGAGTTCGGTGGTCATGAGTAGAGAAGAGCTGATCGCAACTGTGGATGGAATTAGAGTCATCCTGATCGGAGATCTACATGAACTCCCACTCCTGGACTGGAGTGTCAAGCAATTCCAGGTGGACGTTCGTGACTGGTCCGGTGCAATGGCAGCAGACACGAAGATTGATACCTTCATTAACGTCTACAATTTTTCCAAGTCTGCATGGGAACCTCTCATCGAACCATGGAAGCTGGGATTCCATATGTCCAAAGAGCTCCACCCTGAAGTGCTGTCTATGGAACTCTACTCTCACAAGAATATGGAACTTACAATAACCTCAGCCACTATAGCACTTGCGTCGAAATCGTTCAATTTCTTGTCAACGGACGAAGACATTCTATCCAAGCCGAGAGTGGCAGATGCACCATACAGGATACGAAACTACACGGGATTTGATCTCAGTGTATGGGCTGACGAAAAGAGCGACAATGCAGCTGCAGCCAAGCTCAGCGATGGCGAAGAGTATGCCTGGCGCTTCGAGGATGCAACATCAATGCGTGAAAGTTTGACTCCTGAAGGAAACGCAGGCTTGGTGGGCGTCAAGCTTGAGGGAAGCGGTTTCGAGAGCGTCAACCGCATCCCTGTCATTCGTGAAGGCGAAACACTGTACAACCTGAAGCCACGAAAGGATGGGGTACAGCATCGCATGCTGGTTGAGGTCAAGCTTGGGTCGGACAACGTGAAATACATCACCTTCCGTTCGCCTCTCCTGGTCGAAAACAGAACTCAGATACCTATTGAGGTTGGTGTCTTCAGCCCCGAACAGGGAGACCTTCTTAAGATTGAGAAGGTCGCTCCTGGGGACGCAAAGCCAGCTCCAGTGGGAGCAGCTTTTGTGCACTCCCTTCTGATCAGACCAGATCAAGGCTTTGGCTATGGATGGTCAAGTGACCAGCTATTCTGGAAGGACCTACTCAAGAAGTCGACGCGGACGCTCACATGTGCCGCAGAAGGGAGGGACGAGTCTCCGCCATTCTTCTTCCAGATGCATGCAGCATATAACTCGAAGGACCCCATGACCAGAATTTACCCTTACATGAGGATCCAGATATCCGCACCAGTCGAGGTACAGAACCTCCTTCCGTACGATTTCAAGTATCGAATCTACGACAAGAACACAAAGAAGGACTGGACAAACTTCCTCCGCAAAGGCGGCATCAGCCCAGTACATGTGGTTGAGCTGTCCCACCTCCTCTTGCTAAGTGTCGAACTTGAGAACACTCCCTTCAGGCAGAGCGACTTTGCAATCATCAACAGTAATACTCAAGAGGAGTTCCGGAGGGAAAAGGCGGTGCAGCTGAGGGACGAACATGGCGCACATCTCAAACTCAAGCTCCACTATACGAATATGAAGGACAGTGGAGGTGCATTCAGAGTATCAATCTACAGTCCGTACGTTCTATTGAACAAGACCGGACTCGATATGAGCGTCCAGAGCAAGGCTTTCTTCGGATCCGCAAAGACCGCCGCGTCACAAGGTGCTCGCACCAGCTCCGGCCATGGGAAGGCACTACCCATGTTGTATTCCTATGCCACCGATGATCGCAAAAACCGCTCTTTGTTAAAGATCGGCGACTCCACGTGGAGCAAGCCGCAGAGCTTCGACGCCATCGGGAGCGCCTATGAGGTCGTTCTCACTTCCGCCTCGGGTAAGTCGGAACTCCATGTCGGAGTTTCAGTCACGGAGGGAGAAGGCAAATACAGCCTGAGCAAAGTCGTCACGATCGCGCCTCGATTCATGTTAAAGAACAAGATAGGGGAAGACATCGAGCTCCGCGAACCTGGCTCTTCCGAAGTCATCAAGATGGCGAATAATGACCTCGTTCCAATCTACTTCATGCGACAGTGCCCGGAAAAGCAGCTGTGCATGTGCTTCCCTGGAGTTAACAACCAGTGGTCGTCTCCTTTCAACCTGGCCAACGTTGGCATGACTCATGTCAAACTTGCGAAGCATGGTCAAAGGCAACGACTTGTTCGTGTGGAAATCATTCTTGAAGATGCAACTTTGTTCCTGCATTTCAGCATTGAAACGAAGCACTGGCCTTTCTCGATGCGCAACGAAAGCGACACCGAGTTCTTGTTTTTCCAGGCCAATCCGAACATTGCCGAGGATGAAGAAGAAGATCAAGGGAGTGGCTGGAAACCCATCCGCTACAAGTTGCCCCCACGGAGCATCATGCCTTATGCTTGGGATTATCCGGCTTCGAAGAACAAAGAGCTTGTGCTGACCGCGAGAGGCCGAGAGAGATACGTCAAGTTGATGGAAATCGGGAACCTAATTCCGATCAAGTTACCCCCCGATGGTCGCGGTGGTCCTCCGAAAGTAATCGATGTCAATATCGTTGCTGACGGACCGACACAAACGCTGGTGCTCTCAAATTACAAGCCATCCAAGTCACTCTACCGACAGAAGACAGGTATGACCAACGCTTCACAGACCAGCTTGAACCAAGGGTTCGAAGTCAAGCAGATCGAATCCGAACTGAATTTCAAAGCTGAGCTCAGACTCGCCGGCATTGGTGTGTCTCTAGTGAACAGTAATCTGAAAGAGCTCATGTATCTCACCTGGCGTGAAATTGAGTTCAAGTATGGGGAATCCAAACTCTACCAAACGTTGAACGCGACCGTCAAATGGATTCAGATTGACAATCAACTCTACGGCGGCATCTTCCCCATACTGCTGTATCCAAGTGTCGTCCCCAAGACTGGCAAAGAAATGGAAACTCATCCGATCTTCCACGCAATGGTCACCCGAGTGAAGGACGACTCGTACGGTGTCTTGTACATCAAATACGCTACGCTACTCTTGCAGCAGATTACTGTCGAGCTGGACGAGGACTTCATTTTTGCAATGCTTGATTTCCTGAAAGTGCCAGGTGCGTCGTGGGCGGAAGAGAAAGAAGGTAAACTTTGTGACGAGGACTTGGACATCCCGGAACCTACGCGGGAACAGCAAGGACAAGACGTCTACTTTGAGCTTCTGCACTTGCAGCCGATCCAACTTGACCTTTCGTTTGTGAGAACGGAACACATTAACGCTGAAGACAACTTTGTCAACAGCCCATTGATGTTCTTTGTCAATGTCATGACCATGTCGATTGGCAATGTCAACGATGCACCTATCAAGCTGAACGCACTACTCCTGGAGAATGCGCGAGTCTCGGTGCCGGCCCTCGTTGCAAACATTCAAAATCACTACACGCAGGAAGTTCTCCGCCAGGTTCACATTATCCTCGGATCAGCCGATTTCCTCGGCAACCCGGTCGGTTTGTTCAACAGCGTGAGTTCAGGTGTGGCAGACATCTTCTACGAGCCGTACCAGGGGCTGGTGATGACCGACCGACCTCAGGAGCTGGGTCTTGGCATTGCCAAAGGCGCCAGCAGTTTTGTCAAAAAGTCCGTCTTTGGGTTCAGTGACAGCATGGCCAAATTCACCGGGTCCGTTTCGAAAGGTCTCGCTGCTGCAACCATGGACAAGGAGTTCCAGGACCAACGACGCATGTCGAAGAACCGGAATCGACCGAAGCATGCACTGTATGGCGTCACCTCCGGCGGTAACGCGTTTGCCGCGAGCATGGCCAGTGGAATCGGCGGTTTGGCACGGCATCCGCTCGAGGGCGCCGAGAAAGAAGGTGCACTCGGCTTCGTCAAAGGTGTTGGGAAAGGCTTCCTTGGCCTAGCCACCAAGCCGGCCATCGGAGCCTTCGACCTTGCGTCCAACGTTGCCGAGGGTGTCCGAAATACCACGACGGTGTTTGATGCCGAGGGGCTCGACCGCGTGCGTCTGACTCGCTTCATTGGTATGGATGGTATTGTCAGGCCATACTCACAACGCGAGGCGCTCGGACAGTTCTGGCTGAAGACTGCGGACGACGGCAAGTACTTCAACGAGGACTACATTGCGCACTTGGAACTAGAGGGTCGTGACATGATGGTGGTGATCACGTACGACCGGATCCTCATGATCAGGACCAAGAAGCTGCGGGTGGAATGGGACGTAAGATTGACGGACATCCAGACCATCAGCAAAGAGAGGACCGGCATGAGTATTGGACTCAAAGGCGGTGCCAACGGGCCTTTCATTCCCGTCACGGACGAGGGCAGCAGGAATTGGCTGTACAAGCAGATTGCAATCGGTGAGTATTACTCGTAACAGTCTGTTTTCGGTACGATTGCTGATACCTAGCCTTGCTTAGCCGTTAATGCGTTCAATGACAAGTATAATGCAAAAGGATGATGAGCACTAATTGGTGGACATTGGACATGATGGACTGGTTGGACAGTGTTATGCGGCAAAACGGGTCTTTTTGGATGGCTTATGTCCCTTTTGGGCGTTGAAAACACTCGGAGTTTCAATTGGTGAGTTCTCCATACTTCCCTTTGCGTCTGCCCAGAATGATTGCGAACTACGATACTGACGCCGGTTGTCAAGTATCAGGGTCAATGCCCAGGTCAGGATGCGAACAAAAGCGAAGCGGCGTAAAGACTTTTCATACACACCTGGCAACATCCATTCTCTTCCACGGCGGAGCGAAGCCAGGCCCTTTACGAAGTCGAAGAGTTTGGTTTTCTCTTGGATGATTGTACGTCTACACTCATGCACATGCCCGGTACGATGTATGTTTTTGTCCCAAGATCTAATCGTTGTTTTTGCAGGTATGAATGAAGAAGAAGAAGACATGTACTTTAACCACACAAATGACATCACTAATCTACATTTGGCACCAACCGTCCCGTGTCTGCGTTGAAATGTTGCTGGATGCCTCAATCTCTCCGGCAGACAGGCTGAGAGTGCAGACCAGAAGTAAGGATCGCCGTATTGGTTGGAAAGAAAAGGGAAGAGTTGAGGTCGAGTTGCACATGCGGCACAGCATGCGTGCGTGTTTCAAGATAGAGTTTAACATTTTGAACAATAATAATAAGACTCCATCGCATAGCCTTGTGTTTCATCTGATCCTTAGCCCAATCATCTGCCTTGCTTGAGTATAATCAAGTCAATTCAGTGGGCTTATTCTCGCGCGTTGAAAACAAAAAACCGCACATGGAAACATCAACATCGGAGAGAGAGGGAGTACGTCTCATCACAAGGGACGTGTGCCAACACAAGTATGGGCACAGCAGGATCATTGCCGTCATTGGATCACGCGCGTAGCCATTCTTAGCTTTACCGTCCTATTTTCAGCCAACCGGGCACTCATCTCCTCTCGTGTAAATGAACGTCCCGAAGCGGCGGCGGGAGGGACTGGCCGGCCTGTATGCAGTACAGAGTAGACGCTCGGTGCTCACGCGCATATCTAGCTAGTTGTGTTTCGACCAACCTCCTGCTCCTCAAACGGGCCGACTTCAGAACTTGAAGGTCTGGACCGGATGTGATAGCCACAAAGATCGGTTCAAGGTGGTGCGCGTGTGTGTGTGGGAGGTCATGGGATGGGAAGGACGGCCAGACCCAGACCGGGAGGTGGAAAGGCGATCCAATCGTTATACTACATAGATTGACCACACGGGGAAAAGAAGAACAAGTAAACTGTGTCAGATACTACCTGCCTACCTACCCAGGTCCCCGAGCTCTCGATTGCAGAGAGAGACAGAGATAGGAACCTCAGAGATACCCCTGTAGGATAGACACCCAGACAGGATCGCCCGACGAACGCCCAAACCCAACACAACAAACAAAAAACCGTCAAATCTCCTCCCGCAGAGTCGCTCCGTCGGTCATTTCAAAGCCGTCGTCTTTGGGGTTCCGGTACTTTGTCCGACAGATACTTCGGATTCCCAGGATGCCCAACCAGTAGTTCCCCTGGGGGTAGTCCGGTGCGATCTGATACAGGAGATCGCTCTCCCAGTTGATGTTGTTGTACACGTTCTGTGCCGCGAGCGTGGTGTCAGTTTCTAAAGATTGACGACAGGTTGGGCGGCAGCGAGCGAGGGGTTCTGCAACGTACCATGATACAAATCACGGTCTCCATGATCCACACCACGAGCCATATAATCCAGTACGCCTGGCTGGACGCTTTGCCGCGAAATCGATATCCGACCGCCCACGTGATCATACCGATCAGGGCGGTAGGCTGACGAGTGAGCAAGCGGGTCAGTTACATGAACGGAGCTGTCAAAGACAGCCAAGGCAAAGCCAAAAGGCAAAGGCGGTGGTTTGTTTGGGGGGGAAGGGCCGCCCGGAAGTAGAGCACTTACAGCGCAAAGACGTTGAAATCGACACGCGAGATTGAGATAGGAAACTCGATCGGCCACTGTGTTTCGGGGCGCGGTCGCCATCAACCAGCAAGTTTGGAGAAACGCCATCCTGGAATTTTTGCATTTTTTCGGTCAGCGCGCGCGCTTCAGAGTCAAAACAAAAGAGAAGAAAGTTGGAGATTTGCTGCGACGACAGCAAAACGACAGAATTGGGTCGTGTGGATGCTAGATACATATGATTTGATGGTGATGCTTACCAGTGGGTGGCGAAAAAGGGCGAGACCGTGGCGATGAAATAGTGGCTTTGCGCGCCGTAGAGGGATCCCAGACATGCCGATGCGATCTGCAGCCCCCACGAGGAGACGGTCAAGAAGTAGAAGATCAGGTATTCTTGATTCCGGGCGAGCGGGCCTCCGGTCTTGAAGGGCAGAGCCGACGGTTCGTCCGCGCACGCGTTGTCGATGGTCTTCGCCATGGTGCGACGATTCTCAGACGCGGGGAATCGATGTTGGCGGCAGTCAGGTGTGAGGCTGCTCGAGTATTAATGGGGCATGAGATCAAATCAGTCGAAGTCTCAAGTAGATGATGCTGTTACGGAGGAAGCGACGAGGAGGGCGATGATGATGATGATGATGGATGATAGATGATGTTGTTGCGCCGGGAACGACGGAAAGATTGAAGATGCCAACAAAAACTTGGATGTTCTGGGCAAATGGGACGAAGCTTGCATTATGTCAGCATCAGCATCAGCCAAAACCGCACTAGACACTTGTGACATCGACTAGCGAGACGATGATTATGGGTTAAAGGGTCAAATGCGACATAACTACGTAGACTTCCCAAAGTCGATCTCGAGAAACTCTGACTACAGTATAAGTTCTGATCGGAGCCTTCCTAAGATCCGACTCCTTCAATGTAATGGCGACCGCCGTTCAACGCACTGATACCTCGTGGCTGTGCACTAGAGACCAACTTCTTCGCAGTATAGCACGATGTCATCAAGCTTTGTGTGACACAGGTGTAAAATTGCTTATGCCTTGTTTGTCGTAACCAACTTGGTTTGGCGCGCTCCATGTAATGGTCCCAGAGTTGTATCCAGGCTGAAGTCCTGGATTGTAAGGTCCTGAAAAGACCACACGTGAGCACTGGTCACTGGGCATCCGAGAAACACTTGAAGGAGATCTGGTCGAGACTTGCTCAGATTGTTGAATTGCTGCCGGACGTTCCAATCCCTGCACGACTCTTTCTGCCATGGTCAGCAGAAGCTCCCGTGCATACGACGCGGCTGTGGCTGCCGCAAACTCTTGCCAATCTTTGTTCTTGTGAGAGTCTGAGTAGTTGCAAATACCTCGAATGACTAAGCATGGGAAGGTATCCATGAGTCCAGCGGCTTCCGTTTCGAAACAGAGGGCGTCGTTAAACTGTGCGCTGATCTTGTCTCGAGTGACTTCGGATTTCATGACTCGATCTCCGGAGAGGATCGTGCTGTAGTGAATCTGGATTTCATCGGCAGAGCCACGTTCGGTGCGAGCCTGTTCATATTTCTGCTCATGAGTGCGGCACTCCGTATCCGGTTCATGACGATAACTGTCTTGAAAAAGCCGGTCAGCGCTTGCGGGACGTCGATATCGCTCCCTAAGTCGAGGGTATTTGTTGAAACGCTGAAGATGTCTGCTAAAGAAACTCTCTTCTCCCTCTGCTTGTCGGAGGTATTGATCCTCCACCGCATTGACCACCTGTAGAAGTAACGATGGAGGTTTATTGAGTGTTCTGGTGACCTCGAAGCCTGTGGGCAGCTCCTTTCCGAGATCATACTGCACGACAGCCGGACCTACCTCGGGCGCTCCGACCACTACATCTCCGAGTCGCACGTCGTGCTTGGGCAGATGAGGGACCCCGCCCCCAATTCCCACGAGTAGGCCTGAGTTCATGTTTTTGAAGGTCCAACGGATGGAGCCGACGACATCAGCGATGGCTACTTTCCCTTGAGCGCCTCGGGCCGGCCCCACCACGGCGACATTGTGCTTTCCTATGCGGCCGAGTGTGTATTGATTTATATCTTCCAGTGCCAAAGAGACCGACTCGTGTTCTTCATCCAACATGACCGTGATGGCATGCATCTCGAGTGGTTTGGTGTAGAGCAGACCGATGGTGTAGGACTCAGGAGGAACGTACTTCCGGGGAGCCATGACTGCAACGTAATATTTAGTTATATTGCACGATATTAATGTCTGCCGCGATGCACAGCTGGAACATGGTTTGTCTTAATCCGAAGAGTGCATGCAACTGAAGAATCCGCCGAGGAGTGGTTCAAAATGTCTCTGCATGCAAAGTGCACGTGTAAGGACGGCCGCGGGATCGGTGATCTAGTTTTATTCAGCCTTGCACACCTTCAACGACGCAGTCCATGACTTTGCCTGGCATGTCTCCCAATTCCTGCAAAAGTTGAGTGATATTTACCCTTCAGCTCAGCTTCAATAACTACTGAACCCGAAAATTGTTCGGCAATGTCGTCTTACACAACTTATTTTAGTGGTGACAACTGGGCCGCACAGGTGGGGACAAACCTAGGAACCATCAACTTTAATCAATCTGGTACGGAGTACATGCGGCATAGCTACGTGATGATTATTATTCCATGCGCACCTTGCGGGCCTTCATCTTGATAACATATTCTGACTTTGATTCTGTGCGTCAGCGCCTAAGAGATCCTCGACTCCTCCCACACCCTCGCTAGTCATCCCGTACCGCCGCGACCCCGACTTCGTCGATCGCAATGTCCTCACCGACCTCTGGCAGAAAGCCTTCAAACCAGAAGCGCGGGTCGCTCTGGTAGGACTGGGAGGAGTCGGGTAAGACAGATCGGGTGGTAACGATCACAGTTCACTTGGCTTACACCATCGCAAGAAAGTCCCAATTGGCGATCTAATATGCCTACCGCGTGCGAGACGCCGACCCGCAGACCTGGGTGTTCTGGGTACACGCCAGTACCGTCACCCGGTTTGAGGAGAGCTTTCGCACCATCGCGACGTCTCTACGTCTCCCGGGCCTCCACGAGCCGAACGCCGATGTGCTGGGAACGGTGCACGGATGGTTATCGGATGAGCGCCAAGGCCGATGGACGATGATCGTGGACAACGCAGACGACCGCGATGTCTTATTCACACCACGGGGTGGAGAGACACAAGGTGGAACGGCGGTCAGATCTGAAGATCGGCCACTGACCGAATTTCTCCCCATCTCACGCCATGGGTCGCTCGTGGTCACGTCGCGCAATCAAGAGGTGGTGAGCAGATTGCAGGTGTATCACGAAGACGTGCTAGAAGTGCGGCCTATGGCTGTGGATGTGGCGACGGAATTGTTCCTCAAGAAGCTGAAGAAAGGAGATGGAGGAGGAAAGTCGAGTGTCGAGGCGGTGGAGCAGCTGGTTCGGCATCTCGATTGTATGCCGTTAGCGATTAGCCAAGCAGCTACATATATCGACCAATGTGCTCCGCGGATGACGGTATCCCGGTATATCAACATCCTCACGAAGAGTGATAGCGAACGGAATCGACTTCTCCAGAAAGACATTCGCGATTCCCGCCGAGATCGGCAAGCGTCGAATTCGATCATCATGACCTGGCATATCACATTTACACATTTACGGCAGACACGAGACTCAGCGGCCCGACTACTGGCCCTGATGTGTCTGTTTGACCGAGAAGCGATCCCTGTGGATCTACTTCAGGGTTGTTATACGGAAGAGAAACCTAGTGAGATCGACTTTGAGGGCGATATCGCGGCCCTACGAGAGTATGACCTCATTGGCATCGGTGCAGACAAGAATCTGTTTGATATGCATCGATTGGTGCAATTATCAACTCAGAAATGGCTCGAAATGCGTGGAGAGCTCGTCGAATGGCAAGAACGATATATTGACATGATGGGCAGAGTGTTTCCGCGTGGAGAGTACGAGAACTGGGCAACCTGCCAAGCACTGTTCCCTCACGTGGTCGTCCTCCAGCGACACGATGTGTCCAGTGTCCCACATCGTCGAGTCTGGGCGAAGGTGTTATACCATGGGTCATGGTATGCTTGGCAGCGTGGACAGTACGTCCAAGCAGAGACTATGGTTCGAAGCAGCCTCACCATCAGACAGGAAACTTTAGAGCCAGAGGATATGGAGGTATTAGATAGTACAGAAATGTTAGCGCTAGTGCTACGAGATCGGGGAAAGTACACCGAAGCGGAAGAGATGAATCGACGGGCCCTGGCGGGGAACGAGAAGATGCTCGGATCGGATCATCCCTACACGTTGACCAGCGTGAACATTCTAGCATCAGTGCTACGATATCAAGAGAAATATATCGAGGCGGAAGAGATGAACCGGCAGGCCCTGGCGGGGAGGGAGAAGGTGCTCGGAGTAGATCATCCTTACACGTTGATCAGCGTGGGCAATCTAGCATCGGTGTTACGAGATCAAGAGAGGTACACCGAGGCGGAAGAGATGAATCGACGGGCCCTGGCGGGGTTTGAGAAGGTGCTCGGATCGGATTATCCCGACACGTTGATCAGTGTGGGCAATCTAGCATTGGTGCTGCAATATCAAGGGAAGTACACCGAAGCGGAAGAGATGAATCGACGGGCCCTGGCGGGGTGCGAGAAGGTGCTGGGAGCAGATCATCCTTATACATTAATCAGTGTGGGCAATCTAGCATCGGTGTTACGATATCAAGAGAAGTATATCAAGGCGGAAGAGATGAACCGGCAGGCCCTGGCGAGGTGCGAGAAGGTGCTGGGAGCAGATCATCCTTATACATTGATCAGTGTGGGCAATCTAGCATCGGTGTTACGATATCAAGAGAAGTATATCGAGGCGGAAGAGATGAACCGGCAGGCCCTGGCGAGGTGCGAGAAGGTGCTGGGAGCAGATCATCCTCACACGTTAGCCAGCATTTATTGTCTGGCTGATCTATTGAGCGCTACTCAGCGATTTCGCGAGTCTCTCAAGCTTTACGATCGCGCGGTCGACGGATTTCGCCAAGTTCTTGGTCCAGAACATCCCATAACAGTAGCTTGTCAACGAGACCAGGCTGCACTGAAAGAGCGCATAGCTCTCGAGGTACTTCGTGGGAACATTCAAGATATCGATGGTTAAGAGCGTTATCATCGAAATGCTAGTTAATGCGGAATGAAGAACTACCGAAGCCGGCGGGTCTCATCGTGGCATCTCAATTACCGAGTACAGGACGGAGTATTTGCGACGCTTTCGAAATTACCTGGCAATCCAACACCTGCTAAGTCATACGATATTGTAGATATACTAAGATATACTTACTCTAAATCCGGTAAGCGTGATCCGTTTATTCTTTTCGCATCTTGAAATAAAGAAAAGTGCAATGTGTCCTCGAGGCGGAGGGCGGTTTCGGGAAACACTTGTAGTATGAGTGGTTAGGGCATATAATGAATGTCCAGACAACTGTCCTGGCTTTTCTCCACAGGTTAGGAGTGGAACTGTGATAACAAGTCCTGGCCGGCTACGCCTTGGGCCGCCTCTTCGGCCAGGACTATCACAGCCATAGGACCGGTCATGCCACCAAGCTAATACGAGTAACGAGACGAGTAATACTCACAGTCTGTCAGGATAGATATAAGGACTGCTGACATGACAATCTCTTATTTTGGAGAGGGAACGTCAAATAGAAACTCATTCATTATCTGTGCAATCTGTATTAGTACTATGTCGAGAGACCCGACCAATGTAACCCTGCGAAGGCGCACACGTATCGAGTCCCTCTCGATGCTATTCACAATGGTTGCAACCCGGCAAATTTACTGATGGTGCATGTCCAAGGCCAGATAGATTCTTAGCCAAATCGTATCTTCCGCGCGAATGCTCTATCCAATCAAACAGGTCTTGCTGTACATCCATATGTTTCCCGTCTCGAGGGCAAAAATTGTTGAACACAGCTCAGCTCGCGGTGTATCTGCCGCTGATCAACTTCATCTTCGTCGGAAGGCCTTCCCATCTCTTTTCCTCCGCACTGCCCCTTGCACTGCTGCCGGCGGTGTCATCTGCAAAGGGATCCGCGTCCTTCTCTTCTCCCCCGGTGACCACTTTCTCGACGGCAACCCCGCTGGCAGTGAGCCCCGGTATCTCGAATTTGAGTTCAATGGTACCTTTCTTCGGCATGCCTCCTTCGGTCATGAAGCGGACGAGAAGTCTCTCTTGCTCAGGCTTGACTTCAATGTCGCCATGTCGCCAGACCACGGCCGACGTCTTGCGACGGAAGACTGCGCCTTGGGTTGGCGACATCATCGCCGAGACTGCCCTGCCCGTGCCTTCGCCCGAGGTATCCAGATTGACCGTTATCTGTACATTCTTCAGGCTGATGGCTTGACTTCCAAAGACAGGATTGAGACTGTACAAGACAATGACGCTCACTTGTCCTTGGATGACCTGCCAGGCTGGAGTGATCAGGACTGGACTATACCGCCCAAGGTTGCTCTCGTCAACGTGAAGTTGATATTTCAAGCCTATCATCGGTGTCGGCCTGCGAATGGCCGAAGTGGCAACAGTGTAAGTACCAGCTTGTTCCTCGGCAACGGCATCTCCGTCAGGTTTCACCTGCGTCAAGAATATCGGATTCGCAGCAACTTTGTCCAGCAGTTCGAAGTGCTGCATACGGATCAACTCGTGGCCCGACTCGCCCGACGGTGGGGGATTGTATGCGAATGCCACTTCTCCGAGAACAAGGCACTTGCTGATGCCGGTTTCAGTGAACCAAGAATGGACATTCTCCACGATCGAAGCGTTCAGTCCAGCCTCGTGAAGGTCGACATGATGGGTAGGTCCAGCTAGACTGCGAGAAGAATGGATCGAGGTCGTGTCGGACCCCAAACCATGCTCTTCATGAATCATTGCTGCAGGTGGTGGTCGTTGTATTGGAGATGCGATGTTTTCGTTAGCATTGCTTCCGGACGGAATGGTGACTGGCGGGCCTGGTCGAGGGATAGAGGGGCTTGCTGCGAACGGTTCGGTGCTGCTCGGCACGTACATGGTGTTCCTAACATCTCGCCGTCCTCTCACACTGCCTTGGACACGGTTAATGCCCGAGGTCTGCGCTTGGGTACGTAGCTGGTTGGCCATCGTAGAAAGAGCATTTTGGGCTTCGCTCTCATCCTCCTGGATTGGCTTGTCACGTATCATGAAGTTACGGGAGGACTCGTCATTTGCAAGGCCTGTAACTGGTACTTCTGGCGAATCTGGTGCCCACGGATTCGAGCCTGGTACTGGAGGCTGGGGTTTTTCTGGAGAGTGAGCTTGGCTTTCTGGCGTGCTGACAGCATCAAGCAAGGCAGATTGAGGAGCTGCCACGTCTGGGACCGATTCCACAGGAGCTGCCAATGCCCTGGCCCCGTTTGTCGTTGGCAATGGCGGTTCAGGTTGAGGAATAGACGGCAAGTCATCATGTATGTCTCGTGATATCGATGACATTGGTCTTCCGTCTCGAGTGGTGCTAGGCGTCAGATCCTGCCCTGTTTCTTCCAGGTCCTGGAAGCTTCGCGACGAGTCTCCCCGCCTGAAAGGAACAAAAGACCGAGTTTTTCGCTTCTCCTCGGTAGATTGAGAATGTGGAGGGGGCACGACACTCTTTCTCCTAGCCATTACTGTACCAAATCGTTTGAGCCCACCAAGTTTGCTCTTCTCTTTGGTCGGTGTAGCATCAGGCACTGAATCATGTTAGCCACTGGGCGTTGTAGACTGACAGACAACTTACAAGGGGCCAATCTATCCTGGCCAGCAAACGAATTAGTGCGCTGGCTTTGTCTATCGTCTGCATGTCGCGGAGGGGGTGGAGTAGGAGGGGGTCGTAGATGGGAGCTCTGCGGTCTTGCGCTCGTGCTTGCTGTCGCCGAGCTGCGACGTCTGACGAGACTGTTGCGGGTGGTGGTGGCTCTTGTTGCAAATGTCTTGATTTCGTCCGCAGTTTCAATGTTTAGGAGCGCATTCAGACAAGATTCTGCGCTGAGCCTGTTCTTCTCAATGGCATCCACCTCGTGAGTTTGAAACTGTGTGAGGACGTCTCTCAGATGGTTCACTCTCGTTTCGTCCAGTGCCTGCAACTGTTCAAACACATAGGGCGCTTGGGTCTCCCATTGTCGAGAGCTATCCTCAAGCGTGGAGCTTGCACTGTCAGCCTTCCGTCCGCCTTTGGCTGCTTTGCGCTGCGCATTCATCAATTCCTTTGCCAGAGAGCTGAGATTGCCTTGCGTTGTGCTCAACGCCTGCATCTCTCGATTGCGGCTTGCAAACTGCCTGAGGGGAGTCTCGACATCGGTCTCGATCTTCGCGGCGAGGGTTTCGTGGGAGGCTGCGAGGTTCTCTGTACCGGATACGATGCGCTGCCACGGCATCTGGAAGATGCTGATGTGTGTCAATTACAAGCCACCATGACACAGCGGTGAGTCTTACCCCAGCGCAGCAGCTCCATCTTGTTGTGGCCTTCGCGCGAGCTTCCGCAGGCCTGCGACGTAGGCTTCTTCTACCCTGCGACGTTCCTGGGTACAGATTAATTTGCGTCCAGCCGAGGTATACAGCCAGTGCTAACCTGAAGCCAATCGGCAATGTCGGTGTTGATCTTCTTTATAAGGTCGACACGATCATTGAGGATGTTTACTGCCTGTTCGGGTTGCAGTGAGGTCTGGCGCAACAAGAGTCAGTCTCGTGAACCGGAGGCTGCGGATTGCAGAAGACGGGTCATACCAGAAGACTCGGATACTCGGTGCGCGAGAACTCCATGGTGGCAGCTTCCTGGATGTCAAGAAAGCATCGAAGCCCGTCGAATCCGGGTGTCTTGCATCGAAGAAGTGGTGGTGAGAGATATGCGCAACGCGAGGCCACAGCACAAATAAAGATGCGTGGAGTAATAAGAGAGACTCAACGGCCCCCCGGACGGATTGAAAGCTCGCTGGGTCTCTAACTGGCTGCTTACGTACTAAGCTGGCCTGCATTCCCGTGCCTTCGTACCACAACTCATCATTTTCCAACCCCTCGTTGTTATGAACGCCGACATTCGCCATGCGGCTGGCATTGGTAGGGATGCCATCAAAAGCTATAAGGGATTCGTCCCTTTTGCTGCTATAAGGGAATCGTCGGGGTCGAGCTCATTCACAGGTTCATGGATGCGCCGGTCTTGGTCGAATTCAGCACGGTACAAAAGCAGAACGTTCACAAGTTCCTCCATGATAAACAAACAGAAGGTCGACGAGCTGCGGAGTCCCTTTGTCGCCAATCTAGACTACACTGAAAAAGGTGTCTAGCAGTTGATGGCTGTGACGCCACAGGAGCGGCCTTTGCCTACCTCTTACAGGGATGTTGCGTTCGAACTCGATGGAGATCCTATATGCCCTAGGCGAATCAATGTCTTTACCCTTCTCTCGCAACAGTTCATGGAGTTTATGTTGATCCTGAGCAAATCAATGGCTACACGGTTGTCGACAAGTGATTGCTGACTACCGTTTGGTTCTTGATGTCTTTCCAAGATATGCATGCGTTTCTATGCGGTATAGCAATCCTCGAATCCAGGTCACCAAAATGCGAAGCTTGTTAGAGCTGCTTGACCGATGGTTTCAGGACTTTGATCGAGATGTGCGACTTTTCTACCGAGTAAATCGAACTCGACAAGATTCAACAATGGGCCATTAATATGGTCAATGAGAAGAATACGAACTGCCACATCTTTCAAGACCCCAGTGGACAGGATGAAGATACCTCAGACGACGGGAATAGTGATACTTCCGACAACGATTTCGAAAATGTGTGATGGCAACACAGTGATAGCATCCTAGATAAACATTGACAATTTGAACAATCGGGCACTCCAACGTTGGTCAGATGTTCTGAGTCTGGGGCCAACTCAATCGTGATGTATCGGATCTGTCGAACTCGTTCTTGGCTTATGGCAGAGATAGCAACAGTCTTTTTCATTCATCGCCCAATACTAGGAATCATGGGGACTATCTGCATCCAGTGTTGTAGTGGCAGTCGCTCAGCTCCCCAGATAATCAATGAGGCATCGAGAACTTTAGGGAAAGCCTGCACATCCACAACCATATCCATATCATCATCATCGTCATCATCGTTGCCAAGTCTTGTAGTGTTTTCGGTCCTTCGGCGCGCGAAGCAAACAGAATGAGGTACTGCTGAACTGTGCATGGAGGAAGCAACGCTTCTGAGTCAATACTGGCCAGCGCTTGTCCGCTAAATTTTTGGAAGCCTCCCGACACACGACTGTGAATCTAGCGTACAATCAATGAAGCTTAGGCCGTGAGATAGGACACGCTTGGATTGTTCTCGGCAGGATTCAATAACCTTGCGAACACCAAAAAAGCGGCTCGGTACTCCGCGCATACAAACCTCGTATTGTCGACGGCTGAGTGCGCCGGCTTAGCCTTCAAAAGCTGTGGGCGCATTAGCCACGGGGTTTGAATGATGTGCACAGCCAGCGGACGGCTACTCATCGGTTAGAGGTTAGCACGCCTTATTTAACGGGTCGATTATGTCTGCCGAGATACCACTACAGGAATCGAGATTAATAAGAGAGTGTTGAGAGTAGACTAGTGAGAGGATCAGGCTAAGGGTTGTACAGGGCGGACAATTACCGATTTCGGCTTCGTAAACAAACAGTGGGAATGAACGCAAAATCAGAGAGAAGTATGTGGCCATTTGCGCAGTTCTGGGGGCCTAAACTAGTTTCAACGGAGCGCGCTCATCATGTACAGTCGGTTGCAAAACTGCCTTCACCCGAGTCAACTCGATGTCCACCTTCCCCTGCCCTCGCCATCATCTTTTCGTCAATGTCGAATTTGCTACAACCACGTCCGGGAATTTAGGGCTAGCCTGCTGCAGCAGTGGTGCCGGAGGATGTCCCAAGACGAACTGAAAGAACGCATTCACGTAAGTCGTCACAATGGTAAGGATGCGTTCGCCCTTGACGCTGCCAATCAACGGTGTGAGCTCTTGAGAAGGTATCAGCGCGCGTAACCCGAGGGTGTCGACGATGATCGGAAAGTCCGTAAATGTCCCATGTTGACTGCCCACAACCGTCATCTGAGCCTTTGAGCTGTTCAGGTGCGTCCATATGCTGGCCCAGGTAGCTTCTGTGGACTGGTTCTTTCCGTCGTGCTCGAAAAACATGAATGGTTTGTCAAGACCCTCGGAGACAACCTGACCAAACAAAGTCCCATCGAGATTGACTCCCGCAAGAGGCCGATGATCTTGCAACATGGTCTCAGCCGCTGCTGCTCCTCCGATTGAGTGGCCGAAGACAAATGTCTGGGATGGGTTCATTTTTCCATACACCTTCTGCAGAAGGGATCTCGTAACCGTCCGATTCCGCATTTGGTCCATAACGAACGAAAGGTCTTTGGTTCGAACTGCCACCGCTGTGTCGAGTTGGCTAACGTCGGAGTCGTTGATATTTGCAGCCATTACCAGGTCGCCGTTGGGAAATTCAACGACGTCAGCGTCATACGGGTGATCTACCGTCACAACGACGTAGCCCAGGGCTGCCAATGATGCCGCGAAGCTACTGTAGATCAGTCGAGAAAACCCCAACCCTGGCGAAAAGATGGCGAGAGGGTATTTGTTCTTCGGGGGGTTTTGAGACAATGTGTTCCCGCACAGCGCCAAATGTAAGGCTTCAAATGTCCCATTGGGCAGCCCAGCTGCGCCGTATTCCTGGTCATAGACGGCGGCGGTCCCTGCTGGCATATAGGAGATGTTAGTGTGCTGGCAATCCGCTATCTCGGCCACAGGATAAAAGGCAGAGACCATGAGTCGCCGATCTTGTTTGGTGGGTGCGTATGGGTCGAGCAATTTGGTGTTGATGAGCTCAGCGGTGGCCGTGCCCACACCGTAAGGTCCGTTGAAGATCTGAATAGCAGTGTTGGCAGCGAGGCATGCTTTAACAAGAATCGAGACAGCAGTTACTGCTTGAATGAACGAGACCATGATCATTCTTCCGACAGATAGATTTTGGCGTGCTATTGCTGACTGAAAACTCCTGATAGACAAAGCGATGAAGAGTAGTGTGTTGCAAGCATGGAACTTTTAACAGCACAAGTCGACGAGGTCCTTTGCTTTATATAGACAGCAGTCGGCCTTTTCATCATCATAGTGTCCCTCCGCCGTGACCACTACCGCCACCACGCACTCACGGACATCAAGTATGAATGAGGCTCACCATGCCCAATATCCGATGTGGCTATGGAGTGCAAAGTATAGCATTGCTCCACTTCGCGCGATCACAACCTATTGTGGTTTAGCGCGCCCCCTGCAGCTGACTCACAAGGCTGAACAACGCTTTCACTAGCCCGGGCCCCAATCATTCCCCTCCACAACGCTGGGCCCATGAAGAAACCAAGATGCCAGCTCGATACTCGATGTGACGCACAGAAAACTCTCTTAAATTGCACCGCAAGTCAATGTCTCGCGCGAAGGATTCCTGTTCCAGGTATAAATGCGAAATGAGGGCCTTTGAGAACGAGACGCGCAAAGCTTGAGCACCAAGATACGCCGGACCAGCCGCAGCCCGCAAATGACGGTTGGACCATTTGATCTGAGAAAGCGTCGCTCACGCTGTGTACAGTGCTCAAGCAGTCATCTCAAGGTAAGGGCGTGTCCGTTGAGACTATGACACCCTCTCATCATCGGATTGGCGTATAGTGTTCGGGCGAAGTGCCCTGCGGCAACTGTACTCGTCGAGGCAAGGTCTGCTCGCCGCCCACACAAGACAACACGATCAAGGTGACGACTAAGCACGCCAAACCGCCAAATAGCCCAGCACCGCAACAGCAGGTGATATGGGCGTTGGCTCGACCAGTCGCGGTCGACAAGCAGTCTCTGTACGTGGTGGAATTCTTCGACAAGTTCTTGGAGAGGAACAGCTTCACCGGCCGACCTCAGTCTTCATTTCCCGCCGTCCGCTCGGTTCTAGAAGGCAACCAGAGTTTGTTGAATGTGATCTCTGCCATTGGCGCGCTGCAGGTGTCTCGATGGCGTCCGGCGACCTGCACGCGCAGAGACGCGCTCGTCAATTATCGAGACGCCGTGACTGCTCTGCAATCCGAAATCGAGTGTGCCGCGGGAAGTAGACATGCCATTGTCGGTCTGTCGTGGAGCACTTTGTTCTTAGGCTTATTCGAGGTCAGTCTCGCCGCGAATGGTCTCCAAGGGAGACAGGCAGCTATGGGGGCAAATGCTGATTGACTGCGAATAGCTGATGTACGAGAGTACCGGCGACGGATGGATTCGCCACATGATATATGGGACTTCGCGGCTGCTGCAACTGCTGACCCCTGAGGGTTGCTCCTGGGGGCCTGGCAGAGAATTCTACCTTGAAGCCCGGATCTTCGAGGTTGCTCGATCGATGCTGTTCGTTGAGGAATCGTTCCTGACAACGCCTCCTTGGAAGTCTTTAACACTGACGGTATGGTCGGGGACATATGCGAAAGATTGGACGCCTCTGGAGAGCCTTCTGGACATTATGATCACGGTGGCGGATCTCTGTATTCGGTAGGGACCTAACCGTAACGAATCTTAGGAGATTCGCTAAAGATGAACAGGGCAATGAGATTCATTCTGCCGAGAGAGATCGACGGTGCCTGCGAAGTTGATGTGGACCAGCTTCGTGCTTTCGCTGAGCAAGGCGCTGCATTGAAGACAGAATTGACGGCTTGGAGTAACACGGCACGAGAATGGTATGCTGAGCATGCTGCAGATGGCCACAATTTCCTCTCTGCTGTGTATTATTCTGCCATTTCCATATATCATTCAGGCATCTACGACTATTCCGATATCTGGCGTCACGCAGAGGTGACCACACCGTCTCTCCCTTCTTCCGACATTCAGCAGCACGTCCGCACAATCCTACATCTCTCCACGCTTGCTCTTCACCATACCAACCTGAGCAGCATAGTTTTTCTTCTTCCGCTCCGAATTGCTGGAGCGCGAGCCAAATTGCCGGAGCAAAGAGCTCAGATCAGGAAATTGCTCATCACCATCACAAATCCCTTTCGAGCCGCCAAAGCCATAATATCCGATCTTGAAGAAGTGTGGACCAATTAGTCAAGTTTTCTTCAGCCTGTAGCCAACCGCCAGGTGAGCAGGGGCTGATTATGCGCCAGGATTCATCCTTGAAGCGCATAGAGCTGCGGTAATGTCTTGAACGAGCCGAGTCAACCCCAAGCACATAGATGCTGCTGCGGCAACGTGCTCAACGGAGGAGGAGTTGCGTGGCTGGCTTGTTTGACAGCAGATTCATCCATATGTGCTGTGTCGGTAGAGGTTTCCTCGCTTTCCTCCCTCCTGATACTTGCGCAAAGCGCTTTGGTTCGCTTTCCCTGAGCTTAACCCTGTGTCGGGCAGGAAATAAATAACTGGCTATTGCAAGGAGGCTCGAAGGGGTCAAGCATGCTTGTATCCTGCCAATCACTCATATCGATTTTGAATTTTCACACTGGTCCTGTTCCGACGGAGCCGCTGTCTGCTGGGCAACCTCCTTTGGATAGTTGACAATGTATTCAAATTCTCTGGGGTTCAACCTCTTCCAATCACGCAAGAATTCCAACCCAACCACTTTCTTGCGGGTGTACGTAGAGGCATGTCGAGTAATTTGTTCGGGAGGGAACTGGTACCTGGAGCGATACATAAGGTGAAAGCTATTGTGCCAACATTGGCCAGCTTCCTCAACTCTTACAAACGGGTCAACCCACGCTGAAGCCCTTCAGGTTGGGAGCATTGTGGCGTGTCGTCTTTCGCTAGTCTATTACGTATCCTCCACTGCCGGTAAGCGCGGGCATCATCTTCTTCTCGGCGTCGTCGAGCGGCTTCAGGTCGAGTTCCAACCTCAACAAGCCGGACATGATAGCCATATAGGCTCGAAACCGGAGCGACTGAGTGTACTTCGTGGTGAAGTCTAAAGAGAGAAAACACTGAAGCCCTCCGCGTCGTTTTTTGGTAGGTCGCTCATATCTACATGACACTTCCCGAAGATATAGGGCAAGCCCTGTTTGTGGGGTAAGCAAAAGCGGCAGGACATTCCGCGGGGCAACAGGGAGACGCGTCGCGATTACGCCGACCGAAACACGCCCGTCATGTCTGTAGAGTTCGAGGCATTGTCGAATGCTTGTTAGGTAAACATGTCGCGCATCAGTTCTGCAGCGCAGCCGCGGGCACTCACCCTCACTGAAGAGCTCGAAAAACTCGAGCAATCCATCACGCTCACATTGCAAGGTATGTAACCTCTACGTCAAATGTCGTAAGCCGGACTAATTTTCTCAGAGATTGATCACAATTTCAGCCGTGCCCACCGCATCGTCACATCGAGTATCCTGCCTATCGTCGAACAATATGCCGTCCATTCGAAGGATGTTTGGGAAGGGTCGAGAGTAAGGCTCCTAACATGGAGGCTGGGGAACAAGACACTGAGAAATCGCAGTTCTGGAAGCAATTCTTTGAGTCCAGCGCCAATGTCTCCCTCTCGGGATACGAGGAGCGACCGTCACAGTTAGAGACGACGGACGAGATAACAGACAACACAGTCACGGAAGAGTCCAATGCCACAACACATACGACGCTGGAAACGTCGGAATCGTACGAGACACCTGCTGCGCAGCATATCTCGACGGACTCGATACAAGATCTTGATCTGTCCAACTTGACCATGTCGCCATCTCACAGCACGCCACGGCCACCACGGCCACAGCAGGCCAACTTTGCCGACTATCCTTCTCCCTACGAAGCGCTCCGTCGAGAGATCAATAACACAACAGTCGATGCAACTTCATTGACCCACGGCGCAATGCCCGAAACCCCTGGAAGACCAGTCTTTCCGATTGATGCTATCGCGCGCACCCCAGAATCCTCTCCATATCTCCCCCCACAGCCAACTTCTATACCTCGCCCTTCGACCACTCGGAAAAAGACCGACCCGGTGCTCCATCATGTGTTAGACCGGACTTATCGTTTGCAAGCAACGCCCATGACCGCCAGCCGGTATACCGATATCCACCACAAGTCCACAACACGACTGTTCGCGACAGGAAGACAGAACACAAGTGTTGATCCAACACTGTCATCTAGTCCAGTTGCACCACCTGAACTACATCCAGAAATATTCTCGTCCCCAGAACGCAAGACCCGGATTCCGGGAGTCAGTGTTCTGAGTCCTGCAAAGCACAAGGGAGAGAAGCTAAGCGCCCCCACACGTACTCAAGGCATATGGGACAGTGATGACGATGATCTGGACGACGAAATCGACTTTGGCCAGAGTCCCCCCAAGACCATGCAGTTTCATATTCCTCAGAACCGACTCCTAAAGACGCCAGGTGTGCATGTCCGTATCTCAGTCTAAATGTACCCCTCTGCTGACCAGTTCCATCTAGCCAAGGAAGCCTCTCAACGTATCGTGGATGACATCCTTACCCGAGCTGGGATGGACTTCGAAGAGGAAGAGATCGACTTCTCCCGCGAGCTCGAGACGGAGGCACTTGATGTTGGCGCCGCCAGCCCTAGCGTGGTGCGCGCCACCGCCAATATTGAGGATGAGACATTCTAGATCAACTGCTCAGCTGCGGAACAGGTTACTATTTCTGATCGGCTTAGCTTGCAGATGCGCAAAGGCAAACATACACCATTGGAAGACCCGTGCGTCTGGGACTGCTAGTCATCACGTTCTGCTTGTGAGAAGGTCCTCCTATGAGACGAGATATCAACGTGTTTGCCCGTTCGTGCTCATAGACGAGAGGACGAAGGCCCGTTCGGCCGGGGCTTCATTTGCAAGAGGCGCTCGATGCCAGCATCATCAACGATCTATTGCCCCACCGGGCTGTGAATAACATCGCGGGCGCTTCTGTACCTTATGTAGAGACTGTCTCGAAGTGCTATGTGAATGCACCTGTCGCTGTACCTGTACCCAGCAACGCACTCAAACTGTGCGCACATGCTTCGCTACCTTGTGTAGCTGGCCGGCCACAAGCTTCCTCGAGATGGCTTAGTCAGACAAGCGACTGCGCACAATCCACCGGTCCCAGGGACTCGTGGGCTGCCCTCGGCCCCTTCCTCATTAACGCCTAAATAACGCTACGAACCTGCTTTTGACCCCACTAACTCTCTCGGCAGGGCAGGAGCCAATCGCTCGCTCTCCCTCTCCGCAGATCCAAATATTTTTTTTTCCTCGCTCCCTCTGTCGCATGCTCGTACAACATTTGGCAGATTTGCTTCACCTCACTTGTATCTTACGGTGTAGCACTCCCCAACGCCGCCCAAGCATCGTACCTTCTCCCTCCTCCAATCTACGACCTCCTAGATCCGCTGTCATCTGCATCGTCGGCTACTCAAGTCAGCTGCCACCTCTACTCTCTTCCTTCCCGCAACTCCAATCCGCGCTTGAACACCAACATGCCTGTCAAAAAGAAGGAAGCCACCACGGGCAACGCGGTCCCTCGGGCCGAAGTCCTTGGGGTCGTTGGACATTATCTCACCGAATTTGGACTTGCCTCGACGAACAAGGCTTTCCAGAAGGAACTGAAACGCTTGCAGGAAAGCGCAGGCTGGCCGGTCCCTGCCCAAGACGAGAAGATCGGTGACCTAGTGGCGGTCTTGGAGCAAGGCTTCTTGTCGGTGACTGGCGATTTAGCGACCAAGAACTCGACATCATCAGAAGACAGTGAGGCGGATTCTGGATCATCCGAAAGCTCGGGTAGCACATCGTCATCGGACAGCTCCGTCGACTCCGGCAGCGACAGTGATAGCGAAGTCGATATCAGCAGTGATAGTGATGCAGATATCAGCAACGATAGCGACGACGACAGTGACAGCAGCGAAACCAGCAGCAGTACTGACTCGTCTTCATCCAACATACCCAAAAAGACGGCCAGCGCGAAGAAGAAGAATGGCAAGAACCTCAAGCTATCCGCCTCGACTTCAGCATCATCGTCTTCGTCTTCTGAATCGTCAATCGAGAGTGATGAAGACGAGGTTGCTACCCAGCCTAAATCTGCTGTGAGCAGCCTCAAGCCCAAATCCTCTGTGGAATCCGTGAAGCCAGCCAGCACGAAAACTCTTAAGCGGAAGGCCGAGGCTTCGAGCTCCTCAGGATCGTCTTCCAGTTCCGATTCTGATTCCTCCGAGGAGGACGAGCCCCCTGTGAAACGAGCAAAAGTTGTCCCAGCTAGCACAGCTACCCAAACGTCTTCGAGCGAATCGTCATCAGAGTCGGACAGTGACTCCAGTGACGATGAAGCCGCCGGCGAGGCAGGCAATGGCGCAAAGCTAGGTCCTGAACACGACGAAAAGTCCGACTCATCTAATACCGTGATGGGAGACAACATGGTCGCAGCCTCAAGACCAGTATTTGAGAAAACGCCTAAAAAACATGTTGGTGCGAGGCCCACCCCGTTGGCGCAACTCTCTGCTCAAGCTACCGGAGATAGTTATCTCAGCAATGCCTACCAAAGTTACGACTACGCGGATCGTGCATACAAGGATCTGTCTGTTACTCGCGGCAAAGGCTTCACCAAAGAGAAAAACAAGAAGAAGCGCGGCAGCTACCGTGGCGGAGCCATCGATATAAGTGGCGGTAAAGCGTTCAAGTTCGATGACTGATTCTGCTTGGAGGACTACGGCATGGCAAAGCCGGGGAACCTAGGATCTGGGGATGAATGATGATGGTGACGGTGATGGTGTCGTTGGGTCGTGGTCGATATATCATTAGCATCGGCGTTTTTTAGCGAAGCATGGAGTTGGTAGTCCAGGCCCAAGACGGAGGGCGCTAGCAGGACTGGCTTATTCATACGCTCAGCATATTAGATTAGAGATAGACTATCACGGTCTGTCGTGAGGCAGTCGAATGACAAGGCTTTACTTCTATTTTTTACTTCTCTTTCGATAGACCTCGTGATGACATATGATCAGGATTTCTCGAAAAACCCCCTCCTCTTTGATATGTATCACCAACTCACTGGCCGTGGCAGGAAGCAGAGATCCACGGAACCAACTCAGGGCCCCATTGCGCAGGGGTCGATGGTGGCGGCGCTTCTTATGGGGGAATAGAAGAGACCCGACAACTCGACTTTTATTTTGGTCTCGTCCATCCTATGAGTATTTTGGAGCCGTCTGGGCACACTCCAAAGTGTGTTTCAAAGAGTGTACCCATGCCCCTAACCGCCCCCCCCCCTCCCCCGCCCCCATGTACACGATTCTGGTAGGAGGACACCGGAGTCACACGGCCGTGTTATGTTCAGGGACTGACTTGTCACGTTGCCTTTTCTCAAAAGGAAAATGGTTACCCTCGGTGTGCTCTTAACATTCATTGGTTGTTACCGACTGCGCCTCGTCCGTCGTACGTACGAGTTAGAGGAGGAAACGCTCGTGTCCTGATCGAATTCGCCGATCGTCTGAGACCACCGGGCCGACGGACGTGCTCATTCCTGGCTCGAATCTTTCACGCTTTTCCCAAAGTCTGCACGCTCGAGTCCTTGTTTCAGCGCTTCACTCGCGGTCAGTCTTTCAGTCGGCTCGTAGCACACGGTCCTGCGCACAAAATCGATCGACCGGGGGGTCGCCCCGGGTAGGATCTCCCTCCAGTCTCTGGCCGGGTACTCCTTGAATTTCATTTTGCCCCAGTCAGGATAGAGCCTGGCGGAGGGCCACGTGCGGCTGTCGGGCGTGCCCAGCGTGGTGAAGATCGATCTGATGAGCCCGAGTTCGCTGCCCACGGGTCCGGCGTCGAAGAGCGGTAAACCTCCAACAGCACCCGCACCACCCCCATCCCTGATCATCTCCGCCACGACACATCCTGCGGCCCACATGTCCAACGACGTGTCGTACGAGCGGTATCCGAACAGCAGCTCCGGCGGTCGATAACACGTGGTGCCGACGTCTGTGATTTTGGCATCCGCCGGCTCGCAATCCTCGTCCTCGGCCGTCCACGCGATGCCAAAATCGATCAGATACACGGGCCCTTGCATCGAGGCGAGCATGATGTTGGACGGCTTCACGTCTCGGTGGACCATGCCCAGCCCGTGGACGTGCTCCAGGGCTTGGAACAGTCCGTCGAAGATCATCTTCGCCTGCCCCCGGTCGAGCCGTCCCGACCGGAGTAGGTTTTCAAGGTCCTGCCTGAGGAAAGGGAACACCAGGATGAAGCGTCCGGGCGCCTCACGCTGCGTGTCCAGCAGGGGCACCACGTGCTCGTGGCGCGCCTTGACCAGAAGGCGGCTTTCTCTCTCGGGATTGTGTGGAGGATTCAAGCTGCCGATGTTGGTGACCTTTAACGCGACAATCTGTCCTGGAGCGCTCTGGTCCATGGACTCAGCTTTGTAGATGGTCGACGACTGGCCGTCGGCATGGAAGGTGGCGTAGCGATACTTGCCAAAGGTCGGGCCCTCGTGGTTGAGAATCTCGACATTGGTGGGTGGCTGACTTTCCTGGGTTTCCTGTGGTGTCGAGTCTATCGGCAATAGCAGTGTGTCGAGTGCTCGCTGGAGTCTCCCTTGGTACTCTGTCTGGTATTTGTCAGCACATTTAGGAGGATCTCGCCCATGCGTGGTTGAGGTCGGGCCTTACCGTAGAGCTGGCCTTGCCACGGATCTCCTCTTCGAGATTTCTGGCTTCATTACGGGCTGCATCGACAGACATGCCCTGCAGAGTAAGAGCGTTCGTCCTGCTGACGGTCAATTTGAGCCGTGCACAGGGCCGTCTGAACCATACAATTGCATAATGTGACTCAGTCTCTCTGAGAAGCTGACGTCGATAGCCATCTTGCCTGCTGATGAGCAGCGCAAGGTTGTGCTCTGCGTTACCTTACAGATAGTTTGGGCTCAGGAAGACGTCGACAACGAATCCTAGGAACATCATCGATGTCCAGTAGGCAGCATGGGCCAAGGCCAGAGAGACAGGTTGTTTGGTATACCTGTCCTCCACTTCTGTTGTTCTGGTATTTTCCGGGCGGCAGCAAGTTCGCGGACGGTTGACGTTTTGTGCAACTTCAAGACAAGCTCTCTCCGGGGACAATCAAACGGTCTGGGCTCAGGGCAGAGAACCATCAGGTGTTGCTCAGACTGTTTGCTTGCAAACCGCGGAGGGGCAAGGGCCGACGAACAAGGGTTCGCCGGGCGAAACTGAGGTCTAGATGGACAGCCGTCTCTGAGATTGACTCCGGTATGTATGTCGTCGGGACCGGAGATACCTGTTTCCGACTACAACACTGACCGGTGCTTGGTGTCGAAGTTCTCTCCTGGTTATTCCATATACCTATGTAGACTATAGCCAGCGCAAATCGCTCAGACATCCCCGTCCTACGTAAAACAAGGAGTATCTGCACTCGTAACTAAGGAGCCTGTCAGCCACCGACTCTGACAGAAAATTAAACGGCTATTCTCAGTGTGAAGGTCCCGACAATCTTCAGCAAGGTGGGTGGCCGTACGAAAAGGGAGACCGCATGAGGGAAAGGAACTATGTACTGAGTAAGCAAAGAGAATATACAGTCTCATTGATATGATAAATATCGTCGTTCTATCGTCACCATGTAGTCATTACCGAATACAAATTCTTAAGAATTACTAGGCAACTTTTTCTAGAGCCACCTCCGCGCAGTAGTAGTACACTTGTATCTAAAATAACTCCTAGAAGAACTCCGAGCTTTCAGCCCTCTCGAGCTGTGAGAATCGATGATGCCATGTTCCGTCCAGTCTTCCGTTCAGACTGGGGTTGTTGTGTGTTGTGACAATGTCTCAAAGCGTCACATTATTACCTTTCTCCCCATCATGGCTTGCGTTTACATGATGATCGAAGGCACCTCGACGTTTGCTTTGATGCTCTTGTGAGGCAACACGCTGCCACCGTTGACGTAGATCTCGTCGCCAATCGACACATCATCACCTAGAACAGTGACGTTCTCCAGACGAGCCCAGCGGCCGACGGTCGATCTCCAGCCTGTTAACGAAATGAAATCAGTCGCTGCAACACTCCCGCTAATAACGAAATAGGATAACTCACCGACAATGGTTGACTTGACCCAGGCATGATCTTTGACCTTGGAATCCTCGAGCAGTACGCATCTCTGTAGTCTGGCACCGTCACCGATGACACAGCCAGGCCCAATGACCACGTTCGGGCCAATGCGGCAGCCCTTGCCAATCTTGGCCGTCGGGTCGACCATGACATTGCCACCGAAGACGTACGGCTCGTTGTTCGACACGAGCGCCTTGGGGTTGTTCTTGGCCAGAGAAGAGAGGTACAGGCATGTGCCGCTCAAGAAATCCTTGGGCTGGCCGACGTCCATCCAGAAGCCTTCCAGGTCAAACGAGTGCAGCTGGTTATCCTTGCAAATTGCGGGGAATGTTTCTTGCTCGATGGACGTCGGTCGAAGTTCGATTCTCTTCAGGACCGAAGGGTTGAGGATGTAGATGCCGGCGTTGATCCGGTTGCCCACGAACTCGACGGGCTTCTCGACGAAGCGGTCGATGCGCGAGGGGTGGTTGGGCTTGTGGACGATGACACCGTATTTGCTAGGCTCTTCGACCTTGGTCACGACAATGGTGCCCTCGTCGCCGTGCGAGTTGTGGAACTCGGCTAGTTGCTTGAAGGGGTATTCGCAGATGACGTCCGAGTTCAGGACGAAGAACGGCGTGTCGTCCTTTCCGAGGATCTTTTCGGCCAGTTTCAAGGGACCGGCTGTGCCCAGAGGCTCGGTCTCGACAGAGAATGTGATCTTGACGTTGTACAGTTCTTCGTATTTCTTCAGGGCACCCGTCATGACTTCTGGACGATAGTTAACCGCCAGGACAATATCCGTGACTCCGGCAGCGGCGAGTGCTTCAACTTGGTGCAGAATCATGGGTCGGTTCGCGAATTCGACAAGGGGTTTGGGAAGGGTGAGGGTGAGAGGTCGCAGTCTGGTGCCGAAGCCACCGACTCTGGGAGCAGGTTAGTAGCGGTGTCTCGCTGGCCTCTTTCGAGGGTAGCGGTGGGCACATACAGAATGAGGGCTGTGGTGATGTTAGTATGGGCTTGCACGCAGGGCGACGTTGATTTAGGATTGACATACCCTTCATGTTTGCGCGAGGTGCTGGTCTTGTTAAGTGGTGAACGAGCGAAAGAAGACAAAGCGGAGCAGCCCCGGTGAATGGTAGAAAGCGAGCGTGTAGTAGTAGTGTTGAAGAACTACCCTTTGTGTGGAAATGGTGATGTTCAGGCAGGTCAAAGAGCAAAAGGAAAGAAGAGGCAGCGGCAGATGGGATGGAAGAATGCCAGGTGTGATATAGGCCTCAGTATGGAGCAGGTGGTGTGCAGTGCCAGTGTCACTTTTACAACCCTTGAAGGCTTCAAGTCGAGCCACAGTGTTCAAAAAAGTTTAGTACCCCCTAGGTACATAATAATGGGCCCTCAGCTCCGACAAGCTTAATTTATCGATAGCGAGCAGGGCCGAGACCGTAGGGAGTAACCCAAGGTCCTCCGTATGGCGGAAGATTATTGAACTGGTACCTTGATTTAGAAAAGTCACACAGTTTGCTCTCTTCCTCCTCGACGCTCATACACAGTTACACTGGGCTCAGCCAGACGGTTCTTCACGGGCGCCAGAGTCCCAGTCAGTGGTCACACCCACTGCAAAAGTCCAGGTCAGAGTTCAGTGGTCAGTGGTCACTAGGTGTCACCAGGTGTCACCAGATGTCCTCACCGAGTCACCGCATGGATATCGTGTCTCGTCTCTATAGACTGTCAGACAAGGGGGATATTATTGTTGTATGCTGAAGCAATGAAATCTCCGCATGTTCCTACAATAATGTAAGTTCCACGCGAGGGTCAGGGTCACTGCCACCGTCGCATGGCTCTTGTCCTGCACATTTCGACACTTCTCCAGCCTTTCTCCTTTCTATCGATCAGCCCGCAAGTGCACGCCGGCTGTCAAAAGAAGTCTCTAGTGGCGGGCCGCCAGCCTGTCCTTCTGAGATTGCCAATAGGGAAAGGTGGCGTTCCATCTGTGCTGAATCCTCAGGATCTCAAGGAGGTGGATTCCGAACTTCGATCAGCCGCAGAACCATTTATTAATTGCAAGATACGGAGGTACACTGCTGGTTTATCCGTTGGACCTATGTAGCTAGTAAACTTACTGTACAAGTTACCGCCAACCAAGTGCTGTGCGAGTCCTCAAGCAATAATGTCTTCTTAGTCTCCGGGCATGCATCCGGGGGAGCGCAATGAGGCTGCTGGGAAGTTGAGGTCTGACGCCCACGCCGAACCTAGAGCATCCACGAGCCGGGCTTTTTCAGGGCGCGCGCTTCTCGCGTGGCTTTGATAATGGGATTTAGAATTTCTCGACGCCTGTATTCGTACTCTGCTGGGACCAATTGTCTAGGCTGTCCAAATTGAAGGCTCAGCAACGACCATTGGCTTGCCGCTGATCGATCACATGGGCACCTTGTGGGCGAACGGGCTACACAGCCACCATACTTGTAATAATAACTCTGAGCACCCCTACTCTTAGGCTGCTGAGAGCACTCGTTTCCCGATATCCCATGCCCTTGAACGAGCCATTTGTTGTCTTCCCCCCTATTACTCGTACCACTAATTTGCCCCTCCAAATAAAGGAACACCCACAAGCAAAAAGCCGCAAATTGCAAAAGCCACTCCTCCCCCCGGGAAAACATGTCAAGCTTGTCACCGGTCTTTTTTGAAAGTTATGTCATCTGAAGTTGATGCAATTGTTATTATTACTACATTTTGATCTGTGGTCCGTTGTGACTTGTCACGAAGCACTGGCCATTCAATCGCTGTCATATCTCGTCAATCGATGCCAACTACAAATACAAACAAAATAGGGGGCCGTTGGTGCTAGCTGCAAGCATCCCTTCTCTGAGCTCTCCTCCTACGCAGTAACCCCGGCCGCGTCCGAAGGTTGCTCGTCTCTCGCTGAGCCGATGGTATTACACCCCCACTGACTGCGCTGGATTCTTGCCGCTCTGCCTGTCCAAGAGGTTGTGATATCCTAAAAATCCCACCCAAAAGCTGCCAAAAAAGAAGAAGAAAATGGTTGTCAACATCGCTCAAGGGGTATCATCAGGAAGAAAACCATAGTCGTTCCTCCCTCTCCGCCGGCCCTTTGAAGCACGCGGTTGGTCGCCTCCATCGCCCACAAAGTCCATCATCCAATCTTTGACTCGCTTGACCTTCAGGACTTGGGGATCTTTGGCCGTCCTCAGGTTGGACAAGGTGTAGATGCCGCTGATGTCGTCGTCGTCGACTTTCTTGCGGAACAACAGGTCGATCTTGGTCACGTCGCCTTTGAGGCTCTGCCCGTGCACCTTTCCGCGGAACGAACTCAGGGCCACGTTCTGCAACAAGACCACGTCGCGCGGTCTCATGAATCGCAACGATCTTCGCAGAACACTCCGCGACCCTTCAGGAGTGGCTTTGGCACCGTCTTTCCAGTTGACGTGCATTTCCCGAGGTAGCCACATGCTGATGCAAAAGCCGGTTTTGGTCTCATCACCCACCACCAGCTCCACCAGTTCTGTCTCGCGCGGTCTGCCGTACTTTGCCCCCGTGATCACGGTTCGGGCAGGCGAGATTGACAAAATGCCCACGATCAGGTTCACCGTCATGGTCTGCGGCTCGATTGACGTCAGATAACGCGCATTGGGAATGTCATCCAGATCGCTCAGGTGCTTCGGCCGAGGCGCCTGGCTCAATCGTCTTTGTGATGGCGTCCGGATGATGCCGCCTCCGGGGGTCTGGGGAAACATCTCGTCACTGCTTTCGTAGGTTGGCGTGCCGGGCGTGTAGCTTGAAAAGGCGGATAGTTGTGACGAAGGAATGGCTTCATGAATCGCGAACGAATGCTCGTAGTACTCCGACAGCGCTTCTGAAGTGGCCTCACTCGAGCTCCCGGATGGTTGGGACTCGTCACAGCTCTCGTCGCTGCCCGGTGTTTGAGAGCCGGCATGTTCATCCGCGCTGAAGAAGTCGGCACCACGACGCTCAAATTCCTCCGGCGGTGACCTCGCATCAATGTTTAATTTCGGCAGAATTGGGCGCATTTGAAGCCTCTGAGTAGTGATCTGTCTCCATTGCGCACCAAAGGCTTTCGACGAAGGCGAAGGTGGTGAGCTGGTTGTAGTCGCAGTGGCGGTTTCAATGTGCATGGAATTTGGCAGGGAAAGTTTCTCGTTCCAATCAAGCTTGTTCGACTCTGGTGCACCTGCGAGAACGATCATTCGGGTCATATGTACCGTTGTTGTGGCCCAGGAGAGAATTTCGATGGTTTTGATCCAGAGAAACAAGCCCCGGCGCGTTTGATGGTCTGACTCGGCTTTCAGAGCTCTACCCGGAGAGTGGCTGCCACGAGTGAGTGACTGAGAACCGAGAAAATGGAGATAATGGATTGAAGCAAAAGTCGGTCAAGACTACCCCTTATAGACGGATGTGGCGGATGAAGGCAGTAACTTGTACTTTTTCCATTAGCTTCAACTTTCGGCCGAGCGCTAAGATGTCGAGCACGAGAGCTTCACAAAGGCCAGGTTGGCAATTCCCTAGGCGCCAGGTCGCCAATGGCCAGTCTAACGGATCGACAAAGTGTGGGCTGTGGCGCAAACAAGGGGTGGTGAGAGGGCAGAGAGAGCATTGAAGAGGCCAGCGAGGAGGAAATGAGGATTGATTTCACTTCCTAAACGTCAATGGATGCGTTTGGATAGGCAGCGAAAAAAACATAAAGGGTTGGGACATTGGGATTGGTTGAAGCTGCTGGTTCTCCCCAGAAAACTTGTGCAGCAGGTACAAGCCTCACAAGCCCAGTCCAACGGCCCCGAGTGCCCGGCTCTGGGTGCCATGAACCATCCCCAGGAGAGTAATAGCCTGAGCTGTGATTGGTATAACTTGTTGGGAGGGCCTAGTGAGCCCAGTTCGGCTTGAGGGAGATGGAGAGCGGCGTCATCTGACCCAGACTTTCCGAGATTGACTACCTCCGTACGGAGTACGAGGAGTACGAGGAGTACGAGCAAAGCACCTCCTGTAGCCTCTGTAGGGATGGAGAAACTATCCGCGCACTTCTCAGAAATCCCCCTGGGCGCCTCCGAAGCACTCGGGATCCAGTCCTCCGTACTCCGTACCTCGGGCCTCCCTACTTGTCTCTCCTCGTACAGATACGAGAATGAGATGGTGTTGAAGCACACGCCCTGGACACTATGAGTGCAAGTTCCGAGTCCCAGCTGAGGAAAACATGCCTACAGCTGGACGAGAACAGCCTACCTATGTAACAATGATCAAGTAACACGGCCACCGCCCGGGGGTCAACAGCCTGCATTGCAACCTGCTTGGAATCTGGATTCGCCAGACTTACCTATTTGAGATCTCCGCCTCACCTTCCCCGATTTGCATACTCATTCGCCCATTGCCAGTCTCCATCACATTGCAACATTTACCAACGCCATCCAACTCCAGCTTCTCTAGAGAGACTGGCAGCAATAGACTTTCATTTGGCTGTCCTAGTCATACTGGAGACTGCAATGGTTGAAGCTCCTCGATATCAATCCGGACCCTTGCCCCAACTTGACACTACGCGCATTCGCACGACGAACCGATAAATTCTCCCCTGCCTCTGGCACACACCCACGTACTTCCACCGCCTCCATAACGCGACCACTGCATCAGTTGCGCAGGATGGAGAAGCTCAGTCTGAAAGATGCCCCTACTCCGGGCTCGCCACGGCGAGGACCATCGCTATCAGGACCACCACAAGGCCCTCCTCAGCTGCCCCCGCAAATGTTCACGACTGCGGCGCAGCTGCTCGATCTTACAGACAGTACGCTCTTACCCTGAATAACTGGTGTCCTTGCACCACTTCTATGCCTATCATGCGTCCTGTTCCCCATTTTCCTAACCCTTATATTGATGTTTGCTTTACGTCACAGAAAAGCTCATGCTCGTTCTTCGAGACGGACGCAAGCTCTCCGGCATCCTGCGCTCATGGGATCAGTTCGCCAACCTTGTCCTCACGAACACGAACGAACGTTACTTCGTCACCACGACTGAGCAGCCCAAACCGAGGAACCTCTACTGCGATGTTGCGCGCGGCACCTACCTCGTCCGAGGCGAGAACGTGCTCTTGCTGGGCGAAGTTGACCTGGACAAGGACGACGAGCCGCCGGCGGGATGGGAGCAGGGCAACGCCGACGAGGTCTTTGAGCTGCATCGTGCCGCCGAGGCAGAGAGGAAGCGCAGAGACAAGGCCAAGGCCCGAAAAGCCGGGAATCTCTGGGGCGGAGACATGGAAGGTAGCGGCGAGGTTCTATTCTAGAAAACCCGACTCCGTCTCTCCAAGGCCAAGGGAAACAGGATCAAAACATTGACACATGACGAACTACAAATCCAAATAAACATCCACACCGGTGTGGGTGAACGTTTGTGTAAGGACGAATTGATTGTACAGGACACGAAGGTGGTTTACCCAAAAGGATGAAGGAGTCTTCTAGTGGTTCGCCGCTGGAGGGACTCATCTACTAGTGGTCTCGGTGGTGACGGCGCAAAATTGAATCGTGCCGAGATCCCTTGATCGAGGTTTACACATTAACGCCCCGTCGTGGTTTATGGCGGGAAGAGAGAGACCAAAGCAGAATATTGTGAAATGCGTTTTCTGGTCTCAGCCCTCCGGGAAATATCAATCAGGTTCTTCAAATGCCAGGGTTAGGCTTGGATTTGGCTTTGCTTCGTTCGGCCTGGATCCAAAGAAAGTTACCTACCTGGTTACGCTACACCATAAACAGATTTGAAACAGTTATCAATATCGATAGCTGACCAAGAATATGACATTATGCCACCAGAAAGTAGCAAGTGATCCTGGCACAGTCATTAACAATACTAGCCATAATTACCCAGCTAGGTGATCGATATATCTATCACAGTTCCTTTTCGCTTGTCAGATCAGAAGATATATCGACTCAAGTGGAGCGGACTCTACTCTCAAATAAGGGGATGTGATATCGATATCCTCTGGTTTAGGACCACTTTGCCGATTGGGTTTGTTGCGGGAGGAAAGGGATGATTTGCCTGTAGCAGGAGAGCACTTGATATGAGAGGCGTTTCATTTTGGACCACTCGATTGGGTGGATCTTGCACCAAAGGACGAGGACCCGCCTGCGGAGACAGACAGAAGGCTGGACCCACGCGGATGATATGGTGTGCGTGATAGTGAAGAGTTGTGAGATTGGAGGAAGCATTGAAGAGGACGTAAGGTCAAGGTCGAGGGAGGGTGGAAATGGACAAAGTAATGAGAAGGCGCCAGGTGAGAGGATCAAAGGATGCGCAATGTACCTGCATTGGAGGAGCGAGAAAGAGAGGGAGGGGGGAGAGCCAAACCCACGACCGATGTCTTCTGTTCTTGAGACAAGCTGTAATCTTCACCTTGATTGAGATGCATGGACAATATGATCAATGAATCTTATCTCTGTGGTCGGTGAAGCATGTCAGCCCTTCTCGTTATCGTCTATAACAGCACCGTCCCTTCGTCTAGCACATTCTCAACTCGGCTCAACACCGAACAATGACAGGCGCATTTTGACGAGGCTGGCAGCCTGGTTGCCCTTGAAGCCAAATCCACCCTTGCGCAAGTCCAAAATGCCAATGAGGTGCACTCAGTGGATGTTTCCTTCTTGGGTCATGACAATTGGCTTCGTCCCGTCCATGGCTTGAACCAAACGCCATGGTATTGCATTAGTCTGCCCGCCAGAAGACACGACAGTCCTAGACTCACAAGGAGATGAGCATCACCAAAGGAAAGACAAATGGCGTCATTTGAGCGAGCAGCAAGACTGTTCACGAGTCGAGCAAAGGATCTTCATCCACGGTCCCATCCTGGCACAGAGTTCCGTGTCGTGCAATAGTCTGTGGAAATGCGCAGCGTTCTCATGAATGTCATTCCATCCGCATACACGCGCAGAGAGCTTTGGGGATGACTCCAAGGCTTTTCACGACTCAGTCTGATCAAATGAACCGAGCTGTCCACGACTCTGTTCACACGTCCAGCACAATGGGGCCTCCACAACTGATGTGCCGATGCTTGTTTGCCATGGACAGCCGAGAATCACACGAGGGAGGGAGAATGTCGGCATGCCTCCCTCAGCCCTGGCCGAAAAATTCCGGACTGGCAAGGCTGAATGCGGGAAGCCACGGACTTATCAGCGGAAGTGAGAGCTCTTCAGCACGGAAATCTCTTGGGACACCGATAATGGTCGAGCAATCCATCACTAGCGCCTGTATCGTGGTCCATGACGCATCGCGAGCGAAAGAAACATAAGGGTATAAGAAAGGTCCAGAGGCAACAAAGACTGGCGTGATACTGGCGTTTTGCTCGGTACAGGGAAGCAAATGATGGATTCCGATGGGTTTACGGAGAACGGCAGAGTATTTGAAGCACCCAGAACGAGCCTGAGGCCAGAAGGCCGCGACTCCGGAGTCTGTACGGAGTACTGGCGAGGGAGGTAGTCAGGCGAGGCGAGAGAAGCCTCGGACCACAGGAGACTCTAGCTCAAAGGCCTAGCAGCTCCATAATCATGTGCCTGTCAAAGTGCAGGCCTGAGGTAAGTGGGTTTCTCTTCAGCGCGGGTCTTAGCGAAGCCTTTCGCTCTCTTGCCCTCCCTCCTTCCCCCACAGGCCGAGAACAGAGCAAGGGACAATCGTCAATACTCACGCCGTTGCTCATACGAGTCATCTGTGCCTCGTTCCTTCGCAGTCTCCTCCGCGTGCCTTCGTTCTTTCCCTCTGTTGCTCTCCGCCTTCTTCTGTGATTCCTTTTCGTCTTGCACGCTCGGGTGCTGTGTATGCGAGCATCGACCACACCGCCGTCTGCACCTCGGCTTGAGGTCTCGAGATCCAGATTCGGAGAACATCGGACTCGCACGCTCTGGCATTCTCGACTCGTGTTTTTGAGTCACCACCACAACGCTTCGCTCCATCTCGAATTGTCCCCTTCAAGTTGTCAGGCCGCAAGGCCTAAAACTTTCCCGAGATGTCGTGGAAGCCATCTGAAAAGCTGATGTCAACAATCTCTCATTATGCCAGCTTCCCACCCACCAGCGTCAGTCTTCGACAGATGGTGCAGTTTGGCGAGAAACCCTCGACTGGTAGGTCACGCTACCTAACTTTTTGAGCTCCTTTGACTAATTGTGTCTACAAGGCACCCTCTTCCGAGCTTCTCAGTTTCTCTCCGAAGAGCTTCCCGTTCGGCTTGCACACCGCGTTGAAGAGTTGGACCGGCTACCAGATGGTCTCAATGACATGTCATCAATACAAAAGGTCCGAAACTGGTACGCCCAATCATTCGAAGAGATCACCACTATGCCACGGCCGGAATTAGACGCAGACACGCGCAATCGTCTCCTCAACCCTCCGAAAAAAGCGAGCAATAGACTTTCCGTCACGACTCGAAATCCTAGCCTGCGGTACGATGACAATGGCAACGGGAAGAGCTCATTAAACTCTCGAAGATATTATGCCGCCACAGATGATGGACAGGAGTGGCCTCCTGGGCTCGCAGAATACAATCGCAAGTTCGCTCGCACGCTCGATTTGATCAAACGTAGGCACGACCCGGTAGTCACAACGGTCGCCCAAGGTATCAACGAGTGGAAGAGAAAGCAGCAGCGTACGCAAATCGACTCGTCCATACAATCATTCCTCGATCGCTTCTACATGTCACGCATCGGAATCCGGATGCTGATCGGCCAACACATTGCCTTGACAGAACAGCAGACACATAGACATCCCAACTATGTCGGCATAATATGCACCAAGACCAATGTCAAAGAGCTTGCGGAAGAGGCGATTGAGAATGCTCGATTTGTGTGCGAAGACCACTACGGACTATTTGATGCACCCAAGGTGCAGTTGTTTTGCAATCCTAACCTCAATTTCATGTACGTCCCTGGCCATCTATCACACATGCTGTTCGAAACGCTCAAGAACTCTTTGCGAGCGGTCGTCGAAACCCATGGTGCCGACAAGGAGGAGTTTCCGGTAACCAAGGTCATTGTTGCGGAAGGCAAGGAAGATATCACCATCAAAATCAGCGATGAAGGAGGTGGCATTCCCCGATCGGCTATTCCGCTGGTCTGGACCTACATGTATACTACCGTCGACACCACGCCCGAACTAGATCCGGGCTTTAATGCTAGTGACTTCAAGGCCCCGATGGCTGGGTTCGGATATGGGCTGCCTATCTCGCGCCTGTATGCACGATACTTTGGAGGGGATTTGAAGTTGATTTCCATGGAGGGGTAAGTGGACCGGCTTTGTTTTCTGTGTTCTTTTGAAGCTGACGATGCTCAGATACGGCACGGATGTCTACCTCCACCTCAACCGTCTTTCGTCCTCCTCGGAACCTCTACAATAACAATCAGCAGTCATGAGGGGCAACAGCGGGCCTCAAGGATTGACGCTGAACGGATCGGTCAGGGCGAGAAACTCAACCTTATCCGGTATGACCAACGGGCGTATTGCCGCGATGCGCTCGCGATCACGAAGTCGAGAAGTTTCAGAGCGAAAACAAGTCGGTGACACAGAGAGTATGATCAACGAAGAGCCCAACGTCGTTCTGCCTGGAGGAGCGAGTCAGTGGCTAGAATGAACTGGTATGTACGAACAACAAAAAGGGATCACACAGTGTAAGATTATCCACAATTCTCAGAATCGGGGAACTGTATTCTGGTGCAGTTGCAAATCAAGCACATGGCCGAGACACGATGCGCTCTGACGGACAGCAAAGCATGAAGAAGGAATCTTCTTGTACAGTTAACAGCGAAAGACAGAGCGCACAGCCGGAGAGCGCTCGAACTACTGTTATTACCTCGAAATAAAAAAGATGTTCGATAAGAGGTCCTGAACAAAAGTTTCCAACCACTCTTAGATAAGATATGAGGAAGTACTGCGAGAGATACGCTACAACCACAGAAGGAGAAGCAATTAAGTTCTTGATTCACTTTTTCTTCTAAACGTAGGAGTAAACATGGATCAAACAGAAGGGGTGGGAGTCCGGTGAACTGGTGAGTAGACCACCACAGTCTGGATTCTCCCTGCCAACACCCAGTCCACAGATGATTGCTTGTTGCGGAAAGCGTACAGTGACATCATTGTGCTGGGATGTCAATCTTCGTTTTTGTCTCCTGCATCTTCTTCGACATTGCTAGGCTGTTCTCCGTCAATCCATCCTCCTTTATACTCTTCAGCTTCACTCAACTATGCCCTGAGTATCCATCATCACCGGTTCCCACCTGCTGTCATGTCGAAGACGAATTGTCAGTGCGAGGGCTTTTTATTGGTTTAAAAACTCAGCAACAACAACACTTGTCAACTGCGAAACGTTTACAAGTTCCCAATCTACCTTCCCCCGATCACTGTATGCCACATACACATAGCTGTCCCTGTGTGGTGGGTGGCTTGACATGAAAGGGCCGAACAGTACGTCCTGCAACTGGATGCTCGCTCTTGCGGATTCCACGCTGAGGTACGCAGCAGGCTGAGCAGCATCAGCGAAAGCATTCACCGTCCTGTGTACGCCTGGTGGTCAGCATGTAAGTCCGAGCATTCTTGTGAGGAGCATCGCTTTTTGCCGTGAATAGAAGAATCTTGACAAGTCTCTCCGACCATGCCCACTGTCCATCATGTGTATGATTGTTTTTTTCTCTCTTCATCAATGACAAGTCTGCAAACAAGAGGTGAACCATGATTCGACGTACGCAATGGTTTCGTCGATGTGCTTGAGATCGCTTCGCGTTTCTTGCATAGCTTCCACTACCGCAGGTAAGGCGAGCCTGATAGCCTTCAGTCGAGCTTGAGCCACGCTTTCGAGTTGTTCGAGTTCAAGGACACTGGCATCTGGCTGAGCTGACCTGTAAAGTTGTTAATCCTGCCCCAAGGATCTTGCAGCCGGAGAGGAGAGGGCTGAGTCTACCAATGCTGGGTGGCAGTCCTCCACATGGTAGAAGGCGCTCTCCAAGGCGAGGTACGCATACATGGGGTCCTCTTCAACATCCGAGCTAACATCTGTGTTCAGCCAACCCGAGTTTTGTTTCATTCTTTCCCCCGGTATCTCCTTTGCCGCATCATTTGCTCTTGACAGCACAGCGCCATGATCATCATCATACCGTGCGGGAGCGGTCTTCGAAGAGATATAGGCGGTTTGGGACGATGGTACCAAGACCTCGAGCTGGACTCCTGTTGAGGAGGTGGCGCCCGGATTTTCATCGCAGCAATCTTTGCAATGATCAGACAGTGAGGGCACGACTTGGGCAGGCTGCGGCGTCGATACTTGTCCTTCTATGGACGACGATGGCTCTCCAGGAGAGGCTGAGCTCTCCGAGGCCCTCTTCGATGCCCCGTTATCAGGGTTTTTGCAGGTTGGACAGGGCATTCTAACAGCAGTCGCTGCTGTCTCAAGTCTACCCACTTCGAAGGAGGCCTCAGGTGTGAGAAGGGAGAGGCGAGTGGCCAATTGCGTATGACCGTCAGCTAGGAGGAGTCGGCCGGCATTTGGACAACAGAAATCGACGTGGCATGGCACCAAACCCTCATCTGGTGTTGGAGTGCCCAGTTCCTCAGCTGCGAGAGGGGTTTTGTGCAACATCTTGTACTGGACCGACCGCTTGTCTGCAGAACCCGCTTGGGCAGGGAATTCCATCTCAGCCTCGCCAGCAAATACTGGAAGTGGTGCAACAGCGATAAAGCGGGGCAGCCAACCAGCGACGCCTTGTGAATGAGGCGACGAGTCAACGTCAACATGAGACTCCTTCAGCCGTAACGTCTCCAGGGCCCATACACATTATGTCAGAACGAATGCCGATTATTTAGTTTGGTGCCCCTCAAAGGGACGAGGCTGCAAGTGGAGAGAGTACGGAGGATCATTGAGAACGCAGGGCTCGCACGGGAGGTTGGGGTTGCGAGATGCAGCCCTGTTGATCAATGATTGTTCAAGAAATGCAGACGCATTCCAACACCCGAAGCAAAGACAGCATGCGCGCTGTCGAGAACCAGGTATTCCGGGGTCGGAATCTCGCATTCGGTGCATAGTCGTGAGATGTTTGCCTCGTCGTGGAAGGCATCTCTTCGGCAGGCAACGCCTCTCCTTCTGGAAGCTGCCTCAGTGCAGAATAATTCCTTTCCTACCGGTAGGAATGGAGGGCAATTCAGGGGATGCAAATTGCAGCAGCACAGCCACGCTGGCGCCTAGCACCGCCAACTGCACTGCGCTATCGTCGCCTTCTGTTGTTTTCCTTACTTCTCTTCTCCAATCCTTCGAATAGCTGGAAATGGTGTTATTTTCGTCGGGTAGAATTGATTACCTTGTTGAAACAACCCAGTTCCGAGCACGACACAGTTGATCCCCAGCGCTGAGAGCCTGATGAACGCCGATTTTGACCCACCCTCCACATCTTCAGGAAGCTTAAGACAGAAACGTCCTTCCGGTGAATTTAACGACCCTATAGCGTCTGGCACCTCCATCAGATCGAAGCTACCACGGCTTGCCTTTGAGGCTCTGGACGCCGATGCATTTTCACATCCGGCGGCACAGCACTCACGTACGCTATGTGTCGACTGCTCCAAGATTGACATTGATGCTATTTTTGCCACAAGAGCAGGCGACATCCCACGTCATGGCCGTCCAGTATCAACACATCGAAAGTCCTTGCAGTCAAGTTGTCAGCTTTGCGGTCTAGTGGCGTCGCTCCTAGACGTTGACATAGATGAGGAGGACGCCACGGACAGAGCGGCTGCTGAGGGATGGCATTTAAGAGTCTTCAGTTGTGCCAAAGCACTGCGGATCAAACGGAGGCGCAATGTCTCCGAACAGGCCGTCATTTTAGCAGTGATGAAGGGCAGTCCTCCAAGAGCCCAACCCACACTCGCTCAAATCAATGCATCACTGTTGAGGGGTTTCATTACCCCCATCTTGACAAACACGGAATCTTTCACGAAGTGTTTAGACACTATTCGAGTTTGCGGGAACGAGGTGAATCAACTGGAGGCAAACTTCTCCCTAATACGCCAGTGGCTCGAACAAGACATCATCCCAAAGAAACCAATCCAGCCATCGTTCCGGTGCCAAGTCATTGATTGTTATGACGGGAAGATTGTACAGCACGACCCCTCAACGAAGTATCTCACGTTAAGCTATGTCTGGGGTAAGTCGGGGAAATCTTCCAACAAAGTGTCAAACCCCCTGGTCGACTCTCCACAAACCGTTCAAGATGCCATTCAAGTGACACTACGACTAGGCGAGCGCTATCTTTGGGTGGATCGATACTGTGTCCCTGAAGATGGGAAGGAAAGGCATCTTCATATTGCCAATATGAACCTCATCTACGAAGGAGCATTCGCGACGATTGTTGCGGCTAATCCTGGACCAATGGATGGACCGGATTTAGGCCTATATGGGGTGTCCAAACCACGGAACATACAAAAGAAACTCTATCTTAACGCCAGGACTTTTGTATCGACATTGCCACATGTGTCCTATCACATAGATCGTTCGGTATGGGCTACCAGAGGTTGGACATATCAAGAAGCAGTGCTGTCCACTCGCTGCTTATTCTTTACCCCCGATCAAGTCTACTATGCTAGCAAACGGGTTTCCGAGTGTGAAAGTGTGCAACATTCGCTTCTGCGACTTTTTAGCAGTATGCACCAGACTCTAGAGCCTACCTTACTGAAGCTTGAACATCAACTACGATGCAACGGCAATGGCAATGCTAATTCCGGGAGCTACGGCTCACATTTATTCGAATACGCGAAGAGAAGTTTGACGTTCGATCTGGACATACTTGATGCATTTCGGGGCATTCTAGCCAAAACTACGCGAACCAGTTACTGGGGAATACCTATTTCATTCAGTGGTTCCCGGGACACGAATATAACATTTGCGAAACACCTTTGCTGGACTGTTGACCCAATGACCAGAGAAGTCTCGACAAGACGCACATACTTCCCGTCATGGTCGTGGACGAGTGTGGGGGCCCTTAGCGATGCGGAGGCCACTTTGCTTTGGAGTAGGTACCCGCACGCTCGATTTGCCATTGAGCTGGACGACGGCACTGTCTTACCATTGTCGGACTTAGCAAAGATATATCCAAAGCGTGGTCAGGCCATTCCGGAGCGCAATCCATTTCTACACGTCACCAGTTGGCTATTTAAGGCACACGTTAGACGCGACGACCAAAGTCAGCAATGGTCCCTGACGCAACTACAATGGCCCAGTGGAAGATATCTCTTTGATGAAGAAGCACGGTTTGCCTGGATATACGGTGTTAAGGTTCACATTGATATCCCAGGAAGCAGCCCGTTGGCGCTAACCGATAGACACGCTATCTTTCCTGCCCTGTATCTAGGTTCTGGTTTACACTATGGTCCGCTGATGTATTTACTGATTCTTGGGGCAGACACGTCAATTGCAGTGCGCGTTGGTCTCCTTCAGGTCTTCAGGAAATTCAACCTTTCGGATAGTCTTCTTTATAGCCTGCTTAAAGACGAGCTAGTGCCAGCCGCGGAAGTGACAATGCGGGTGACGTGATGTGTCAGATAGGAAGTGTTGGCGGCATAGTAACGATTGAAAGCTCTGGATTTCTATCTGTTGGAAGAACCTCCTACTACACCATGTATTTAGCTATGAACGAGGACAAGTCGAACCTACCACTTTGCAGTCATTCCGCCGTGCCCATCGACCAGGGAGGAGACGACCACGACAACGTCACGGACGCGAGTCTAGCTTCACCGAGATGGAATGTCTGGTCCTTCTCCTCTGAAGAGAAAACCTCGGACGCAACAGTCCGACTTATTTGAGTCATTGGGGCGACTGATGGCCGACCACCTAGTCGGTGTCAGAATTACCCGGCTGCGCCGGCCACTTTTTGAGGCGCTGACTAACAAAGGCGAGATCAACCATCTCGATTTGACGCCTAGAGATCAAATATTCTCGAATCTACCGCACTTTCTAGTTTAAGAATAGTTAATGCTAGCTAAGGAAAGTTGTGCATTTCAAGCTAAACTACATATCTATCTATTTCAATCTATAATGCTCTGTGGTGGTCTGCCATAATTTGGTAGAATAGAGCGAAACACACCAAAATCAAAGCAAGGTGGCCGGGTAATTCTGACACCGACTAGGTGCCGACCCTTCCAGCGATGAGTTACATTTGAGGTGGCCAATGAAAACGCAGCATTTACGCTGCTCCAAATGACAGGCCACGCGGTGTTGAGCGATACCGCATGCTCGCTCTCGACAAGAGGAGAGAAGGACAGTGCGCGCTGGCAGAGAGCGGACAGACTTCCAGCCTGGCTGGCTACACGGGACGGCGGTTGCCAGAAAAATCTGCGCTGGCTATACAGAGCAGCCTGAGAGACGACTATATGGAGTGACCGGCAGAGAATGTTGGCACGGAGCACCAATCCAGTCAACCTCAAAATGCTTGTTGTTATAGTAATACAAGCAAACGCAAAGCGGTGCATCTCCTGCACATCTTGATGCGCATCTTCCTCCTAGCACGACCATCTGCGAACAATGTTACATTCCAGTCCAGTCCCTTCCACCATCGCAAAGAGTGTCTGTGCGCACCACAACGCGACTTCAAGGGTAGACATACCTGGATACTTACATCTCGTGTTTTCAGGATGGGCCAGCTGCGTCTTGCATCGCATCTGGCTCTCCAAGTCTGCAAAGTCTTCCTTTGGTATCCTGGAACCCAGGTGAGTGGGTGTACGTCTTGTACAGGTCAACAACAATGGCATCCTTCTATTTTACCCTTGCCGTCGTTATCGTTGCAACTCTGCTTCATGCCTCTCATGGATATGTCGACTTTGGCGCCACGACTCTTCCCTTCAATGGACCAATCTTGGTCCCTACCCCACGACCGAACCAACTTCCTATCGACCATGACTTCCGATTCGAGATCCTTCCGTCTATGATCACAGCCGTCGCTCCCTCCATCACCATCGCACCGAACGGCACACGCGAGATCGTCTACAGCCTCTATTACCATCAATACTTTTCCAAAACGCGACAAGGTCGAGGTCTCTTTAGGAGAGGTGTCTTTGCAAACGATCCTCCAATCTCCACCTGCACACCATGTGGAGGAGCCGTGTCAAGTTCTGGTCCCTCGGGAACCACCAGTTCAAGCATATCCTGCACGACCCATGCGTATTTGGTGAGCCATGGTCCTTGGTCCTATCAAGGGACATCGACTCACTATCTGAAACCTCTGACTAACATGCAGATCACAGGGAGTCTTTCGATCCCCCGACCCACAAGCACCGAGTTCAGTCTGCTTGAACAGCAACTACACCGGCGTCTTTGAACCTGGTACCACCTCCACAACCGGTTTACCTTGCTGCTTCACCATTCCAGCTTCATGTTTAGCAAACGGGACGAGTTCAACGTCCTTCACGGCCACTTCGGGGGTCTTCAGACCCACCTCCACCTTCACTTCCAGCCTCTATGCCAACGCGACGACGCCCGCCTCGACGTCGTCTAGATTCAGTCTGGCCTTCGAATCTAGCACATTTGTGTCACTGTCTTCATCTTCTTACTCGGGCGGCCCTATCCTCAATAGCGGATCTCGGTCGACCACGGCGCGGACGACTGTCACCGTCATCAGCGGCACGACTGTTGTGGTCAGTACATCCGCCGTATCCTCCATGTCTCTTACGCCAACGACACCAGATTCGCGAAGCTCTTCACCATCCACATCAAATATGCCATACGTGTCAAGTTCGGGTTCGTTGTCAACGTCCAGCCCGACGAGCTCGAGCGTCCCCCCGATCTCTAGTTTACTGTCCACGTCCCTATCCACAATTTCCACTTCGTCGGTATACTCGATCATTGTCATTTCAAGCACGACAATCACATTGTCCAATGAAGGCGCCGCCACGAGTTCAAGCGGAACGACAACGTCACAGTCCACCCTGACCATCATCACCGCGACTCCAGCACCAATTATCACGACGACATTGTCAAGCTCGGCGTCGTACATCACAACAGTTGTTTCAAACACCATTGACGGTTGTGGAACGGCTTCGGGGAGTGGTATCGTTGGTGAGCTTCTACTTGTGTCTGCTACCACCGAAATGTCGAGGTCGATACTGATGCGAAATAGCCGGCACAGGAACCATATTCACCGAGGGCATATCCATCGTCACATCGGGCACTGCGTCTGGTAAGTTACATCGACATCCCCTAGATATTGTTGGGATCCTACGTCTGACTATCCTGGTGGACAGGCTCCGCATCGAGTGTAGTTGGATGTGGCTACATTATTGCCACCACGGGCACCTTTCTAGGCAGCGCCGTCATTACTGGATGTAAGTAAGGTTGCTTACCTACTTAGTTGCTGTTTCTTTGATCATATCTCGGATTCAGCCTCGGCCTTTCGTACTAACCAATCTCCTAATAGGTGGATACGGCTCTGGTACCGGCACTCTCACAGGCACCGGCACCATCTGGCCTGCACAAGGAATGGGCATGATGTCCATCGTTTCCTCCGGAACCATCAGTGGAAGTGGAAGCTTCAGGGGCTGTGGAACACTGGTAAGAAAATATTACACCCTCTCTACGACGGATTCTATCAATCATCAACTTCCTCTTCTACTCGGGTTGCCAAACTAACCGTTCGTTGTGACCGCCGCAACAGACTGGATCAGGCGTCTTCACCGCAACCGAAGGCTACACCACCACCATTCTAGCCCCCGTAATCACGAGTTCAGTGGCCTCCTCTACCCGGCCGACCAAGACAGTGAGCGTATTTGTGTCATACTGCGCAGGTGACTCCAACAACCAACCCGGAGGAGGGGGTGACATCATCATCAACATCTTTGGCAACAACAACACGCTCGTGTCTTCTCCTGGCCGAGTCTCCTCAGACGGCAGCGATATAGTGAACATTTCCATTTTTGGTTCTTCCTCCGACAACGCCCTGTGTAACGTGTGTCCGAACAGCGCGGGCATTTGCTGTCCACCGGGCGTGACGTGCGACGACGACGACGGCAAGTGTCCTCTGTACGCGGTTGAGAGGGCCGGCAATACCATCAATGGGTACCTCATCCCGCAGGTCATGAACAGCAGTGCGCCCGTCGATGGCCAGAGGAGGCACATGGCCCGAGTGAGGGTTAAGAGTCGCGAAGAGAAGGAGCGGGAAACGGAAATGGACAGCAAAGGGGCTAGGGAGAGGGCTAAGAAGATGGGACAGCAGCAGCGACGTCGTCATAAACATGGGAACGAGCATGGACATGGACATGGACACGGACACGGGCATGTCGAGGACTGGGAGAAGAAGATGAAGAGGAAACAGTTTTGAACTCATGTGGTCATGTCATTGGTGCGTGGTCATCCTTCTTTCAAGACTTCACACAGCGGTGCAATTTTCAATACTATATACACTGGCATGCTCGGTGACTCGGTCATCACACAAACTAACAACTGTTCCTCACTTCACCTGACTCCAGGGTGTTGAACAAGGCTATGTATATATTCAGCCTTGCCTTGCTTCACATCTCAGGACCCACCACAAGAGCAATTCACTTACCACCGAATATTCAAACAGCTATCAATTCAACCCGTGAATTTTCCTCACAATCACCAAGACCCCGCAGTGATGGCTCAGGGTAAAACCACATGGCTATGTGGCGGACGTCCATTCACTGCGGCGAGCAAGGAACACACCGAGGGCCGCGGGCGAGTAAAGGAAGATAAAAGGGCCGCGGGTTCGAATCCCCGACCGTTCGAAAAGATTATTCGCAAGGTACGATAATGATTAATTCTTCCTAGCTCCTTTCAAAGAAACTTCACTAACACTATTACAGATCAAAGACTTGATCATCAGACCTCAGTGAGTTCAAATACCGGTTCAGCTAAAGTTCTAACAGGCATCAAATCGATCTACTACTTGAATCTCGTCTCTCCAGGTTTTCTAATGCCAGAATATTTAAAAAGAGTCGACTGTCGACTTTTTTTTGGCCATGGATCCCATAAGAAACCGATACTACCATGACCATGATCGTGAGAATCGCACACCTTGAACAGTCTAACAAGTAGTCATCGACGGGAAACTCTATGAGGCAGAGATATAATAGACCTGTGGGGAGAAATCCACCATCACAACAACAGATGTATTCTCAGAGCTATCCCAGAGAGAGACACAAGTACTACTTACTTGTGAATACCATATTTGGAGGAATTCCAAGTACTCTAGACAAACCAGAGAACACAGGAACTCGTGTGACACACCCCCCCTCTTTTTTTTTGTTATTGACAGCCCAAGCGCAGGAATGCGATGCTCATCCCCAACTAATCGCAGTACCCCTGAACATATCGAATGTTATTCTCTCCCGCACCGAGTCATGATTCACCCTGACACTTGACACTTCAAGCACTGCTGCCTTGTCCTCCGAGACCTGATCCACTCCTTAACCCCAGTGCTCGAGGACGAATCGTCCCAAGTAACCCCCAAATCGTGCTCGAACAAGAGATCTGCATTGCGGTCATTACCTCCCACAGAAGTCACGTCAATCGGCTCATGACAAACAGATCTGGAACATCTGTGATGCCCGGCAGCTATTCAAGATTCGCTCGCAGTTACATTCCCTCCCTGCGAGCAACAGGTGTCAGGCGTCCTACAAAAATCAACTCCTCCCCCGATGATCCTTCTGCCACATTGCCGCTTCCTCGACCTGCACGGGTAGAAGTCAGAACATGTCTTATATATATTGTCCCCGAACAGTCGACACCCGTGACTTTTTCGCTGACTCATCCCTCGTCGCTTTGCTCTCCCGCTAACGAACTATTTAGTCGATTTGCTCCCTCGTCCGCTCTCTTCTGCTCCCTTCCTCTCTTGCGCGCTCCTCCTCCACTCCCTTCTGCTCCCTCACGGCTCTGGCCCGCTCCTGCCATGCTCCCTCACGTGCCGGTGAGGATCCCGTTTGGGCTCTAGTCCTACAGGGCGCCAACATCGCGCACATCCAGCCTCGTGGCAACTTTACTCGATCACAGTGATGAGGGCTCATTTCGGCCCTGATAAAATGTGAGATCCCTAAGAGGATCCCTGAGAGGATTCCTTGCTATATCGCTGGACGGGGTTGACTGTATCCCCTAGTTCTATAGGACAATGCTTCCCTTCCTCTCTTTCTTTTCCTCTCCCTCTCTCGGTCCCCACATTTTCCCTTGCCCTCCCTCTACTTATCGTGCGAATCACTCCTTCTATCCGGTCTTCTGACCACCTGAACACACCTTACCAATGTCTCGTCGTCCTTTGACCCTCCGTGCCCAGTCGTCTTGTTTTCCTTTCGTCTCGGCGCTCGTCCAATCCTTGGTTTTCTGCTATACTACGGCGCTCACTGCTCCGTTTACTGTTTCTCGATGCCGAAGAGAGAGAAAACCACGGCGGAAGTGTTTGATAAAGCGGAGGAGAATGGCTAGTAGCCGATTAGGAACGCCGACGTGAAATGGCGATCGAGTCAGCAAACCCATCGAATCTAGGATTAAGCTTAACTACGACCAAATAACCGACTTTTAAGATGAGTAGGTCCTTCGCCCGCTTAGACATAAGTCATGCTCATCTTTACTAACGAGGTGAACACTAGCGCGTAGGAATATTGTAATGCGATAGGATGTGATCACCCCTCAAGGGGTATGGTAGGCACTGTGGCGCGTGGGCCCGTAGCCAAGCAAGTGTCGGAGATAACGTCAAAGGGCGGGAACATGGTTTTTTCCTTTCTTTTTATGCATATGGGTACACAGAGATACGTGAGGCATACAGAGTCAGTCCTAAAGTTCTTGAGTTGCGTACAAGTCGATGCAGTTCCCTATGAGTTTCCAGTTCAGCGCGTATCTCGTTGCACAGCACGACGTGTCCTAGACGAGTAGTCGGGGTGTCATCGAAGAGCCCGACACTTTGCGCTGCCCCAGATTGACAGTATGCCCCGAGGGGCGTTCCATGATTGTTGGAAAGGCCCAACAAGCGTTGTAAGGAGTGAATAGATGTTCTACGACGGAATTTCTACTCCTTGCTCATAGCGCCCGATTGACTACAGCCCTGTGCACCTGGTGCTTCCCCGTCTACTCCTGTTGTAATATCTCTTGGCGCGTAAAATGTCATGGAAGATCTTCGGTAAGCCTCCGTACACACTTGAAACCCTATATAGTCGGACGGGCCCCAGGACCATCCTGTAGAATGACAAGTTCTCTTTCGGAATCATAAGACTCGAGTAACTCGTACTCTCATTCAGAGCCTCAGGTAGTTGTGACCTTGGTGACTAGGGATTACTCGGGATAACTAAGAATAGATTTAAGTAAGTACAATCCGCCGCCTCTTGGGGCTGTACTCTTCTAGGACGTCCAGCTCGTCCAAAGGCACCAGTAGCTCGAGGACAGTGGCTCGCTCTGCGACAATGGACGAAGTTCCCATTTTCAAGAGCATGAGCTTATGCAAGATGAATCCCTCAAGATGATCGCGAGCCAGCAGCATGAATGTCTGCTTCTCTTGATATTCTTCTGCGACCCAGCGACCTTGGTCCCACCGTCCCTGGATATGACGGTCAGTGCTGAATATCCTGATCAAACAAGGTGTATTCCTGATGGTGATTAGAAAAGTTTCGTTCTGACCAGATGCGTAGGTTCCTGTTCGAGGATTCGAGAAATCCGGCGTGAAATGAAAGCATATTGCCGTGATGAATAGATACCTATCCTGTTCAGCAGAGGGATGTTTCTTAAGATCAAACTCGGCCTCCTCCGGCTCCTGGAGAGCGGCTCTATCGACAGGGTCGTGCAGTATGACTAGCTTAATATCGCTACCGCCGATATTACCATTTCCTCGAGTCACAAAAACTTCCCGTAACTCTCCTGCCCTGCAGGCTCTAATATCTAGATCCGTGGCGAGGCGTCGCGTTTTCTTGACGTCTACTGGCTGTCCGAAGAACAAGGGGCCTAGCCAACCAGCCCATGACCACGATGGGAAACCTTGACGACGCGAAGGAGGTGTTTGAGATGCCCACGTGAGCGCCCAGTCGAAGTCCTCCACAGGCAGTCCCTCGAAAAACCCTTCCGGGTATATGGTCTCAAGACGTTGAAGCACTCCGAGGAAAGCCCTGATGGCGTCTTCCGGGTAGGTCATCAACCGGTAGGAATAGAGATTCAATTTTTCTCCCCAATGCTCCAGTCTTCGTGAAGGCCAGTCAAGTGGGATCCTCAGTGCTCCAGCTCCCGCTTGACGTAGCATCCACGTGACAAAACCTTCTTGAGTCGGGTTGGAAGCTGGAGTCAAATGATGAGCCCATGACCTTGAATCGTCGAGTGACTCGCAGCATTGCATGGAGGAGCAGTCGTAGTAGATTTGGTGGTCGCTGATATAGAGGCAACGCGGTGATAACAGGCCTTCTTGCAGAGTCCAAGCACGTTGGCCCCAGGGCGACATCCAGATTTGCTGCGACAATGTCGGCATCAAGCTCACAATGGCCTTTCCTTCAATGTAGCTGCTGAGCTGCGGATGGTGCTGTTGTCGACTGAATCGTGGCAGCCCTGCATCCGCTGAAGAGCCCGATAGCGCAATCACGGTGACCCATGCACCCTTGTATATGCTCCACATTCTGTTGATTTGCTCAGATTTGTCTTCATCGTCTGACTGGTCAATGCAGACGGAATCGATCCACATGTATCTTTTCCCAAGCTTCCTTGTCAACGACAGCGCATCCTCGAGTGTACGAGGAAGGGATTGGATGACATCTCCAAGCCGGTAAGTGGACTGAACCACATCTCCCCAAACGTAGCTAAGTGCAATATATTCGCAGTCAAACCCAGGATATCGGACTATTGTGCGGGTCTCAACGTCGATGAGCCTGACTTTTCCCAATTCTTCGGTTGCCATCGGAAGACACGATGCATCATGGCGGTCCTGGCAAGCCTGCACCCAGTCTAGAATCATCTTGAGGTTGATGCCAGAGAAGTCAATACGTCTGCCGCCGAGCGTACTGTGCGAATGGACGCCTCCATCCAATAAGCACAGAGCATCTCCGCGATGTGCAATGATTCTGGTTGGTAAGGGCACCGAGCTCGGTTCGAGGACTGAGAGAATACAAGTAGCATATTTCCGTTTTGCCGGGCTATCCATCGTGACTGCTCCCAGTTCGCCAGACACTCGAGAGACAGTCCAATCAGGTACGAGTATGACCTCCTGATCATCAGAGCTCGGCTGTGGAGTGATAGCAAACAGACAACAACACATTGAGCAGTCAGCCCAGAATTGAATCTCTCCGGTTTTACCGAGACGCTTATTCGAAGGTTGCTCTTTAGCAAGATCGGCAGGAAACTCCTTCTGCGAATTCCAAGGAGGTCGAGTTTCGAAAAATTGCAGCAGGTTCAAGGCTTTACATCTGGAGCAGGTGATCTGTACAGCGTCAGCGCCAGCAGGAGCTAGGTCCATCTCACTCCGCGCTGTTGAAAAAAACCAACTGAACTCCCCAGCCCAATCATCAACCGAGCAGTTCTGAACATCATGACCCTTCTCTCTGCATTTAAGGCATAGGAGAACGTGATCGGGCATGACTAATGTCGCAACCGAGTCCGAGGACAGGATTAGGATTAGAAGTACAGATTGCGGAGTGGAAACATGAGGGAGGTTGAGGAGCTCTTATCGGGCCGGATACACCAAAGGGCCGGCGGCAGGTACCAATTCACCACGAGGTACGGAGTACGGATAGCTGAAACCCAGTATATCAGCCACAAGGAGCTGGTGGTGGTCCGGGGAAACACTTGATAGGACCATCATGGCGCAAAAAGGGGCGGGGAATCTACCCGGTTCCCTAACTCCTGTCTGAAACAGATGCCTTGCCTAGAGGAGCAAGCGGCCAGATTAAGCCGCCAGTGTGTTTGCTCAGGATGTACTGTACTCAGGCCGAGGCCCTCAGAGCCCAAACTGGCTTCTGAGAACGGGGCTCGGGCGCGCTCCCCCGTGCTCGGCCGTGGCGGCCCGCCGCGTTATGGTTGAGAATCTTCGCCGCCGGAATAGTGTCTACAGGGTTCTTGATGTCGCACCAGAAGATGTCTGAGTCCGGTCCAGCATTCTCGTTCGACGTCTCGTTCTGATCCAAACGAGTCATCTTGACTAAAGTCTGCATCGAAATGGGGAGGCTCTTCCCAATCCCGGGCTCTTCGAGTGTGCGCCTGCCACGAGACGCTGTGATTGGCTAGAGATGGCCTTATCACCAGCGCCTCGGTGAACAAAGGACCAAGATAAGGAAGCGTATCACTTAGCATAGCCAAGTGTACACTTCCAAGGCGGCGAGATAGTACAAGAGGAGACCCCCTCCCGAAATAGGCGGAGACGACTTCCTCGCTCATCAAGCGATGAGTCGTTGTTACATAGGACTGTTCAATAGACTACATTGCATCAACTACCCCTTCGCAGGGCTATTCCCAGTGAAGGTCCTGACAGCGCCGCCCGATTGACAGACAGACTCCGACAAAGCCACGGTATGTCCTCCTCAGAAGAGATTGAAGCAGAAGCAGAAGACAAAAGGAATGGGACGTAGCTACCGGAGGGCAATCGTCCGCCGTCGGCTTGGGCTGTGTGAGATGCGATCCTTGAACCAGAAAATTTGGCTTTATATCGGGATTCGTCGCGTGGTGGTTCTAAGTTCCGAGGCTCGCTGTCAGGACCTTCAATGAGAAGAGCCCTGTGATTTTCTGTCGAAATTGATGCAGTATTGTCTATTTAACAATTCGCTATAACAATAACGACTCATCAATTGAAGAGCGAAGACGTTGTCTCTACCTGAGTCGGGAAGGAAGGGCTTCTTGTGGGCTTCTTCTCAGCTCGCCGTTGGAAGCGCACTTCCCGCTGTGCCAGGTGGGTACACTTCCCTGTTGCGTCCTTTGCTCGCTGAGTCGCTAGATACGCCACCGTCTCGGGCGATGATCTCGAGCCTCGGAGCAGGGCCTCAGTGAATGCTATCTTTGTATGTATGCTTCTCGATGTCCTCTTCTGCCACTAGAAGAAGTTCCGCTTTGCTTTCGAAATCGTACCGCACCAACGAGCCTGCATTGCTTGATCTTGCGTTCTCCTGTGAAGAAGGCTTCCGGGTCGCAGGAGAGAAGAATCAGAGCGGGACCAGAAGATTCGTGGCGACAATGGCCAAAATTTCCAGTAGACCTTTGTGCAGGTATAGCCATCATATGCGTCTTTGGCAGAGAGAAAGAGAGAACGTAGAAAGCCAGGACAGTGTACATTGCAGGGCAAAACCTGTCTGATGCTAGCCCCTTCGTTTTCTAACTCCCGAGACGGAGCTTTCCATTCCTATTGCACACCGGGGCCATTCGAGCGCAGCCGTAGTTCGAGAGTGGCAGAAGATTCGTCGACTATGTTGCCAGCGCCACCGCATTCAAAAGAAGAGCAACGCATCAAAAGCTCACACCTCCTTGAGGTTTGGGAGAAGTGATCCAACTCTTGCAGTCTCCCTCCTGCTTTGTCTCATTGTCGGCCGCGCAGACGGCCCCCATGGACCATTGAAACACCATCGCATACGTGGGCGAGTGGACCACGCAGCCGTACCGTCTCGCAGAGGATTTGTTTCATGTTATCGAGATGATACAAACGTCTGTATGTACGACGAAGAACAACAGCAGCAATCCCAGTGGCTGCTGGGATCCTGTAATCGCTGCCTCATTACTCCAAAAGCCTTCAACCAAGTGTTCGCGGACCTCGAGCTCACAATTTCGGTACACTAGAACTTGCAGTCTGTGCACAGTGTCGAAGCTTGGAGCTGCGTTTCAGCGCCTGTAAGCTCCTCAAGACTGCCACCAGTTCACCACCTGCGGATTCGACGAAACAAAGATAGCCTCCAGTTGTGATATTTCCAGAACCTTTTGGCAGCTGTGAGCCCAACAAAGACTTCTTCCACGCTTCATGTATTCCCACCCTCTTGACAATATTCAATGTAACATATCTGGACGCGACGATGCGATGTCAGTGAGAGCCGGCTTATGCGCTCCGCCTTTGGGTTCCGCTTTTAGGCTCCGCTTAAGCTCGGCGTCCTTCACCATGTAAGTGGCTCCTTGTCGACGTCGTTGAAGCAATAAAAGCGGAGACAGGATTCCAGGTGTGTGACTTCGCTCTTGATGCACTGATGTCGTGTGGCTGTCACAGACATATTCGCTGGGGCGTACGCCATCCAACTCGTCAAAGACTACTCCAATGTATGACATCTGTCACCAACACTGGCTGTTGACAGTACAACAGAACAAAGGACCTTGTGTATAATTTCCCTCTCTTGCACGTGTGTACATTCTGTTTGCTGGTACCAGGAATGTAGAGACAAAGGGCTCTTAGTAGAAGGGTACGATTCCGCCGGCAAGGTCCTGAGGGAGGAATATGAAGGAATAGCGCAATGGAATGAGCAATATGCTCAGAGGAATTCCGAGGGCGACGCCGTTGTAGGTATTTTGAGGTCGTGTAGCATGTGGGTTTCTTGATGAGGCTGTCGCTATCTAGTAATGAAAAGTTAGCAAGTATATCTGTACTGCTGTCACATTGTGAACATGTCCGGTGAGGGAAGGGAATTAATTGATGGCTACCATGCCTAATCATAGATGTAGAGTCGAGCAGTGCCAGATACGTGCTGGACAGAAAGCACTCGCTCAGAGGTCCCAACAAAAAGGACTGTCATGAAATAAAAAGGAAACCGTCGCTGGCCAAGTTTGTGATCGTAGAATCAGTCAAACAACAGAAAGCGGCACACATACCAACTGCTGTAACTGGGACATAAAAGTTGGAGGTGAGCAGCGCAGGTACTCGTGGGTGGCTTTCTTGACATATAGTGCCTCGTGAAGGCCTATCAGCCTGATGAGTAGCCCTGGTCCTCAAGGCTAAGACGCCTATGGATTTTCACCGTGGCACCTCAACAGTACCCCTTAGAATGACTGGCCTCCCGGGACCCCTGTTACGCGTTCCAGGTAAGGTAGGTTACCGCCATCCCTCTTTCTGGAGCGCGGGTGTTCAAGTTAGCAGTCCAGCGACTCCTCAGGCCCTGCTGTGTGCAGCACGGATATCTGCTGCTCAGTGTTTCAGCCAGTCCGTTTTACCATCGGTTTCTGAAATCTGTACAAACACACCCGGAGCATTTTCAGCCTTCCCCCGTCCAGTGTTTGGCCGGCCCTCCGTTCATGCAAGTCATAGGTAGGATCGCACGAGAAGACAGCTTGTTTCCTCGACTCAGCCTTGGTGGCACCGACACCACGTCGTCCACTGCAGCCGTAGAGATTGAGCATTGGCGCAGATCTCGGCTGGCGCCCGCCTCTTCATCACAGAATCTCACTCGCAGAGCCTCCTCACTCGAACTTCCTCACCAGACCGTTATGCGAACTCATTGTGCAACCACCTCGCCACATGTCCCTCCTCCGCGCCATATCCAGGGATCGGTCCCTGGCTGTAAGCAGTCCGAAATCCTTCTTTTGTTCTCACACTCGCCCTCTAACCCAATCTCGAGACGCACAAATTCCTCAGTCGTCCTTATCGTCCGATGCCGCAGAGGTGGTTTAGTGATGAGGCTGTAAGGTTCGGGTCGGGCGGACCAAAGCAACTGATGGATGTGGAATACGCAAAATCCTGCCATTGAGGATCGAGGATAGGGTAGTTCAATATGAAAGAGACGCTGTTAACCTTGCGGACGATGCAATACATCGGGCAGAAGTTGGCCAGCCCGCACTGTTCTTCAGTCGAGAGCGAGCATGTGCTATCGCTCAACAGCAATTGGTCCTAGAATTTCGAATGGACACAGAAGAGAAAAGTGGGAACCCATGTTCCGAGAACCATAGAATTAGGTCAGGCCAGTTGCTGAGGAGCATGCACTGCTGTGTTGGCGCACTTCAGAGTCGAATGACTTCTATTTGGACACCGTATGCCTGATGAGATACACGCAGATGTGCTGATCCTCAAAGGATAGATTCTAAGCTCCCCCACCGCCATCTAGAGAGTGCTGATCGGTAAGAGACTTGTCGGACGAAGGAATGTCACTGAACGTATGTACGCCCAAGCGTTCTTGGACCGAGATAGCTTCGGTGGTCCTTGTCGCTATAGATATCCCATCCGTTCGATCCAATAGCGGTGTCTTTGTTGGAGGGACGGATCAGACTAGAATCTGATCTCCTGCCGCGTTCGTCGCATGATGTTTTCGCAAAGCTTTTGTGGCTCTGGAGTACTCGTACCACAAAGGAAAGACACTCCATTCGTCTCAGATAATGTGGCCAGGGCGCCGGCTGCCGTCCCTGGCTTCCTCCGAAGTGTATCCCTGCGGCCAACAGTCTCGATGTTGTCGTGTAGTTCCGGCACAGTTCGGGGATGCCGGACGACCAATCTCGTCCGTGCCACAGGTGTTGCAGACATTCATAATGTTCCGGCTCTGCCGTCGTCGTCTAACTAGGCCCTTTGAACGCCCAGTTGTGATATATTCCTCTACCAACGTCATCCTAGCAGGTGGTGTCGTTGTCTTTGTCGTTGTCGCCGTCGTCAGGGCCAGGAGATCAGTCAATCGCTTCGTGTGTTTGTAGGCTGCGTCCGTCGGTTCAATCAAAATTTCAGAATGTTTGAAGAACAGCGATGATGCTGGGAGTGGTGATATCTTTTGAGATATGTCTTGCGACATTTCCAAGACCTTCTTGGATTTGCATGGTGAACATGCATTCATTCGCACGCCGATCGTACGAAATGGCGCCGCTATCTGGCACAATCACGCTGTTGTTTCAACACTGGAAATAAGAATGATTTCCAAGACCCTCGTGGGCTGCTCTTCCAGGCGACCCGGATGCCCAGGCAATGTAGTAGCTTTCGGCTGAATTTGCTTTCGTCCTAACGGAGTGAGAAGGCCCGCACCGCCTCGAGGGAACGCAAAACGACGGTCTGCGGCAAGGGTCTCGGTGTCGCCATCTCAGCCAACAAAGTAGAGGGCACCGCGCCATGACGGTCCAGAACGGCGCCGTACAGTGGATGAAATGTCAGCCATTGATTAGGTAAACAACCCACACGCCCTACTCCAAGCACGAACGCGGTGAAAGGGCTACAACGCGTCTTCACTTCATACCTTTCTAAAAGTGCTAGATATATTTAATCCATTGATTTCCTGTCAACAATTCCGACATGGGAGACTTGCTATGGGTCTGCTGGCGCAGCTGGTGTAGATCAGGATTCCTCTCTCCAGGTTCGGTGGTTTGGTGGGAAGGGGCCCTTAACCCAGGATCGGTGCATAGCGAGATAAGTTGACCTCAAGAGGAATCTTTCCACGGTCCGGGAGGGGGCTACAGCCAAATTCTCACTTTAAGTGTTGACTCTATTTTTTGTTTTTTTGTTTTTTAGTTCTTCTCCGAAGGGGACGCTGGAAGTGGTGAATAACATAGCGTATGGAGGATTGTGCTTGAGATTCTAGCCCCTATTGAACCTCTGCCGTCGTGCGGCCTGGACACGGAGCAGAACAGGTCTAGCTTCTCGGACCTGCGAGGTGACGGGGTTTTGTGCCAGACGGTGGAAAGGGGTGATAGCCATCAAGACTGCTTCTTTCTACGTTCGCAACAGGGCGCGGAATTTCAGGCGTGACGAAGGGATGTGCGCTGGAGAGAGCATGTCGCAGGAATAGAATCCGTACAGAATAAAAGCACGAGAACAGATCTCGATAACGGCTCCGTGAGGATAGATCACGAAGACACCTATGAATGTATTGTGTTGTTGAAAAGGACGGGTCGCGGGGATAGATACAGTGGTACCTATGTCAACCGCGTCTGTACAACCCGGAACTGCATGTGTGATAAATTCTGGGGAAGCGTAACAATCTGGGGGAAATTGTAAGACAGATCTGGGGAAGTACTCCCACTAAAGTCTACTCGAGGCTAGGGATCCATTCTGTGTAACGTGCACCGCTGGCGACCCACGAGAGACTAGAGTATTCCTTAGGCCTATACATACCTATACGGAGTATCGATCCATACTTCTTCTCTACGACTGAACGATGGAATGGAAACTGATGTGAACATCTTTTTTGTATTGGGCCCTCAACTAATCTCCAAGGATTGGTAATCTAGTGCAGTGGACTATTATCGCGTGTGCACTGCCACTCTTGTCTTCGGAGACCCGATTGGAGAGACCCGAGACTTATGTATCAATCCGACGCCTCAGTCTCTCTCTGCGAAGCTCAGATCTGAAAATGACTTGGTGGATCTCTAAACATGGTTGGTGTTGGTTGGGGGGGGGAATGGTGGGTCGCTCATGGAGCTGGTCGATGAAACTGAAGGTGCTAATCAGTAAAAGGGACGAATTTGATTGATGAAGTTGAAGTCGCTCTCGTTGGGGAAATTGTCGTTTCAATTGTCTGTGCAATCACACCAGCTCATGGTAGAGAGAGATCGACTGCCCAATTTGTCATGAACACATTGCTGCAATGCTGCGTGACCCATATCCATATCCATGTTGTAACTTCCAAAGATATGTGGCCCGACACTTGGACGACGGTGGAGCTGGTTGTGTTGGCAGAGGCTATTGTCCCCCAAAACCCATAATACCAGACTACCAGTAACGATTCCCGTCTGCACACTGCGGATATTCTGCCGGGCGGGGCTCTGGGAGAAGGCCGCCTTCATCTGGTGCGCCTGCCTCGGGGGGCTGGGTACGTTTCATCTTCTTCACAGCGTGCTCCTCATTTGCGCTACTCTTCGTAGTCAAGAGGGATTCCTTGTTGTCATCGTCAGCCGTTATTTTGCGCTTGGAACCTGGTGAAACGCCATCGCTGCTTGGTGCCTCAGTGTCCGCTTCGGTGGTCGTGTGATTCGCTTCCGTCGAAGAGTTGAGCTTGTCCACCAGGATCGGCAAGACCTCGCAGACAAAGTCAGTCACCGCCAGATAGTCGTGGCCGTCCCGGAGTAGATTCGCACAGATTTCGCGAGCCCGAGGTGGAAGCGGGAACGGCTTGCGAAGCAGATCAGCGGCTGCTTCCTCGAACCTCTCCTCGGCCTCGTCGCCTAGTTTCTGTACCCTCTTAACCTCGCGGTCAATAATGTTGTGGATACATTCGTAATTTTCCTCGAGATCCTGGACGTGGAATTTGAGAGCGTCTCTCAGTCGACGGAAAAAGCGGCGGTCCTCTTCGATGTGAATGGTCTTCCGATTTTCCTTCAAGAGCACCTCGATCAAGTCGTAATCGGGGCAGCAAAGCTCAAACCAGTCGTTGAGTTGGTCGTGATTGTCCATCTCCAATTCGCGAAGCTCTTTCTTCCACGCATCCTTTGACTGATCAGAATCCTCGCTTCCACAGTCTGACTGACCTTCTTCAGTGTCTGTAGGAGTTTCAGCTTCTTCGATGTCTGTGGGAGCTTCAGGCTCTTCGGTGTCTGTGGGAATCTTAGGCTCTTCGGTCTTTGTTATGGAGTCGAACACTCTGTTGTCTGCCATGGCTGCAGTCTGACAAAGGATCAGGGTGCAGAAGGTGGGTTTGTGAGAAATCTGTGAGCTTGTGACTGGTTCTTTGACAGTGGAAAGACACAGCGTTGACAAAGTGAAGCTCAGGCGAGTGAGACTCTTTTTAAAAGGACTCTGTGAGTCTGTGAATAGGTGCAAGCCCGGGCAGCGACCGGGCAGCGAGGGCAGGATCGGTCCTTCTGTATCCGTCGGCAGCCTTTCCTGAAATGGCATGCAGGGCATCGAAAAAGCGGATGCTCCATTCACTTGACATCCATAGTCGTGTGCGCGTACTGTCTTGTAACTCTGCAAATGCCATAACTGCTCGCATAGTAGTATCCCACTTTGCATTCCGCTAACCACATCATTGTGACACCAACGGCCTCGGCCTGGGCCTGGAACTGCCCAGCTGCGAGAACATACCATGAATGTGTTCCCCCAGGGGCCCCAACCCCGAACCTCGAAATGTTTTGAAATGACCCGCTCTTTGGTCTCTGGGATGCTGATCTCGTCATCCTAGGTTCCTCCACATCTCGCAAAAGAAAGCCGAGTCACTAGCTTGGATCCTCTCGAAAGAGGTCTCCCTCCCGCAGCATGTCATTCTCGTGGAACCAAGCGACGTCTCCGAATCGCCAGCTGCTGCCGCCGGAGCACGCAGGTCACACATAGCTCGAAAGGACAGCCCGGTCGGTTTCTGAGCAATCCTTCCTCCTCACACATCAGCCACGGAACCCTGTTCCCGTTGATGTACCGAAGCTACCTCCCACTTTCTCCACCCCCAGAGGCTAGGCTGGATTCGACGTCGGAAGCAACCCATGAACACCATACCGTCTCTGGCATGTACACACCCACCTTTACAGGAGCTTGGGACTGGACGCGTACACAGCCACTATTTGACAACTGTGCCCCAAATAGAGAGCTGCTTTGGTTCCGTGATGAAATGTGTGGGAGACTTGCCCAAAAGGTGGACGGCACAAAACTAGGTACCCAAGTTGTGAGTCAGTGGCTACAAGGATAAGGAAATAGATGGACGGTTCCACTTTCGAGCTGGCTTGTGAAGGCTGAACTTTCCAGAGCTTGAGATGAAACGAATGGTACCAAACCGCTGGCCAGGATGAGGCTTTACTGGCGTACGGGTCGACGGTCAACTCAACACATCCTGAAGTGTGAAGAGTTTCGTAGAGACGTCTTTCCTGGGGGTTGGCGGGAGTGAAGCATGTCATTACTTACACGACTGCTCATGGAGCACCGCCCAAACCTCCACGTCGAGATGCAGCTTCGATGCCTCGTGGCGATCCTTCTGAATGGATTTTGATGGACTTGAATTCCCAGACCAAGAGTACTTGTCTTCACGTCTGTTCCGAGTTCAAGCATTGGCACACTTCCTCCAGGGTTGCTCGTACTGTCGCCACCGTCAACTTGATTTTGATAGTTGGAAAATACCAAATCATACATACCCCTTTGACTTCACCTCTGTTATCATACACGTTCCCGGTCCTCGCCGTCGACAGTCCATTCCAGACCAAAACACGCCAGGTGTGATGTTGTTTACCCTTCAGGTCCCCAACCTTGCTCTGCTGGCCACCCTCTGCCCTCGACGTAGGTCCCCCGAGTCGGAACATCCTTGTAGTCCTCCAAGAACCTGAACTCAGCCTTGCAATGCTGCAGCGTCTGTGCTCGGAGGAATGCCGCGTCTTCAGGTGATTCGGGTCCTGCCCATGCCTAACCCACCTGTCTTGGACAATCACGATCATCGGTCGGCAACGAACATCAGCCGCCAAAACCCTCGACCCAATCAAAATGACACCACCCTCATCCACTCCCATCTTATGTATATATAATTGAAAGCCCAGCTTCGCCCAGGTCGTAAATGGCTATTGCCACATGTGCCATACTCGAAAGGCTACTCGTGTGCAAGCAAACTTTGCTGGGCATGGCGGGTTCTCGCCTTCAAGAGCATGCTGCGGTGGTGTAGCTCAAGCTGTACTCAGGGCCGGACCGAGATCGGGACGAGAGCGCACTGTCTGCTGCGGTTCGTGTTGAGCTCTACCTGCATGGCGTAGTGTGGTCACGGACTTAGCGGGCGCCAGGTGCACGGGAGATCCAGCAAGAGCAGGGCAGAGCAGAGTCCCGAGCGAGTGCCCAAGGTGTCCTGTCCTTGTTATGTGATATGACAAGGGGGATGGTGTTGAGAGTCGCTACGACGATGACTGTGGTGATCATATCTCGAAATGCACCCACTGCCGCATCGGTCATTTCCTTTGCTCAGGTAAATCGTCTAGTCGCACCGTCGTAACCGACAAGCACGTCGCGCGGAGCTCAGCTTGCCATAACCTTGCTGGCCCTACCACTTTCGATTCTTGAAATCGCCAAAGACAAAAGGGCATCGAGGTTTTGGCCTGCGAGGAGACGACCACAACCAGTGTGACGAATATGCACACATAGAGCACCGTCGATAGGTTTCCCACGCGCCGGAGGATCCGAATGCCGAACATGTTGACCAACAGTGTCAAAACGAGCACATCCCCAGTCCAATAGAGGAGGATACCATGTTAACGTTGGTACGTGCAAATAGGAGCGTCGGGCACGATCAATGCTTGAATCATGGTTCCTGCGAGGAACGGAGCGCTGGCTACAGCGGATGGCCGCCCGAACATGGCCCATACAGCAAGCCGCCCAGCTCAAAATGACGAGCAAGCGAGGGAGACGTAAGTTCTTAGAGAAGGCTATTGTGCTATTGTGATATCGTCGGCCCGGGGTCTTGCAAGACGTCTGGCGCAGCATCCGCTACGGTAGTACATTGCCGTGATGTATGCTTCCACCAGGATGCAGAACAACTGCCGCAAGACGGCACAGTCTCTCTGGACCTCTGGGGCATGAATTCGCAAAGGAAGCACGCGGCGCTCGCATCTTTGCTTTGTGTTTACCCATGGCCGAGGACTTGGTAGAGTCGTGACAGTAATAACTTCTACTCGTATATTTCTTCAGTGACGCAGATGCAGGTGTCCATCTCCGGCAGTCTTTCGAGATTCGCGCCGGCGGTGATGGGAATTCTGTGTAATAAATAACTTGACATGATGGTGACAGACTTCTCACATCTGAGGCTACGTTTGTGGGCCGAATAATTTCCATTGGCGGAAAATCGGCTTGACAGAATAATTCGGCGACTTGCAAAGTTCCATGAAAACGCTCCTGGAGACCAGACTGCGCCTGTTGAACACGGCAGAGACACGAGTATGAGTGCTCACAGGTTTATCGGCTGGGCTCTGGTCATCGGCTTCGGGGTGCTCAATGGTAATGAATCTCCAGCTCGCGTCGAGCATCGTGATCAGCGAGTGACTGGTGGCTAACTTTGGGTGCGGAAAAGGCTACACCATCTTCAAGCCGGCCTTTGAGGAATTAGAGCTGGAGAAGCTGAAGAAGAGGTATGTGACTCTCCCTTCCCTCCCGACACAGCTGTCTCGTACTGTTGAGGGACTTGCCATTCTGACCAAACGCCTTGAATGCAGGGAACTTGACCAAGCTTCAAATTTCGGTCCCAACGTCGTCGAAATACCCGCCCAGAATGTCGGCACGCCCTCTGCAACAATCACCCAAGCCCTCAAACCGAGCGCCGGTACAAGTACGAGCACCAGTGGCTGAGAATGGCGGTGCGTATGGCGCGGACCGGAACAGAGCACACCGCAGCGCAGCGCAATTTTGGTCAAAGAGGAGGGGATTCCCCGATACGGTCTCCTTTACCCGACATGATCTCTTCTCCGCTCGACAGGACAATACCCGTCCAGAGATCGCCCTCCAGGTCCTCGGACGGATCTCAGGCACAGGACTGGAACTTGCAGCCTGAGCTGAAGGTCGACGTGCGATACAGACCAGACAAAAAAGGAGGAATCTTTGCTTGTTGACCACGGAGGCACTACACTTGCTATGACAACATTCTGATCTGAATGAGAGTCAGACAATGGCCTGAAATGGCGGCGCTGGCGGGCTTGGACCTGTTCGGGCTCATCAAACACCGCTCAAGCCTCCTCAATGCTGCAACGAAGATCACGATCGGACTGCGGCGTGGAACACACTGCGATACGGTTGTTGAATCCTTGTCGGGAGGCGACGACACGGTTCGTAAAGCAAAGCGAAGCGTACCAAACTCAAAGCAGAGCCCATGTTCTGATGCTCTTTAGGAGGAAGTCTCCTTCCATACTAAATTATAGGAGAAGGTACCTATTGTAGGGGCGGATAATAGTCGGATCTGTTTGTCACTCACCCTTTGGGCCGCTCTGGGCGAGTGCTAACTCTAAGGTCATGTATGCTTGAATGCCTGCCAGCTCATGGCACCTTTTGAAGAGCTCGGCCCTCAAGCTCGGTTCGCCCTGCTTGCCTATCCTTCTGCGATCTTCTTATCGGCGCAGTACCTAGTGGCTTAGCGATCAGGCCAGTAAGTGGTTGGCGGAGGCGATTGGTCGTTTCAGGCGACAAAAGGTCTGGGACTTTTGGGCGTCCGTCATGCAGGCCTGCACTGCCCCAACTTCTGCGCCTGGCTTGCCAGTGTCGGCACTGCCCTAAGAAGATATGGATGAACTGCGCCATGTCGACGCTTTCCTACGTTGCTACTCTTTCTGTCTCCCGTGGAATTCTCAACATACTACGCATTCCCCTTTCAAAGACACAGGAATGGATTTGCTTCTATAGTGCTGCTTTTGCTTGGAGTACTCGCAGGAAGCCTTCTCACCTCCTCGACGACAAATCATGGCCAGTCCAATTTGGCCCGAACGTTCTTCCTATGAGGAGGACACGTCCAGAAGTAAGAACGAGCTTGGTACCTTTTTTACAGCGCGAGGACTGAATGAACATAGTTCCACCTGGGACATTTTCTAGACTCAGCCGCTTTGCTAGAGACAGTGCTCTCACGCCAGCAGGCTGGCTGTTATCTCAGCTGCGGAGCTCTACAGCATCTCAAGAGCCAGCCTCTGGAGCAAAAGAAGACGTCGAAGTTTCTAGGTCTCTTGATGAGCTCTCCGACGACAGTCCCACAATGGAGGATTGGGATGTTGTCCGCGTTGCCTCTCCCACTGAGCGGCTAAGTGACAATGATGTCGACGTTCAGGAAGTCAAGGTTGCACGGGATTACGAGCAAGGGGATGATCTCAACGATACCACAGAGACGGAGGACGATGACTCTAGCGGCGCTCAACTTCATGAGATCCAATTTATGTAGGCCTGCGATATCCTTCTGTTGTTCATCTCGACTTACAATGTTTGCTCTTCCAGGAGACGCGATATCATCATTGCAGTCATGGGAGTTACTGGGGCTGGAAAGAGCACGTTCATCTCCTTGCTATGTGAACAAGACATCGAAATTGGCCATGGCCAGAAATCTTGTAAGTCTGTCTCATGTTTCTAGAAAGAAAGCCTTTTACTGAGAAGACGACTACATAACAGGCACAACAAATGTAGGCGTGTATCATTTCAACCTTGGAGGTGTTCGCATTTGGCTGATCGACACCCCGGGATTTGATGACACCAATCGCTCTGATACTGAAGTTCTGGGAGATATAGCATACTGGCTTGCTAGAGCATATACTCAGCACATGCAGCTGGCAGGAATTATTTATCTCCACCGCATTACCGATGTGCGAATGCAGGGTTCCGCGCTCCGAAATCTGAGACTATTCAAGGAATTGTGCGGACAAGACGAGCTGAGATCCGTGATCCTTGCAACTACACACTGGACTCACGGAGAAGGCAATAGTGTAAGTGAAGAGGTGGGCCGAGGACGAGTCAAAGAGCTCGAAACGACAAAGGAGTTCTGGGGCGGAATGATCGAACGTGGAAGCAGAGTCGAGAAGCATGATGGCAGTGAGGCTTCAGCGCTGAGAATAGTCTCTAATCTGGTCAGCCGGCACGACAGTGTGACGCTCAAGATCCAGAGACAGATGGTCGATGAAAAGCGAAGTCTTTTCGAAACGGCCGCCGGCCAGGAGTTGCAGCGTGAGATAATCGAGGAACGAAGGAAAGCTGAAGAGACGCTGAAGAAGCTGAAATTGGACATGGAATATGCTTTAAACGAAAAGGACAAGGAATGGCAGGAGACGATCAAGCAAGACAGAGCAGCTCTTGAGGCGAGGATCGACCAGCGGACGAAGGAGATGGAAGCATTGAAGATAAACCTCGCCAAGCTGGCAGCAGAGAAAGACGAACAATTTCGCAAGATGGAGCGAAAATGGAACCGAGAGAAAGCTGATTTGGAATCGCGCTTGCATCAGGTCGTGGTGAGGAACAGAAATTCTGGAGACGCTCACGCTGGATCGGCAACTCCAACTGCCTCGGATCGCCCGAATAGGGATATCCCAATGAGATATGCGTGGGAAAATGGTATTGGGCACGTGAATGAGACACCAGGGAGAGCTGAGCGTACCACGCTGACGACCAGACTTGAGACGCCATCGAGAAGGCCATCGAGAAACCAGGCGCCATCTGGAAGGGGGGCCCTCTCCAGACTCGGAGAAGAGCGCGAGACTACAGTGGCCAGACTCGACACACGAATAAAGCAGGAGGATGAGAGGATACTAAGAACGCCGCGGGAGCTAGCAAGAATTGAGACAGGAAGGCAGGAGCATGAAAGGAAACTAAGAGAGCACCAGGAGATTCTAGCACGACTTGAGACACGAACAAGGCAGAGGGAGGATGAATGGAGAATAGCGCTGGAGGAGGCGGAGGAGGCGGAGAAACGGAGAATAAGGCAGAGGGAGGACGAATGGAGAATAGCGCTGGAGGAGGGGAGGAGGCCGAGGAATGGAGAATACGGCAGAGGGAGGAGGAATGGAGACGTAGAGAACGACAGAAGGTAGCAAGAACTGAGATGCAAAGGCAGCAGGATAACAGAAAAGAAGAGCAGAGGGAGATTCTGGCAAGACTTGAGATGGAGATAGAGCGGGACCGCGAATTGCTAGCAAGGGCTCAGTTGCGAGAAAGGCAACATCGTAGGATATAGAAAGAGCGGCGTGAACTGGCAGAAAGGTGCGAGATACGCCGCAGTCAGCAGCTCGAGCAGGGGCGCCAGACGGGAGACAGGTATCTGAGAAGAGACGTCGAGCTCCAGACGGTGCCAGCTTCGCGACATCAGCAGAACGGGACCTGGCTCGGGAGCCGACGTCGTCTCCTTCTCTCGGTCGCCATCGCGAGTGACGCTTGCCGGAAGCAAAGGGCAGTCGAACACAGATGCTCGCGACGGCAAAAGCAGGACGGGCGGGCATATGAGAAGCGACTCTCAGCCAGTAAACAATGAATGAATGTACGACTCGAGGACTGCCTGCTGGCGGGCGAGCAATCAGTGCTCCTCTCTCACGTAGATGGTCGCCCTGTTCGGATACACACAGTCGCGCCTGGTCCAAAGATGCTCTGACGGAGCTTGCCTGAGCTCATGGCTGTCGAGTCGTGCCCAGAATCCCGCGTGAGGCTTGTACAAAACGATGGCCAGAGGCCCGACGTTGTCGCCGTCCACACAGTCGAGCGGCAACACGATCCGGGTCGTCCCTTCCACGGTCGACCGCGGCAACTGCAGCTTCAAGCCTTTGTGCGTCATCGAATAAGGCGGCCGGTCGGTTCTCTTTGGCCTCCTCACAATGTCCCCGGATTCCCTGAAATATTCCAGTCTGCGCGCGAGCATCCCGTGCCCGGACGCCCCGGGATCCGTGTCTCTCCTCCAGGCAAATATCGACTCGTCGTCCGAAAGCTTGAGGATCTCGAGCTGAAGCCTCAAGAACGCATTCCGCCCCTCTCCGTACAGCATGGGCATGTTGACGCCAAAGAGTCCCATCAGACTGTACGCCCGGTCCTCGACCCTGCTCGTCTGCCTCCTTGCCGCCCAAGAGAACCTCATGGCCACACTCGCACCTCCCAGCTCCTCCCTCCCGTCCAAAAACCTCTCCGGGATCCCCGTGATCCTCGCGATCTCACCCGCCAGCTCCTCCCGCCCTCCGATCACCTTCCACGCCTTGTCCAGAAACACGACTTTCCCGGGCGCCAACAACTCCTGAAGGGTCCAGCCCCTCTCCCACCACTCACTCGTCCCGAGCTCCTCTTTCCACGTGCTCTCGCCGACGTCCTTCAGGTGGACGTAGCACTCTACGGCATTGTTGTACCACCTGAACATTGAATTGATCGCCTCAGACAACTCCGCGCTGCTCGTCTTATCGATGCAGCACGTATCGATCCATACCCATTTCAGCCCCTGAGCACGGGCGTATGCACAGCAGTCCAGAACCTTCTTGAATCCCGGTCCCGCCTTGGTCGTAGCGGACTCGAACTCCTGGTACGTAGCTTCTACGTCGTCCCAGCGGTGGGATAAGATTGCGTAAAAGGGGGCGTTGCCGTCAAAGAAGTTTTGAAATTGGCAGGTTTCGGTGTTGAGGAGCCGCATTTCGACGACGGCACGTCTCGGTGTAGCTCAAGCAGAAACCTATAATATGTAACATTTCGGCCTCCATGTACCCTGACCAATTCGCTACGGGGGAGTAAGATGATGGCGAAGCTTACTCAGACTAAACCAATTTAGAGAAAAGGGAACTTTTGTGACCTCCCAAGTTATGGGTGCTGTAGGCTAGGTCACTAAGTTAGGCTGAGGCGATGAATTGGCGACTAGTTACAGCCGCGTGCCGGGAAAAAGGCCGCCCTGGCCCCCAGATGTTGGCGCGATTGATACGTTTCTCAGGCTCGAGTACCACCTTGCTCAGTCACGTGCGGAAGCATCTCAGGTTGAAGTGGCGAGGCCCAGGGCTACGCTCAGGTCCAGAGACGGAAATGAAGTATCCTCTTGTCGTGTCGAAATTCCGACCTCGAAACGCCCAAGTCTGCGATGGCTTCCCTTGAGCATGTTGCTCTCGGGGTCTGGAAAAGACAGTGGACACAAGCGATCTGAAATCTCCTCTCCTGTCGCGTACACTGTTGGCGGACCCTGGACGAAAGATGTCAAGTTGGATTGGTTGGTCTGTCCCATCGTCCACCACTGAATCAATCACGTCTTCAGCGATCCCCTGCAGTGTGACTTTGTCGTTCCTCCCAGTTGACCCCGTATGATGACTTGGGTATACTGTGAGTGTCGAAAGGATGAGAGCTGTGAGATACTCCGTCAAGCGAGACGGCCCCAAGTGCTTCGCGTGTTGCGGGCTGTCGAAGTGAACGTTTCTTGTTTGCGCCCCCCTGCCATTTTCATGCTTTTTGCAAAGTCTGCATGCTCGAGTGCGTGCTTCAGCGCTTCACTTGAAGAATTGTCTTTCTGGGAAAGGGCCCCAATCGGAAAGAGGTTTTTGCACTCCTTTTGCCTTACCTATAAGAATTGACAGGAACCTGATCTCGAAGTTATCGAGGTCAGACTGTTGGATTCATATGTGGGATGTTTGACCCCTATACGTCGGCTGCTCTTGTGTGTTGCATACATGACACGCAGTGTGCGCTGGTGACGTCACGCATGCGTGACCGTAGGACTTGCAAACTCACTTCTACATGCAAGTGTATGCTTGGGCCTTTGGAAAGCGAGCTACGATAGCGACCGTCACTTGGCCATACTGCTGGCTGCGAAACGAGTTCATGGCTCGAGCAAATGAAGTACCTGGGTAGGGACATCATGACTGACACGTGTTACAAGGTGTCGGTTGAAGCGTTCCGTAGGTAGTTGGTCACTACAGCTGGTGCTGACGCTGGAATTAGCACTGGAGAGGCTCGGCAATCAGCTTAAGGTTTGGGGTTAGTTGCTCTCGAAGATGGTACTTTTGTGTTATGCACTTTCCAAAGGCGGCGTAGAGAAGTGATGTCTCTGAGGCAGTGAGACGTAACTCAATTCGTGCCTTTGGGGCGCTCACCGTCAGCCAGAGGGGGGGAGCTTGTTGCGTGATGTTCGCGGCATTTCTAGGTGCAGGAATGGCGCGGCTACGCGGATGGATGCCCAAACGCGTCGATGCTCGGCGGCGTCACTCACTGCCTATGGTGAAGTGCTGGAGACGCGAAAGTGTTGCGGGAGTGGAAGCCTGAAGGGATAGTAACCGATCGCGTGGACCGATCGTGGCAACACCACACGCTGATACAAGCGAAAACCCACCCAGGCAAGCGCTCTCGTTGACCAATAACCTTTGCAGCATCATGCTGGAGCACAAGAGAGAGGGGATGATCGCTGATGACGGTGACAGAGTATGAGTCCAATTTCTCCTTCTCAGCAAGTCTAAGGCTCCTCTGCGGTGGAGCAATAATTGCTCGGCAAGGAGAGAACGAGCAAAGCAATGGGCTGGCTGGCTGAATTGATTGCTAACGTGGACATTGAGTGAGTAGTCGATCTTCGCTTCCCGCGGCATGAAGGGCCTTCCGACGCTTCGACCCGCAGCATCGAGCGCCATAACATTGGACGGTGGACCCGCGGGCGCATTCTCAGAACAACCCTCCGCCAACCGACTCGGGGGCGAGAAAGAGGAGGAAGGAGGAGTGGAACCAGCACAGGAGAACGGACACGGACACGGACATGGATCTGCACTCAACAGCAAGGCTCCAGGATACGATGCTCCGGCGGGACTCGAGAGAGAAGACGAGGGAAAGCCGACATGCATGGTAACGATGCTGTCCTCGAAGCAGCTCCAGGAAATTCGAGGCGACCTTGTCGAGCTCGCAAAGGAAAACGCCGAGCTGAAACATCAGAAGGGTGTTCTCGAGGCAATGTTGGCCGACGCACAGTTCCATTGTCGGCTCTACTGGAACTGTGGAGTCGCTTGGGCCCGGGCTGAACTTGAGTGGATCAAGGAGCGAGAAATGCTGAAGCGTCGTGTCGATGAAGGGGAGCAGATGAGACGGACTACCAGCGACGGTGACAGCCATTCTCTCGACGGACAGGAGACCAGCCTCGACCAGGGTGGCCATTGATTGACAGGATCCGTCGTGGAATCGATTTGTCAAGGCAATTGACGTTGCATCGTAGTGGCCGGTCGTGCAGACGCACCTTGGTGTTGGTCACTGTGGAATATCTGACACTATTTTTCCTCGAGCACGACACCAGCCCATGAGGTGGTCAAACATCAATGCAATGCTTGGGAGGCCGGGGGTTGCATGGTTGTCATCCTGTCGAAAGCTACAAGTCTTTGGTTGATTTGCTCAGACGAGTTGGAGCTGAAAATGAAATTGGCATCGCGATTGGACAACCAAGAGAAGCCACCATGAAGGAGGGAGTCTGGAACAGTCCCTGTCACCAAGGCTGATAAGTGATGGTTCGTTCACCAGGTTCGCCAAAAGGTTGACATGGAGCCCCGAATCATGCATGGTATCGGTACTGAGATTTCCAATGCAAGGATTGCAGACCTCGTTTTGTCCGTGTATCCGCGTTCTCGCTTTCCTCGCCATCCCATCATCCTTGTTGTTTGCCTGCCATTAATTGGGAGTATGTACGAACTCGGCCCTCGACGACTCGGAGTTGACAGTCCCGAGTCCTGGCTCCAGCTCTCCAGCTCTCCAGCTCTCCAGCTCTCCAACAGATACTCCGTGGGTACCTCGGCATTCCCAAGGTCAATACGTGATCTTGTACCTCCGCCGTGCAAATCTACGAACACGGTTGAGCAGGTCAAATTAAGGCTTTCACCGGTTGCCCCCCACGATGCGATCTATCACCGTTGTAGTAATCTGTAACTTAGAGCTGTGCGCGTCAACCACGCCCGCCAAAGATGGTCCTTGCTTGCTTCAGTTGTGGAGCACAAGGTACACAACGGGTAAGCTACCGGTAGCGTCTGTGCAGTATGGAGTACTTACTCCATTGTTTCGCTTCAAGTTGGGAAACTCAGATCTATTCTGGATACAGACTAAAGCATTTAACCATTCCCAAGGCAAATAGTGCGCCTTTTGGAGCGCCATATACGGAATACAGCACGACAAGCCCAAAACCGCGGGTCCTTGCTAAGAGTCTCAAGGGGCTCAAGGGTCTAGACCTTCACTCGTCTTCTTAATTACATGTATTTATTAAGCCTGATGCTGTACCTTCCAGGATGAGAAATGTTGTCTCTTCTTAGGTAAACCCTAAAACACACACAAGGGTGTCTGTTACGCACGCATCCCCATATAGTCGGTTAGTGTCTATCTTGACACAGCTTTAGGCACGCCTAATTATTTGATCCATGCCTAGGCCTTGACGATAAGTGACGTAGAGACAATCAAAACAACAGAGTAGAGACAATCTCATCACCTCAACAGTTAAAGGGGATGAGTCAAAGAGAACATGATTAGAACTGATGAATCCATAGGTATAGTGCTTGATAGCTAAATGAGACTTGAACTTTAGATGGTGCTACCTAAAATGTAGAGATGATGCCTAAAATGTAGATAATAACGCCTAAAATATAGGTGGTGATGCCTAAAGTGTAGGCTCTAAATAGGCGCTCCTGAGAGGGGGGGGAGGTGAAAATTCTTATATACTAACTTAGGAAGGTTATCCCAGTGCGTGCGTAGTAGGCACCCTTGTGTGCGTTTTACGGTTTACCCTCTTCTTATTTTAGTTCTACTTGATTCGGGGAGTTCAATATAATGCGCTCTAAAAAGCTGGGCAGATTTGCTCAAGGTTTTGAGTCAAGATAAATAGATCTCATCATCTCATTAGCTTCTGTGATTTCTTCAGGGAGCTATCCACCTTTTCAATTACCACAATATAGACATCTATTGACAGCATCATGAAGGCTTTATCTCGATTTTCAAGTCTCATCACAATACTTGTGGCCGCGCTTTTCCCCAAGTTAATTCAAGCCGCCCCGGCGTCTCCAATCGCCCCGGCACCAGTACCTCCAAACTCAACGACTCTCAACACCTTTGTAGTATATGGCTCTATTTGCGACTATTGGACCACCCCAGACCAAGAAAGAACATCTTACTATAGGCTTTATGTCTACTGTAGCCATGTTGGCCAAGGCACGAAGATCGCTGCCAGTGTCACCCTCAATAATCATGTCTTCTCTACCGAGCAGATAGGTATCAAGGACGTGGACAAGATTTACACAAGCCCGCCGTTCAAGTCGAGTAAGACGGCTGACCAACTCAACTTTCAAACACACAAAAGCATATCGGGTGGGCCAGATATGGGTATCTGTCAATGCCAACTGATTAACTCTGCGGGATCGGGGTCAGGACAAATTACAGAGCTCAATTCGTGGAGCAACAGGATGACCTGCACCAAGATAAGTCCATACCTCAGAGTACGTGCAGTTATGGTTCTTCCAGGGGGTTTTTCACCTATGTACTCGGGGTATATCACAACACCTGGAACGGTCGAGACTAAACAATTGTGGAATAATGAGCCGCCTCTGGTCTATCCTGATTGGTCATTTTAAGAGGTTCAAGAGAGAGAGAGAGAGATGAGGTGTGAAGAAGTCTTTGACAGCCCCCCTTTCTGGGCAGGAAGGTGAAATACTGCGACTTGAGAACGTGGAGCTAGGAACTGGCCTGTTACTACTTAGTGTAAGAGGGGGCCCATTGGAGATTGTGTTTTTTGGCAGACAACAAGGTATCGAGTTCTTCAGTTGTGGTGCATAGCGATACAGTGAGATATGCATTACATTAACACGAGAGGAGACGGTACATGACGATACAGTCCCATAATTTTGCTGACTGAACAGTCTCCTCCTCCTCCTCCTCCTGATGAGATCCCTTCTTATCCTGTCCGGTGACCCCTTGCTGTACAATTCTATTTGCAAGGATGCGACTCACACCCGGGGTTTTCATGGGCACTGATGCCCGCTTCGGATTGAGTCGCACGAGGTGCAGAGTGGTCTCTCCTGCCTAGGGGTATAGGGAAGAGATTTTCCAGAGCGCGAACTGATTGAGGCGGTCGATATCGCATTCCATAAACAGCCATCCTCCGGCAGTCGTAGTAAGGTCTTTCGCTCTGTGCGAAATGACCTGGTCAGTTAGGTCGCATACCGTTCCGAGACCAACGCCCCCATGTCAAGGCCTTTGACCACCAAATCGGAATCTGCCCTTGGCTATCGGCGACCCCGGCCCAGGTGTAAAGAGTTAGCATTACGCTTTGCGGAAGGAGAGGAGAAAGGTGAAGTCCATAGTGCAGTAAACAGAAGCGAGTTATTGGGCAACAGGTAGAAACCTGTCAAGGTTTTTTAACAGGAGTGTCGAGGGTGTTGGGCTTGGAATAATTGAGTTGCAAGGACGTCGACGGCGGGAGGTTCCTGCAACTCAGCCCGTTCAACACTCTGACTCTGACTTGGCGCTGCGTCCACTGGAAAAGTCAATACGTACTGTTTACAGTGTAAGTACAGTGTAATTGCGGCTGCACTGTTGATGCAGTTTTACGCACTCCCAAGGATTTTGGACATGGTCCAAATTATCTTGTTCTTTTTGCTGTCAGTGTGACCGATGCCGTAGCCCCGTGAGAGGGCGGCCAATCAAACAGCAGCATCTCGTCAAATGGTTGCTTGAGTTGAATTCAGTCCTACAATACCAGGCGATACAAGTACATACTGTGCTTATAGGTACCTGTAGGTACCCGAGGTAGGAATCGGACTGTGATACGGGTTTTAGGCATAGGGTAGATACCCAAGGTACCCTAAGGGATGTCAGGCCAGGGAGGTACTGTGGGGACTCTGTACGGATGCACCACCCACCTACCGACTCCCCCGGGCACTCGTACCCTCAGCCGCATTACTCGACCATTTATCTTCATCGCTCCTCTGGTTTCGAGACTCATCCGAACTTGAGCTTTCGATCCCGCCCATCCACAGACATACATGACACGCGACGCCACCTGGCTTCCTCATCGCGAGGACGCGACCCAGGCCCTTCACCGCTGTGCCATCGTCGGTCATCACGGACGCATGCTGACGGGGCACCCGCGTCTGGACCACGCACTGACCGTGATGGCCTCATGGATCTCGGGGCGCTTGTATTCCGGAAGTTGATTTGATACCCCAGGCTGCTAATGTAGTGACCGTCCACCTTTGGCGACATCCTGTCCACATATGCGGCCCTTATGGGAATTAGGCGGTCGCCGATGCCAATGTCGGCGAGGCACACACTTGCTGTCCCAATCAGGCTGCAAGCGGGAAAGAATGGTGCTGTGTGACTATAAATCATTGGACCATCCACGGCACGTAGCCCAGTCTTTCTCAGAGCCGTCTTACCTGGCTTGTCCAAATCCACTCAAGACCGACGCATGAAAACCCACTAATTCTTTCAATCGCCAGCCTCCCAGCCCATCACCTGCCTCCATCATGTCCGACGACCGACCAGCCGGACGGCCGCACCCCATACAGCGCATGATGGCGACCCGACCTCCGGACATTCCAGTTGAGGAAAGGCGGGCTTTGGAGAATATGTATTTACACTACTATCCGGCGAACCACAACCGCATTACTTCCCGATTCCTTGTGAACCCTCCACGGCATCTTCTCGACCAGCACACACTTTTTCCAGTTGAACCAGCAGAGCACCCAGAAGAGTTGGTCGAGGACCTCTTGAACCTGTCGAGATTCCCGTCCACCGCGGACGGGTTCAGGATCTCGTTTGCACCCGGGACTCGGAGGCCGGCCCTGGTCACGTACCCGTCGACCTTGTCGTGGCTGATCTGGGGCATTAGCGACTCACTCCACCTACACCCGATCTACGCCTACTACTACTTCGCCAAGTGGACCATGATTGACGGGTGGAACTCGCAGGAGTTCCGATCGGAATTCCAGGCCATTGAATACGCCGTCGAACTGCTCCTCGAGTTTGCCTTGGGGGAACGGGACCCGGTCAGGATTTTCTCCATCAAGCTACTCCTGCAGACCTTCCGCATCCGTGAGCTCGACATTTGCGGCTGCAAGGTAAAAGGCAAGATCATCCACTGGGCGCAAGACCCGAAGCAGAAGACGCTCCCACATGTGGTCATCTTTCAGGCGTCGAATCCGCAAATGTCACTTTACGCGTTAACCAAGACGCGCTTTCAGGACAACGAAGAGTGGCCAGTGGCGCAACTTGTCGGTACCGACCTGACTTGGGAGTATGCCGAGGATATCGGGACCACCGAGGAGCGAGCACGACGTTTGACGACCGAGGAATACGTGAACCCTCACAATCCTCTCGGACCTCCATGGGTCAACCGATCGAGCGGAGAGGAGGACGATGCCAGTCAATCAGGAGCTGACGGGGATTCGGACTCTGATGATCACAGTATGGATCTGTCCGTAGGAAATCCTACCCTGCTCGGGGACGTGGAAGTCGTTCTTGACCATCTTGGCACCCCAGAGCATGCTTCTTCCTCCAGCGGTGATTCAGAATCAGACCAAGATTTCCGTGCCTTTGATTATCTCGATGACGATTCGGATTCGGATTTACCTCCGTGGCTGATACGCAGATGAAGTAGGGGACTGTGACCTTGCGGCGGGCTCGGCGATGAGTTTCAAAACAAGTGACTCCCAGTATTGTCTTCATCACAATTCCGCTGCTGCGGGCGGTCTACCGTCGCCTTGGCCCATCAGTGAATCATCATGACCTCCTCTTTCTCAACATCATCCTGGGCTGTCCACACCTGTCATTAAGCTGGGCTTTTTCGGTATCTCCTATTGACGTGGAATATGTCAACATCTCCCTTTGGTGGCTAATTTCGATCTCTCAATTCGACAAGTCCAGTCCTTTCGGCCGCGGGTTCCGGTATCATCTCGACATATCCTTTCTGGGCGGCTCCGTTTTGGTCTTTCGCGCTGAGGTTACACAGCAAACCCGCTCTGTCGGTAATGACTGCTTTCGGTGTTTCCTTTCACGTTCCGCTACCGGCATGTCTCTGGAATCCCGTGGGAGTTTCTCTTTGTGACTCTGTTCCGTATGTCCTTGGGGTGGCTGATTTCGGTATGTCTCTTCGGTCCTTGCTTCATGTCGGCTCTTTGTCCGGATCATAATGGCGGAACGATTTTTGCATTTCCCTGCGCATTACGGTACACGAGGTGCCTCTGGTTGTGTGGTTTTTTGCGATAGACTACAACCAGCACGTGTATGCACTGACTGCGTTGCAAGTCATTTTCGGTTTTCTGCGAGAAAGTTACTTGGTGTTTTCCCTTTTTGTCACCTTGTTTGGCCTGAACAAGTGAATGTCAGGACCTTTTCACTGAGACATAGCACTTGTGAGTAGCTATCGGTACAATATACCTAACATATGCTGGTAGTCCATTGAACAATCCTCTGTCCGTAAGAACGACTCATGACTTGAAGGGTGGAGCGAAGTCGTTCGTGTCTACCAGAATTGAGAGAGGGACGGCGTTCTTTTAAAGCCATCGAACTCTCCTACCTGGAGACCGGAAGTGCACTTCCTGCTATGGCTGGTGGTGTTCTTTCCGTAGGCCGCTCGTCCTCCTTCACGAGAGGGTCGGTCCCTCAGTCGCCGAGGGCCAGAATGTCAAAACGGCTCTACACTGGAGAACTAAGGAGAGCTAAGTCAGGTATGTAGAGCTAGCTGTACCGTGACGGAGTTTGACTCCCACCAATGATTTCCAGAGCACAAACCACATCCACAACGACATTAGTCTTGTGCTCTCCTTCCGCTAGTCAAGACATCCGGGGCTCAAGAGAATGTTGATGAATGGGCGAGGGCGTCTTATCCACGAAGGGGGGTTGTAGACTTGGGATGGGGCTGGTGAGGCACCCAACTTACCTAGAGAGGGCCTAAATATTCAGCCGCCGTGAGTACCTAACAAACTTAAGAAACCCACCTTGGTTGCCCTGTAAGGACAACCTATAGATAGATTTTCAGGAGCCCTGGTGCACAACCTCAGGCGGAGGCTTACAGGCCTCGACACCTGTTTCGATAGGCACGGCAGGCTCTGTAACTTAGGGCCGGTGAGGGTACCCTCCAATAGATAACGTGGAGTAATCGACGCACACGGTACGGAGTACACTACCTACCTAGGTAACTTAGCACCAGGGAATATTTTTCAGAGGGAAAAGCGACTATCTAATTAGGTAGGTACTAACTAGTTAGAGGAAGATTAGTTAGTTTCTCCTCCAGGGGTGCCGATAAACCGTCAGTAGGTACTCCGTAAGGGGGGCAGAGAGAGAGAGAGAGAGAGAGAGAGAGAGAGAGTTACGGGCGCGCCTGTAGGCGTCGCTTATGGGCTTATGTGTGGGCGTACTTTATAGACCTACTTCAACTATAGTTAGGAGGTGGTCGGGAGAAGTACTTAAGAAGGGTGCTTGGGAGAGCGTCTAGAGGCGTCTCCAACTAAAGGGGTTGTTTGTGGGCTTTGTTTAGGGGAGAGTCTCAGGTAACTAACTACTTGAACTAATGGAGTGTCTCGGGGGAAGCCCTAGTTAGTTAAGGAAGTGTCTAGGGAATGTCCTTGGGGGAGTGTCTACGGGAGGGATTACCTTAGGGGGAGAGCCCCTCCCTCGGGGGTCCCCAGGTGGGTGGCTAGAGAAGTGTCCATGAGTCTCTCTGGAGGACTTTGCTTAAGGGGCTCGTTTGGGGTGCGTAGGGGTTACTTGGGGGGGTGGGGGTGTTTGCGTCCGTGTCTGTCGGTATTGGTGTCATCGGCCGGGGTTGGCGCTGCTGTGATAAGAGGTATTCCACCGTACCTATTACTTTATTACAGTACTACAGTGGAGGAACTCGGACTGCGGCTACGACCCGAAACGGCACGAGCCTTGTGGTGTGGTGCCAGTTTGTATGTGTGTGGATAATGGCCAACAACTCAAGCCTACTGTAAGTGCTATGGAGTATCCTACGGGTGATGGAGTCTGGCTGGAACATGGAGCACGTCCATTGAAGCTGAGGTACCTGCGCTACGGTGTGTGCTACCCAGGCCCAAAAAACACCAAGCACTCATAAACGCTAACACCCAAGTGCGGTGTTCAAATGACAGTTTACAGAACTACGAGGTACGTGACACCGGTGACTTGAGGTAGGAAAAGGTTGGAGAGAGGTGGGAATGGCGAAAACCCTGAACAAACCCATGGTCGAGCGAGGGAGGGAGAAGGGAGGAGGGGGTGGCGCTCAACCCTTGCATCCTGTGCCGCCCTCGGGCATGAGAGAAAGGGGGGAAGATCCTGGATGCAACAAAGCCATAGGCCATAGGCAGATAAGTTCTCTCCTCCCGGGCGCGTTATCACCTACGAGTGACTGGTCAAGCTGCAATCTTAGCGTGGGACAGGCTGCTTCAGGGTCGCCCTTTTGTGCCGGTGCAATGCAAGCCCCCATGCAGTCTTACAGTATGCAGCGGGTGAGGGTGGTGGGCGCTGGGCAGTCGCTGGTCGGGACGAGTACTAGTTAACTACTGTACAGTACTCCGTACACAGCGCTGGACCAACGCCGAGAGGGCAACAAGTCGTGCTCGGCTGATGGACAGGGTCGTCCAATGCCCTGTCAGTTCTCTCTGATGCAGCCAATCCGTGAGTGTCGATGTTCGCGTTGCTTTCTAATTCTCGACAGGGGACTTCTCGATCGACTGGGCGCCAGGGAACTGGCAGCGTCCGGGGCGAGGAGGAGCCCTGCACTGTACTTCTTTCTCTCCTTTCGAAGTAATAGGCCTCACAGACCGCGGTCTCCAAATCCCGTATTCGGAGGACGTACGAGTACCTCCGTACTGTAGGACCCAAACAAAGCTTCGAGGCTGCCACGGGGATGCATAGCTTGGCAGTGCAAAGCCCGGTTGTAACGTTGCGTCCGCCTCTGTCGGTAGACTCCGTTTCGACAGACACGGACACTCTCCAACTCACAAGGAATCGATACTCAGGTAGTTATTGTAGGTCGGTCAGCCCCAAAAAAAATCAGAGCTACGGCAAACACACTTTGGCTTCCGGTCTTTGGGCCTCCGATTGAGTTTCACAACTGTGATCATCACTCCGCAGCTTGCCTAGCTTGGTAGATCATTATCTGGGGGCCGGGATAGAGTTCTGACTCCGTCTCAACTCGATGATCTTAGATCAGGTTGACACTAGTTTAGTCGTCATTCGAGTGGCAAGGCTCGTGGCTCGTGGGTTCTTCCGCTATAGGTCAAAGCTTTGATCGAAAGGATCATCTAAAGTTTGTCTCTGCCGACATATTCTGTTGGAGGCTAATTGGCTCTCCAGGCCTGTGGCGTCAACGGGTTCATGGATATCAGAAGGGAGGACCGGAATTAATGCATGTGCATCTCGGTGTGAATGAGGTTGTGTTCCCCCGAGGCGAAAGGCCATTCTTAACCCCGAAGAGCGAGCAAGGATCATGACTTGACTTCGGCCTCGTATCGCTCGGAGTCCGTGAAAGCAAGTTCTGAGAAAGACATGCTAGCCACTTTGCCCGTCGTATGCAACTGAGGTTTCTTGACGCCTTGAGCCAAGACTTACAAAGTCAGATTGTGATTTGTAGCTCAGTGAGCTGCTGTTGTTGCGTCTGATGGTGCATACAAATGCGATCAATCACTGTTGAGTGGCGCCTGTGCAGGTGTGCTCTACAATATGTTCGAGTCCCCAAAACATGTTCCTCTTTGTTAGCTTTAGGATAAGTGATGGCCGCATTTTCACAAGCCAATGAAACAACAGAATCCCGCATTTTTGAGCAACCCGACTGCAGATTGTGTCTCTGTCTCGGTGAGAGCCTTTGAGCTTTGAGGATTGTGAAATGTAATTCCCCCGAAAGAAAACGCTCGAATACCTAAGGTGGGTATTGCCTCGTACTGTAGACAGATAGCGGTCGTCTTGTTTGTCTCCCACGGCAAGTTCCCTCAGCTTTGTGTTTGGTACGAGCATAAACTTTTGGAAGGATACGACATGAGATTATGAAGTACGAGGGCGAGCTGTGCTCAAAGGGGTTATTGTTCACACCCTGGGCAAGGTATTTCGCGGCTCGCATCCCTGACCAACCATTGCCGACGGGGACAGGGAGTTTTGACCAAGGTTACGGCGACAACATACCCGCCAACCATAAAACGGGGTGTGTGGGCCGAGTGACAACTTGATCCCCTGGTAGGCGGCGGTTCGGTGATAGGGAGATTCTGAAGCCGTGACCTGACTGCGGTGCAGACGAGTTAGTGCCGTCATCCGCCATCACCGCCCGTTGAAATCCTGGGAGATAAGCGAGAGACCATGGTAGATGGGGCCTTCGGGCCGGTGGACGACGGAATTCCCACCATCTGCTTTCTGCACTAGTCAGTGACAAGATGCACAACACTATCCTGGCCTTGCATTCCGTAAAGAGGAGGCTGATGGCAGAATGGACTGATCATGTGAAGATGGAATCAGGGTTCGTAAAGAGTAGCGAATACGTGCTGTCAGGAGCGTCAACCTGGTCTTGGAAAGCACGCGCCGGACCACTTACCACGCCGAGCATACGGATATCTCCTTACCGCTTGCATGTCCTTTTGAAAATTCAAAAGATCGTGAATCAGCTGCGCGGTGTCGCCCCGCTCCTTCCCTTGTTTGGTCATTGCTGGATGGGACTACCTTTGCTCCTTCTGGGAATCAGGACATACCATGGTCTCGAGTCAACTTTGTGGCTGCTAGCTTGATGGACAGCCGATCGCAAGTGTGCGCCAGGAAAAGGCATTGCTGATCCGAGAGCACGGGGACGACACTGACTCAGTCAATCGCAGGGTCATGAATCTCGTAGCATCCACCAAGCAGCGAGACTGAGGACGGGCCGAGGTTGCCACCGGAGCCAAGTTAAGGCGCCCTAGCAGTTTCAAACCCTCGGGGCCCATGCTTAACAGAGTTCAAGCATCTTGTGAAGGTAGCTTGAAGGGCCACATGATTCCCATGAATTCAGAATCACCCTGCAGCCTGCAAACCAGTGGAGAGCGAGCAGGGACCATCTCTGTCAGAATCCGCCATTCATCCCGACTTCTCTCGGCCGACTCCTCGACAACCGGTCCATCTGGAGAATAGACTTAAATCCAAAGCGTTCGCCAAGAAAGTTGAATTCGACTTCATCTTGTTATTTGTTACCATGCTGTCGGTACCCAATACTGTCCTGTGATGCGACATCTATGATGGCAACTGAGGGGGTCGTGCAGCAGGCCATTAATGGATCCTGACAGAACCGAGTGCTACTCGACCCGGCTACAGCCACTGTAGGAAAGGTCGGGAGTATAGTTCGAAAAGGTCGGTTCAGAGTGATTGGGACAGGTCGACAGAGTGGGAGGCCCAAGAGGTCGGAAGGTTGCTACGTCGAGAGTCGTTCGTCGGTGGCAGGGCACCTGCCAAAGCCGTGCGGCTGTTCAAGTACATAACCCTTCTCCCTCCCTTCTGTTGATCTTCGACATCACATTCCTCATCCACCTCTCAAGCCACACAAAGATATTCTCACCCCCTTTTCACCAGATCAAGAACAAGACTTGGGCATCATGGTCAGACACCGCGTGTTGCAACCCCTCCATCACGACATGAGGTGCCGCCTTGACCCAAGGTATGTTGAGATACATGAGCGCGAGCTCCAATACCACCAAATGAGGATATTTCATCCCTGGCAGCCCAGCCTCCGAGATCAATCTTCTACATTGGCCAGGTATGATGGTCCACGCTACCACACCGAAACGGTCGACTTGGGTATCACGGGTGCCTGTGACATCAGGATTCATAGAACTCACCAGGTGGACGGCCCTCTTCCGGCGATTGTCTGGTGCGCTGGGGGTAAATCTTCTTTTGCCACAGCCGCTGTGCCAATTAATCTTAAGCTAATCGGGACCCAGACGGCATGGTTTTGGGCGACATCAATAGTGATGCTGGCGTTATATCAAGACTTTGTCAAGGTACATAACCATGACGACGCTGGCCCTCTAAATCCTATATGCTGACGCTGTTCGATGCCTTTCAAGATCTTTGCTGCTGCGTGATCAATGTGGCGTATCGACGTGCTCCAGAGCATCCCTTCCCGACCCCGACCAATGATGTGTTTGCGGTGTATGATTGGATTTACGACAATCAACGGCGTCTGGGAATCAATGGGACAATATGCCTGGGAGGTACATCGGCGTGAGTGAGAGTCTGTTCAAAAGGCTTCATGATCAACTTCGTTCACAAAGCTAACTCGATGGGTAGTGGCGCGAGCCTTGCACTCACCACTCTCCTCCAACGCGCAAATCTGGGTCTTCCATTGCCAGCGGCGTTGGTCATGGTTGCTCCGGCTCAACTCGACAACACTTTGACGACGGAGAACTCTTGTGAATGGAGGCGTAGGCAGTATGCTCCTTGGACCGGCGTTGAAACGGCGTTGAGTTTCCGCCAGCTGTACCTGCCCGACGGGCCACGGCGGGAGAGTTGGGTACAAAATCCAATGAAGGTTCCGGACGAGATCCTGAGCAAGGTCACTTTACCTCCAACCTTCTGCTTGACCATGGAATGCGACATCTTTTTCGGAGAGGCTGATGCATTTTGTGAGCGACTATACAACAAAAAACATTTCGTGCGAGAGTTGATATACGAGGGTTTGCCTCACATGGCTTTGTCGATGGGTCAAGTTTTTCCAGAGGTATACGACAAGATGAGAGATATATTCATGAGAATATTCGATGTGGACATGCGCGTATTTGCAGGGCTATCCTGGCCGCCACAAAAGGCGGCTTTGGCCTAGCCTCTGCGTCACGGGGGAAATTGCGATGGACTCTCTCGGCTGTTGGTTCAGATTTTGTAACCTTTCTATTCCAGAATGTCACACTCACGATGGATGGTTGAAACTACATAGGTACGCTTCTGACTGAATAATAATGTCACACATGTACGAAAAGCCTGGGCGGTTTAAGCGGTTCAAGGTAATTCCGCTTCCGAGTTCAAAGCAGCCTGACGTGACTTCCAATTATGTAACGAGGGCACCTTGGGTAAAGGTAAACCCCAAAACGCACACAAGGGTGCCTACGACGCACACACTCGGGTCAATCCATCTCCTAGTACAATCACGACTTTGGTCTGTATGAGGTTGACGCTTCGGGCCAACAATCAGTGCCATTTGTCTCGAATCACCTATTTTGGAAACCTTCCAAATTATTTCGAACAAAACTCCAAAGTGTTAGTTGCTCTGCAACCTAAGCCCTTGCATATCCTGGACGCATTCTGCCTTGAGACAAGGCGCAAGGCAACTCGCTGCAGCTGCTGCCGGCATCCTCCAGGCTCTCGATAATGGGACAGTATGCACACCCGGCAGGCGCATGGCGCCTTTCCGCATGGCTGCTTCGTACCAACGAGGGTCGGGTCAATTTGCCCAGATACTTTGAGCCGCAATGCTCCTCGAATCCTGAGACTTAAGTCAGGCAGCCCACCACTACCCCAGGATGCCTACCACGGTGATACCGCCTTGGGCTGCATTGCACACTGGGAGCAGCATAAGCGAGAAGAGAAATCTTTTCTCATTGCTCGCCAACATAGACTGCCTGAGAACTGGTTGCCTTCTCCGAATGCTCCAGTTGCCCCCAAAGAAGGCGACGGATACGTTTGATCAGGACCGACAAGGCCAAGCAGGCCTTAAGAGTGGCTCCTAATTCCTGCACCACAGCCAGTGACTTCCTTGCCATACAACCATCTTGCCAAACAACATTCCTTCCGAATCCTGGGTATACTCGTCTCAGTCTTGTTTGCATTAATCAGCATGGACAGTGCTGAACCCCCCAGTCATCGAGACAATGCCATCTCTGTTGCTGTTCAGGGCCACGAGCCTCATCGCCTCAGACCTGGTCCGTCCAGCATGATATCACCTCAATTTACCACGAGTCAGCATTATGATTTGCGAGATCAGCAGGATGACCTCCTGGACAGGCTTGCGGGCCAATATACCTCTTTCGAAGCCCATGACATGCTGGTAAAGGCCTTTGAGAAGACAATCACAGGAAAACTGTCGGCGAGTTTCAAAGACGGTATCAGACTCGCTGAAGTTATCGAAGACGCAATCAAGCCAAAGATTGGTATCACCTTCCTCGCAGGCGCTGACACCCCTCAAGTGAACCAGATGGAACAGATCCAGATGTCCCAGAAAGAGCCTGATCAGAAGGACGCCTCATGGCGAGTTAATACTGCGGGAGCTCTGCTCAAGAATTTTGACGTTGACAAATCCATGTCAATCATCGCTACTGACAATACACCAACAGTGATTGCTGCGGCACGCCAGCGCATGAATGCCACAGGCCCATTTACTGATCCTGATACCCCATCGAATCATCGAGCTCTAGCTCTACGGCGGCATCAAGATCGGATTGTTACTATACACAGTGACAATGTCAAGGTCGTCAGCGATTTGTTCTCTGACAAATGGGACCTTGAAGGTCTCCTGGTCGAAGTTGATCAGTCAAGCCTCGTCGCGGTCATCTTGAACTATCGGCACATCATCAATCGTGGTGGTTCCAACCTGTCCTGTGGAGAGACAGTGAGTGACTAGCCTGGTACACTATCTTGTCCAGCTGACAGTTTGCTAGATCAAGCTGCTTGATAACATGATCGAGGATGCTCGCAGACTCTGTATTCGAAGTCCTATTCTATTCAGAATGTCTACTCGAAGGCATATCATCTCATCCAAGAACACTCGCTATGGCGTGGACCACGGCACGATGTTTCAGACATTGACTACTAGTAGTGGTATCAAAAACATTATTTCCCTGAGCGCGGCCTATTTCAATTCGCTAGCTTCCTACAACAGGCAAGAACAACAACTGATCCGACCTAGGTTTCTCCAGATGCTGGTGCTCTTACTGTCTCTGCTCAACGACGGTATGGACACGTTCCACCGACTCACTGGAGCGTACCTCTACTGACACATAAGCGAACCAGATGACCTGAGTGAATTGGCCGAATTCCTCGAAGTGACCTATTCTATTCAAGCCCACAGGCAGCACATCGAACTTCTCATCCTTAAAGTGCTCCCACTCATGTCGATAAACTCCAAAATCTTTCTGCGGTCCCTCATCATTGCCTGCGATGGTCCTCTGGCAAATCCAGATCCCGAGCTCTCTGAGCAGCCTCAACTCTGGAGCATCTTTCTTCATCATCTGGTCGACCATCAATACCTTCTGCCCGGCACTCTCGAGCAGGTAGGCAGTCCAGAGTGCTCTTGGGTTATCAAGTGGCCAGAAAAGGGTTACTCTGATTCCGGCGTTTTCAAGCACCTGCAATACGCTGGGCCAGCAAGGGCCATAAATGAGATTCCTCCAATTAATCTTAGTACGGGATACACCTCAAACGAAGTGACAATCATTCTCACGAATGGCTGCCGATACATTGTTTCGGTGGAAGATCTGGAAAATATCACTCGCATGACACCGCGGCGTTATGCGGTCGTTGAAGCGACTCCCGAGGGCAGGTCTTTCAACCTGGACATAACGGATGTCCAGGTCAATGAGCCTCTTTACAGGGCCATATGGGAAATCAATACCACCCTCAACGTCGTAAAGAGTATTCTCCCGGCTCGACCAAAACACACAATGACTGCACGTCTCAACAACATCATTGGGGAAAGGATTCCCCTCTCACGAAGACTCAGCCGAGGAGGGTCACCTAGCGAGCAATCGCTTCTTCCAGAGATCCAAGGTTCAGGCCGTTTGACATATCACGTTGCGTCCCTCAATGAGCACATGCTCGCCGTCACGTACAAGGTGGAGGGACGAAAAATTACCAGGCGGGAGCTTGTGCGGCACCTGGCGTCGGATCTTAGTAAGATGCGCGCTGCTATCGACGCTATTGAGATGACAGTGCAGCAGACATTTGGCGAGAAGCGCATGCACGAGCGAATGCGACAGACGGTGGACAGTATTCGGGAAAGGCTTGTTGCGGTGTGGCGCCTTTACAGACTCGCGGAAGAAAACAAAGAGAAGATGGAAAAGTACTCGGCAAAACTGGCAGATGAGCCAATATCAAAGGTTTTATACCCGATTGGTGCCGAAGAAACGCCCGTTGCCGTCTGGAACAATTACAAAGCATGGCGCGGCGGCAACGGGGATGTTATCTACATCGAATCTCAGCGTCGTTCTGTCCATTCGGTCATACTGTTGAACGATGGTATGACTATGGAAGTTTGTTTCCATGGACACGAAACGAAATATTTCGTCACCCCGCTGACAAAGGTCGAGGACGGCGAACACGAGGAAGAAATCAAGCCTGAAGACAATGTCATTCTCGCAGGCCAATACCTCATTGTCGTCGAAAACAACGGGGTAACTTTCACGCCAAATGAGCTGCCAAATTCATCTCATCGACCTGCCAAGCCAAAGGACGGGCCTTTTGGACCTTCTCAACATGCGCCGGCAAGGAATGGGCCTGTCAATGAGAGGTATCCCAGGGCAGAAAGGCGAAGTGTCCCGGAATCCGCTCGAAGAACTCACCGGCCCCAAATGCAGCTGGAAACGGTTTTGAACTGGTTGAAGGTCACGGGAGTGGAAACTCCGAGGAGGAGGAGAAGACATCCTCAGACTGACGCTACCCACATGATCATTAGTGCTATTCGTTGATTTGATGAATATGGGATTCTGCCACAAAGTAGGGAGTTCAGACTGATGGATGTCTCTATCGCAATGCTCTCGTAGGCAAACGAAAGTACAGCGTGAGTTAAAATACGGAAACGGTAGGCTATAGCAAATTGGAAGAAGCGAAATGATTGGGACTTGCTGTCAAGCTGCTGATACAGATTAGATTGGCGAAGGTAAGGGTGGGAACTGGCAGGAAAATGGCTGGATGAGAACTATCATGAGATGATGAGATGCCTCAAGCCAAACCCCAATTTCCACGGCCCGTGGCTGACAGGAAGGACGGGGCGGGGCCACTTGATGACAAGGACCTTGGTACAGTGGTAAGTGCTTGAACGAGTCCTTTGATCGTCGAGGAATTGTACTCTGTAGTCGTCGGGTTATCGAGACGACGATAAGAGGATGTCGCCTTGTACATCTGGATAGTGGTGGGCTGAGGCGTGACGCAACGCAAGAGAACTGGTACTGTACAGTAATATTGTAGTAACCACAGACAGGCATCCCCTGCCCAAGGCCATGGCCTAACAAACAATAATGTACCTGGGAGGGACGCGGGTGTTTCCGAAGCCCCTGAATCACCCGGTTCGCAATGCGTCGACGACTCTTTCAGGCCACGCTCTCGGCGATTGATGCTGTGTTGGCTGTCCAGAGATCGTGAAAAGAGATCAATATGATCTCTGGTAATAATGTCACTGACCCGTCACTCTCCGACATGCTCGAGGGCTTTCTTGAATCGCTCTGTCCAGACACTGACGCTCGTGCAAGTTGCTGGCCCAAGCAACCCTCTCGTGTCAAATCTGCAATCTCGGTCAATCATCCACCAACCTGCAGGTACCACAGAGTCTAAACCGAGTTGGTGCTTAGGCGGCCTGGTGGCGTCGAAACTAAGCCCAGGAACACCAATGACTCCCTGGGAGAGCCTCGTCCCTGGTGCACTTGCAACCCCGTGGTTAATTAGATTTCCCACCTGTAGAACCATCTGCTCCACTGCACTGCTATTCTTTCTTCATGAGAGAGGGAGAGAGAGACCGGACATTGTAGTCAGTCTGTCACTGACCGCGTCACTTGCTGCTCTCCAGCTTGTTGATTACCTTCAATTCTCTCATGCGCTGACTTTGCTGCTGCTGCTGCACCTTTTCTCGTCGCACGCGACTTTTCGATTCTTCAACCGGATCCTGTTGTTCCTATTCACACCCTTTTGGTGCCGATTGTCGCCCTTCTTTTATCGACAATTGTGCCGGACGCTCCTTAATTCACCTACCTTTTCCCAGTCACTCCCTTGCGAACCGCAACGAACTGTGCCGGCGACATTGGCTTTTATTCTCTCGCTGAAACGTGAGAACGAGACAAAAGACTCGTTGGAGAGCGCACAACTGAACAACCAAGAGAGCCTTTTGAGGCGGGAGAATAAACAAAGACTTCGATAGTCACTGGTGTTGAAATATACAAGATCAAAGATGGGTCACGCCCACCACCAACATTTCCACGACAGGATGGTAGAGTTGGCGCGACGACAAGATGGCGTCAGCACAGATGGAGGTACAGTCTACTCTGTTGTCTATGTGACCGCCGAGCCAACCTTCACTGGTGTTATTGGAGGCTACACAACCTTGAGCGCAGGATCCAACAGCATCCCCGCGGTAGCCACTGCTTCCACAGGAGGCGCGCAAGATGCTGGAACAACCGGGGCATCCGTGGAGTTCAGCACTGCTCCGGCGGAGACAGTTGTTGTCACCGCCAGTGCAAGCAACTCCTTTGACACCGCTGCGGGAGCAGCGACTACCGCAGCAACTACAGGACCAGACTCAGTCCCCAGCGCCTCTGTATCGACGACCTTGTCAACCAACAATGTGGCAGCTTTCACCAGTTCCGGCGCTTCGTCCACTGGTGCAGTCTCTCAGAAAGACTCCTCAAGCGGCTCGAGCGGTGGAATGGGAACGGGTGCAAAGGCGGGGATTGCCATTGGCGTCATTGCAGTCGTCGGTATCATCGCAGTGTTCCTTCTCTGGCTCCTAGGGAAGAAGAAGAGGGAACGGGAGGCTCAAGCGAACAAGGACAATGAGAAGTCGACCTACGGAGCTGGGGCCCCTGCTGCCACTGAACTGATCAACAGAAGTCCCACCATCTCCAGCACCACCGCACCTAGATTAAGTTTGCGACCTGTTTCTCGAATGCTCCCAGAATTCGGCCAACCTAACAAAGCACGACTGAGCGGTGGTAATCTCTTGAACACCGCCGGAGCGCCTGGTGCTGCTTCAGGTCGAAATCTTTCGCCATCTCCTCAACAACCCCGTGGACCAAGCCCGGCTCGCAGCCCAGTGCTGCGTGAGAACCCTTTCGCAGATCCAGAGAATTCAGAGAAGCCAGAGAATCCATTTGCCGATCCTGAAAAGGCTGTCGCTGGCCCAGTCCACGCTGTGTCAGCTCCTGGTGCTGTGCCGACACCTCCCGCCCCCGCCCCCTCTGCCACTCCTGTCGCTGCTGCTACTGCCGCTCTCGGTGGCGTTGCTACTGCTGCAGCTCTTCAAGCGAAGTCGACCCCGGCCCCTGGCCCTGGGCCTGTCGCAGGCCGATCACCTTCGCCTGCACAAGCACCTGCGGTCAACAGCGGATCTGCACCACAACCTCCCGTCGCAGCCACTCCTCAACCCCAAGTTGCCACAAGAGACTCTTCTGCAATTGGTCCATCTACGCCTGTCACCTCGGCTCCGATTGCGGCCGCTGCAGCTCCCGCCGGGTCTCCAGCAAGCGAACCACCTCAAGGCAATGTTTACCGTGTCCTGCTGGACTTCGTCCCTTCCATGGATGACGAGCTAGAGCTCAAGAACGGTCAACTAGTTCGACTGCTCCACGAGTATGACGACGGATGGGTAAGTCCTCCCCTGACCGGCATTGTGTGAGACGATCCGCAAGCTAACACATCTCCAGGCCCTTTGCATTAGGCTTGATCGCTCTCAACAGGGTGTTGTCCCTCGTACGTGTCTCGCCACCAAGCCGTCAAAGCCAAAGCCATCCCATCTGAACCAGTACGCTCGACCTGCTGCACGTGGTCCGGGACCGGCCTCTCGCCCCATGTCGCCCGCCGGAACTCCTCGCAGCCAATACTTCAACTCTCCTCGGCCGGGCATGGCATCTCCTGCGCGCCCAATGTCACCTGCAGGCAGACCCATGAGTCCCGCGGGCGGCCCTAGGCGACCAATGTCTCCCGCAGGTGGCCCTCGACGACCAATGTCCCCTGCACCCATGTCTCCTGCAGGTTCCATGCGACCATCAAGATCAATGAGTCCTGGACCTGGCCAATTCAACCAAGCCCCTCGACCGCTCTCTCCAGGTCCCGGCCCTCAACAGAAGCGGAGCATGTCGCCAGGACCGTCTCGATCGTCTCCCATGGCCGATGTCACCCGACGACGAAGCAACTCAGCGACCATTGTTCGGGATAAGCGCAACTCGCCGATCGGCCCGTCCAAGCTTGGTCTTGGTCCATCCGCTCCGGGCACCGCCTTGTGAGGAGGGACCCGGCTATTGGGAAACGCTGACGACGATGTCATCGTATAGTCCTTCGATCTCTGTACCTACGAAACGAACGTGCAAATGCTTCTCATACCTAGGTGGACGACGATATTCGGCGCATTGATTTCGAAAGGCTTTTGTCAGATGGCTTGCTGGCATGACTTGAGACCTGTTGCTTCCCTTATCTTCTCTTCTTGTCCTTGAGCTTCGCTTTTCGCTTTTCTGTTTTTCAAAACCGAGGACTTGTCTTATTTCATTCTCGGCACAATCTCCGGAGTCGCCATTGTGCAGTAATTAGGAGCACATGTGTATGTTTTTGAGATTGGGCCAGGATGGAGAATCTGACAAATGCGCGGCTGTGTAATGGAGCACGGGGGACTTTTGGCGTTTGTTTGGCTCAAGACAGCCGTGCTGAGATACATAGACCAGGCCCAGAGGTAATGCTCATTGCTCATTGCTCAATGCTCACTGTTCCAGTTGTTGTTGGTTTTTTGGTGCTCTGGGACGCACCGAACCGTTCTGTCTCCATCCGGCTCATTTCTTACGACTCGCGCTCTTCTGACTTTCTTCTCACCCTCGTACTCACGCTCTCACGCACTATCACAACGTGGTTGAGGCTGTCGAGCATGTGCGGAACAAGCAGGTCCAGAAGTCGAGGGAAGTGCAGTTCTTGCGCAATCACGCTAAAACTCTATCAGGCGGAATTGCTGGGGTCGATCCCGTCTTTAGCTTGCGTTATCTCGGTATCCATCACTGGCAATGAGTACAAAGGAGGAACAATCCCCGCAGTCTGGGGTAATAAGCCCCGAATGGCGGGATGCCGTCAATGCATCCCGCAATGGAGAGAGAGGGTTTCCAACAGCCTGTCTCGGGCCATTTCCCTCCGCAACTTGATAACTTTGCTTCTCCAAGCGTGGTAAGATTGAATTCCACTGCGCTCGTCCTCTACCGCCTTTCCCGCTAGTGGCAGCTGACAGATACAGCTCTAACGGGGGGGTTTGCGGGGCATGGCACAATCGGCACCGAAAACCCTCATTCAACCTCGCACCAAGTTCCACCGAAGGAGAAGGAGGACATGCAGCGGGCAGGAAATGGAGGTGTCGCCGGGCGATATGTATATGTCAGAGCTTGAGGTACATCCCACTGCGGCTTCAGCAGCACGGCGAGGCGTAAGTAGATACAATGCATACAGCGCACCTCCTTGCTACCCTTGTTACCCTCTATCTTGGCATACTTTATGCCGACGGAAGGGCTTTCTCGCCATGGTCTCGTGATGGCTCCTTCAATCCCGGGAACGCAAGCAAGTACAAGGGCGACGATTTGGCTCCAGTATACTACGCTGTAGGACCCGAACCTACCATCAACACCACGGTGGCATGGACAGCGTCGACGATCATCAGTCTCAATGCTTCCTCTACAGTGGCCACCCTCGATTATGGTTCTGAAGCCGCTGGCATTCCTTTCATATATGTGCAAAGCTTGTCAGGCCCGGCCCAGCTAGAGCTGCGGTATGGAGAGCAATTCCCTGCCCTCCAAAACCCGAATGGCGATGGGCCATGGACTTTTATCAATGGTCTCACCAACACCTTCAGAACCGAGACATTAAATATCACTACGACGGGCCGTGTGGAATCATTCTTTGTGCAGGGTGGACAACGATGGCAGTCTGTCCGGTTGCTCACTGAAGCACCAATCTCGTTGAGTGCCGGACTTCGGTTGACCTCGGATCACTTGGCTCCCGCGCAGCTCAGCGGCCGCTTCAGTGCATCAAATCCACTGTACGAGGAGATCTTCGACTTGGGAGGTCGAACCGTGCAGGCGGCCTGCATCGACAGGGGTGCCGCGCCGTCTGTGTGGGAAGTCACCTCGGACGGGGTCAGAGTCCGGGGTCAGCAGACGTCACAAAGTATTGTCGGCATCAACTTCTCCAACTACACCATCTCGTTCATGACAAAGGTCATACAGAGTGGGACGGCTTTCCGCGTGGCTTCAGGCGTGTTTCCTTATGGAGCTTACTTTGTGCTCACAACCCAATCAACCCCTTACTTGGACACCAATCGAACAGTACTACCAGCAAATTCTCTCATCTGGAACTACGGCTGGTCGATGGTCAACCAGTCTACACTTGCTGTGCCTGCCGTACACGTCCTTCCCCTCAAGACACCCATCGTGCCGGATACCTGGTACAACATCGCGCTGGAGATCACGTCGACTGGATATAACATCTCCCTCGATGGCCGGAGCCTAGCATTTATCTCGTCCGAGGAGATTCTTGCGCTCTTAAATCCTCTCTGGGGCAGTCCAACCTGGTACAGTGGCACGTGGGGATTTGGCCCATTCCAGGGTCAGGATGCTTTCTTCAAGGACGTAAAGGTCATCGCCAAGAATGGAACCGTCCTGTACAACAATTCGATGATGTCGAGTGATGTTCTGGCGGAATATAGCGTGCTCCCCAACCCAAACCCTGTGTGTATGGACGGGGCGAAGCGAGATCGCCTGGTATGGGTCGGAGACTTTGCACACACGTGCAGAGTCGTGCTTCACAGTACGAACCGCCTAGATTACCTTCGTGGTAGCATCTCTCAAGCGCTGGCGTGGGCCTCCGACCATGGTCCCACCGCAGGGTTTGTCGGAATGGACAGCCCGTTGGGGACTACCGCACTGTCAAAGGCCGCATACAGCGATCACCTGTACTCTCTCTTCGACTACCAGGACCTATTCATCCTCGCTCTCGGCGACTACTATTGGGCGACTGGAGATTTGGCATTCATCAAGGCCCACTGGTCACAAATCGGCGCCGCTGTCGATGGGAGGCTGACGTTGAACAACCCAACGACTTCTCTATCAGAGACGCCCGACATCCAAGGCATTTACTTCCTCGGTCCGGCCAATGGATCAGCCGCATCTGCTGTGAATGTTCTGGCTCTCCAGCGCGCCGCATCGCTGGCGAGTGCAGTTGGCGACGTCGCCTCTGTTCATAAGTGGACAGCCGTTGCGCAAAGTATCAGTACCGCAATCAATTCGCTACTCTGGAATCCAGAAAGCGGAGTCTATTCACTGTCTACGGCGTACCCCGACGACTTTTCCCTCGCCGCGATTGCTTTCACCATCCGAGCCGGGATTGCAAACGCGACGCAAGCCGCGGCGATGATCCAAAAGGTCCCCCAACTACGTCTTGGTATAGGATTCAAAGACAGCTCAATGGTCAACAGCACAGCTACAACTCAATTGTCGCCCAACACGCAAGGGTTCCTTTTGGAGGCCCTGTTTCTTGCCCATAGGGATTTCGGAACGCCACTGGACTCTGCGCGCGTCCTCCTCGACACGTTCTGGGCTGCAATGGTGACTCAGAATCAATATTACTCGGGGGCCAGTTGGGAGTATACATACCCGGACGGCTCGCCGGGAATCGACCTGTTCACGTCATTGTCCGATCCTTGGGGTGCGGCCCCGACCTACCTCCTCTCGGAATATGTCCTTGGTATTAGTGCCACCAAGCCTGGATATACAAGCTGGTCCATGCAGCCTCTTGTCGAGGGCCTCGGTCTGACGCACGCGTCTGGCACGGTACCGACACCTTCAGGACCAATCGAAGCAAATTGGCATATCGTCGGCAACAATGCGACCATCTGTGTGTCTGCTCCAAAGGTGAGCCGTGGGCAGATTGTATTCGGAGGGCAGAAATTTGCCGTCAGCGGGGGACAGCAACACTGCGTCAACGTCGCGCTCTGAGAATGTCAGCCCCTACTCCGTAGAGAAAGGAAAGAAATGGGACCCCGGGGGATAGCGTCCTGCCGAAAGGCGGAGAAAAGGCAGAACAATCAATGTTAATCCTCCAAGTAGAAAAAGCCGCTAAATCAGAGTCTTTGCAACTTCGGGATCAATATGGCTTCTCCCGCTCATGCTTGCTAAATGATCGTGGTGCCGGTTTGATACCAGCCTTGCCCTGAGCTGCGACTGTGTCGCTGCAACCGTCTGGATTCTGTAAATGCTTCCAGGAGAATGTGAAGAACACCCATACTGCGCCACTGCTCCTAACGTGAGGGGCTCACCTCGAGTGGCGGTGCCGAGATCTACAGACTACCTACGTTGACGCCGACTGCGCCACACCATCGAGACAAGTCCCGCCTTCATAAACCCTCCAGGCTGACATCTTTTGAACTCAGATAGGTCCTTAAGAGGGACGCCTTTCCTCTGACTTCTACTCGGAGGCAGGCTCATTCCACAGAGTAGCCACGCAGCCTCCCTTAGCACATCATGCCGGCTCCCCTCGCTCGAGGTAAGTCAATAATGTCCCCGTGCTCTCCCTTACATCATGGCTAGTGGCTGTCCGTTGTCTGGTCTCATCTGAAAGCACATAAAAGCCGGTGATGGCTGCGTGTGAGATGTGGCCTTTCAGCGAAGCGAGTCTCAATGCTCACCATGGTACCCCCTGCAGGTCTGATCATCGCTGCCACCATCGTGGTGGCAGCCGGCATCGCCGCATACGAGAACCCAGAAGTCCGAGCATGGATCGATCGAACAAGACACAAGATTGCCATGGGCCTCCATAACCTTGGAGATGAGATTGGTCCCAAGAAGTCCTCTCGGCCGCACCGCCCTTCGAACGATGCTTCGATGCACGAGGAGCAAGGAGAATCCGCAGAACTGCGAAGGAGAGCTGCCATCGCCGAAATCATGGAGCGAGGGCGCATAATGGAGGAGAGGCGCAAAAGAAGAAAACTATCCGGCCAGGAGTCAAGAACGCCCTCCTTTGATACCCTTGTGGACGACAACGGTATCCTTATCCAGGATATGGTGGGCACGCAGTCAGGTACACAAGCGCAGTCATCAGCTGTTGAGCCAGTGGCGCAGCCTGATGTTCTACGAGCCCGCGGAGGACTGTCCGAAGTCCGCAAAGGGTCTCCCGGTGCTCAGCAGTCAGCAGAAGCATCTCTACCTATGACCCAGTCGCCCATAAACCCCTTCGAGCCAGCAGACTCTTCTGCCTTCGAATCACGGTACGAACGGGAAATGCGCGAAGCGTGGAACATTCCACTATCAGACAGGCGCATCGAGATTCCTACAAGTCACCCATCCGAGAGTCTAGTTGAATTGACGCCTACCACTGAAAACGCTCCTGATCCGGACTACTCCATACCGACCGCCGAGTATCTTCATCAACGCTTCGCTCAGCCAGAATATTTCTCTGCAGTCGCATCCAATTCGAGCCACACATTTTCCGATCATGAATCACAACATGAACCCTCGGCGGAGAGTAGACGTCTGAGCCACCCTTCCGGACTGGACTCTTTCTCTCCCCATGCTTCAAACACTTCCTCTCGCGCTCCCACCATCGACGGTAGCCTGAGCAGCATCCACGCAAGTGAGGCTGAAGACGGTGAGGATGACCTCCTCAGCGAGATAGGTGATGGAATTCGGACCCCTGCAAGTGTCTGGACCGAAGTAGGGTCGACTGTAAGTGGAGATGCGTTTTAGAAATGAGTCGCTACAAGGTGTTCTGGAGTCGAACGGCGGCGTCTGTTGTTGTGCAATGACTCAAATCGAGAGCTCCAGTCTTATGAGCATGCGGGGTGGTACTATTTTCATTTCACTGTGAGGCTCTCCTCGACATCCTAACGCCTTCAAGGAGGCTCCTCATGACAATATGATATGTTACGACTGTGGCTGCATCAGTTCACTGCTTGTTGCCGTCCTCCTTCTTGAAGTGCAGGTGAAACATCAATCACATATCACCAACTTTCCAGAGAATTCACTGACTTCCTTCTCGTGGTGTGTCTATCATACTCATACACACATGCGTACCTTCCGCATTAGCGCTACTAACATTGTTGGCCGTGCCTGCTTTACTTTCCTTGCAAACGCATCTCTTCTTCTGGCGCCATTTACCTCTCTCTCCTCTCTTGCTTCTTTATCCAAACTCCATCACAGCCCAACGGGGGACCGTATCTCACTGTTCAGATATCTGCACGTCATGGTTATCCTTCACTAATCCCAACGTGAGTCTCACTTGGCTCTTCTCGGCCCACGTCTAGGACCAGGACGTGCATCTGTCACTACCCCTGAGAAATCTACCGGCCCCTTCTTCTCTTTTACACACTTGATACATCGGTGCTCTCCACCTCCGTTACTGGCCTTCAGACTTCACCCAGTCTCTCCTAGCAAGCCACCGCTGGTGCCGTGTAATCGAGGCCAAAGTACGCCAGGAGGGCATCTGCTGTGGTCTGCTGCTGGCAAGATGCTCGATCAAGCCTTCGAGTCGATCACTGATCCTTGGTCGATACCCGATGTACGTATGGCTCTGGTCTCCAGAATCCCTGGACTGAAAATTGCAGATCTTGTGCTTAGCGCTGTCTGCACCATTGGTGTTACTAGCCTTCTTCGAGTCCTTCCTATGGGTCGCAGCGTTCTGCTACTGCCTCGGAAAGGCATATCAAAAGGCGGATCATTGGTCACAACGCTTCATGGCGGTCGTCATGACGCTTTGCTTCGTAATCGTCAGGTATCTCCAGTACTGAGTCCCGACCTTGACGGAACACTGCTAACCTTCGTCCTAGGGGCATCTTTTTCCCGATCATGGTGGTGACCCTTCCGCTGCCTCATCGCGTCACACAATACTTCCCTGGCAAGATGGCCCATGTCTTTCAACAATTCGCGTTCTACAGCTTTGCAGTCATGCTGATGGTGCCTTGGTTGTTTTGCGTCTATCGATCCTTCATCCTGCCGCTCGGCCGTGACAAAATGATCAAGAGCCCACTGAACGATCTAAATGCTCCAAAGGTGGTGGTGGTGATGCCGACATACAAAGAACCCCCAGACTCATTGTGGAAGGCTCTGAATTCCGTGGTCAAGTGCGACTACCCGGCTAGCAGCATCCACGTCTTTTTGTCTTTTGACGGTGACGAGGTTGATGAGTTGTACTTGAAAACAATTGATCGACTAGGAATTCCCATCACAATGGAGGACTTTCCCCAGTCCATCGACGTTGCCTACAATGGTGCTCGGGTCACCGTGTCTCGATTCCCTCACGGTGGTAAACGACACTGCCAGAAGGCGACCTTTCTCCTCATTGACAAGATGTACAAACGTTATCTGCTCCACAAGGACGACATGTTCATTTTGTTCATCGACTCGGACTGTGTTTTGGACCCTTTCTGCATACAGAACTTCATGTACGATATGGAATTGAGACCCGGAAACAAACGCAACATGCTGGCAATGACCGGGATCATCACGGCATGCACAGAGAAGAACTCGCTGCTTACCATTCTACAAGATATAGAGTACCTGCATGGTCAACTGTTTGAGCGGTCGGTTGAATCAGGCTGTGGTGCCGTGACTTGTCTTCCCGGGGCGCTGACCATTCTCCGGTTCTCAGCATTCCGGAACATGGCCAAGTTCTACTTCTCCGACAAGGCAGAGGAATGCGACGATCTCTTCGACTATGCAAAGACTCACCTTGGAGAGGATCGCTGGCTAACACATTTGTTCATGCTGGGTGCAAAGAAACGCTATCAGATCCAGTTGAGCACGACCGCTTTCTGCAAGACCGAGGCAGTGCAGACGTACCGTTCTCTGCTTAAACAACGACGCCGATGGTTTTTGGGGTTCATCACCAATGAAGTATGCATGTTGACCGACGTCCGACTTTGGAGACAGTATCCTTGCCTTTGTGCACTACGGTTCATGACCATGACCATAAGGACGACGGCGCTACTGATGTTGATCGAACTTGTGGCAGTGGCTACAACTTCCAGTCAGCTTAGTGAGTTGCCTTGGGAATTCATGTGCATTTCTCTGGGCTTGAATTGGCTTCTCACGTTCTACTGGGCAGTCAAGCTCCACCGTTGGAAGGCTATTCTCTACCCACTCATGTTCACTCTCAGCCCCTTTCTCAGTTGGATCTATATGGTGTACGGCATATGCACGGCAGGGCAACGCACCTGGGGAGGCCCGAGGGCTGATGCCGGCGCTGCGGATGCCAAGGTGACTCCGCAAGCAGCCATCGAACATGCTATTGCCACGGGAGATGATCTGAATGTCGTGCCAGAGACTTTCAGGCCGGCCATGGAGGTCCGAAAACGTCGTGTCCGACCTTCTCAGTTGCACCCATCGTCGAGCGTCGAAGGACGCTTCACCTCAGCAGAACAGGAGGCGCTTCGGGTGGACGGGAAAGCTCTGAGATCACCAAGTTCTTCGGATGTTGACCTAGAGGCACGCACACGCCAATTTGGCCACGAGTCTCTTGACATGAGTGACTCGGAGGGCTTGTCGATTCACACTCCGCAAAGAGTCATCACTTCCTCCGGCGATGAGGAAGATTCTACGAAGGGGGCCCGTGGTAAACAAAGAGCAGTGAGTTACTCCAGCGATGAGGAATACATGACGAAGAGACACAACAATACACCGATAGGCAACAATTTGTCCAACGATGAGGAACACATTGCAAGGACAGGCCATACTACACCAAGAGCGGGCAGTGGCTCCAGCGATGACGAATACTATGCAAGGAGAGCCGCGTCTGGCCCGTACGGTACATTTGGAATCCCGGACGAGGATGTATACCGGCCAAGGGACTTTCGTTCGTCTTCTGAAAGTGTCATCACCGTCATTCCGCGCAGACCCATTGTCAATGGTGAGCCAAGCAGGAGAAGGTCAAGACGACGAAGAAGGTCCACGAGCTCAAGTGGAAGTGGAGCCAATTCCGAAGAGCTAACCAGACGGCTGTCCCTGATGTTGGCTCAACAAAGTCCAAGCGGATCAGCTGTTCATGCACAGCCCAGCAGCCCATTGGGCCGAAACAGTCCAATGACGGCGTTGCAAAAGGATGAAGATATACCCCCACTCCAGGAACCAGATGGCGGTGCCGGTTCGAAGAAGGCTATTAAGACTCAGGCGGAACCATGGTCGCCGAGAAAGTCTGGCCGCAGGAGGCGTCCAGGCTCGGTACACATGGGATGAGGGGACGAGAGGATGAGATTCGACATGACTACTTTTGCAGGCTGTGAGTGCGAGGTGGACTGTAGTGGTGCAAGGCCACGGTTGTATTATTAACGATATCCTTAAGGACATCATGAGTATCAGTATCGGTCGGCATCGGGATGGTTGTCGACAAATGGGAAACTGGCATCGTTCGGCACGGTTTCACTATGAGGGAGAATCAAATTGTGTTGAGTCGAAGACCCTGAGATGGAATGGATTCGATTGTATCGGTACAAGGTTTGGACGAAGGAGCAGGAAGTCATCGTCGACAATGAAGTAGAAGAATCAAGATGTACATTCAGTGTGATTTTAAGAAGACGGAGTCCAAGACCATGAGCGTGGGAATGTTCTTTCTTTTTCCAACCCGGAAGAAATCTACTCACATTCATAGAAAAAAGCTGAGACGAAGACGACGGAAAAGTCGTCGAAGAACCACTGCCACCACTAATACATATACGTCAGTCACACCTTTGGCCAACTTTCATTCGGCGAATAGATCTTCGGATCATTCAAGACTACCCGCTCGTTCGAGAAGGCACCTAGGTGATGACGATGTGGGTAGAAGAGAACCGAAATCACATTCTCTTGATCGATCAAGGATTGATCGAGACCAAGCAAGAATGCTCGGGCGAGAAAGCACCGCGACTCCTAAGGGGAAAAAAAAGCACCACGTGGGACAAATGGAACTCTCGAATAGACAGATCATCCTCGGAAGGGTGAAACGGGAAAAGAAGGGAAAACGGAAAACGGAACGGAAAGACTTGGAGATTTGGCCGTCTATCTATTTGCACCACCCCTAACTAACAGGTCTCGACGCCCGAAAACAACGTTTCCATTCGCTATGCATAACATAGTCACGCCGCATCCGGAAACATCCCCTCCCCTCCCCACTGTATCTTCATCACGGCTCTTTGCAGTGTTGTTGTGTGTGTTCGTGTTTTGCGTATGAGAGAGAAAGAGAGAGAAATCTCGCCTTCGTCGTCGTCGTCATCATCATCCGTAGATCCGTGACGTCTTGTTGTCAGCTTTCTGTCTTGATTATTTATTGGTGTATTGCTTCATTGGAATCCTAATCCAAGCCAGTGGGAAAATACCAGTGGCTTCCGTCATGAATCGTGCGAGCGTGCAGACCCCTTCGAGTTCGGGTGAGAGAAGAAAAGACAAAAGGCGTTGCTCTACTTCTCCTCGACGCTGTCAGGCTTGACAGCCTCACCGTCGGCATCCTTCATCTCGGTGTCAGGCGCAGCGGCGCCTTCACCGGCAGCCTTCTTGGCCTCCTCCTCGGCCTTCTTCTTGGCCTCAGCCTCGGCTCGCTTGCGCGCGGCTTCTTCTTCCTGAGCCTTCAAGACGGCCTGTCGCTCTTCTTCCACCTTGTCTAGGTATCTCTGGATGACAGGTCCGGCGACGAATCGGATCTCGTCCATCTTGGCGACGTATTGGGCTTTGGTCGCATCTTCGCCTTCGTCATATAGCCAATCCTAAAGATCAAACCACGTTAGTCATAGTCTCAAAAGAAGGAAGAAGGTAACAGAGAGGAGACAGGAAATACTGATGATGACGCGGGACTTACTTCTGACTTTTCAAGCTTGTCTCGAATCTTGTCCTTTTCTTCTTGGCTGGCAAACTCGGAATAGACGTCGTCAATCTTGCCGCGGAGCTCGTATATGTACGCCTCGAGTTCGTTCTTCTTGTCTTCGGTGTCGGTCACGAGCTTGTCTTCCATGTACATGGAGTTTTCCTTTTCGGCGGCAGCAACCTTGTCTGCTTCGGGCAAGGCTGTGGTGGCGGCCACGATCTGGAGATCGCCCTTGCGGACTTGCTTCTTGACCTTGCGCATCTTGGGCTGCTTGGCCTCTGCGGAACCGTTGGCCTGGTCAGTCTCCATGGCGTCGGGGTCCTTGGCGGCTTCTGGCTCGGGCTCTTCCACCTCAACGTCCTCGACATAGTATCCGCTCTCCAGGTTAAGGATGCCGTGGAGGTTGAGACGGGCCTTGAGCTTGCAGATCATAAAGTCGTCCTTTTCATCGGCCTTGACGCCCTTGACGGCAAAGCGGCCGATCCAAGGCTTGATCTTGCCAGGTAGCAGCTCGGGTTTGGCGTACTGAGCTTCGAGGTGGAAGGGCTGTTTGCGGTAGAAGGTGAGGATCTTGGTCGATGGCATGACGTTGCCCTTGTTAAAGACAGTCAAGCTCGTATCCTCGTCCGGAATGTCGGGTGACTGCTCCCAGACGAACTCAATCGGGTATGAAACGATGTCGTGGACGGAGAAGTCGCGGACACGGAAGACGGGGGAGAGAATGGCACAGCTGAAAGCACAGCCTCGCGCAATGGCTTCGTCTTGGTTGAGGGTGAAAGACAGAGGCTTGCCGAAGAACTTGCTGACACGCTCTTTGATGGCTGGCACACGAGTGCAGCCGCCGACCATTTCGATGGCATCGATATCCTCGGGTTTGAGTTTGGCTTCGGCAAGAGCCTGCTCGAGGGGAACAGTGACGCGGTCAAGAAGGGGCTTCATCAGTTCCTCGAGCTCCTCTCGCTTCAGCATGCCTCGGACGTCCTTGTCGTCCATGAGAGACTCGATGCTGATGGGAGCTTGAGCATTGGCGGACAGAATCTTCTTCAGCTTCTCGGCCGCGGCGGCAACACGGGTGGTGGCTTTCGCATTGGTTGTGATGTCGACCTTGAACTTCTCCTTGAACTCGGCGCCAAAGTGGTCCACCAGAGCCTTGTCAATGTTTCGACCTCCAAAGTGTCGGTCGAAAGTGGTGGCCTTGACCGAGAGTTCGCCCTTGCGGAATTCGACAATGGAGCAAGTGTAGTCGCTGTATCCAATATCCACAAAGGCGACCCGGCGGGGTTTAGCATCGCCTTCCGGCAGGTCCGACTTTGTGATACCATAGCCCAAAGCGATGGCGGTGTTGTCGTTGATGAGACGCAGCAGCTTGAGGTTGGCAATCTCGGAGGCGTCCGACATGGCTCTGCGCTGAGCATCGGTGAACCACGGTGGGCAGCTTATGACCACGTCCGAGACCGGAAGCTTCAATTCGTGGCTTGCGGTGTCTCTGATCTTCCCCAGGTACATGGCAATCAGCTGGACTGCAGTGAACTTTTGCCTCTCCCCGCGATACGTGACTTCGGCACCGACTTGTCCATTGACATCGACGAGGGGTGCCGTGATGTATTGTTGTTCAATCGCAACCTCCGGGTCATCGATCGTCCGGCCGGCAAGACGTTTCAGGGAGGAGATGGTGTTTTTGAGGTTCGAGATTTCCTGGGTTTTGGCAGCCTCACCAATGTATCTGCTTTTAGGCCCAAAGCCAACGAGGGATCTAGGAACAGTGTTAGCACGGGATGTAATTGAGAAGCACATGCTGGACAGGCCGGCATGGTTTACTTACGGCGTAGAACGATTCGAGGTCTCGTTTGTGATCTATCAAACAATTGTCATGTTAGCATCAAATTCCTGCGGAAGGACTTCCCGACAATCGCGGATGGGGGAGGGATGTAGCCTTACGATGTCGATTCCCTTGTTTCGCGCAACACCAATTTTGGTGCTCTGAGCACCAAAGTCTATGCCGACGACGCTCATTGTGAATGACTTGCGCTTGAATAAACTGGCGACAGGTGCAGGTGCAGGTGCCGGTGTTGGGGATGAGTCGGTATGCGGCTGGTGCTGAGGCAAGTGAGGGACCGGACCACAGTGCTCAAAGATATGCAATCAGCAGGCAGTCTGAGAGGATTCGAACTGGGACTGTCGAACAGAAGAGAGGAAGCAGTGCAATGCCGATGGAATTGACACTTAACCAGACTCTTTTCAAAGCAGGGCGAAAGAGGGAAACGTGTACAATTGGGTTGTTAGGTAGATATCGACGCAGACGCTGCAGCAAAAATTCAGATTCGTCGCCTTGTCCTTGTCGCGAATGCGCTTTCCACTTTTCTGGATGCGACTAGAAACTTCACTGTCCAACGCCCAACCAAAGTCTTGGCAGCCGCAGACCCAGTCGGTACGTAGTATTATTGCCTGCGCCAGGGCACGCTCTTGTTCGCAGCCTCGCAGGTCGACTCCCTCCAGTCTCTTCCCTCCGTCTCGCCGCCTCAGTACCAGACCCGTCCCACAGGCCTCCCGGAATACCTTGCCCGCATTTACATATGAGTCCTTTGTGCATTCAAACTGCCGCAAGATGTGCTAAGAGATGACGTAACATTGACTCAGTGGCTGCGCACGACGATGTTTGCGATAAAGTCGAGTTCGGATCCAAGAGCCTCCGCCTAGTAGAACAAACCAGGACTGCGAGCATCCCCATGCACTGGATTAGCCTCTTGACCTTGTGTGTTCGATAGATCCTATCGGAATCTTTCCCTGGCGTGGCCTTCCAACACAGTGCCGCTATCGCATTACCGGTCCCAACTCACCGGCTCAGCGACTGCAAACAAATAGGGAAAAGGTGGACCAAGTACACTTCGTCAAGGTTCCAGTTCTAGTTCTCTGGCCCGGGACAGTGTGGTGAACATTCGCATGATCGCATAATCGCATGATCCCGCCCCAGATACTACCAATCTCCTCGTACAAGTACTCATACAGAACCTCTCCAGGTAATTTTTGTTGCTATTCTAGCCGAGGCGTAGTCGGCCTCAGGCCTCATCCTCTCCACGCGTTCCGATCAGTAAACAAACTGTCCCCATGGGCCATGAGTCTGTCGAACCCCGAGGGAGGGCCGTCATCCGCCATTAGACGAAGTTTGGGACGACTTCTCGGCCGTTATCGAGGCTGCGCCAATGTGCCGAGGTACTGGCCGTAACAGGAAACTCGTGTGCGGTCCTTAAAAGATTCCCCAACCCACGCCGCCTGTCTCACTTCTCTTCAGACAATCATCTCGCATACACCCTCTCGTCCTCTGTTGTCCTCTCGCCTCCCTGACGATCAAAAATGGCAACCCAAAGATTAGGCTCAATCTTTTCCCACCTGTCCTCGACAAAGACAGGAGTCGCTGGAATGTAAGCCATGCCCAGCTTCCCCACTGCGCTCGCCGGGACATGCTGACGGGATGATTCCCTTTGTAAAGCACCCAGAAGAACCCGGACGATATTGTCATCACGCTTGCGATTCGAACGCCATTGGCCAAAGGAAAAAAGGGTGGTTTCAAAGACACCGACCTCGATCACATTGTATACTCGCTGCTGAAGCAGGTTCTTGAGAAGAGCAAGATTGATCCTGCGTTGATCGAGGACGTTTGTCTTGGGAATGTGAGCAACGCGAGCCTTTTGGTGGGGGAGGCGCCGTGTGGAATAATTTGTTGATGCCTCTTGCTATATGTAGGTCGGCGACTCTCGAGCTGCATACAAGGTCCGCGCGGCCTCGCTGGCTGCTGGAATCCCTCACACCGCAGGTGCCAGCAGCGTCAACCGATTCTGTTCCTCGGGCCTGAAAGCCGTCCAAGATATTGCCAACCAGATTTCCTTGGGTAGCATCGACATCGGCATCGCATTGGGTGGTGAAAGCATGTCGAACAACGGGGACCGAGATCTGCCCTTCTCTCCGTCGCTGCTGGCCAACCAAGAGGCTGCCGATTGCCTGCAACCCATGATTCAAACGAGCGAGAACGTCGGCAGCGACTTCAACATCTCAAGACGTACACAAGACGAGTACGCCTGTGAATCTTTCCGACGCGCCGAGGTCGCCCAGAAGGCCGGTTGGTTTGACGACGAGATCGTACCCATCACCACCACCATCAAAGACCCCAAGACCGGCCAGGTTACCGAAATCACCCTCACCAAGGATGAGGGCCCGAGATACGGAACCACCGTTGAGGCTTTGGGCAAGATCAGACCTGCCCTGCCCCAGTTTGGAGATAAGACCACCGGTGGCAACGCCAGTCAGGTCACTGACGGAGGTAAGTTTCTTCTCTTCTTTCATCCTTGTCAATGGCGAGTCACGACTGGTCAATCGAAGGGACAACAGCTCATACATACTAACACGTGTCAACAGCCGCTGCTATCTTGTTGATGAAGCGCTCCAAGGCTATCGAGCTCGGTCAGCCCATCATGGCCAAGTTCTGCGGTGCCACGGTCGCCGGCGTGCCTCCCAGGATCATGGGCATTGGACCCAGCGCCGCGATTCCCAAGCTCTTGAGCAAATTCCAGTTGACCAAGGAGGATATTGACATTTTCGAAATCAACGAGGCTTTCGCCTCCATGGCCGTATACTGCCTGAATGTGTTGGGTCTCGACCACGCCAAGTTAAACCCCAGAGGCGGTGCCATCGCCCTCGGACACCCCCTGGGTGCAACCGGTGCCCGGCAGATTTGCACTATCCTCAGCGAGGCACGGAGGACGAAGAAGAAGATTCTCGTCACCAGCATGTGTATTGGTACCGGCCAGGGTATGGCTGGATTGTTTGTCAATGAGCAGGTCTAGTTGGGCAGCTTGGACTAGTAAAAATAACGAATGGCATTTGCAAATGGTCGTGTACCTTACCTCTTCCGCCTCCCCCCTCCAACCCCCCCCAAAAAGTACCGAGGCGTATGTACACCCTTTTGATGTTTCAGAATGCTGGTGCTAAGTCGGGACTAGTACTGTAATTTGAAAGACTTTCTTTGAAAAGACGTGAGGCTTGTGAGTCTTCTAGGTAATGCAAGTGCCTAGCAACACCCATAACCGCCGCCGCTATCAGGCCATGTCCAGTTGGGTCTCCCGAGCCTGACTGAGCTCTTGAGGCTGACCAGGGTAGGCTGGGAGAGATTACTAGGGCTGAGAAGGTTTAGCTCACAACTGTACCTACCACCCTCCTACATGCCCGCTTCTACTCCAAGGTTCCCAACCAGGCCAGTACCTGTGTGTCAACTCTTATCGATGGCGAGGTTTGTTTGCCCATGACAGTCATGATGCTCTGATGAGAGAGGGGCTGAATGCGTCGTGTGCGCCGGAACCAACGTTCTGCATCCGCACAACCAGCAGAAGAAAAACGCTCACAGCCACTTACACTTAGGAATGAGATTCGATCGGTCCAGTTGTGTCGACAATCTTCTGCTTGCCCCCTTGCCCTTTTCTGCGTGGCAGGGGAGAAACCTTGAAGTTGAGTTGATCGCCATGACCCGCCACCATGCGGAAGCAAACACACCAGACCTGCGTCGGCCACGGGCGACTGCCACAGCCAACACGAATAGGCGGACCTCTTTTCAACATGACCAGACAACTTTGAACGTGTCGAGAATACGAGAAAAGATGTCTGAGTGAGAGACACCTGGTATTGTTGACAAGCCATGGCTTCTCACTCGCCTATACGAGAATTTGGAAGACAGCCATCGACCTTCACCCTTGAAACTCGGAACCGCTCGAAGGAATGGACTCGGTCTCTCAATATCTCCTCAATCTTCAGCAAGACGTGAGCCAAAGTTTTAGCTTCGCCGTCTTCTAAGGTACCTTTTCTCGTGCCATCTTGCTCCCCATTGCACCCCATCCTCAAGCTTTTTTCGAACGCTTGTTGGCCTGCTTCCCCAACCGATCGCAAACCGTCCCTACCGTCGACAGTTTGATATTGCCGACAGCGAAGACGACATTGTCCGTATCGGGTCTTTGCGATGAGGGACATCATGTCTACGGTCGTCACGGTCGACGACGAGACATACGTCATCCGCTACGGAGGCTATGACTCGAACACATCGGGCAAAGAGCACTGTTGGATCCACCTCTATCGGCCGGAGGGGATCAGGGTGGTGATCTACGTCAAGGCGGAAGACGTCGAGGACACACCGTTTGCGGAGAAGTGGCTGCGGCTATTCAAGACCGGCGTGCCCGGCACCACGGTCCAGGGCAACGACATGTGGATGCAGAGATGGGTGAGCCTTTGTGAGATGGTGATTGATGTCTGCAAGGACAAGGTGAGGGATCTGGTCCAAGAGCTTGTTGACGACAAGGTTCAAGACGTCGGAGGGAGCAACCGAGGCTGGCTGACCTTAGAAGGGTACCTGAGGACCGTGGGATGGAGCTTGGAGGTGGTGAGGAACGAAGACACCGGTGGGCGCGACACCGAGAACGACGGTGTCGTGGCTCAGATCGTCCGGGGCCCGGAGTTGGTGCCGGCGTATGAGCTATGGCCGACCGACGTGCGTGACCTTCCCGAGCTGGAGGAGCTCTTGCCGGGTCTCGGGAGGCCGTGGATCAAGCGGTCGAAAACTTCGTGGCCAGTGCCAGTTTACGCGGCGAAAGATGTCCACGTCTTTGATGCGTGGGCAGACTGGTGCGACCCTCCGCGGAAGGTGCGCTGTCCGGACGGAAAAGAGTACGTGTTTGTCATGTGCGAGAACACCTCGCGCCGCCTCGGCGGCCACGGTCCCCCATGGCAGAATCCAAGCCGGGACACAATCAACGCGCACGCTCGCATCAGAGCGTATCAAGAATTGGCTCGAGAAACCGGTTCTACCGACCACAGCCACGACCTCCGCATTCCAGGGCTCAGGGGCGTCGTGGTCACGAATGTCAAGTACGACCAGGCCTGTCACCCGGAAAGAGAGAGTTTGCGACTCGGACACGCCCCTACCGACAATGCCGAGAAAAATGCCTACAGTGGTGACGACAATGGCGGCGGCGGCGGCGACGATGATGATCGTGATGCAGGTGCAACCATGCTGGCACGAACCCGAGTCGCCGGAATCCTCCTCGACGCTCTCCCAGACCAGATGAAGTTGACCGACTACTACTTCCGGATGGAGAAGTTGGGCGGAAACCCCCAGGTGACGACGGAGCTGAGGAAGAAGTGGAACGACGACATTTTGCGGACCGTAAAGTTCCTCCACGGCATCGGCATCACCATCGGCGGCGAGACCTGGGGTCGCGGCAAGAACGAGATGACGGCTTCCTACATCAATCATTACACCCTCTTCTTCTCTCCGATGAAAGGGGGAGCCATCCACCACAGCACCAAGATCTGGTTGACGCTCGAGTCCGGGTGCACCGTTCACGACGAGGACGACGAGGATGGCTTGATGAAGAATGTGACCTTGGATGAAGGTCAAATCGCCGATGTTTTCAGGTCCTGGGCTTGGACCAGTAGGATGTAAAGGTGTCTCGGATCCGTCTTCTAACACACCACTATCAGATCACACGGTCGGAGACCTCAGCTGACAGCCATTCACCAGCCTGCCCGTACTCCTGGAGTGTTACGGGTCTGATAGAAACGGCGCAACAAATTACAAATTTTCTTCCGGGAAGCGACTATGCTCACGGGTTCAATAAACGACCACCGAGTTGGATGAAGGTTCGGATCAGATCAGGCATATTTATTTCGGTCCTGGGGCTTGCTTAGACTGGTAGGATGTAGGCGAGGTCAATCCTCCAACTAAAACCACTCACTGTTAGAGCACAACCAAATTTACGTATCCAGGTGGTCCGAGGACGGGAGTGAATTTAGTCGGCTGCTGGCGGAACATCTCTGGCAGCGGACGGATCTCTCGTTGATGTAATTCGCTTTTTTGGGATTTACCTGTGAATCTGCTGCTGTTCATCCAGCTGCCTGCATTTAGGCCGACTTGCAACGCATGGCCGACATGAGGAGGGACGCGATCACACTCCAACGGGGGTCATCCAGCAGCATTATTTCCTTCCAGTGGGTCGACCCACCTCAACTTCCACCAATTCTGGAGGCCAGAGACACCTTTCATCGTCATGTATAGAATGTCTCTGTCCACTCTGTTCTCCTTGATATCGACCGTGACTTCGGCTCCAATCACGATATCGTCGATGTTAATTACCGGAGCTATAACTGGTGGTTCCGGCACTCCACATCTTTTGATCGTGTAGGCCGGTTCCGGCGCGCAAGTGACATCCTCGAACAGCCCTCCATGATCCCCAATCCCTTGTTGCTCTTGGCTGTGGACTTGCGTGTCGATGAGGTCGCTGTGGCTCGTTGCTAGCCGTCCACGACTTGATTCGGGGAGTGGTTCTTGAGTCTCGCAACCTCGATTCTCAGGCCCCTCATGAGGACAATCGTCCTCGATGGGGTCAATGTCTTGTTGAAGTCGCGTTAGTTCCTCATCTTCTGCCGCTCCGGCATGACTATTGGGGCCAGGGAAGTTTTTGACAGTCTGACGGTCTTGCCGATCATCGGAGGGCTGTGCTGGCTGGGCGTGCGAGGCTGAAACGATGGGCGATACCTGTGTTTGTCTGAGAGGCTTCGACCCGAGCTCAGATGTAGTTACGAGACTTTTGTAGCTCCAGTTGAGCCTCTTCCATTTGTTGATCGACCTTTTCCCAAATTCTGCAGCCCAATCTCGGGTCTTGTCGTCTGGCCAAGCTTGGTAGGTGATATGCGCTGCACCGTCGACCGTTGGATGTAGATAGTCTATTCTGCGAACGGGAAACCCACCGCAAGTGCCTTTGAGAATCGGCTCTTCAAGATGTTGGTAAGTGTTGTTGTCTCTGCTACTGTAAATGTCGGGCGGAGGGTTGGTCAGGACAACGACTCGGCAATGCTGGCACGCGTACTGTGCGAATCGACCGGACGCACCCTTCACATACCTGGAATATGCCTTTCTACCCTTTCTCGCTTTGGGGCTGTTGGGATTTGCCGCATCCATGAGCGGGCCCATGGCAATTGTTAACGTCTTCAGGTTCCATATCCCGGCCCATTTCTGAACGTAGGCCCATTCTACACCAGTCCAGAACAGAACGACATCCACTCCCTTCAGTGCCAGAGCAAATTGCGCGTCGATAGCGAGCAACTCTTCTGCAGTCACGTAGTCTAGCGGATCGAAAGTCTGAGCTATGCTGGTATTAGTTTTCATTTGAGGCCCCGTCATAGACGTTAGTCCTGAAGGCTTTCGACCAGAAACCGGCTGCTTGGGAGCAGGTTGTTTTGGGGTAGGTTGTTTAGAAGCAGTTTGTTTAGAAGCAGGTTGTTTAGAAGCAGGTTGTTTAGAAGCAGGTTGTTTAGAAGCAGGT